CCCCCCCCCCCCCCCCCCCCCCCCCCCCCCCCCCCCCCCCCCCCCCCCCCCCCCCCCCCCCCGGTGTGAAGGACCTAATGGCCCAGATGTGGCTTCTCAAAGTTCAAAGGACGGCGGCTTACCCTGGAAAATCTCCCTAAATGTTCTGTGCAAAGTTAGTACTCGTCACGGTTCAGGGTTGGAGGGGAGATCGTAAACATCTGCGATAACTTACCTTCCTACACCGGCCTGACGGCAAGCAATGAAAATGCATCCTGCGATGACCGCTGGGAAAAGTGTCAGCTTCCTGTGCATGACCTTGGGGTTTGGCATGCTCGTAAAAATACCTTCTTGGGGCTGCACAAATGCGTCAGTAATGGTTACATGCGACGGAACAGAGCCAGGCTACGCCCGACGAGACAACGACTCACCTTTCCTTTCATGAAGCCGTGATCGAAAGTCAACTGAAAATCATGTTAATTACTTGAACACTTTGCGAGATAGACCGCGAGCAGATAGCTGCGGCAACAGTCTGCCCCAAGGCGCCAAAGGAAGAACCACAGCGTGCAGAACAGGTCAGATTCCGACCACATACCTTGAAAATGTGCTTCGCACTGTCGCTGACGGTCTTGCCGAGGTTCTGATTGATATGTCAGCAGCGAGTCCGAATAAAAAACTGCCGCCAAGAATTCGCGAAACGAACAACTTGGTGTTGAACGTCATTGTGCTGCGTGGGTCTTTGGATGAAAAACCATCAAGAAAGATTCCCATGCTGCACGCATACACTTCAACACCAAATTCCTGGCTTCTCTCAAGATCGCTGTAGTATGGGCCAAACGTACGATACTATCCGAGAAACTTCCGATATCCCGGTAAGCCTGGAGCAGAGACTTGGAAGTCTTGTCTGCCCATGTTGTTAGCATGATATGCTGAGAAAGAGGGTACGGGAAGGTGACGAACCCTGGCCCTTTCCCTGCAATCTCGCCAAGTTCTTGGAATCGCGGCCCTCGCCGAAAGCGATCGTCGTCTCGAGTTGGGAGCCGTTCAGCAAGGGGTTCACCGCGTCACCGACACGGGAGGGATCGTCGTTGCCTTGGTCATCGTTGGCGAACGTACGCCACTCGGAACGGGTATCGATGATGCGCTCGCCGACGACGAGGCCGCAGGAGCCGCAGACCATGTCGCCGGACGAGAACTCCTCGACCAGGTTCGGCGGATACTCCTTGCAGTCGGGACAAATCACCACCTCCGAAAGGTCATCCTCGAAGACCTTCTCTTCCGTCGCGGCACCGTTGGGGCCGAGCATCTTGGGTTCGTACGGCTTGGGCGTATAGATGTTGTTGAGTTCGTCGAAAACCTTGCGACGACGCTTGAGTTCCTTCTTTCTTCGCCGGAGTTCCTGACGCTTGTTGACTACCGCTTTGTGGGTGGGCAGATTCTCTTTCTCTTTCGTTGTCTTGCTGTTTGTCCAGAGGAGGTCGTTGGTAAGTTGGACGAAGAGCGGCGAATGCAGCTTGGCGGTGTTTCGGCGATCGGGTGGGTTTCGTCGAGGGAAGGAGGGACCGTCTCAAAGGACGATCGGGATTACTGCTTTTCGAGTCGAAAGACGAGTCTCGTTTCCGCGCGGGGCAGGAAGCACCGACGACGATGTAGACTGTTCTTTGTTGAACTAAAGGTCAAACTCGTTCAACGGGGGGTCGGCGAAGAAAGCGGCTGGATAAAGGCCTTCACTAGATAAATTCAAGGTGAGCCATGGTTTCCTGACTTGCGGCAGGAAGTTTTCCTCTCTCACCAATTAAGACGACTGTGACAGAGTCGCACGAGGAGGGAGAGAGGAGGAGAGGAAGAAAGCAGGCTCTTGATTGCCAGCCGACCGATTCTACCAGTGAAGGCGTCCGAGAGTTGTGGCGAACAAAGAACCCCGAGTCCCAGATCGTTGAGCAGTCGGCTCGAAGGTCGTGTGCGACGGTCGCAAAAATGCTCTACTCAAAAACGGCAGGCCGAGGGCGAGATGGTTTTCGAGATGCGTTTCGCGGCGGGTTGCAGACGATCTTCGTGGGGGCGAGCGAGCGACGTTAGTGGGTTGTAGAGGAAAAGAGTTGAGGCTCAGTTTCGGATTAACGACACAGCACTTTGGCCTTCTGCCTGGTGCTGCCGGAGATGAGGCGGCAGCGGATGACTCAGCTAGAGACCGCCTCGTTTCAGTGGTTGGTTCAGCGGCAGGCGCCACCCGTGGGGCTCAACTTCCCAGTTCCAGCCCCGAGGTCAGTGGTTTGTCAGCCGGGCTCATCAGGCAACTGACTGTGCACCTCGAATTTCTGGTCCACCGAAGCTTCCAGGCATCTTCAGTCACCACACTACAGTTTAATCAAGACATTGTTGGGACAATCGCATCTCTGAATATGTTCAGTGTTGGGTATCAATACAAATGAAAGAAGGTAACAAAATATACAAGCATGGCGATATCCATGCTCCGTCCAAAACCGACCCAACCACGCTATGCAACCCCATGAAATCACTGATACGCCTATAATACAGCGCGCCCTCTCCTGACGATCACTATTGCAAGTGAAGCGGAATATCAGACCCTCTCGACAGCGTTCGCAGATGCCTTGGTGATTCCCCGGCAGGGACGTAAATCGCCGGCATTGGCGGGGGTACCGGCTTCCGAATCAGCGGCGTCCGGACCGGCGACGGCGACCTGGATCGCGGGGGCAGCGGGACCTCCACCTCCACGCCGGGATGGGGCTCGGCGTACGGCCTTCCCAGCGAGGCAGATGACGAAGACTCCGAGTCGGATCTGGCCCTGCGTGCTTCGCTAGGCGCCCACCCGCTCCTCGAAGTCTGGTCGTGGTGGTGCGGGTCGTACAACGGCTCCGGTAGACGCTGGTGCTGCTGCATCTGCGTCTCTCCCGAGTCGGAATCTTCGTCGCTGGAGCCCCTACTGCCCGTCGACGGGGTCCGGCAGGCGAGGGACTTGCGGATCATGATGCTGCGCTGTAGCTCCTCCTCCTCGAGACGCTCTAGGGCGCTCAGCTTACGCCGGCGAGTGAACTCCTTGCGTGTGAGGTATGGATCTCTCTTACACGCCTCGCGGAACTGGCTGTTCTTTTTGCGGTCGAAAATGTAGAATAGTGCGGCCGACATGATGGCAGCTCCGCAGATGACGATTACAATGATAAGAATGGTTGTCGTATTAGTGGCTGGGGCAGACTCGTCGTTGCCGGGCGTGCCGCCGAGACCGAGGCCGCTATCTGCTTCTGGTGTTGGTGTTGGTGTTGTGTCTTGCGCTGCTTGTGCTCGTCTGAGGATGCTGGCGATGACAGGTGCCATTCTCCCTGACTTTATTTATATTGACGTGTGGTTATGAACCTGCTGGCAGCGGGCTAAGAACACAGAGCTCGTCCGCCCGTCGGTCTTGCCTTCGGCGTAAGGTAGGCGTGCAGAGCTTGTTGATGATGGTGCCGTTGTTAGTGTGTGCCGGCGCCGGCCTCCGTCGGTGCCAGCGGATCGGGTGTGGTGGGGGAGGGAAGGTGGCGTATGTAAGTGATGCGGTTCACTGACACTCCGGACGGCTGCACCCAAGCGATGATAACATGAACATGCCCTTGATAGTCGTTTGGCTCGAGCTTGCTGTCGATAGACGGACGAACGCGATTATGTGCTGATCTTGAAGAGTCCGTGTTGAGGAACAAGAGGGATGAGGGTCCTTAAAACTTGTTCCCCTCTTCAAGGCAGCGTGATCTTCAGCACCGCCGGGCGGATTGCATCCCGTTTCCCTTTGCGTCTTGGCTATCTTAGCTTTGGGAGATACCCATGGCGGGAGTGTGCATATTGCGGCGTGGGTAATTAGTAGACTACCTCGGAACGGAAAGAGACAAACCAAAAAAAGAGGGCAAGACTGGGAATAGTAGCACCAAGAGCAAGCGTAGGCAAGGCACAATGTCGTCGTTGGACCGCCGCAGACGCCAACTGAGCGCCCATCATTGGCTGCGCCATCGTCGTAGCCCCCATGTCCCGTAACGCAGAGAAACGAACCCGGTCTGCCGCCCGAACCAACAGAGGGCGTGAGTGAGGTGTGTGTGCAAATCGCCTCGACGCCGGATTGACTTTTGCTCTTCTCAAATTGCTGAAGATTGACGCAAATTGCAGGGTCCAATGTCGTGTCTGCCTGCTGCCTCTCTCATCTTGACTTGAAATGACTTTGGCTCGCCGGGCTTGGGATTAACTTCCCGGGCAATCCTGTCGTACTCATCTGCCTGGTGCTGTGGCCCTCGAAAGGCGTCGATCGGTCTTCGGGAGTGTGGCGGTTGACGTGAGCGAGCTGCGCGATTGTGTTGCAATTGGACCGCTGGGCGACCACCGTGTGTCACTGTCACCCAACTTAGACTCCACGATTCCCCGGTCCACGAATTGCCCTAATTAGGTGGCCTTGTACGGCTTGGTTAGCGCACATGGGCTTAGTGTTGCTCGGTGCTCGGTCATGAGTGGTGCGCGGTTGAACGAACCAACCGAACCTCCTGGGTTCCCCCAACGAAGGACCCGCGAGGCGGAGTTGGGAACCCCGGCCAGTTCATGTAAGTCGATGGAGGGGTTCAGGGCTGGCTGTAAGTCTGCGATCCATTTCCGTGTCCCCAGCTGCATCGCGAGGTTACAGCGATGGTCAACTGACCGAGACAAAGGGAGAGCTCGCAGATCTTGGTGCCAGAGGCCGTTGTCAGCACCGTCTTGATGCTGGCCTTGCTCGTAATGCCCATCACTCTTTGTCCTCTCCCCTGATCTTCTCAACGACTCGGTTAGCTTTTCGTCCTTACACAAAGGGCGGCCCAGTAACGGCTCCAGCTCCAGACCACGAGGGAGGCAAAAGATGCTTAAAGTCCGCTCGAAACGGGCGGCCAGGCTCCTGGTGGCAGTGAAGGTTTACTGCATCTCAGAACCTTCCCAATCTGCTCGGGGCGTAAGGTATGCCGCTATCCTTCGTCCCGTGCGCCGTTTCAACGGTGCATTCTTCCTATTGTTCAGGCAGCCAGGAACACTTTGTGACTCCTTCTCATGGACCGCCATATGCTGTACGAACGTCATCACCCGTAGGAGCCCTGTTCCGCGCAGAATAATACCGTTGGAAATGGTACGTCGGTGGTAGACACAGGATGACATATCGGACCGTGACTGGAGTTGAGGTACCAGATAGGTCTCGGACCCCAACTTAGGCTGACTGATGGGGCCATCACATCACCAGCACCAACGGCGACATTTGCTGACCATCTGAGTTGATCTTCGGCTCCACGGGTGGTGCCGCCGTCCCTTGCGGCGTTCATGGATGTGTGCTTGTCATAAACGAGCTGGTGTCTCTCCCGGCCCAATTTGGCAGCTGATTAACAACTCGCCGGTGCTGTGCCGCATCGTAGCGTGCGTGCTTGCGTGCCATCGACAGCGCCATCTGCAACCAAGGATGGGCTGAGCGGTTAGTGTAGTGGGGGAACGAGGCGGCGTTGACTCTTGGCTTGCTCTTGTGCGAGCTGATCGGGGCGTGTTGGTCCGGCGCATCGAGCGACTGGCCTGGCTTTTGGTCGAGTTTCTTCGAGGCGCACTCGATGCCTGATTTGAGAATCGATGCGGTTCGAAATGTTGTTTCTCGGTGCTGGTGTGCTTTTCCGAACTGCTTCCCAAGCTTCGCAGCACGTCGCAATGTGCAACTCAAATCCAAGGTTCGTAGAAGCGACACGCAAAATCGTCTCGTCTCTTCTTCCGAGCTTTGGCCTTGAGGCTGCATTCGGATGGTCCCCAGAAAGGCTCCTCGAATTACGATTTCAGGTGATGATTGGTCTGGTGCCTGAATGATTTGAATTGGGTTGTGATGAGATTGGCGGATGGTGTTGGTCTTGTCAAATTACGCCGCGTTGTAATTATCTGGTGCAAATTCAGGTCTGCGGGCTGTTCTGGGCCGCTACGGTATGGCGCCTGGCGCCAAGTGCGAAGCGGCTAGGAGTGGCAGAACCTCCTCCTGTCATCTCAACACTAACTAACAACTTCACAGGTATAGGCGGGGGTGCCTGTAGATCTACAAACCAGCTTCACAGGGCCGTCGACCCAGCCGCAGAGTGCTTGGCTGGGTAAGATCTCATCGCCTTGATCTTCCCACTTTGCCCACGAATCCAAATTGATTTGACATTGCGAGCACTTTAGGGACCACAACCGAAGACATCGCATCCGCGGCCAAAGACGCTTGCAGAACGAGGCCGAAATTCTGAATCGTCACCAGTCCAAGACCTCGTTCCTCCGCCTCGTAATCGGCCATCTACCGGTTCAAGACTTTTGGAAGGCGAAATTCTCACCGAGTCCCAGAGGAAGCGATCGACTCGCCTCGAGATACAACATATGGTCAGGTGCATCATCGACGTCAGGTTCTCCGTAAGGACGGCATGGTCCAAATGAGTATGTAACGACATGCTTTTACCCATCTTACATGTATTTTCTCTTGATTCTAACCAGCCTCATAGACGTAAAATAGCGACCAACGTTTCTCGGAAGTCCAAGTCGGCGACTGCCGTCCACGAAGATTCCACGTTCGCCAAGGAGGACCACCTTATCGACGACGCACGAGGCCCGGAAGCCATGCTCCAGCTTCACTCAGACACGCTAATGGATCCTTGGTCATGTCTCGGAAAACATTTCGACTGAATGTTGTTGGTGTTGCCGCCGGCCTGCACTATTTCTAGGTCCTAGTCTTGTTCACGGGGGTGATGACTACAACTTCGACTTCGGCTGGTAAGGAGTCAGACCGGAAGATCATGATAAGGACTTGATGATTCTGAAGCGCACGTGCCATTATTAGGACCACGTTCGCCATAGATGGAAAACTTTCTCGGTCCAGAAAGCTTGGAGATCATCCTGTTCAAGACTCGGCAAGGGCTCGGGGTGAAAAACGTGGGAGATGTCCATTGCCCCTCTTGGATGCTTCACTACTCGACATGGGTTGTATTGTCAGTCAGCCAACCGTTGGCCCAAAATCCGAGGTCCAACAAGGAACACCGAGCGTCGTGACGGGGGCGAAGGCGTGTAGTGGAGCTTGAAACTACTCAATTACCCAGGTCGCACTCGCCATATCGTCAGGCTCACTTAGTCCAACAAGTCGATGTAGAACGCGGCGACCAAGGCCTTTAAACAACTCGCCACTTCCGTAGGAACATAGGATTGAGGTTCACGATATCGGCATAGAAGGTGGCCGGGATGTCTTGGAGAAGGATTCCACCCAGAGAGAACATCGTCTTAGACGTCTCCCAACACACGTCTTACCGGGTGCTATAATGGGGGGCCTATGAGCTCCGTGGGATCTCACGTGTACCAGCAGGTAGATGGGTCTTTGAGAAAAACAGCGGCATTAGGGACGTGAAAATGAACATATGTGAAAGGCAGAGAGGTTGAGGCGACGCAGCATCGATTTTCAACGGCGTCCACTTGGATTCCGGGCTCAGTCGTGGTTGCAAATTGCATGTTTCGCGTGTTACCCGGCTCTACGTCAGATGTTGAATACGAAGCTAGAAAGAAGCTGTATACACGGAATTAAGCGGCAGTTTTGCCAACATGATCACTGCTTGCCAGCTTGATGTAGATCGTGACTCCTTTGATCCGACTGACAAGAAGATAGCGCTGCTCGAGACCGGAAACTCAGACATCCGTGTGACTATTCGTCAATTTCACCGGCGGTATTGATCACGACCTTGCTTCCTTTTGATTTCAGAAGCCGGTTCATCAGTATTCTGATGGGACTCGTTAATGTGATGGTGTTCTGGTCAGACAACGTTGACCTATCCCAAATGAGAAGCAGAGAACCCCGCCATGCTCAGCAAGCCACCGGATGAGGCTCGCCAGATTCAGAAGGCTACTGCGCGATGCTCGTCACATTCAGCAAGCCACCAGACGAGCCTCAAGGGCGAGGCCGCGCAGATCTGTCAATGTCTCGGTTTACAGCTTTCAGCTTCGAATATTCAGCCATCATCACAGGTCTCAGTTACAATAAGCGTCGTGAATGGAGTGCCAAGAACACGGCATTACCGCCCGGAGTTTCGAACCCGACAACATCTTGATGACTCTATGAGCAGATGATGCTTTCCCATTGCTTCAAGATGCAATGATACTATTCTCAATAGAATCTCGCAAGAGTCCCTCGAGTATATAAACCAGATCTCCGTCCATCCAGTCCAACCTCCATGCAACAAGACAATCCCATCTCATCCCATCCCATTCCCAATCACCACTCTCACAATCCCATCCAACCCACAATGGCTTCCACCATCGCCGACGGCCAAATCTACGCCGTCATGAACATCGCCTCCAAGACGGTCCTCGACCTGGACGACGGCAAGGGCGGCAACAACGTCAACGTCTCGGGCTGGGACCCGGCGTTCCCGACGGCGGCCCAGAACCGCCTCTGGAAGTTCGAGCGGCACGGCGACTTCTGGAAGCTCTTCAACTACAAGTCCGGCACCGCGCTGACCATGCAGAACGGCGCCTCGGGCAACGGCACCCCCGTCGTCGGCTCGGAGAGCTTCGACTCCGATCGCCAGCTGTGGCGGTTCGCGCTCAACTCCGTCTCGAAGAAGCCCCCTTTCTTCAGGTGAAGTTTTGATGTCTTGTTTTGGACGGGATCACCGGCTGACTGTTGGAAGAATCACGAACAAGGAGTCGGGCACTGTCGTCGACCTCAACGACGGTGGTTCAGGCAACGGGTCCGTCACAATCCCCCCCCCCCGGAATGTTTCTCCTGGCCAATTGGCCAACATCTTAATAGTACGAAAATTCAAGGTTGGGACAACAACACCAACACCAGAAACCAGGAGTGGGTTTTGGTGTCGATTACTCCTTAGGCGGTCTCGAACTATATCATTATCTCTCTACCCAGTGTTCTGTCTACTATTTCTTTCCCCGATATATTACAAGAGGATGCGTAGGTTTGGTGCCGTAGAAGCTTCCTACTAGGCCTCTAAAACAATGCGAATCAATATCACTTACATCTGAACTCATATGTGCTGGGTGTCGACTGAGACCTGGCTTCGGCTGCTAAGCCGCCTGCCCGCTTACCGTCGATCATGTCAGACAAAAAACCGTCCAGGAATGGCTCATTGTCGCAGGGGGTGAAGTCGGCGGCACAGCAGCGCGGCTGTGTACGATTATCGACATACTGCATGCGGCCGTGGAAGCGACGGACCGCTGCGCGATTGTGCGCGTCAAAAAAGCACCCCCGGCCAGGGCGATGTATGTCTGTCATATCTGCGTTGAGGAAGCCCGTTACAGGGCCAACCGCCAACAACAAAATGACATGACGACATGCCGCTCCCCCCGCGCCGCCTAGGCGCACTTTCAGCGACTTATTCAGGACCGTTGGCCGTTGGTGCGTGGAAACGAGAGCGGTTCCCCTCTCTTAGATCTGCACCTTTACCGCTCAGCCACGCGCGAGCGGCTGCGCTAGAGAAAATGCCGCGTGATGTGACGAACGTCTTGGACCCCGCTGTTTCTGCCGCAGTCCCGCCGGGAAGGATTGACGAGGGTGAACAGGAGAAACCATCGTTTGTCCCGTCATTTGCGACAGGTTGTTGGTAGCGGTCGAGAGCTGTGATGGGTGAAGTTGTGAGGCGTAGCTTCATCTTATTGCAAGCTGCGAGATATCCACAATAGGTTCGTGATGTTCCAGGGAGGACCCTGCCACAGCCCCCGGATCCCAGCAGCTCCACTAAGCGACCTGCCAAATTAGTGTGATGGGTTGTGTCACAGCGCGCGATTTCGACGTTTTCTCGCAGCTGAGCAGTGCTGGTCTGCCTACAGATAGGTTTCACAACTTGAAAGCTTTATTGTTCTGGGTATCATAGCCTCTTGCGGCCTTCTGCCGCCGCATTCTCCATCTCATATATACCGTATCTTGAAGATGCCTCTGTGACATACTCAAGACTTATGCAAGACTTATTCACAAATGGTAAGGGCCTTCGTTCCTGATGATGTAAATCTCTCCAACGAGGACCGTGCAGCCGACGGTCATTGCGATGGCGATGATGGGGACATTGACGCGCGCGAACTCCATCCTGCGGACGTGAATGTGCTTCCTCTCGAGGATGTCACGCCACAACAAGCCTGCCAACGATGCACTAAATGCAGTACTGAATGCGCCGTAGTTAACGCCGAGCGCCATGCTGTAAACGGTCGCCCAAAATGTCCGATCGCTGATGGGATCGCTGCCGGGTTGTCTGTGTATCTCCTGCCACGCCTGGATGACGCGCGACAGGAGGATTGTTGTGCCGATGTTAGTTCCTGCAAACTAAGCAGCCACCACAGTTAGCATGTATGATACGGAGCTGGACAATCTCGGGCAGATACTCACATTGCAGAGGATCACCGAGAGGAACCCCATGCCGCCGATGGCACCGATGGTTCCCGTCTTTTCCACCCAGTGATCCCATCCGTATGCGAAGACCGGAACCCAGCCCTTGGTAACCAATGCTTGAACCAACACGAACATGGCAAACGCAAACGGCACCAGAGCGAAGGGTAGATGCGATACCACGGCCATGACGGTGGGGAATGTCTCCTGCGACCATCGGTAGCCATCTTTGCACAGAGACACGAGAGTCGCCTTGTGCTGCTTCCGGGGAATGGCTTGGTTCACATCGGGTCGAGGTCTTTCTTCAAAATCTGTCGACTGTTTCTCATTCACGGGGGTGTTGATCCCCGAGATCAAGATGCCCTGCGGTGGTTCATCTGGATCGTTTCGATTTCGAAGCCCGTTTGGTTTCTCGATAGCAGTTGATTCACTGCTCGGTGGGCGACTGTTATCTGGATTTCCTACGGCTGTGGACATTGAAGGGTCCAGGCGAGGGCTCGATGCGGGCGTCGGAGATATGCTTCCTTCTTCCACAGGACCAGCGGGCGTCAGGGTGAGCAAAGGCGTGAGGCCCCTACCGGGACTTAGAGGCGGACTTTCGTCGTCCGGGCTCTTGAGCCCGTCCTTGGCGTCGGCGTCGGCGTCGCCATGGGCATCGGCATCTTGGACATGGATTTCTGGCCATGCCTCACTTGACCGCCTCTGTGCGGTGGAGAACATCTCTGTGCCACATTCAGTGGATCTTCGTCCTCCTCGAGTAATAGTCCTTCCGGTTCTCGCCTCCTCTCTCAAAGCTCTCTCAACCCGAGCACGTTCGAGCTCCTGTCGACCTTTGCGAGCAATTTCTCGTGTCTCCTCCCGGTTGATCCATCCAAATGCAAGGTCCCAGCACAGCATGACAAATGCGGCCGGCAGGGTTACCCAGAAGACTTGAAAGTGCTCATCGTTCTTGGTCTTGACACTGGCAGCGTTGATTGCCAGGACCGTTATGAGGGTCACTGCCATGATGAAGGCGCCGAACGCCGCGCCTTTTTTGTCGAGAAAGGGGTTCATGATCTCGACAAGAGATAGAAGCTTACCCTCGTTCCCGTTTGTGTTGTTGTCTTCCTCATCCTCAGCCGCCGTTCCTCTCGCGTTAGGAATATTGGGATTGACGGGTTTCGACTTGGCCTCTGTTGGAAGCTCGCGCATTTCGATAGAGACGGGGATGAGGCCCTCGTTCGCGAAAACGATGTACAGCAAGAACGGAAACAAGACCAGGGCCGTGATGACGACGGGAACAACCATGTTGGCGGTATAGTCGATAAATTTGATGTTGAAAGCACCAGCAAGCACGAGGTTGGTGGGGTTTGACGAGACCAGAATCGCCGAGGCGATGTTGGCTATGGCGAACTGTGTGAAGATCCAGGCTCTCGGGTGCTTGATATTGTTGGACACCCGTGTCATGTAGGCCAGGAAGGCCGTGCCAGAAAGAATAATAGGATCGTTGCCGATGAAGCTGCCAAGTCCAAAGAAGAAGGCGTACAGGTAGAAGAATAGCCTGTGGCCGACTTTTCCTCCCCACTGCAGAACTTTCAGAGCCAGGTATCGAATCAGACCTGAGGCGTCGATTGATATGGCGATGTAGGCAAGAGTGATGAAGAAGACCATGATGTCGAGGGGAAAGATGCCGTTGTCGCCGAGAGTGCCATCCTTGACTTCCTTCTTACCGATAGCGAGGATAGCGATGAGGAAGAGGTCTGCAATGAGAGGTGCGGTGACAGAGTTCATGGGAAACCTCAGCCGAACGAACTTCGTGGCTTCTTCTCGATGCCCATGGCGAGTGCTTTTTTCTCTGGGCGAAATCACTCTCAGGGCGCTCAGGGAATCCAGAAAGGCGTTTGAGAGTCGCACCGGGACGTAGACTGGGATGTGAAAAGGAAAAAGAACGACGATATCTTTACTTCCGTGTCAGTCGTGGAATCTCAGACGTGGTGAAGCCTGACGAAGATACAAGGCCGGATAGATGCATATACTCACTGGCGAAGAAGAAGATAATGAGGGTGACGATAGACCTCCACTCCTTGATCTGGTCGGTGCCAATGTCGATGTTGGTGTCCATCGTGGCGATTGAACTTGTGAGAGGGTTCAACCACCACGAAATGACGCAGCTATGCGTAGTTTACGGACACAAAGCTGGGATAAGGCTGGAATCTTTCGTGTGCCACGCCTGTACATGTCGAGGAGGATTGCAGGATTGGTGACAGCTGAAGGGTCGAGATCAGGCTCCGGGGTGGAAAGAAAAGAAGAAAACGGGAGCACGAATGGCGGCAGGTGCCCGCTGCGGTCTGGAATGTCAGCCCTAGCGCTTTCCTAGGTAATGAAACCTGCAATTCTTCATTGGACTGACCCCGCTTTTTGTTGAACCACGGACGGCACTGAACGGCTCGTTTTCGCGTTATTTTACTGGTTCTAACTAATTCCACTCTGATGCAGGCTTTTTACAGCCAATTATCTCAATTCCAGTGCCAACTCGGGTGCTCATCTTTCCCTCGTCCACTACCGCTAGTTTCCTTTCCCGTTCATCGCAGTAAGCACAACTCAACGCCCGACGGATACTCGCAGGAGCTAAGCTGCATCATCGATATGCTGCGCCACCTCCGGAATTGTCACCCAGTGTCTCTGGCTTGTTTGCTGCTCGCCCCGGAGTAGCACGCCCGCGCTGTTGCCTCGAATGAGCCGCACCCGGTCACGCGAGCACTTGCTCGTGGCGGCGCTCTGTTCCTGAAAGCTTGGAATGGGACGACGGCAAACTTCTCCGCTCTATCATTTCTCTGGGGGAAAGAGGGACGACTTGACGTCTAAATTGCCGGTCGATTCCCGGCCATTGGGTTCCCTATCTTTGCGAACTCGACATCTGGGCGGGAGTGGAGTTGTCCGTAAGCTTATTTCCAACCTTACCCGGCCTCGGGTCGGCTTCCATCCATGGCGCCCCTCTCCGCGACAGCGCTGCTTCACGCCGTCCTCAAGCGTGGAGATACCACCGGTGTCGGTTCGTCTTGCGACGACATCGACGGTCCTTGTCTTGAAGTCGCTTGCGCCTGGCCGCTGTCAGGTCAATATGGTTTCGGTCAGCGAATCTTGTAAGTGAAGCTTCTCCACTCTGGCAAATCGGCAACTCAACCGACGGAGGAACTTGGCAAATGCTTGTACCCACCACAGTAATGGGACGAAACATATCTAGCGCAAAGGCTAATCGGGAGACGTCAGATACTACATCCTCGTCGTCGTCTGTGTTGTTGCAAGGAAGGAGGAATGGATAAGGGCTGTCTGTTTGGCCGCTGCTTTGCTCGTCCCAGCTGTTGCGGCCATCCACGGCATCGTCCTGGCGTCATTACATGTTGATGGTAAGTCTTAGACTGAATGCACAGCACAGCCAGTGTTCACCACTGACGGTTTCATGACCCAGGTGCCACAGACATGGACATCTACGGGGCCTTACAGTTCTGCTCCATTGGAATCTTGGCGGCGCCAGTCACCGTGAAGTTGTCTTCGACATTCTTCTACGACCCTGGAAGGAACATCATCTTCCTCTGGACCGGCCTCATTCTAGCTGGTGAGCACGACATCCACCCCACCCATCCAAACTCACCGTCTGACTCTTCTCAGGGCTTTTGAGCTTGGCGGTAGAGTTTTACCGCTCTGACACCCATCCGTGCACCGAAGCTGGTCTGGGGAGCCCAATCCCCTCGAGTGCCGGACGCTTTCCGTATGAACAAGGCAACAGGTGTAATCTCACGTGCTCCCAAGACGATGGCCCTACTTCACCTCTACGACTTGGCGCAGCAAGCGAGATCTATGTCGTCCCCAAGCCGAGCATCCTCCCCTTCGGCATGGCCATGTTCCTCGCAGCTGCGGAATGTGTGCCGGCAATTCTCTCCCTGGTTTCCATGTGGAACAAGATATTGGAAATTAATTGGAAAGCACGACGAACCGGCACTTCGTCAGAGAAACCCCGGTCGGAAGACAATGATGCTATCCCGGGAGCAAACGGAGCTACGTTTGGAAGCATGAAAGCCGTCAACCAAGCTATCCGGTCAATGTTGAGTGCTGTCGAGGTGCCCGTATTCGGGGGAGCTTGGCTGGCCGTGCTCATAATCGGCGAGATAAACTTTTGGAGCCCTCAGGTGGACTACCACACAGAGCCCATAGGCAGTATCGGTAAGCAGAGGCGTCCCCTTTCGCGCCTTCAAGCTGACTCCTTCAGGCCAATGGGGGACCATTCTCGGAACCGGAATGGCCGGGCTAGGCTCGCTCTATGTGTGGCTGGCGGAGAGCAGGAAAGAGACTGAAGAAGATTCCGAACATCACTGCAGTTGTAATCACAGTCATGATCACCATGAGCGACTTGACGACGAAAACGGCGAGGTGGATAGCTCTCGAACAAGCACGTCACATCGAGAGTTCCAAGACCGCAGGCCTGGTTCGGAGGGAGCGATATCTATCCCCCCATCAGAGGGTGAGGGGCAAGAAGCCCGCCGGAAAATCGCCAATTTTCTAGGGAAAGTCGGCAATTATTTCGGCAACCCAGCAAAAGATCCCTTTGGTGCCGGCGACTTCAAGAAGGGAGAGTGGCCGAGAATTCCGGGAGAGGCTGGTCGCAACGTTTTGATGGCCGAGCACGACGACACATATAGTATCATGGAAGTCGAGTCACGAGAATCTCGAGAAGACGGCTCGGGCAGTGACGTTGGCTCGGTGGCACCTACACCGGGATCGCCCACGTCTCCAGGTTCACCTACGTCGCCGCCATCATCGTTCCCGAGGCCTCCCAGACGGCATGCTAATACTCTACCATCCCGCCACTCGTCTTTTGAGCAACCGAGACCGGATGCAAATGCGTCGAGTGATCCAAGGGGCCGCTCGCAGGTGCGGCGTGCGACTTTAGAAGTGCCACCTTCTGCGCATCACCGGTTCTGATTCTAGAATTTGGGAGCATATAGATGGAAACGTACAAAAATTTAAGGCGTTCATGTATACCTAGTAATCTCGCAGCTTCGGTATGGACACAATACAACGAAGCCTTATGTTATATGCAAATAACGGAGATTTACCTGCTGAATCAACTCAACGTGACTGAAGGAATGGAACGCTGCAAAACCCACGAACAGGAGAACGTTCCCAGATTCCCCAGAAAACCGCAATGAATGGACCGTGCGCAATTACATAAGATCTTCGTTGTTTACCGGGATAATGCCGAGGCTTCTGCGGCGGAATCCCCGCCATCGGCCGGAGCTCGACCGGGGTCGGAGCTTCTAAGCAAACACGCCGCTCTGCCGTCCTCAACCTCCAATTGACTTTCCGGTAAAGCCATACATATCGGTAGAAGAAATCATGGCTAGCCCCTTTTTCAAAACTTCTTTCCGTGCAATTTCAAGGTCTGCGCGGCTCACCGGGCGGCCGTCACGCATACCGCAGGCATGGCGTCAATACTCCTCAGTTCCGAACAGCAAGCTGCCGCTTGACGGGTATCGGGTGTTGGACATGACGAGAGTTTTGGCTGGAGTAAGACACCCAGTTGAATTGGTATGAGAGTTTTCATGTAATTGACACGATGCTAGCCATACTGCACTCAAATCCTGGGCGATCTCGGGTACGGCCTACGAACCTCTTGAGGCGCATCTCACTGACATCATCAGAGCTGAGGTCATCAAGGTCGAGCATCCAACAAGAGGCGACGACACGCGAGCTTGGGGTCCTCCTTACGCAACCTACAAAGCCGACTCAACCCAACAAGGACCTGGTGAATCTGCATACTTCCTTGCAGTAAGCCTGCCTTCTTTCATGCCATGAGCCGGACTAACCCGACCCAAGGTGAACCGCAACAAAAAGTCCCTAGGCCTCAACTTCCAACACCCAGACGGCATCGACATACTCCACAAACTCGTATCAAAGTGCGACATCCTCGTCGAGAACTACCTCCCAGGGACCCTCAAAAAGTACAACCTCGACTACGACACCCTCCGCGCCATCAACCCGGGCCTCATCTACGCCTCGATCACGGGCTACGGCCAGACGGGTCCCTACTCGGACCGCGCGGGGTACGATGTCATGGTCGAGGCCGAGTTCGGCCTGATGCACATCACGGGCAGCCGCGACGGGCCGCCGGTCAAGGTCGGCGTCGCCGTGACGGACCTCACGACGGGCTTGTACACGAGCAACAGCATCATGGCGGCCCTCCTCGCGCGCGCCAGGACGGGCAAGGGCCAGCACATCGACGTCGCGCTAAGCGACTGCCAAACGGCCACGCTCGCCAACATCGCGAGCAGCTGTCTCATCAGCGGGAAGAAGGATTCGGGCCGCTGGGGCACCGCGCACCGTAAACCTTTCACTCAACCGCTCACTTTAGCACATCGATACTGACTAACCCCCGCGTAGCATCAATCGTGCCATACCGCTCCTTCAAGACCAAAGACGGCGACATCCTCTTCGGCGGCGGCAACGACCGCCTCTACGGCATCCTCTGCGACGGCCTGGGCCGCCCGGAGTGGAAGGACGACGCCAAGTACAAGACCAACGCGCAGCGCGTGGCCAACCGCGCCGAGCTCGAGGCGCTGATCGAGGCCATCACCTTCACCAAGACGACGGGGCAGTGGCTGAAGGTGTTCGAGGGCCGGGGCATGCCGTACGCGGCGGTCAACGACGTGCAGGGCACGCTGGACCACGAGCACACGCGGGCGCGGAACATGGTGGTGGAGATGGAGCACGGCGAGTGCGGGCCGATCCGGATGGTCAACACGCCTGTCAAGTACTCGGAGAGCGAGCCGAGCGTGAGGACGGCGCCGCCGACGCTGGGGCAGCATACCGGCGAGGTGCTCGTTGAGCATTTGGGGCTGTCGGAGGAGAGGATTGGGGAGTTGAAGAGTGGTGGTGTTGTGGGATAGGCGTGGTTGTGTTAGAGGACGGTTGTTGTCGACGTGAATCTGAGAATATGAGCATCATGGCTTCACAGTTTTGACCGTAATACTCCTCGCCACCTCTATGAGTGCCATTGCTGCCCCCCGGTAGCTCTAGTGTTGCCGTTGTTATCCGTTGTCACTACAGAAGTAGTCGATCAGGATTCAGAAATGATTACTGCGTACGGTGTATAGGTACATGTGTCACAGCATGACTCCTGCCTTTCACTGCAACTTTGGCCCGTCCCGAGGTGCTCACCGACACTGACCGAAGGTGAGTCCGTGCGACAAGCTCTGTCCGACGATCACGTGAAAGTCACGCGACATTTTCCGTTTTTGACATGCACTCACCACGTCCTTCCAGCTTCATTCGAATTTCCGTGTACTCTTTCTACCTTAACACGGGCACTTTACGGTGCTGTTGTCTCGATATTTTGTGTGTTTACTGTTGTCCGAAAAGCTGCCACTTCGTATCGCGCCGATTCCCCAGATTCATCCCGGAACACAGACACGTTTCCCGCTAGTGAGCTAGCAAGCAACCCTTCACATCGCGATGGAGAACGGCAGCATGTTCGCGTCTTCCGGGCCTAGCACACGTTTCGGGGAGGAATCCGGATCAGGAGAGACCAATCCAGACAGCGTTTATTCCCAGCCGGCGGAGCGGCCGGGTATCACTGCCGCTCGATCTGATCAAGCCATCTTCAAGACTCCCGTAGTCTTTAACGGCCAAACAGCTGGCCATGCACCTTCTACCCCGTCACGATACCACCAGCAATTCTCCGCGACGACGCAGCTGATCCTAAGTCGGATAAAAAACGGCTCGGGATCCAGTTCCTCGGCGACCCCATCCGACTTTTCCTCGGCTGCACTCCCGACCCCGGCAAAGGCGACGTACGAGGATGTTAGGCGCAGAGTCGTTCAGAACCTGGTTACCACGCCCACGGTTGCCATGCCCCAGACACCCGCAAACAAAACCGGCACACAGCCCTTTAGAAACCTCAACAGCCCGCCCTCAGCTACTTCACCTGCAGTCGGAGGCAAGAGGAAGCGAGGGGTCGAGGACCACGACGCCAGACGAAATGCGACACGCTCTGCCCCCACAGCCGAGCCCGCGGTCGTTCTCCCCCCGGCTCCGAAGCAGCCGCCAAAGAGGAGACGCATCAAGGATGAGACCAAGTGCAACAAGTGCCAGCGCACCTCTTACACGGAGGCCAACGTCATCATCGCTTGCGCTTGCGGCGAGGCTTGGCATCAACTCTGCCATGAGCCCCAGATCACGGAGGATACTGCCCGCAACCGCGCGTCCTTCAAGTGCGGCACCTGCATCCAGGAGGATAAGGACCAGGCGGCGTACCAGGTCGAGCTTGCCAAGTGGCGCGAGCTGAAGCAGGAGCAGGCGGGCTTGAAGAAGCAGCAGAACGAGGTTGCGAGAATGCGAGAGAGAAGGCTTGCAAACCTGCCGGGGTTTATCAAACCCGAGCTGGTCGGCTTCGAGGCGGGAGATGCCAGCATGGAGGCTGTAGGTCATCGACCCCGAGGCAGCGTGGAGCACATGCTGACAAACAACAGAGACGAGAATACTTCGACGATCTTCGCAGAACGGATTTGATTAACCTTTTGTCTTTCAGCGACCAGATCAAGCCCGGCCTCCTGGTAGACATCCTCACCTCGGTCTCCAAGAAGCACCCGGACCTCCCCATCTTCAGCGCACCGGACTGGGCCCAACCTAAAGTGGTAGCGAGCCCCCAGACGAACGTCCTTAAGAACGGCACCGGAAACCAGCTTAGGTCCAAGGTCTCCAAGCAGCGCTCAAAGACGGGCGGCGTCCGCAAGATCCTCAAGACCGCCCCCGCCGCGGCCAACGCAGAGGCCGCCGAAGACGAAGACGACGACGTCTTGCCCCCCTCGTGGTCCAAAGCAGGTCAGGGTCTTTACGCGACGCTGCCGCCGGAGAAGGAGGACGTCCATTACTTGGTCGACGATAACGACGAAGAGGGCTGTAGTCATTTCTTTGTCAACGCGCTGGGGAAGCAGATCACGGAGCCGATGATGGGATAGGATCCCAGCGGACGCCAGGATGAGGCACCTGTTAAGACCACGGGCGACGTCCAGACGGCTCACGCGGCGGGTTGGCCGCTGAGCACGGCCGAGAACCGCGAGCACACCAGAGACGGCGAAGGCAGCAGCAAGGGACCCGAAGACACCGACGAGGGTGACAGCAGCACCGACGGCAGCAACAAGGGGAATGACGGGAGGAACCCCAAGGCACCGGTGAGGCCGAGAATTATCCTAAAGGTCAAGGGAAGCAGCAACTCCGCGGCCGCGCAGAATCCGACAGCCGCCGGACCTGCAGTCATCCAGGTCAAGACCGGCGGCAACAAGCCCAAGGCCCCCAAGAAGAGAAAGACGTCCGCCGGCTCCCCGGACAGCCCCCCGGCCATCGAGGCCAACGGCACCAAACCCAAGGCTCAACAGAAGAGGAAGACTTCCGCCGGCTCCTCCGCCGATAAGAGAGGTAAGACCACGAAGCGGGGCAAGAAGGCACCCGCCGCGCCCGCCGTCCCTGCGCAGACGTCCCCCGCCCAGCCCCGTTTCCGTACGACGAGACGGAGTCTGGAAGCCTCGGCGTATGTGCCGGAGTATACTTCTTCCAAAGCGGCGCGGGATCTGGAGCCTTGGTTCTGAGGGGGGTTGGTGTTTGTTGATGACGAACGGAGGGAGGGCGTCAGAGAGAGCAACTGTATGAGTATCGGTAGACAGACAGGGATGGCATTGTAGATTCGATACACTAATAGCACAGCGGTATTATCGCTTCACCTGGTGTGTTCCTTTCTGGGGCGGACTTATTCACATCCATCCTCGGGCAAGTCAGCAGCAGCACATGATAAAATGAGGCTGGAAATGTGTGTAGACTTACTGCTGCGACGACGGCAACGATAGCAATAACATACCAGTAATAGGCTGTTGACTGCCTTAGGGTGTGTATGATTCCCCCCCGTTTCCCGTTTCTTTTCTTTCCTCGAGGATCGAACTGCCGTGAGTTACACGTCGCGTATGTATAAGACAGATCAATATAGAGAACCCCACGACTCAAGGCATGAACAAGACACACAATTGACAGCTGCTCTTCGTCGCAACGACCCCACGTTTCCGAAGCCCGCATGACCATGACTCCATACCCAAAAACTCCAGACGAAAGCCGCATAATCCATCATCCCAAGGTTTATCAATCATCCCATCAAACAACAATCGCGCCATTCGTCTCAATGCATCGGGATGGAGATTACTTGTTGGGATGTTTTGTTCATTATCATTACGTAGTATAGCTTACGTCTACCTTCATTAATTTTCTTTCTTTTTTGGTCGGGGCTGGGGGGCTACGCGCTACGCCGGCCTCATGACGGCCTCGGGCGGCGGACTCAACCCCGCGGTCCCCGTCCCGCTGCTCGCGACGGAGTCGACGCTGAAGCTGATCCCGCTCACGCTGTTCTTGACCCTCCGCACGCCCATCCTTACCGGTAAGTCGACCGTGTTCCCCTCCTCCTCCGCGCGCGCCGGCCCGCGCGCGGCTTCCACGTCGACGTCCGCGACGCTGGTCTCCGGAGCCCCGCCGGCGCTGCGCAGACGATGCGCGCCCGGGCCCGGGGCCGGTCTCCTCCTCCTCCTCCTCCACGTGAACAAACGCTTCGCATCTTTCGCGTACCGCCTGACCTCCTTGGAAAGCCAGTGGCGGCAGAGCACGACGAATAAGAGATTCCAGAGGCCGAGGCCCCAGAGGAACATGTAGGCGAGGACCCTGCCGTAGGAGTCGGACATGCCCCAGTACTCGAAGTCGGGGGCGAAGACGTCGCCGCCGAAGGCGATGTAGACGGCGAAGACGGCGATGTAGCCGAGGCCGAGGACGAGGCGGAGGATGAGGGCCCAGCCGGGCCAGGGGTCGTGGGCGTGGACTATTGAGCGGGCGTCGAGGAGGATGTCTGTGGAGAGCATGATTATGAGGGCTACCGCCGCCGGGCTGTTGTCATTGTTAACATTTTGAGTCAACAAGAGTGAGAGTTGAGATGGAGATGTACCCTGTGCGATATGATAGCGGAAACGGCACGTTATACAAGAACCACGACATGATCCATAGCAAAATGCTCGCGGCCGCGACGTGCAGCACGTCGTTGGCGATCTGGGCGCGGAGGAGCCATCGTTTGAATTGCCGGGCTTGTCGGTGGTTCGGGCGTCGAGCGCGCCGGACTCTAGTCCGGGACCGTGGGGGAGGCGGTATCGTGAGCGGTGGTGGACGGTGGGGGCGTTCCATTGTTTTGGTGTGTGTGTTTGTTGTTGTTATGTGAGTGGTTGGTGAGATGTAATGTTGATTTCCTCACGCCAATCGTCGTTTGAAGAATGAGAGAGGCGATTAACGGGCGGCGGCGGGGGAGAGTGAGGAGCAGCAAGGTTGGAGGGCGGTCTTCAGCATGTTCCCTTTCTCGCGTCCGATTATTGGAAAGAATTGGTGTTTGATTGAAATGCTGGTTGCTCCGTCGCTTCGGTTTTGGAGAGAAATGTGTTATCGAACTCGATGTCCCGGCATGCCAGTGACGTTTTGTTGTGAAGGTCGAAAGGGAAATGAGACCGAAACAAGAGACGGACGGGAAGGGCTAGAGAGAGACAAGAGGTGAAAACAAAATAGAAATTAGAGATAAAAATAAGACCTGGGGCCCGATGCGGCCGATGTCTCAGGCCGGGAACTAAGAAGACGTGTGTGAGTGTGTGTGTGTATGTGGTGTGTGGTGTGTGATATGAGGCAAGGCAAAAGAATTAAGGTAGGAAACCTTGAAGAGGGCTGGAACGAGGATGAGATCAGAGGAGGAGAGATGGAGTAGGGGAAACGCAACGGCGCAGTCGCAGACGGGCGTGTCGCGGGGTGGGATTGTGGACGTGAGAGGCAGACCGTCCGGAGTTGGTGTGCAGGCCGTTTTCGTTTTCAGCTGAATCGGCGATCATTCGTCGGAGGTTGGATGGGATGGGAGGGGAGCTAGGCCGGGGGTTTGGATTTCGGACGGAATCGACGTGGGTATTGATGAGATGACGGACGGCCGGCGGGACGAGACGATGAGGGGATGAGAAGCGATGAGGAGCACGGGATGAGATTGTATGTATTTGTGATGTGTATGCTGCCGCTGCCTCTTCAACCGACGACCCGCGGAGTGAATGACTCAACAAAGAAAAGGAAGGGAAGAAATTCAGGAGATTGGGCCGGAGGCTAGAGAGGAAGAAAAAAATGCTTGATCTTTTGAAGGCTTCCAGATAACCAAGTCTTGGCTTTTCGGGGGGGCTGGTTTGACGATGCAGCATGCAACAAAGCATCAGGTTGCTGCTTCCCGGATGCAGGTTCTTGGCTGTGGGCTTCGTCCAATTGGCCCCGGCGCAGATCAAGCTGGGAGCCCCTGCAGATTCCTCCGGCAGTGAGCTCCGTCCGCACCACAGGGCCTTAGCTTGCCACAGAGACCATCTCCAGCGGGGTCTGTCTGCCAATTGGGGGTCGTAAATGGCCCGGCAGCGCCCTGGAACCTGCATTCTGAAGTGCCGCCAAGCACTTCTCGTCCATCGTGGGGTCGTCGCAGGGGGTCCTTACGGAGTCCTGGTGCTGGGGCTACACTAGGGCCCGGTGCTGATGCTGATGCTGATGCTGGTGCTGGAGAAGGAGAAGGGTCGGACGAGTCTCAGACCAGATGAACATCAGCACTGCGCAGTCTGATGCTCGTCTTGGAATTTCGCCCTTGTTCTAGACGAAATGCCCGCGACTGATCGAGGCCAGGCCAGCGTTGCTCGGCCGCTCGAGACATCCGGATTCCTGCACCTCGGACCAACAACTGGTGAGGATCCATCCGACATAGCCAGGTCCTGACATAAATCCTGTGCCATTAGACAGTATAGACATTCCAAACGTGCATACGCTTTGCGGCGTAAGAATAATACAGAAGTGGTATACCGACCCGTGGAGTCATGTAACCCGGGTGTCCCCAGCCACCGGAACGGCCCCGTCGCCGACAACCCTACTTTATCCCATCTTTCCACGGCTTCTTACTTTGGAGAACCCGGAAACGAAACGCCGCTCTGCTTTCTCTTTGCGGAATGTGTGGGTTGAGTCGTTTCTGAAATGATATCGTGTATGCTATTGCCAGTCGACCAGAGACGACAGTTGTGCTTCGCCTGGGATGACCGGACAGCTTTGATGCGTCCCTGCGACGTCGCCAGTCCACGCAGCCCGCCGAGACTGAAATGCATCTCTTCGTCCCCATCAACCGCTGTCGTTCGTTGGTAGCGTCTTGTCCTCGGTATGCGAGCCGGCTTGCGCAATACTTCCGAGGAACCAGCCGTGGCGCGAGAACCCTGCCGGGAACCGCGCGCGCCATCCCAACTTCTGGCGTGGATTTCGGGACCTGCTTCGTTGACAGCTGTGTCGTGTCGCGGTTCTCGTCTCACTTCGTCTTGTCCCAGGAGAAAGGTTGGCTCCGTTTTCGCGATGGCGCGGCTCCGTTTGCTCGGGGCCGGATCTCGAATGGAGCAAATCCCGAAGCAGCCGAGACGGTCGTTTTCGAACCTTGATTGTCGAGAGGGTTGACAGACGGCACCTTGGAAGCTTTTTGGTTCTTGTTCGGAATCTTGAAGGCGGTTATCCCTGTGCCAAATTTAGGTCTCTCGGAGGGCTTCTTTGGTGACACCTGTGATGCAGCCTTCGAGCTCTCGACGTCTGTCGCGACCGCCTTGACCTTCCTGGGGGTTGAGAATTCTCCAACATTTTCCGATCCGCGTTTCCTACTCTGGTTCGCCCTCAGAGGAGAAATCGGTTGTGCGGGGACGTCGGAAACTTCAGATGCCAAGTCGTCGGAGTTGTCGCTCACGGCTTCGCTGGGCGAGGGCGACTCAGGCTCCATGGAAGCATCATCGTCTGTGTTCTGCTCCTCCGTGGGCTGCTCCTCGGCGATAGCGCGTTGGTCGTCGGGCTGGGTCACAGATGACGTCGGTTCCCACTGCCGCGCGAACGCGTCTTGTCGCTGATCGCATTGGACGGCCACGACGTACTGTTCCTGGATGCTGCTGTACATGGCATGTCGAATCTCGTCTGGGTCGCTGTTCTCGAGAGCAGCGACGCGCGCCCTTGAAGCATCCCAATGCGATCGTCGAATTTCAGCAATCTCTTCGGCAAGCTTCCATGCAGCGAGCATAATCTCCTTCTCCCGGTCGTCCAAGGATGGCGCCGACTTCAGCGCAGCCAATAAAATGTCCTTCAGGCACGTCAGTCTCGCGACGGGATGTGAGACATCCATCAATCGAGGTGCACTTACGTCTCTATGGGTCATGTTTGCTCCTGTGGCTATGGAATATTTGCGGGTGGTGCATGTCAAGATCCAAGTGTCGAAAGCGCGTTAGAAAAAAAAAAGGTGAAGCAAGTAGGTAGACCTGGTGCGAATTTGCCAGAGATCAATCCAAAAAAGGTGGCAAGAGACGCCCGCCACTCTTGCAAGGAATGAAGGGAATTGAAAGAACAATGAAACCCGGGAGGGAGCAGGCGTGATGCCAACACCTGCCTTTTGCTGCTTTACGGCCGCGCACCTGTGCTGTCCGTCCTGTGGGCCGGGCCCCTGACCGATGTTCCCCTGGCTTTGCTTTTCTTTTTCCACATTACTTCATCATGCGCAAGCAGACGGAAAATTGAAAACAGCCAGTAAATTCTCTCGGCGGCGGGGCCGGTGTGGAGAGTCTCCGGGCGCCGCCGAAACGGCCGGGGACTCTTCCCACTAGTTGGTCTTAAAAGCGGGTACCTATGCCCGTAACACGGCTCCGTCCCCGATAACTGCCTTTCATATTTTAGCAAAAGTCCGAATGACTGAGTGGACATGGCAACTTCTGTTTCGTGCGACCCCCCTCAGCGCATCAAGCGTCGACAGCCTGAATATCGTAAGTGTTCGTGGTTCGTCTCATTGAGAAATCCAGAAGCTTGGGCACATCGGCAGTCGCATCATCGCTAATTTGACACTCTCAATGATCCAGGCCTGGGCTGATGTCAATTCCATACTATGGTGGTGGCTATGGTGGTGAACTAAACATGCAGTTCTAAACAGATTGTTGCCGGGGAGCGGCGAAGTACAGCTTCAGCCACACACAAGACACACAGCTCGCCGGCCATTGAAGAGAGACTGCCTCATGATAGGTTCGCTTCAGCTGCAGGCGCAGCTCAAGTCACGCTGCATAGCCTTGTTCCATAACTGCACTTCTCCATTCCCCTCTGAACGGATTTCCCTTCCGCTCAGAATGGCTTCCTCCTTACATCTTCTCTGAGCTCTTCGACGACACCCCTCCCTCCGCAGAATGAATCAATTCGGCATCGGAGACGACACATGTAGGCGGGTTCAATCCCCCGCTCGAGAATCTCTGAGCACTAACAGTATCATTTCGTAGTAGTTTTACAGTAATCGCGGCAGTCCATGGACATCGAGTCTCCACCATAAATGTCTTCCTCGACGGCCCAGCCATCGATGGCTACATCAGATATCCAGCTGCAAAACCTAGCCCCTGAACCAACATCAGTAGCGCAGGCAGCATCACATGACTCGTCGAACGGACAAGCAACGACTGCAGTAGAAACGACATCGACAACGACGCCGCCATCAGTGAACACATCATCGGACAGGAGGGATTCCAAACCCCAAGCCTACCACAGAGGTCTGCGAACCTTACTCGCCAAGGTCTTTACAATAAAAGGCTGCGTGATAGGGATCATAGGCCTGATTGTAACTGTTCTTGCTGTACCGCCCGCCTTCAAGAGCCAATACCTGTCCGAAGAGCAGCTTAGGTTATCGCAATGGACTGCTTTGAAGGATTATATCGAGCATTGCAGGGAGAATATGGTACCATCCGCTTCTAGTCTATGACCGGAGGCGCATAGACTAACAATCGACGATAGGATGCGCTTGGGTGCCAAGATGCGGCCCGCACGACTTTACCACCGCCGCCTGACATTAAAATCCAACGTTTCGACAAGCTAAGGCGACTTTTGGTCCGCACTTTCGCAAGCGCACTCCATACAAAATATGGCAGTGCATTCGGCGTCCCGAGCAATCCGATTCGTGCAATGACTGTTGCACTTGCTGTTGTGAGTCTCTTCGTCGCAATTTACAGCTTTGTATGGAGTCTTTCCAAGCTAGTTGGGAGCAATCGTACCTCCACACGAATCCGACCTGCTATCATATACAATAGAAACAATGGCGTTTCAGTCGTCGTCGAGATCGACGGAGTCTCATCACAATCCTCTCAACGTCGAGGGACTGGAAGAAGCGCTTGGGTGGACCTCGAAAGAGGATCCGAAGCGAGCGTTGTAATAGCATCAAACCGATTCATAGAAGACACATCCACCATCCGAGACCGATTGCTGCATCCTCCACCACCACCGCCGCCGCCAATTCATTCATTACCGAACGGCACAGAGTTATAGCGGCTGCCATTAATGTTAAAACAAAGGCAATGGGACGCGAGGCTTCTGCTTAAATCTCTCTTCACCGGGAGAACCGAGTATGATAGATGAAAATACTTATTTTGTATTCGGTTTTGCTTTTAGCTCGTTCGTTCGTCTCCATAAGTGTGGCTGCTTCACAGCTTATTTAACTAGGAATAAGTTTCAAAAGCATTATGGTGATTCTTTGCGAAGCGCATTTCCTCATGTCGAGAGCCACAACTAGCTCTGCGAAAGTAGGTTGACAGCTTTCCAGCCGTTGGGCGGCGAGGTTAGGAGGATCAATTAGGTGTTACATTTGTCGTCTGTTATCTGCCAGATCAAAATAAGACTAAAAGTCCACGCTGATGGGGTTATAGGTCCCCGAAAGAGATAGCTTCGAATGACGTCTAATTCCTGTTCAATATAGCCCGACGAACCCATTAGCCATCCGTAAGCCCATAGGATAGTTGCCACAGTGGCTGTGAGTGACAGGGGTTCCTGCAGCGGCAGGCAGCTCGTTCTGCATTCTATCACGCACCAATTAGTGCCATTGAAGAGGGAGGGACGTTTCCACACAGCCCCGCGAAGCTGACTCCAAAAGTCGACCACAAATACGCGTCTCTTCCCACTTCCTCGATCTTGTCCTGCCCGGCTCAGTGGTGAGCCATCTCTACTCACGAGACTCGGCGGAACGAAGAAATATTAACGTCTCTGAGCGACATCCGTTTGATGAGGCCGCTGTTATCATCACAGTGCAGCCCTGATGACAGCACCCGAACCCCCAACCCCACCGCGGACGCCAGCTCAATCGCCCGCCTCGACCCGACCTCGGCACGATGAGAAGGCTGAGGGAGGCAGCAACCTCGGGCGCCTCAAATCATGGGCCTCAGAGAACTCGATTGCAGTGACCGGTTGGCTGGTTGCCTTCATCAGCATGTTAGTGGCGATCGTCGCTCTGTTACCGGGTTTTCGAGGCGAGCGGCTATCGGAAAAGGCCCCCGAACTTGCGGAGTGGACTGCGCTCAAGGACTATATTGAGCAGTGCAAAGAAGAAGTGGTAAACGGATGTTTTCGCCATTTCAAGGCTCGCAATTATGCTAATAAACCTGGTATGACGCAGCTAGGAGGAGCCGGATCGACGGATTGCCAAGAAGTTGTGACGATGCCACTTCCTCCACCGCCGCATGTTCAAACCCACGCAATCAACCAAGTAAAGAGGTTCATGTTCAGTCGCCTGGATAACCATCTACCAAACCTCATTCATAGTACGAGATCATCCGATCTCACCCCCGCTGCTCTGTTGCTGGTGGTGTTCTTGACTCTGCTGCTTGCAGCCGTCTTCTTATTTGCGAGTTTTGAGTGCAACAGGAAGTCCCTGCATTCCCAGACTAAAGAGTTGACAGACGGTGAAGCAATGGTTGAGACTTGGGATGTGGACCTCGCACCATCACTACACCAGAGGACCGGACCTGAGCAAGTCCAGTTGATGAAGACGCCGTGTACCGGGAGCGAGCTTGGACATTTCCGAGCACATATCGAAGTAGACTCAGAGAGGGAATTCGGCCACTTCATTTTCCACGAGTCCGTATTATTTTCAGAACCTTATAAGAACTGGTCTCTTGAGGAGCTCAGGTTCGCAGATTATGAGTACGGTTTCCGTTTGAGCCAGGAACACCCAAACCGCCCACAGATTACGCCCTTACCCAGCAGCTTGGATGCATTATTCCGGCCTTATATTGAATCAACGACTCGCCTTGTGGAAGAGCTTGCCTTTCAAGGCATATTCTTTGAGAAGCCCTACGTCGATTGGTCATCCGAAGAACTTCGGCTTGAGGACTACGGCGAAGGCCTTCGCTTTGGGAGCGGCATTCACGATGCTTTCGCATGCACCGCAATAAGGGAATCCGTATCGTTGGAACTTGACATGCCGAACGTCGAGGGATTCAAATCTCCTCCATTGGAAATTGATTTCGACTCGTTCGACATCTCGACAAATCCTTTCCAGTCCCACGCAACCAAATCTTGGTTTGATGGTTCATATTCAAGTTCCGCCTTAGTCAAGTTCACAGAGAACCAGGAGATTCACGACCGCAGCACTAGAAGAAAGCTGAAAGAGGATGTGGCCCCAATCATGAGATTGGCCTGCCCGTATTACAAGAGGGATCCAGAGACTTACAAAAATCATCGATCATGCTGCGGACCTGGGTGGCCCGAAATATATAGAGTGAAGTGCGTATCACATGCTGCGCTCGTTTCATCGTCCCCGTCTGCGTACTTACGGCTTCCAGGGAGCATCTGTATCGGCGTCACAGATTATTTGACTGCAGCCGGTGTGGAAAATGTTTCAAATCCGAGAGGGAATTGGAGGATCACTATCGCGAACTTGTCCCTTGCCCAATTCTTACTGAGATGAATAGCGACCCAAATTATGGGCTCAAAAAAGAAACCGAGAAGAAGTTGAAGATGAGGAGAATCAACAATTCTAGCGATGCGGAACAATGGGCTTCGATGTATCGCTTGTTGTTTGAGCTTGATGAGACAGCTGACGTGCCGTCGCCATGTAAGTTTTGCTCCCAGTAAAATGATTCGTACTAATTCCAATTAACACAGATTACACGTCCATGAGCAGAAAGGATGATTAGTGGCAGTTGCAAATTTCGATTGTACTGTGCAGTGTTGTCGTTACGGTTGATGTTGCCTACGTGGATATTGTTTCGCCGCCGACAGGCGCAGCAGAGTCCAGGAATACACGGATGGTTGAGGCATCAAGAACATCTGAAAAGGGGATTTGACCCAGACAAAAAGAAGGCGTCATCAACCGCAGGAACGTCAGCATTTGAGATCACAGTAGGAAAGAGAAACCAGAAAAGAAAGAGACAATGGAATTCACTATCAATATTCAGAAGAATTTATGGGCGGTGCGCGACAGACATCGGCCATACATAACCATGGCAGGCAAGATCTGCTCATTTGCCAATCACTCAAGCTCCATCTCCACGAGGTCAGACCTTTTCATCCCTGTGAATGCGTTCGCTTATGTTCGAGACCTTCCGTGATTGTTCCGGTTTGGATGGACCCAAGCCCATAGAGTTTCTCCATCAAAAATCCATAGCGAGGGCATAAGAGGGTGGCAGCGGCGATTGAACTTGTGAATATCTTCCTTCACCTGCGAGATCAACTCAAATAGGTCCCCAATGCTGCCAAGATAGATAGAGTTCCGCCCGCTGAGGATATGGATACAGCCAAACCCTGCTTTCATTAAAGCGTTGCTGAGACTGTTTTCTCGTAACATTGTGTGTCGTCATGGGAACCCTCTGTTGACAACCATCGGGCGCGTTGTACATCTTGGAAGGAGATAAAGAAAACTTGTCTAAGAAGGCAACTTTCCTTTGTGTAATGACGTTATGTTGCCGCCATGGTTTATCCCTTTTTGACCCAAGTAGATTGGCACGTCTCATTAAACGGATTAAATCATTTCTAGCGGCATTCATGCCAAATATCATGAGCCAGAAAGAAAGGTAGAAGGTGTGTCTGAGTGTCGCCGCGCAATCTATTGTTTCTTCATTTCCTCTCAAGGCTGACAATCTTCCGACCCGAAATTGAAAGTAGTAATTACATGCCACCGCACCTGAGCTAACTGTTCGTTTTCGAGCATGTCCGGCTCATCCTTTACGCTCACTGTTCTCCACTTGTAATCTCCAGCTCTCAACATCCACGGCCGGCAACTTGCTCTTCTTTATGTATCCGGACTTCTCAGCATTCTCCTGCAATATTTGTCGGGTCTGCGGTGACAACGGAGACGGCAAGGTCTCCCACATCTTCGCAACCGCGTCGTCCAAGTCGTGGAAGGGGTCGAAATCATGACCTTCAGCGTGTGGCATACATATCCGCATGTACTTGATCACCTCGATAAGCTCAAACGGGCTGGAATCCAAGTAAGTCTTTTCGTACGGGCTCGCCCCAGAAAGCAGGACGTCGCTGTAGAGGTGGAATCGGTTGCAGGTGATCATGACATAACCAAGAATGAGGGCTGAACAAGTTTCTTGAGAGGAGCGTTCTCCAGTCCCTCGACAGGCCCTGGATACGTAACAGTCTCGTATCTTGTCGGACAAATACTTGAGCAATGCAGCCCGCATCGACTTCCTCGCTCGTTTGAGAACCTCTACTGAACGTTAGTTATACTAACCAGATACCGACACACGTGGTTTGTCCTTGGGCAACTTACCTTGTCCGTTGAAGTTGCGACTTGGCCAGAAGTACGTGCTCGAAACGAGCAAATCCACGGGGCAGTTGGGATCCCAATCACGTTCAAGAGTGCTATTATGTGCTGCCAAGAAAATGAGGTTGGTGAATGTCTTTTCGCGCCCACATCCCACGCGTTGGTGCATAGAGCGACGGGAAGATTGGTGGCCGCCATGGAGGTGGGCAGCCATTGTCGATACCAGACACCCAAGCGACGGTCGATGAGATATTTGTCCGCCAGTCTGATCACTTGTTGCAGCTCGAGATCCTCTAGAGTTCGAGGCACGGCCGAATCCCAGCCGTGGGCGATGGCGAGTATAACAAACATTCCCCAGACATCGTCATCAGGCAGGTGTACAACCCAAGAACCATGCGCGGGCTTTGATTCTGCAAACCCACCAAAGAGCATACTTTTGAAGACAGGAGACCAGTCGGCTAAAATTGAGAATTTCACCACGAACCGTCTGCTCTTGTGCTCATCTCGAACCTTCTCGATGTCTTCCGGATTGTGAATGTCTGGCAGGGGCTTTTCGTCGCAGGGTCCGACGCAGAGCTCGACATCTCCTCGGCTGCTTCCCACAAAGATCTTCTCCGTAGGGTCCTGATAACAATTCTTTAGGTGCGACCACGTCGGCAGGATGCGACGCTGAGACCTGTTAACTTGAAATGCAATGTATCTCCAGATAGGGTGTGTCATTCCCATCTTGAATATCCGGACTGGGCTCGTATTTTCTTCTGGCGGGTGACAACAGCATGTCGGGTTGACTCAAGAGGGAAGATGTCGGTTGAGCGAGTGTTCTAGGAAGGAACATTAATATAAGTCACTACCAAATATTTGGACTCTACATCTACACTACCTTTTCGTTTAGAACTTTCGTATTCTACTGCATTCGAAAGTTCCAGCAATGCTAGTCTTCTGAATTATTTTAAAACCTGAAAGAGCATGTTACTAAAAGACATTGAAAGAATCCTCTGTCAAATGAGTGAACATGCTGCATGTGTGTAGGGTTGCCAATTGGAACCGGACTCTTCGCCAGCATGTGCCTCTTTAACTAGCAGTTGACAAAGAATTTGAATTCGACTGTGACTCAGAAACTCCCACCTTCCGACCTGCCCGCTTCTTTCTTCTGTAACAATCACCTGCTATGGCATCCTTCAGACACCCGTCTTCTTGGCCTGGTTTTGAAGATACTTAAGATGGGCTTCAGTAACAGGAGACTCCAGCTTTTCCACAATGCTTTTGACCTTCTGTTTGATTACCGGGAAAGGATTGCAAGATGCGTGATAGTACTGGTCATGCGTTTGGAACTGTATTCCTTGAATTGCGGAGGATAGTTCGTTGATGCTCCCAGAATAATTGGGTGTCCCAGTTCGCAGAAGAGCAACGTCTTCCAAGCCTATTCGATGCATCTGGTGGATGAGTGTCCCGAGAATCAGATGCACACATTGCTCTGATGACATGTTGCAACCGGAACTATATCCATATCCATAATTGTTATTGTTTACCTGACATTTTTCTCTTTTCAGAGTGTCCTGGATGGCGTCGTAAAGAAGACTGGTCATATTCTGAATGGCTGATTTTCTCGTCTGAGCGATGCTCTCTAGAAAGTTATCAGATAAGAAAGAATCGTGGTCGTACCAGAAAGGGACTCAAGGTACCAAGAATTCCAGGTGGCTCAAGAAACATGTATGTGTCGAGAGCTATCCCGTCTTTGCTGAGTAGATGGTCGTCGCTATCGATCTTCGACTTGCATAGTAGATCCATCGCAAAGCGACGGAAGGTCTTCTCGTGACCAAGTTCCCATGATATCCACATGATGACTTCATTTCCTTCTGTGGGTGCCATACCGCTATCAGAATAGGGTTTGAACCAGCCAGGCGCCCATGGCTTAAGAATTTCGGTCATGTCGTATTTCTCCGTCGTCGCAAGCAATTGGTATAGATGATCTTTCGAAAGAGACCCGGGTATGTGTTGAAAGTGACTGTGAACAATGCCCAAAACAACGAAGACGGCAGATGCGTTGTCTTCGGGCATCTCGACTTCCCAAGGGTCCGAACCTTTGGGTCTCGACTCGGCAAAACCGGAAAACAGCATTGCGCGAAAGACTGCGGACCACCGAGCGAGGGATCTCGAGCATACGACAAGTTCGTGCACATGAGATCCTTCTTTCTCGCCATCGCCAACTTTCAGAGTGAGGTCCCCGCGTGAATCGAAGTAAAACGCATGGCCAACTGCAAGCGTCTCCATCCACTCTTTGAGGCATGCCCAGACGGCCGGGTCAGAGAGAGTCTCGGATACACTGCATCTTAGTTAGATCATCCCCACTGGATAATATCCTCATGCCTGAGCGGTTTTATTCTTGAGGTATCCCAAGGAGTATGTGGGATACAAAAGACCCATATCACGACCTAATCAGATGAGATACTCACAAGGGCTTCGTCTTCTCCTCAACGTGCCTGAACATCCATGGCATGCCATCTAACGCATCAAGCTGGCTTACCATCGCGAATAACTGGGCTGGTGGCGAAGCTCAGTTGAAGTTGAATTGCTTCGACTGGAAGGAGAACGCCTTGACGGAGGAAATCAAGATGAAATTGGACTTCAAGGGTTGCTGTAGGATAGTAGTTCTAGTTTCAAACTGCGTGACGTTGAGCTGGAAAATTCAAACAGAGTAAATCTGTCGCGAATTTCGTGCACTTATGTTGATAAATCCATTTTTGGATGTCATAGGTTGTGAACCGGAACGCGGGGTCAGCGAAGCTAATGTTCGAGGCCGTCAACCAGAGACATTACCTCACGTGGTAGCACTGAGCGAGAGGACCAGTTGGAGTGGGTTAATCGCTGCTGTATCTCCAAGTTCTCTGCATTTCGTGCCTGTCAGCCAGCATTTGAATGAACTAATAATGCAGGAGGCCTACCATGTCGTTGACATAACTCAAAGATTAGGCACGGTTATTCGCCATAGTGTCGCATATTTTCATCAGCAATTCATCTTTCTTCACATTTCTTCCACTTAGTCTCGTCCATACCAGCCCTCCCCACCTTATCATTTGAAGCAGTGTTTGTTCTCCATCTATCTTACTCTGCGATTTCATCCTTCTTATCTTATGTACTGTCACTTTTACCGTTCTCTATTTTCTCATTGGAGTATCAACAGTAAATGCGCTAGAAGTCTGATTCATCTGAAGAATTCATGGCTGTACGAAGCTGTCCCTTTTCTCCCGCTTGAATAAGACATACCAGTCCAGTCTCAGATACCACTGTAATAGGGACATTAAGATGAGCGCCTCCCCTGTCATCTATCAAGAGCATCCTCATTCTGCCTCCCTATTTGAACTATATACCAGTCTTCTTTGCCTGAGCTCTCAAGTGTTGAAGGTGCATCTCCGTAACTGGTGCAGAAGTATGCTGAAGTATCCTTTCCACCTCCATTTGAATACTGGGCCAAGGGTCGCAATTTTCGTGGCCCCAAACCTTTATACTAGCTGGGAGGTCTTGAATCAAGGACAAAAGATCATCAAGACTCCCGAGGTACTCCCACGAGGCTCCGTCCAACAAGGCGACTCGCCTCAGCCCAATACTGCAAATATTTTGGATGATCACACCGAGAAACAGACTGTCGCATTGCTCACTAGTAATGGGATGCAGTGCTCCACGGTACCTCGGGGAAACATCAGTTTCTTCATCGATTTTGATACGCCTCTTGCATTTCTGGGAGATGAGCGCGTTTTGAATGGCGGTATGAAGGTAATCCAGCACCTTCTGGACAAGCTTCTCTCGTTCTTGAGCTATACTCTCTAGAGAAGGAGCAATCAGCATCATGGGAGCTCGAGCCTGAGTAACATTTACATTATAATTGTATAAACAAAAGAGGATTGACTTACCCAGTATCCCAGGGGCCTCCAGGCTCGCGTGAAATCTCAAAGGAATGTTATCTCTGTCCAGACATTGACCAGCCTTATCAACACGCGATCTCATCAATAGGCTGTCCGCTACTTTTCTGAACGTAGCTTCGTGACCTAGGCCCCAGGCGATTGCCATCATGGTTTCGCTCCCATCAACTGATGTAACATCAGCGAGGTCAAGCTTGGCAAACCACCCACTGGCCCATGGTCGAAGTATTTCCGTAATGTCGTACTTATCTACTACGACTAGAAGCTCGTACAAGTCGGTCCTGTCCAAAGATCCCGGGATTTTGTCATAATGACAGTGCAGTATAGAGAGAACCAGGACAAACGGCGCAATCTTATCATCAGGCAGCTGGACCGTCCATAGAGTGTTGTTGTTTGCTGGTTTGGACTCCATGAAACCTCGAAAAAGCATTGCCTCGAAAACGGGGGACCATCGCGCGACTGATCTGGAGCAAACGACAAAGTCCTGAACAGTCTCAGCAGGATTCCCGACTCTCAAGACAAGATCGCCACGAGTGTCAAAGTGAAAGGCTTTGCCGGACGCAAGAGATGCCACAGCGGCCTTCAGACTTTTCATGTTGTAGCTATCCCCATCTGCGGCGGCAACGAAGCCGAACTTTCGAATTTCACCACTTTCTTGTGACATATTTGCGCCGGAATTCCAGACCTGAAGCTCGCTGGTAAGAGATCTGGGCCAAGGTTATCAGTAAATGGTCATCGAGGTAAGAGGCCCAAGGGCCAGAGCTCATCTATAAGGATGTCGACTAAAATCAAGTTATGCAGAGGTTCCCTTACGTAAAGCGTTGAGAGTATGTATAGAGGGGTCTTCTCTGCTTCTTCTTCGCCATATCGAGGAGTAAAGATGCGAGAGAGCCGGTTTGATTTCATGGGACAGGGACACAAAAGATGACTCCAAATAACTCGAGCGTCTTAGATGTACAGTATTGCCAAATATCTTTGGTTGCTATCAGTCAATGACATCATGGGTCTCTGGATACTGATCTGACGAAGCGGGGGGGACGTAATGCGGGAGGCCAACCAGATTTCATTTGGCCGAGACGGCAATTGGATGAATCTGGGAACTTTAAGCCGGGCTTATGCAAGGAAACCGTGCAAGTTCGCATCTTAATTCTTATTTTCTCAATAATATCTAAAAAAAAAAAGGAAAAAAAAAAAAGTACTATATCCAATTAAGTTATGCTCCAAGCAGCATATCGCAAGATAATTGCATATCTTTGTATATCAGAATGATGGTGATTTGATTACTAGAAAGTCAATATCTAGCTGCTAGTAGTGTCTCCCATGAAATTCGATTCCTTCTGAGGTAATCCAATTACAAGTAAAATGTTAGAAGTGTAGTTTCAAATAAGAGTTCTTGGCGAATGCTCTCTTTTGAACCAGCAACCTTCTTTCATCCTTGGAGTATAATCCATCTCCAGTCTTCTCTCCCAGCCTTCCTCGTGAGATGTAGTTGTCCTCCAACCAGTCGGTGTAATCAGCTCTCTCCGGGTTCACTGCGCCCATGTTCACTCTGTTCCTCTCCACTTCCCACACCGTGTCCAAACCCACTTCATCCATCCTCTCACAGGGTCCCTTCTCCGCATGGAAGAAGTCGCGGAACAGTGCGTCGATGTCCCGGGGCGAGGCCAGCTCGGCCTGCAGGATCCTCAACGTGTCTGACTTGATCGCTGACCAGATCCGATTGAAGACGAAGCCGACAGATTCGTGCGGAAGGGCGAGCGGCGTGAAACCAACACTGCGCATCTGCTCCTTGAGGAATGGCATGAGCTCCTTGTCCGTGGCTCCGCAGGTCATCAGCTCCACGTAGGTGTTGCGGGGAGGAAGGTGGTAGTGGGTGTTGAGAAGGCGCTCAGGGCGAGAAATCAAGTTCCTGAGAGCCGACGTCGGCCATGTAGAGCTGTTGGATGCGATGATGCAGTCCTCAGGCACGAGCGAGTCGACTTTGCCCAGCTGCTCGCGCTTGATCTCTGGATCCTCTGGGAGGGCCTCGATGACCATCCACGGATTGGCGCCGCAGGAGTCTTCAAGCACGGAGCTGGTGGTGACGTGACCGGGATGCGTCTCGCGGACAGCGCAGGCGGTTGTGAGGGCGTCGCTGACATAGTCAATCGCCGAGGCGAGGGCCTTGGGGTTGATGTCTTGCAGGATGACGGGGCGGCCGGTGGAGGCCCACATTACGGCGACGCGGCGGCCGAGGACACCCGCTCCGAAGACCACGACGGGCCGAGAAGTGGGGTCGGCGGGCGGGGTCCATTTCGGGATTGGATGCACTGACTGCTCAGGAGAAATACTTGAGTATGGGCGAACTTGATGTGGAGATGAGATGAAATTTGATTGCCGGCATTGAGTTGTAAGTCGGGCTTTCGGGAGGAGTGCTGTGGTCGTTGGCAGGAGCCTGCCGATGGCTTGGGGTTTTGTGATGCTTCGGTTTATGACCGCGCTTGTGGTGGGCTGAAGGCGCCATAGCTGCTGACAAGTTCTTCTCGAAGCCATTGCTATTGTTGATGATTTGATCTTAGCGTCAAAAGTATTCCCGGGGAAAAAGTGGCCGTTTTATGTGGCGTCCCCAGCTCTCCCACGCTGGGTTGACGATGATGGCAATGTCGCATGATGGGGGTGGTCAGGGGAGTGGCGTGATGTTGTCGTCCAACGCTGGGCTGACCACAAACGCCAAGTTCGCGTTTTCATGGTTCGAGTTTCAATCGAATGATAATTTTGGAAAATCCCTTAGATCTCCCCGGGAAAGACTGGTCATCTGCCTGGACAATCGATGTTGTTTGCCATTGCGCCCTGCCCGTTCCCGTCAACCACTGCGCCATCCAGGATTAAGATCAGAGCCAAGCCGGACCTCAGATATTCTCACTGCGGCTGCTCCAAATGGGGCGTTTTGGGAATCCATGGACATCTTACGACTCTGGCCAGTTTGACAAAGACATCTCACGTATCTTTTTCGTTTCCAGTGGCTTGTATCAAAAGTCCGGACTGGGGTGTAAATTTGAAATACGTTCGTCGTGTTTGGTGGTGTCGATTTCCAGCTGCGTAAAGGGGGCGTGGGGTGACTAATACGTGGTCTGTGCGGGACACAATGGATCTCCGGACATCTGTGCCGGATATTATCCGACGCACCTCAATTCCCCAGTGTTCCTATCCTTCCAGGTAACCCATCTTTTTCCCACGACTTGCGTCGCGACGCGAGCACATTGAAAGGATCCAAAACGCAATGTGTGGTATCCACGTCGCCGTCCAACGTGACGAAGTCCCGACGCTTCCCGCTGAGACACTTCGGTGCTTGTGCAATCGCGGACCGGACCATGTTGGAAAAGCTCAGTCACAGATACAGCCCAACAGCCCCGAGACTGGACCCGTGTTCCTGAGCTTCACCTCGACTGTTCTCGCGTTGCGCGGTGACCATGTCACGCAACAGCCATTCCGCGACGCGTTGACGGGCTCAGTGCTCTGCTGGAACGGGGAAGCCTGGAAGATTGGGGGAGAACCTGTTGACGGCAACGATGGCGAGGCCATCTTTGCACTGCTCGTATCGGCCAGTAGCCGCGACACCAGCGAGGACACAGTCTTGGACGCGCTTCGCACCATCGAAGGGCCCTTTGCATTCGTCTACTATGACGCAATCTCTTCTCGGCTATACTTTGGCCGCGACCGTCTGGGGCGACGGTCATTGCTACTCAATCAGGAAGATGGACTGAGGTTATCTAGCATTGCGGAGGATACTTCGCCGGCGTGGACTGAGGTTGAGGCTGATGGTATCTACGTGCTTGACTTGGTGGCATGGAGGCGTGACTCGAAGGAGCCGATGACACCGCGGCCATGGTCGCAAGACGTCGAGGAGACAGTAAGTCATTCAATCCAGCAAGGCGTGTGCCAGTTTTGCTACTTACGACGATAGGTCCTCAATATCGGCGTCTTTAATGCAACCCTTCCATCCTCAGAAGTCCCGCCTTTGTCACAGGTCTCGCCATCAGTTCAGGCGGTACGAAACCAGCTCACTGAGTCGCTCAAACTGCGCGTCTTGAACGTGCCTCCGCCCCCAGCTCATGACGCGAATAATGACACCAGGATCTGCGTGTTGTTCTCTGGCGGATTGGATTGTACGATTCTGGCGCGCATGGCGAGCGATCTCCTACCTCCCAGTCAAGGCATCGATCTTGTCAATGTGGCTTTCGAGAATCCCCGCTTGGCGTCGCGAGCTGAGAACTCAGCCGATGGCGTCAGCATCTACGAAGCGTGTCCTGACAGAATCACAGGCAGGAAGTCATTTGCGGAACTGACTGCTGTCTGTCCGGACCGCCGATGGAGATTCATTGCCGTAAGCTGACGTCCGGCTGCCGCTTTCGGCATTTGCTGACTCCTTCCAGATCAACATCCCTTATCAAGACGTATTAGCTCACCGGAGTCAAGTCATATCTCTGATGTACCCTCACAACACCGAGATGGACTTGTCCATTGCCTACGCGCTCTACTTCGCCGCGCGTGGCATCGGCATGTCCCAGAGCCACCCATCTGACGCCTCCACCGAGTACAGCACCCCAGCAAGGGTCTTGCTCTCCGGTCTTGGAGCAGACGAGCTCTTCGGCGGCTACGTTAGACACGCGACAGCTTTCTCTCGGAGAGGGTATCCTGGTCTACTTGACGAGCTTAAGCTAGATGTTGGTCGACTCGGGAAGCGAAACCTGGGTCGGGATGACAGGGCGATGGCACACTGGAGTCGCGAGGTGCGGTTTCCTTATCTGGATGAGAACTTCGTCAAATGGGCCGTTGAGTCTCCGGTGTGGGAAAAGTGCGATTTCGGGTATACTGAAGCCCAGTCTGGCATTGAGCCCGAGAAGAGGGCATTGAGGCTCCTCGCTGAAGCGCTCGGCATGGTTTCCGTCGCCCGGGAGAAGAAGAGAGCCGTAAGACCCCTGCCCAAAAGCTTGAAGCATTCGTCTAACAATCCCTCAGATTCAGTTCGGTTCCAGAACCGCCAAGATGGAGAGCGGGAAGACCAAGGGCACCACTCTCATTGCCCCTTGAGGTCCTTGTGGAGTCGCAAGTGCACTCAAATGCTGGCTGTGATGACTCACAGATACTTCCGAGCTGGTGACCGCCTCAGGACCGCCGCCAACATTGTGTGTTGGTGCTTTGCACTAACCCTCTGTTGGGGGTGTGTTCCTGAAGATTACACACAAGGTCTCCAGCCATGATGTCGTAAAGGCAAGTCTGAGCCAGCTTAAGACTCCCGGGAAATAGCCTAATAGGCAGTGAGGAACTGCTTTTGTGGTCTGTAGTAGTGGGAATATTCAGGCTATTCGGCCAATGTACGTGGGAAGACCAAGTTCCCTGCTGTCTGGGCAAGCTGAGTAGTCTAGCTCCCTTGGACGAAGTTGAGGAATCCAAGATGTCCAATGGATGCAAGGAGATTCACATAAAATGAGCGTTGTCATCGTGTAGTTGTGAAGCCGCGATGAACCCGCTCCAGCTCTCGTATTGTACCCATCAATATTGCCAACCACCCCCAAGAGCCCATCAACGAACTTCCTGTCACAGCACCATCATATTTAGAACAGACTGTTGCGTACGAAACTTATCTATGTGCCCTTTAACATCATAGAAGCTATCAAGGTGCCCAAGCTGTTAGCCCGCAGTAAACCCACTAGATTGCAAACCACAAGGTGCGTCTGAGTTTGCGGTTTGGCGGGAACCTGGCCATCTGATTGGCAAAGAGGATTATCCCATGGATGTAAAGATTGCAGCCTAGAAAATAAGAAAGGTTTTCCTTGGGCTCTTTCTTTTCACGGGACAAAACTTTACAACAGCTTGTTTAATAAAAACTCATTCACACGAAGCCTCAACACCCCCGTCAGTCACCAAAAAATCTTCTCCCCAAAAGTCATGGAGACCCCTTACGTGATTCTGGACCCCAAGGGCTCCGAAATCAAGACTGATCACGAGAACGAGGCGCAATGGAAGTCGCTGAAAATGGGCAGCCCGAACGAGACCGTATACCTCGAGGACAGCGGCGATCTCACTCTTGTTGTCGGCGGCGACCTCGGCGCATACGACACAGGCGACGCCACAGCCGACGATGGTGCTACAGAGATCCCGGATGCCTCGAGACGCTTCGTCGTATGCTCCAAGACCATGAAGCGCGTTTTTGAGGTTTTTAGAAAAATGCTCTTTCCTACTTTCGCCTTTGCCGAGTCGAAGCCAGTCGACGAGCCTTGGGTGGTTCATCTGCCGGAGGATGCCCCCGAGCCGATGTTCATCATGCTGTCGTACGCCCATGGCTTGTTTTCCAACATTCCTAGGACTCTTTCTCTTGTTGAGATTCGTGAGGTTCTCTTCTTGACGAACAAATATCTCTTCACTCAACACATGGACTCGATTGTTGAGAAGTGGCTGAGGCCCTACCGAGGGTCGGTCGTTTTGGATCGCTGGGATCAGTACCAGATGGCGGGGATTGCTTGGGAACTCGGCGACAAGGTTTTGTTTGAGGGCATTAGCCTTGATCTAGCTCGACACTGCCTGAAGATCACGCGGTCCGATGCGCCCGACCTTGAAGGATTGGTCTTGCGGGATGAGTACTTTCCTGAAGGCTCTCGTGTGGTCTGTAAGTCGCAAGACTACACTCCTGATTCCTAGATCTCTTTGCTGACCGAGGGAAAAGCCTGGATAGACTCTTACATTGAGCGCTTTCTGTCTCAGCTGAACGCTAAGATCGACGACGGCATTCAAAAGTGCAGCGAGGGAACGATATGTAGCATCCCCCAACGACAGAAGCCGCGGAGGAAAGTGTGGCCCGAGCCTCAGTGGTATGACTGCACGGAACGTGTGGACCTCTCGCTTTCCATCGTCGATGACGCCGTTGGCATCACGCGCGAGTCTGTACCACTAGGATCGGTGCACTGTTGCTACAACACTCTTGACGAAATATACTTTGCACTCCCGCGAAATGAGATGAACAACTTGGACGGTCACGATTGCTTTCCTTTTCAGGAAATGATGGACTTGATGACAGACGCGGTCTACAGCCCTGCAGATGGTTCTCGACTGGACATCGAGCAGTCCGGTCACCTCGACAGCCAGGCTCGGATTTCGGGATGGAACAATCCCGAGTTCTGGGGACCGATGTAGTGTACGTCGATGGATTGATACATGCATTCAAGCAGTTGGTAGTTCTAATGGGAGATTTGAGGTAGTTGAGATAGGATAAGAGATGCATACGACTGAGTCTTGCTAAACTGAGGCAGAATCGATCAATCACGAAGAATACGAAGTGCTTGGTAAAGCAGACGATCATGAAGATACTCACATATGAAGAGACAAGCGCTGCTTTCTGCTATGTACCTACCTTACTGCACAAATCACCGACCATTCTTAATTTCTAGACTCACCTTTCGTTGTTCGTCTCAGTGCTTCTACGAAATTGCTTGCCGCACCTGATCCTCTGCGTCGTCCGGCAGCTGTGGAAAAAGAACAACGCTCTCCTCCAGCCATCTACGATAGGCCGGATCGTCTTCTCCCTTTGAGGTATCTGGTTGAGTCGCTAGGGTTGGGAACTCACCGCTTTCGGCCAAGGCCCAGTTCTTCGCCGCCACACCAGCCCAATACTCCTGCGCAGAAGTCAACCCCAGAACCTCGAGTAAGTTGACCAGCTGTTGCTCCTCGTCGGCGGGCTTCACGAGGATCTTTTCCATCATTTTGTAGAACTCCCACATGGTCGCCGACTCGGCCTTCTCCACGATGGCCAGCATCAGCTTCACCCAGTGCGCCACGAGCACCGGATCAAGCGTCCCCTCGAGGCCTCTAAACTCGATGGTACCACCTAAAATCCGGGCATCCGGGCGCTTGATCGTGACATGGTCGTTAGGATTGATTCTCCCGGTGCTGGGGAGGTCGATGCGGTTGATGCTGTTGACTGAAACAGCGGAGCGCGAGCCATCAGGTGTGTCAAGCATATACTTGAGAGCAGCTAGGTTCTCGGCCGCCCAGATGCGGTAGAATTCTCTCTGCAGCCGGTCTTCAATTTTGGACATGGGCAGGTGAGACACGATGTCGAGCTCAAGGAGTTTGTCGGGGTTTTCGTTTCGGACTTCCGAAAACGCAGGAAGGTAGTAATCATCGGCCAACTGGGAACCGGTACTCAGAGGCTTCGAGTAAGGACTATCGAAACGTGAGGGATGAATCAAGGTAGAGACGATCGGGTCAACAGCCCAAACCATAGTCAAGATGCGCTTGAGGGACCGGAAAGAGAAGTTGTGGACGTTTCCAACGTGAACGTGCAAGCCGCAGCTGGGGTCGAGCATAGGGCGCGCCTGGCTTCGAATCAGTTTGATGATGCTCAGCATCTTTTCAAAGTCCTCCTTCTGGTCACGGAGAATGGGGCTGGTGAGCTCATAGCCTCTGATTCCCCCGGAGTATTCCAAGAAGCCTGTGCTCAAGCCGGAAATGCTGATGTCGCTCTTCAGAAGCCATGTCTGGTACAACGGTTTGACCTTGGGCGAGACTTCGATCCGGTACCCGAGATCATCAGCCATCTTTTGCAAGCCTGGAAGTTGCCCATCATTCTGGGCACTGGCGAAGCTCAGGCGATCCTCATTGATGCTGAAGAGACCTGCTTTGTTGAAGACTTCGGCGAGGTGGTCTCTGTCGACTTCATGGGGGACTTCACTAGTCCAATCTGGCTTAAAGCTGTTGACGGTATGATGATAGCGCACCCAGCGGTTGTCTAGAGTAGCTACTGATGCTTCCATGTCGTTTTTGCTGTAGTATGCTTTGTCTTCGGCCTTGTGGTAAGGGAGGATAAACTCGAACTCGAGACCGAAAGAAAAGGGAGACAAGCCAGGTGTGTCCTCGAGATTGACGGCCGGCTTACGCCGAAGGCACTCGAGATCCGGCACGAAGGCATTCGGGCCCTTAGATCGATAATACTCCGCCTCAGAACGGAGGCCGAGTTCGAGAAGCAGATCGTCGATGGAGTATGAATTCGAGGCGCTGTCGGACAGTTGGACCCGCTGCATGACGCGGTCGAACACATCCTTCGGCGCGTTGGCAGCAAAATAGACGATGCCGTGGCAAACCTTGATCCAGTTCTCGACGGCAGCAAAGTCCATCGTACCTGCGTGCTGACGAAACTGGATCGTCCTGTTCTGCGGGTCAGAATCGACGAGGTTCGAAAAGTCGTACGCCCCAGGAATCGTCCTCACCACTTCATCGTCGCCCATCACCCGAATCTCCATCGCGGTCACAACGTCTTCCATGTCGTCGCAACCCGCGATATACCTCTGCGCGCACTGCGCGATGGCAGACTTGCGCTTGATGTCCGGCTTCATGAGCATCTTGGTGTACGTAGTCGCCGGCGGGCCGTGGGTGAAGACCATCTCCTCGGGCGGTGCGCGCCATTCTGCGTCAGAGAGGTGGGTGTACGGCAAAAAGTGGAAGGCCTTTGCGAACTCGATGCCCGGAGCGATGAGGGAGCCTGGGCCGCAGTACTTTGCGTGGAGGCCGTCGAGGAGCGGGGATGCGTAGTAGAGGAATCTGGCGAGCCTCTTGGTATCGCGGAGAGTGAAGTCGGCTTCCTGCGGCTTGATGTTGACGCATAGCCGAGGGGTATGGTCCAGGCCGATGACAAGACCAGGCGTGGTCTTGAGGGTTTGGAGGAGGGGGTCAAATCTTTGGATGGTTTCTGGGTGGAAGGATGTGAGTGGGGAGAGGACGCTGACGAGCTTCCAGGTCTGAAGATACGGTTCGTCTTCGTCCTCCTGGGGTTTGTTCTCAGGGAGTTGATGGTTTTTATCGCTTACTTGCACCGACCAGAGATCTGTGCCATTGTTCGAGTCTGCCAGGGGCTGGACAGAGGTATTGATGCCATCATGCTGCAAGTACCCGGATGAAAAGAAGCCTGCTTCTTGTAGATGTTTGGCAATGCGGAAGTGGAGGTCATCAGACGTCAACTTGGCCTCGTCCTCGCCGTCGCCGGAGATCCGAACCAGAAATTCCAACTTAGCAGAGAAAAGAAAATCCTGCGGAGTTGAGGATTCCTCATCTTCGACATCGATGTAACCCACAACACCCTCCCCGAATAATTCTCGATCGGAGAACCTCGGGCCAGGAGACGAGGGAGGCAACAGTTGATTTAGATCGTCATCGTCATCGTCGTTGTCAAGAAGGAAATCGCGCACGTCAAGATCATCGAAACTTACATCGTCGAGGTCCAGCTCGTCAAGGTCGTCGGTGGATTTGATGGGCGACCACCCGGAGACGTGGGAGAGGATTGGAGAGGTCATCGGTGACGGCTCCGGAAGGTTGGTGTCGATACCCGAGTAGACCCACGTGCGCGGGTCATCCCATCTGATGGTAGGAGTCATATTGATAGTTGTTTCTGAAGATGAGTCGGAAGAAAATCGTGTTATGTTGGAAAGGTTAGTGCTTGAGTCGTTGCTGGAGCTGCTTGGGGGGCTGTTGTCGAACATTTTGACTCGATAAGGTTCTGAAAACCACTTAAATATCTCCGAGGTCTTCTGTCGTTGGTTTTCCGTCTTTGTATTCCGTCCTCTGATCTTATACAACGGCATTGTTCATGGTAAAGAAGACGAATGGTGAAAGAAGATTCTTCAGTTCTTCTTTTCCTGTCGAGCCAGCAACAAAGGTGTCAGGGAGAACACAATGATGAAACCAAAACAATGAGTTGCAATGTTCCGTCAGAATTTGCAACTTGGCGTTGTGAAAGAGACTCTTTGTAATGTTCAAAACTTGCTCTGGAGATCAGGGCCAGACCTGAGCTGTCGGCGAGATGGCCATATTATAGTTATGGATACTTGCCGGAGATACCCTCCAAGGTCCTTGCAACCTTGGTAGTGGAGGCTACTATACTGGGTAGATTCAAGAGCTACAAGAACTACAGGAGATGCAATTAACTAAACAGTGGTTGAGGCCATTCATAACCATACGGTTGAAAACTCAAACTAGGAGGGCTCATACATAATAGACTTATAAACTCTCGTTATCAAGTGCTAGGTAATGTCACCTATGTTATCCTGTGTAGAAAGTTGTTCCTTAAGGTATTGTATAAATTTCTTACCTAGGCCAGTTGACCTTTTTTGTCTCGCGACGGCGATAGTCAACTCTCATATGATGTGGCTTTTCCTTCTCTCATAGTACGCGGTCGTCGCACCTTTCCGGTGAGAAGGACATGTGTGAGTCGCTAGTCAAGTTGACTTCAGCAGCTGCTGGGAACATGAGTGTAAACCTCACTAATAGGAGTTAGCCCAGACACGAACCATGAAACCCACCAACGTGTGGGAAAGGCGAACATGAAGACAACATCAAAAAGAAGACGCCTGCAACAAAAAGGAAAGTTGGAAAAAAATGCAAAAGAAATAGCACGACCTGGTTTCGATCCAGGGACCTCTGGGTTATGAGCCCAGCGCTCTACCCCTGAGCTACCGTGCTTGCTGATGTCATCCACAGAAACTACGCAAACTATGTGCCCTACAGGTAGGGGTCTGTGGGGCCTTCCCGACCGGCCGCGCCCGCCGCGACACCGAGAAAACGGCATGACTAATGACAGCATCTGCCTAAACTTGGATTGAATTGTTTCCGAGCTACGGTGCCGTTCGTCTCAATATCTCCATCTCCAAGGTTATTCCTTCCACTGGCTTCCGTGGCAGTTCGCACCTGCCTTTTCGCGCTTCAAAGTCGGTGTCCCGTGGCAACGGCAGGGTGCGGCACAGCGGAGTGACCCCCGGAAACGGACCCGCCAGAGTGCCCGCCAAGATCCATATGAGGCCGTCCCTTGCAAACCGTGGCGGAGTCTGCCTGGAACATGTCGCTGGACGAATGTTGAAGGATCGCTGAGGGCTCTCGACAGCGCAGAAAACCCCCCGCAAACGACATGAAAAACTGCAGCAACAACACCCGGCAGCTCGAATGAGGCCCACCAGAATCACGTTTTCGGGATTCTTTACCTAGAGCCACACTGCACTGGGTCGCTGGAGTGTTCCAGTCTGGGCGGGTGCGACCCGACCCAACCACCCACCCCATTGGAAGGCCAAGATCGGCAAGGCAACTGCAGCGCGCTGCGCTGCGCTGCTGCACTGCACTGCGAAAAGAGAACAATCAAAAATCTGGCCTTGGCCCTTATCCCCAAAGAAGCGACCAGGATGATGCCGAGCCTTGCCTCGCCGCCCATCTCACTCTCACCGACTCCTTCATCTCACCTTCACATCACTGACGACGAACGTCTGCTTGAGTCTTTTGCAAACGGCGAGAGCGTCATGTTGAGCTGCAGACCGCGAGGCGCCAGCACTTCTCTCCGACGGAAATCGCCCTGATGGCCCGCTTTCAGGCTCTCGATTCCTCCAGGCTCGACTCATCCGACCTTTTCCGCTTCGACACCCTCGCTCTGCGCGATGACATTCTGCTGATTGACGGCCGGACGGCCTCCAAGGTAGAATACGACGAGTATGTTGTCTTCAAGAAGGATAGCACAGCACCCTCGGGGCTAGCTCCGGATGACGAGGGCGGAGACGATGTCAGCTTCAAGCTGAACCACGATGAAGAAAGGCCAGGGTACCAGATGCTAGACCTGGCCTTCCGTCGCGGATGGGTGGTAGATCACAACGTAAGCTGCTCCGTACTACTTGGATGATTCTACGGGATCCAATTGCTAATGCCAGACCAGGGCGACTTTACCCAAGACCCAGCTCGCGATCCCGCGCTCGTCTTGGACGGCCGCGTGAGAAGAGTGTGAGTGAGCACAAATCTTTGTGGTGGGACCCCTTCAACTGACAACCGCAGCATCTGCTTCCGCCGCAACAAGTCCTTCGACCGGCGAGAAGACGGCATCACCATGACTCCCCAAGACATGGACGCACTGGACCTTCACCCAGCAACCCTTCAATACTCTCGTCGCGTCACGAATGAGTCCCGCTTCTGGTCCCTCGACCAGAATAAACTTAGTCAGTACTGCCGCATCCACACGAGTACGTCCCGCAGACACTGACCCTCTCAGGCCTCATCCTCTCCTTCTCCAACAATCCACGGACACCATACGACTTTATGTCACTGACCTACGACATCCGGGACCGCCTCACAACGGTCCTCGTCAGACAGTCCTTCTACCCCCGCCAACACAACCTGGAGAACCTCGACGAATACGACCAGCGCCTCGAAGCCTGTCGAGCCCACTGGGCCCACCCCTTCATCACCCCCGTCGTCCTCCTCCAAGTGCAGTTCATGCGCACCGAAGAAGCCGTCATGGAGAACATCAGCCACGTCAGATCCTTGGAGTTCGAAGTTAGCAACATCGCCGGGTTCGAAGCCTTCGAGATAGAACGCGAGCGGAGATCGAAACTCATTCGCCGGTTGACCTCAACTTTCAACGCCAACAACGAGAAGACGCCCACGGTCGCGGGCCCAATGAGCATGGCGAACCTCATGAAGAGCGCCCATGACGTGCTCAAAGAGTCCATCAAGCTGTTGGATACCGTCCGTTGGATGGAGAGGGTCGTAAAGCTGATGCTGCAGTCGGGAGATGAGCTCGCGCAGCGCATGTCGACTGGGAAGCTGAACGTACGTCTGAATGATCTCAGCGCAAAGGATTTCATGGACGATGAGCGGGACCGGCAAGATCAGCAGGACCAGAACGATGAACCCCCGACCGGACCGCCGTCGCGGTCTTCTGCGAGCACGCGGCGAAGGTCTTTACCACCGGCCCCTGACCCGCTGGCCGACCCTCTCGGCAATCACTGGCATGAGATTCGACAATATCTCGAGGGTCTCCAAAGAATGTGCATGGGCCTGGAAACGGACCGCCGCATGTCCGAGGCCCGTTGCCGCGCCCAGATCGATATTGTATGTCACCTTCTACGTCGTCGTCCTTGACTCCGCTGACCTCCCCAGATCTATTCCAAGATGGCTCAAGAAGACAACGTCCTCAACGCCCGCATGGCCGTCGCCTCCTCCCGCGACTCCTCCTCAATGAAAGCCCTCGCTGTTATCACCGCAATTTTCCTCCCCGGCGAGTTTCTCGGCACCCTCTTCGGCATGTCCATGTTCGACTGGCAAGCCTCGGGCGAAGACGCGGACGGCACCGACGGGAACCCAGAATCCGGTTCCACGAACCCGAAAGACCCGATCCCCGTACTCAGCCATCTCTTCTGGGTCTACTGGGCCACCGTGATCCCCCTCACCGTCGGCATCTTGTTCGCGTGGCGCGCCTGGTGGGTATCGCAGGATCGCTACTTCAGGCGGCATCTCTCGAGGGAGCTCTCGGAGGAGCGGTACTGGACGTCCGACGGCAAGCCGAGGGAGCTGGAACACTCTTTCTGGCACGACTTCTTCTACTTGTCGGTCAGGCGAGACGAGAGGCCTGCTGCGACGGGAGATCCGTACAGCACGCTCGACCTGTCGCCGAGTCTGTCGCAGGACAAGGATGACATGCGCTCGCCTCGCGAGGCGACGGTGAGGAGGGGCCAGATCTCGTTCCTGAGGTCGCAGAGTCTGCGGCAGCGGAACCATGTGGCTGTGTGATGTCCTGTACATGTGTGTAATGCGTATATATGACCGACGGAAGTAATGCGGATTTTCGATAGGCTCTGGAGAGATATCAGAAGCTCCTTGTGTGTGGTTTTCCTTAGCTAGACACGAGATGCGATAAATGACAATGATGACCGAGACAAAATTCTTTGAATGCCATCGAGTGCCTTTGAACACATCAAGCGCAACTGATCATCATTTCCGCGCTGTCATCTCCGGTTATCTTCACCGTCCGCCCCGGTTACCGCCGCATCTTTCTCGTCCCCAACAACTTTCTCCGCCCCTTGGCCGTCCTCGGGCGAGACTGGCTTCGGTTTTGGGGCCTCGACCCCAGCTTTGCGAAGCTGCCACCCACCGCTCCATCCGATCCACCCCTTCTCTCTCGGGCCTTTGGAAAGGGTGACCAGCAACGATAGCCCGATGAAACCGACTAATTTTCGTTAGACATCGATTCAGAGCATGAGAGGAAGAGAATGACTTACTGGTCGCGCCTCCGCTATACTTCCACCCGCCCTGCGCATACAGCCTGTTTCCCACCGCTGTGCCCGTCAACTGCCCACAGAACACCGACACCATGTACGCCGTATTGACCCTGTTCCTCGCCTTGGCGTTGATTGTGTAGATAGCCGTCCGGTTCGCCGTCTGCGCCGTCTGGATTCCGATATCAATGCAGATGGCCTGGATCACCGGCCCCGCCACCGTGATCGTGCTGGTGAAGGCGCCAACGAGACACCCGATCAGGATTACAGTCTGTCCCAGCACAGACGACATGAACGGGACGTATCGGTCCATGATGAACCGCCCATACACCGGTCCCCCGCAGATCGCCGCAATGCCAATCAGCGAAAAGAGACCAATCGTCAGCGAGGAGAACTCGTACGGCGGCGAGGCCAGTAGGAACGTCAAGGTTGTCCAGAAGGACGTGAAGATGGAGCTGATGCAGAAGCCCACCAAGCACGCATGCACCAGGATCGGCTCGCTGAAAAACATGGTCACGATCGTCCATAACGCCTTGAAGTAGTTCAGCCCGTCCGGATTGGTCGAAGGGTAGTCCGGCATGACGAAGAAGAGGAGGATCAACAACAGGTACTGCGTCCCGAACGCGAACCAGTAGATGTTGCGCCACGAGGTGTAGTCGGCCACGATGCCGGACAACAGTCGCGCGATGAGCATCCCGAGCATCAGACCGGACGTGACGATGGAGAGCGAGCTTGCTTTGCGGTTGGCCGGGGCCATGTCGGCGACGAGCGGGAGCATGAGCTGCGGCGTGACGGTCGAGACGCCCACGAGAAAAGAGAGTGCAGAGAATGCGACGAAGGAGTTCGTTACGCAAAGTCCGAGCCACTGTGAACAAAGTTCAGTACTTGATCGTCCCATTTTGGAAGGAACTTACCAGCATCGCCGTTGCCCAAATGAGGACCAAGATGAAGGGCCGCCGCCGTACCATGTCGCCCAGCGGGCAGATGAAGAGCAGGCCCGCGGCATATCCAGCCTGCATCAGCGTCGCGACTGACGACGCGCGCTCGAAGCTGACATCGAACGTCTCTGCGATCTTGTTGAGAACGGGTTGATTGTAGTAGAGATTGGCGACAGTGAAAGTGGCAGTCTGTGTCCGTTAGCACCTGCACGTTCGGCTGGGTAAAACAGGAAGAACTCACCACCGCATACAGAAAGTTATGCGCGAGAGAAAACTGAGGTGGTTTCGTCGGGTTGTATCGAAGCCTTTTCGGCGTTAAAGTAGCAACGCTGACCGCCAACTCCCGGATCCCAGTTCGCGCCTTCCCATTCTGCGATTCGCAATCCGAACTCGACGGAGATGGCGTCGGCGATCTCGTCCCATCTCCGTCCGGTATCCTTCCCTTCTGGTCCTTCTCGAAGACATGTCGCTCGGGAGAGTTCAGGCTTGACTCCTGCGGGCTGAAAGCTTCCGCCGCCGCCGCCTCACCGGGCCCGACCGCTGCCGTCGACGCCGCGCCCATGTCCCTGTCCGTGTCACCTCTAGCAGAGTTTCGTTTCTCCGACATGCTTTTCATAGAAGAACGAAGGAACAATAAGAACAATTACTTTCAGCACCTCCTCTCGTCAATTTGCCTGTGAAAGAAAGCAGATCTCTTGTCGTTATCTCTGTTTCTTTAGCGCTCGCGCGGAAGTCCGTTGGGGAGGCTAGTTGGGTAGAACAGCAGGTGATGCGTCATTGCAGGTCTCGGCCGCAATCAACGAAACTCGGCGCCTGTCTGTCTTTCAACCTTGTTGCGACTTCATGTCTCGGTTGAAGTCTCTCGCGCGAGGAAGAGGAATTTTCCGCAACGTCCTTTTCGGCAGATTTTCCCTTTGTTCTATGACGCGGTTGGTGAGGGGACATTCGCGATGGATCTACAGCGCAACGGCACTGGGGTAAGGGTGGATGGGTGGAGATAGGCGCCGTTTGATGGCGCGAGACCGGGGTCTGCTCCTATCATCGCGAGGGAATCGTCGGCCGGCACCGACTCGGCGTGGGGGTGGATTCCGATGTCCGGCTTCCGAGTTGGTGACATACATCGTTACGGCGTTGAGAAGCTTCAGAGACTTGAATAGCAAAACTTTTGAGTAGTGTCCTATCTAGCTGGCTCTTCCTGGAATGGAGAAGCCGGCACCCTTTGCGATTAACCATTTCTAGTATCTCAGCGCATTCCATGCACCCCCCCCCCCCCCCCCCCCCCGAGAATTCAGCCATCCGAAATTCCCACGTGTCAAGTAGACCTGGTGTCCTGTGTGACCAGCTCTCAGTCGCAGACCACGCGCTGCTTGGCCAACAGCATGTAACGATCGTAGTTATCGCCGTCCGCCGTACCAATCTTCGTCAAGAATGGGGAAACGCGGAAGACGACCCTACTCGTCCTGTCCAAGTCCTTTTCCCACATCTCCGCTTCCATCATGTCGGGGTGGTAGCGGGAAGGCCAGGCATATGACCTATTAGAAGGCTCCCACTCAACCAAGAAGTGGGCTTTAGACTTCATGAAGATTCTCTGCAGCTCGACAGCCTCTTCGTAAATCTTGTCAAGTGCGTTGTCGATGCTGAGACGGGTGGCGCGGCAGTTCTTTTTGTCATGGGGCAGGAATTTGTACCAGCCCTCGAGCTCCGGTCCGACAGCTTCATATGTGTCCCAGCTCTTGATTCCCATGATCTTCTCTATCATGGCGCCGCCCTTTGCTTTCCAGCGGAAAAACTTCTTTGCATCATGGCCCTCTTCTTGGATAACACCTACTCCTAGTCAGTAACTCACATTGGTATACGGTCATCTACGGACAAGCTTACCGAAAAGATCACGACAGATGTGGACAAAGCGGTCTCCGACTCTTCCGGACCAAGCTCCGCGCAGGTCGTCCTCTTCGCCATGGCCAAATATGCTTGACATGATGCCGTTCCAAATGTATCTTTCGACGACGAGAGATCTGATGTCCTCATCCTGGAGGAGGTCGCAATGCCGGGCCGACATACGTCCAACAGCAGAAGACGCATCAATAAGTTCGCTTCGCAACTCCTCTTGGGAAGGACAGCCAGTGAGAAGAGTCGTCGCCATGTCTCGGATGTTGTACGACATGCTGTTCCATAGGTTGACAATGGCGGCGTCCGCGACTTTGGTTGAATTTGAGACTGACTGAGGTGAGGCTGCGCAGTCCTTGGTCGCGATCAGCTGCTGATTGAGTGTTTTGTTGTCGGCCATGAGTTTGTCGATGTCGTCCTCAAGCCTCAGAATCTTCCTGTCAAGAGTATCCCGAATAGTAGCTTCAGTCTCTCTGCTCTTCTTTGCCTCTTTCTCGGCTGTTTGCAGCTTCTGCTTCAACTCTTCAATCTCATGTTCGCGCTCACTGAGCTTGCTCTTGGAATTGTCAATCAGCGCCGTGTAATCAAGAATCTCATTTCTGAGCTTCTTGATCCTGACATCTTGTCGACCAATGAACCCCTTGGTAACAAGCCAAAACTTGCGCGTGGCTGAGGAGATTTTGACATGGTTAAGCGCACGCTTCAGCCGGTCAATCTCGATGTCCTTGAGTTCCATTTTTCTCAAGAGCTTCCTTGCTTGAGAAAGTGGCGAGAGGGTAAGATAAACATCATCGGATGAGAAAATAATCTCATTAGTTGTCGAGGCAGCTGATGCACCAGTGATGTTGTTGTCTGAAGTGGTCTGACCGCCCGTGTTCTCTTGGTCATTGGGTTCTGCATCGGTCATCACGAGATCGACGCTTTCCTGCTCTATAATGTCAACAGAAAGGTTCCGAAATGAAGTGAAATAGCAAGCTTGTAAGGCTTACCTCGCTTGAAGAATGCTCCATGTTTTCATCTCCTGAGGTGGATGCATTCGCAAAGGCCGAGAAAAGCAATCGTGGGAGTTTCATCTCGAGAAGAAGACGTTGACGCTTTGGAAAATGGTAGATAAGATGGTTTGAGAAATAAAACTTTGGTCCTAATGCCAACTCAGAGATCGAAAGCAGGAGCAAAAGTTGGAGGCTAGGTTCGTTACCCAGTCATGTGACGTATTGACTGTATGGGTTCCATTACCTGCCCAAGATGGGAAGGAAGGTGCTTGAGTACTTGAGGACGCGGTCCTTCCTGATCGATCTCGAAAGAAAATTTCTTTATTTGGCCTGCCTCACTACCTTTCCCACCCACGCTTGGGAAACTCGGCGGATTCCTTCCTTCTCTCCAACCTCCAACCCGATCACCAACTGAAGTTTCACAACTCAGTCAGTGATTTGAGATGGTTTTTACCTCACTTCGCAGCTACATTTAACCTCTTGCCTTTCAAGATTCTTAACAACACTTCGCTGGTTTCACTTCTCCTACTACCAAGCAGTTTCTTATTTTGCATCTCCCCTCAACCAAGTCTTCTACTCCCGCAACGGATCATGTCTTCCAACGGCAAGAAGCGTGCCAGCTCCGGCAGGTTATCGAAGACTCCAACGAAGGGCTCTCCCGCAAAGAAGGATGCGGTCATCATCATTGGAATTGACTTCGGCACAACGTAAGTTCGGCCATTCGCCAGAGCAACAATATTCCATGCTAATATCACTTCAGCTACTCAGGAGTCAGTTGGGTTCGATCTGGGCAGCCTAACAACATTGAGGTCATCACGAACTGGGAGACCCAAATGAGCTATGCTGGGGACCAAGACAAGACCCCAACTAAGATTCTTTACGGAGGGCCGCAGGATGATGCTACTTGGGGATACGACATTCCGACGGACACTGAAAGGGAGCCCCTTCAGTGGTTCAAGCTATTGCTAGTTGACCAAGAAGACCTCCCCGAGCATCTGCGCGAGTCTGCCAAGATCGCCAAGGCGAGAAAGCTGGTCCATGATTGCAACAAGGATCCAGTTGAAGTCATTAGCGGCTATCTTCGTCTTCTCTGGAATCATGCTATTGGATGTATCACCAAAACGGCCGGACCTAAGCTCGTTCAAATGAGCAGATTCCAGGTCATCATCACTCTTCCTGCTATTTGGCCCAGTTATGCCAAATCCCGCATGCGCCGAGCCGCTGAAGATGCAGGAGTGCTGAAAGTGCGCGAGGCCGGAGAAACCACTCTGTCTTTCATCGCGGAGCCCGAAGCTGCAGCACTGGCAACCATTCGGGATCTTGGTCTGGGTGAAGGAAGACCTGATATCGAAGTAACTCGCCGCCTTCCTCAATCCAGTTTGACCGTTGCACGAGCTGACATCTTCTCTCCAGGTCGGCGACCACTTTGTAGTATGCGACGCGGGCGGTGGAACGGTGGACCTCATAAGCTATGAAGTTCTCAGTCTTGATCCTGTGGAGGTGCGAGAGTCAATCAGAGGTGACGGTGATCTTTGCGGAGCCGTTTTCCTCGATGAAGCATTCGTCGAACTCCTCAAGCTGAAGGTCACCCCCGCAGCCTGGGACAACATGTCAAAAGAGCAAGCCGCCAGAGTTCTGCACATCGACTGGGAGAACGGCATCAAGAAAAATTTCGAAGGCCAGGACAAGCGTTGGAATGTCTCGCTGCCTTTCGAGTGCCGGATTCCGGGGTCATCCAATCGGGGTGTGAAGCGCAAGAGGGACATAATCTTGAACCGTGAAGACTTGACACCTGTCTTCGACCCTATTGCCGACAAAATTTCTGCGCTTGTGAACAAGCAGCTTGCTGGAGTCTTCAGCAAATCGGGCAAGAAACCCCAGGTAAGATACGTCACTTACATCCATCTTTCGCCGAAGCTAATATCCTCGCTCAGCATGTCATGCTTGTCGGGGGTTTTGGAAGATGCAGATACGTCCGGGAGCGACTCCAACAAAACATTGGAGACGACATTTCGATTCTCCAATCTTCCGGCCACACATCTGGCTCCGCATCGTAAGTCTCTCAAGTACTTTACTTTCCAGTTTCGTTGTCTAACACATCTAGTTGGACGGCAATCTGCCGTGGCGCTGTCATTCATGGCCTTGCCCGCCAGAACTTGACTCCTGAGTTTTCCATCAGCGTCAAGTCTCGAGTCTCTCGAATGAGCTATGGAGTCACGTATCACAGCAAATTCAACCCTGCCAAGCACGAGGAGCGTCACAAATTTTGGTGCCCCCTAAAGATGGTGTATGAAGCGTCTCACCAGGTGGAATGGTTTCTCAAGAGGGTTCGTATTCCTTTCCTGAGCCGCGGATGCTTTTCTAAGTTTTCTTTACTAACTGTACTTCTTTATTGCAGGGTGACGATGTGTCCACTGCCGAGCCTGTTCGTTTTGATTGGCAGATGATTTACGATACAGCTCCTGGAAAGATTTCCACCGAGTTGTCATCATCCGAGGCCTGGCCTGTCCCCAAGGTTCAAGACGACACGGTCAAGGAGCTGTGCAAGGTCAAGTGGAGTAAGAAGATTGACTTCGAATCCCTTCCGACTGAGGTCAACCCCGTCGGTAAGGTTTTGCGCAGACTGGAGTTTACCACGGAGATGACCTGCGATGGTGTCAGCGTTGACTTTACTGTCATTCATGGCGGCAAGCGCGTCGGTGCCAAGAATGTCGAGGTGGTCTTCAAGGACGAGGAGTGATCTCAATTTCTGGCAGAGGCAGTCTTGGGTTAGGTGGCAAGCAGCTCGCAGGTACATTCATGGAATGGATTAATGAAGCAGAATTCGCATACCACAATGGATTTGCTGGCATCACAGATCGATAGCACGATAGAAAGTATACAAGACTTCAGGAATACTTGGTGCGCAAAGCTGTGACACAACTGCTGTGCGTCAACCACCCTTCATCTCGTATGTCATATCTTGTCCTCCAAGACGCATGCTGGCTCTATGAACATCAGCTTATCGACAAGAACGGCGCTGCAAATAAGCGCTCACTTCCAAATCACAAGCCGATATCTATGAGCCTATGGCAACAGCACCCGAGATAAGTCCTGGACACGACCAGAGACTAAAAGACGTGAAGCGCCAATGACCGGCGTGCTGGGTCAGCGCCATGCGTGGCATTGGTTTGCGGTTAGATGAAGTACTTGCGCGTCATCGCTGACTGCTACAGTAGGACGTCGATCGGCTGATTGGTCTGGCATTACGGGCACCTCTTTTAGGGCGGATCGGGGAGGGGCGTTGAGACTTCACTTGAAGCGGCGCTTGAGGAATGACTCGAAGAGCCAATGATAGACAGAAGAGAATGACGATACAACAATCAATAGCTTGTTCACAGCACGTACTTCCTACCTCCGAAGATGCCGGAGACTCGACGGTGTGTTGTCAACGACAACCCAAGCTTATCTCAGCCTCAACGGCCACGATTGGACCACGATATCGGTTCGCGGGATGGATACCCGCTACGGCGGCAATGAGGCACTCGTAGGGCTGCGTCTGATACGTCGGTTCAATGAGATGTAATGGATGGAATATGAGACTCGCTTTCTGTGGCGTTTCTGAAATGCAGCACGTCAGCATTAGGCTTTTTGGCGGCCTGTGACAGATTCTGGGAGGAAAGGTATCGGAAAGGCGACCAGTCGGGAGGAAAGGAAAGTCGATGGCTCTGAAGAGACAAGAATCGGTATGCAGCTCTCGTATCTTTCGGAGGTCGATGCAGGTCGGACTTAAGGGGCCATGACCTGAGTCTTTGTATGAATAGCTGCTGGCCTTTCGCCTTTGAGGTCGCTCTCAAGGGGCTTGCTTTCAAGACCGACAAACGCGTAATTGACCGAGATAATGAAGAAGAGTTTGTGCTAAAGAAGCCAAGAACATGTTCGTTGATCGCAGGCCTTGTGGAAAGGGGATGCTCGAGTTCTGGGAGATGATACGTCGAGCTTGCCTCCCAGAAGCTGACGTGAAGCTGGCGGCGGACCGCCCGAGTGGCAGACTTGGGTGGAATCTGCAGCTTGTGGCAGTGATGATTCCATATCTTTTTAGGAAGTGAGATTGGGCTGACGGCGGGCCAGCCTGACGACCTCGTGGCGATCGAGGAAGTAGTATATGGGCGCGGTTTCCGGGTTCCCGGGTCTCCTAGATGTTGCTGTATGGCATCTGTTCGCAGCGCCAGCACATCCTTCTTTATCGAGCTTCAATCCCTTGACAAGATAACATGGCTGTTGAGACTGAGAAGCAGCAAGAGGCCGTCCCGACGGGCGGCCCTCTTGAGAAGGCAGAGCCAGACAATGCTTCTACCAAAGGTCCCGTCTCGGGGGACAACACCGACACGGAGCGAGGAGCCACGAAAGAAGTAGCCTCCGAGCCCGTCCGCACCGTGACCGGCATCAGATGGATCATCGTCGTCTTCGCCATCCTCTCCTCGACCTTCCTCTTCGCCCTCGACAACACCGTCGTCGCCGACGTCCAGCCGCAGATCGTGCTGCAGTTCGATGCCATCACGGACATCGCATGGCTGGCCGTCGCCTTCATCATGGCCGCGACGTCGACGAACTTGCTCTTCGGGCAGCTGTACTCGCATCTCAAGCCCAAGTGGCTGTACATCGGGAGTGTCGTCGTGTTCGAGGTGGGAAGCGCGGTGTGTGGTGCTGCGCCGACCATGGACGCCCTCATCGTCGGTCGAGCGTTGTGCGGTCTCGGCGGTGTGGGGATGTATCTTGGAGTGATGACTCTCATTGCTGCGACAACGACTATTCAGGAGAGGCCTGCGTATCTGGCCTCGATCGGGTTGACCTGGGGCCTGGGCACTGTACTGGGACCCGTCGTCGGAGGTGAGAATTTCCAACGTGACTTGTTGATCGTGGCTAATCGGTCTTCTAGGTGCGTTCGCTGATTCAGATGCCACATGGCGATGGGCCTTCTACATCAACCTGCCGATCGGAGGCCTCGCCGCACCTGTTTATCTCTGGATGCTTCCCTCCCCTGATCCTCAACCCGGCGCGACTCTGCTCCAGCGCTTGAAAGAGTTGGACTGGGTCGGCGCGCCGCTTATGCTCGGCGCCATCATCTGCTTCACGATGGGTATCAGCTTCGGCGGCGTCATGTACGATTGGGACTCGGGCTCCGAGATCGCCCTCTTCGTCGTCTCCGGTGTTCTCTTCATCGCCTTCGGTATCCAGCAGGCGTACTGCATTGGCACCACCAAAGAACGTCGTCTCTTCCCCGTCGAGCTCGTCTTCTCGATGAAGTACTACCGTACCATCATCCTCATGTTCTGCATCACCGCCTCGGGAGGCTGTGCCATCTTCGTCCCGGTGTATTTCATTCCCGTATTCTTCCAGTTCACGAGGGGTGATAGCGCGATCGATGCTGCTGTTCGGTTGCTTCCTTTCATCATCCTCGCTGTCTTCGTCACGCTTCTCCAGGGCGGTATGCTCGCGCACCCCTCTGGCAAGTTCGGGATGTACTTCCCTTGGTTCACAGCTGGCGGAGCCATCGTCGTCACGGCGGCAACCCTCATGTACCACGTCAACCCAGACCGGAGCACGGCGTATATATACGGCGCTTCAGCGCTGCTCGGAGCCGGCGTCGGCACCTTCACCCAAGCGGGCTTCTCCATCGCGCAAGCAAGCGTGCCTGAGGACATGGCTGCCATGGCCTCCTCGCTGATGGCGCTTGCCCAGACCAGCGGCATCAACATCGCGCTTGCAGTCGGTAACGCCGTGTTTCTGAACAGAGCCGAGAAGCGCTTGACGGAGATCCTCCCGGACACCGTTCCGGAAGAGCAAATTCAGCTTGCCATTGCCGGTGTCGGGACTGACTTCGTTTCGACCCTGCCTCCGGACATGCAACGGGAGATCCTCGAGGCCATTGTGGAGGCGTTGAACTTGCCGTACATCTTGGTGATCGTCGCTGGTGCTATGGTGCTTGCGTGCAGCCTGCTTTGCAAGAGAGAGCGCTTGTTCATGAAGGCCGCTGCAGGCGGCGCTTGAAGAAGGAAGGCATGCACATTTGCTGACGGGAAATGGTCGGATTTGACTGATACTGATGGTTCATGTTGTGATGGTTTCTTTGGTGCGATTCTGAGTCTTCCTTTTTAGACTTGACGTTTGTTTGACGTTCGATAGATAAGATACCTATAATAAAGTATGAGCACATTATCCACACATAGCTCAACATGTCCTTCGGAGGCCTTTCGACATGAGGGGGAGAAATGAGGCGCCTCACGTTTAGCCGTAGCCCCTGAGACCCAGAGAAACCTCCACTTGCTATCAGGTAAGGTAGGCGCCAACGATGAGACGAGAGACGGAAGTTGAATTGGGCAACGATACGAAGGATTATCCGGGCTGCTTTCGAAAACGGTTGCGTTTGATAGCTTTCTAAGTTGCCGATTGAAGACAGCTTGTGATATGTAAGGAACACGGGTTCGCGGGGAATGGAGACTGATGACAGCTGCCGTAAACGCCCCAGTCGGCAGCAGCTGCCAAGTTCGCGGTGGACAGTGCACGACGGCCCGATGTGGATTTCGCCGAAGAACCCGTTCAGGTCCCTGCTTGTCTAGATTATCTAATCAGCTCAGACCCGCTGTTTTAAAACACCAGCCAGGGGTCCTGTGCAGGTGCGTTGCAGGAGAGTTTCGCTCTAACTTGTTTCGGCCATCCCTTCCTCGGCTGGGGGACGAGGGACAGGACATCCAAAAGTTGACACCTCTCGGATTCTCGACATCGCAGGACTGAATCTCATCCAACCCTCGGAGTTCCGTCGCGACTCACCACCAACTTCAATCGACGAACGACGACCTACATCGGCTCCAGTATCCCGCACCTTCCGCGAACAACTATGAGTTCATGAGAACCGGATCCCATCGCGCCTCGCTGCTGCTGCTGTCCCATCACAGCCCGCCATGGCCGGCCTCCCTTTGAGAGGCCAAGTCCGCGGACTCTGGCTGGCAGCCTTCCTGCATCTCATCTTCGCCGCCTCCGTCCGCGCGTATATGAACCTCACGGACTCGGCGCTGCGAAACATCACCGTCAACGAGGCCGACTTCGACATCCACAACGGCTCCCTGCTGTCGCCCATCCTCATCCCTCGCGTACCCGGCACGCCTGGCCAGGTAAAGACCCAGCAGCACTTTGTCGACTTTTGGAAGGAGAACTTGCCGAAATGGAGCATCGAGTGGCAGAACTCAACCGGCAAGACCCCCGTCACCGGGGACAAGGACGTGCCGTTCCAGAATCTCATTTTCCGTCGCGAGCCGCCCTGGAACAAGCCCGGGCAGGCCAACTGGTTCACTCTGGTCGCTCATTATGACAGCAAGATCGAGCCCGAAGGATTCATCGGCGCGACTGATAGCGCCGCGCCGTGTGCTATGCTGATGCACATTGCGAGGGCGGTTGACCCGTACCTGACCCAGATGTACGATGAGATGGTGGCGCTGGGTGAGAATGGAGGAACGGTGCCCCAGGACATGGGAATGCAGATCCTGCTATTGGATGGCGAAGAGGCTTTCAGGTCTTGGACCGATACCGACTCATTGTACGGCGCGAGGTGAGTGAAAGAAACGTGTTTATCAAAGCATTCATGGAGCTGACGTTTCTGCAGGTCTCTGGCCAATGAGTGGGAGAAGACTTACAACCCAGCCATGTCTCGTTACAAGAACCCACTGGAACAGATTAGCATCTTCGTCTTGCTTGATCTGTTGGGATCCGCGGCCCCGCGGGTTCCCTCTTACTTTCAAACGACTCACTGGGCGTACAAGAGCATGGCCAGACTCGAGAAGCGCATGCGCGACCTTGGTGTCTTGGAGACCAAGCCTGATGTCCCGTTCCTCCCCGAGGGCGAGAAGGATGCGGCGCGCTTTGGGCGGAGCGGCATTGGCGATGACCACGTTCCCTTCATGGCGAAGGGTGTCAACATCCTCCACATGATCCCGTCGCCGTTCCCCTCTGTATGGCATAGGCCGGAAGATGATGGCGAGCACCTCGATATGCCTACGGTACGGGACTGGACGAAGATCGTGACGGCATTTACAATGGAGTGGCTTGATATGAGCGAAGTAATGCCCGAAGAGGCTGCATGAGTATAGCATATAAGGAATCTAGGAAACCATTTGTTCAAGTCCATTCCTCGGAGACTGTGAAGTATGAAGTATTTCGTTCTGTTTTCCTACTGTACATTTTCCCTCATGAACACACTCAGTCCTCAAAGAAGTCGTTTCCCCCCAAACCCTTCCTAGCAAATCTCGAGTCTGCTGTCTGAGACCGTGACCAAGACGGTGATGACAACAACAAATGAAGACGATAGTGGCACTTCACTCTCTTGTTCAGGTGCAATTGCCTCTCCCAGCTACTCACCTCATGGTCGCTGCTTTTAAGCGGTAAAGTGATGCCTGACATGATTTCAAGGTGAGTAGGGATGGAGCGGCGAAGCAGTGTTCGTGCAAGCGCCAACAGCCAACCCAGGCCCGTTTACTGAACCTGGGAACTGGTTACAACAAGTGGAGAACCAGGAAATGAGGAGAGACAATATAAGCAGCAAAAACGAAGTCCCCAATGCCCCTCGGAATTCTCTTCTCGCGTTCTTCCCCTGCATTCATCTTTTGCGCGGCAAACATGGACGATATCGCCCAGTTCAATCGCGACCACAATCATCAACCATCTCAACAACTTATCACTCTTGTGGCAAATGTAGAGAGTGCATCCAACAGCAAGTCGCACGCTAAATAAAAGACCACTGTGCTGTGTGTAGGTCGGGTTGTATCGTGCCTTATTGATTTCTCGTTTAAATTCTCACCATTCGAACGCTCAACATCGTAGCTGTGTCTGTACATTGTATTCCAGCGTCTATGTTACCGGGGCTCGTGGTGACGCACATCCATCCTTTGGCATTCATGGATGAGTTGTTGGATTGTGGAAGACGAAAGAATTATTTCCTCATTTCCATTGGATTGACGTGGTAATTAGTGCTTGATATTGTGGAAAGACGTTGAGAGTTTTGTCCTTTCTTTGGATACGGTTTTGGGGGGCTGGCCCTTTCTCATTCCTGCGATTTGGCCTAAACTTTTTAGTACTAAACCGACGGAAAGTCAACTGGAAGATGTCTCTGAAGATGACATTGTAGCAAATGGTAGAATAGACCTAAAGGATATGGTATTGATCTTCTCTAGCATTTAACTCTTCAAAGCGCGCCGTTACCTTCTCATAATGTCTAGTGATATTGGCGATATGGTATGATGCCTTGAGGTAAGCGGCGCATTTGACTTGAATAGAGATCATTGTGTTAACCCTTAGATAGGTGAATTGCGAGGACACTTATGTGCAACATCGAACGGTCTTTGGAAATTTGCTGGGTCCTTAGGTGCTTCCAAAAATTTTAGCTCAATGTAAACATCATCTTCCTGGAGTGAAATAGTCGTAATGGCCGTTGGCTGGCAGCAAGCAGGAACCTGGTCTATGAGGCCAACGAAATTAGGATTAGTAACGGCACTGAACTCTAGGGCCAAGCTTACGGCCTCGGTTCCCGCCGCCAGCTACCGGAATCCGAGGCCTGGATCCTGGGATCTGAGTTCTCGAGCCAAATATGTCCTAGGATTCAGGTGCCCATGGTGTCTGATCGTTGGCATAGGCGCTAAGTCTTGGAATGTTCAATGAGGTGTGCCTAAGTCTGGAGACCCGTTTGCTGAGATAAGTTGGAATCCTGGGATCTATTAGCTGTGGTATGCCTGAATCCTAGGATCTATTAGGTAAGGTGAGCCTGAATCCTGGGATCCCTTACGTGAGGTGTGCTTGAATCCTAGGACCTGTAAGGCTGAGTGTGCTATAAATCCCAGGACCTGTTTGCCTATAGCCCCAAAATCCTGGGACCGTGCAAGGCTAGTGAATCTGAATCCTGGGATATGTTGCTTGCATCCTGGGATTGGCGCCTGAACTCTGGTGCTTGTTTCTTGTGGATGCACTAGTCCTGGGATTCTGCAGTGCCAAAGTCTAGGCTCCCCCTAGGATGTACGGCTCCTAAACCCCTGCGTCGTAAGCGCCACCAAGCCAACACATAGGCGCCTTTGTACGGCGGTATCTATACCTCCCAAGGATCCCTTATGTTAGCGCGGCATCGTATCCACTATTTAAGTAAGGCTCTGAGGTCATATTAATAGTGGGACCTTGTCTGCGCTAACATTTGGGATCCTTGTGTAGGTGTACAGTACGGCTCAGGCACTTTAAGATAGTAGGGGAGCTAAGGACTTGTGAACGCTAAATCCCGGGTGGCTCCTATAGAAACGCATACTATTTAACCTTTCTATATTAATTAAGCTAAAACTCTACTTTACTTATTATTCACTCTATTTATTACTATATAGCTATTTTCCCCTATATTTTATTATAACTCTTAAGATCTATTTTCCCCTTTTCTTATTAGGCTTCTTAATAGTATTAAGAATAGCGTTTTTATATAAAGTATAAACTAATATAAAGAGGTAGCTAGCAAAATATTTTTAATTATAATAGATATTAGCTAAAAGACTTTATTATATTTTAATAGAGTTTTATAACTTAGCTAGATTATAGCGCTATAAGTATTAGTCTTTAAAAGCTATAAATTATAGAGAAAAAGCTGAACTAATTAACTATTAAATAAGTAGGCTTTTAATATATTATAATACTCTTACTATTAAGAAAAAGCTTAAAGTTAGTTCTATTTTATTAAGCTATTACTTAAGAGTTATAAAACTTAAACTACTATTAATATACAGGTAATAGAGACTATTTTAGAGAAAATAAAAAAAGTTTAAAAAAAGAAAATAAAAGAAAAAGATTTTAACTTGCTTTTATTATATAATAACTTTATTAAAAAATATAGTAATATAAAGAAAGACCTTAAGAAATAAAGCTATTTATAACTACTTTTTAAGTAAACTATATACTTAAAGATTAGATTTAATTAATTTATCTCTAAGTTAAACTAAAGAGAATAAACTTATATATAGTATTAAAATAGTATTAATTTTATTACTATATTAGGTTTAAATACTAGTTATATAGAGTATAAATACGCTTAACTTATATACCTTAGTAAACGCTAAATTAACTTACTAAATTCGCTCTAGTTACTATATCTAGCCTATATAACAGTATTAATAATTAATTACCTCTAAAGTTCTTATCTCTACCTCTTAAGTTTATTAATAAACTTCTACTATTAGAAGTTTAAATGCCTACTACGCTTTTAGCGCTAAAGTATAATACATAAGAATTTAATAGTTATTTAGATAGCTTATAGGGGAGCAGTATAATATAGCTAATAGTCTTTAAAGGCTTACCTTAAGAAATTTACCTATAAACTATTATAACCTATATATTATAACCTATTAGGTATAACTAATAAAGAACGCCCTACTAGGATACTAGGCGGTTATAATAACACTTTTATATATAGGATTATAGGAATAGGGAGGACTCCTCAGAATAAAAGAACTATAGGTAAGTTATATAACTAAGGAAATATAAGCACTAATAAGATAAGATATAAGCTACTTATAATATAGATTATAAGCGCTTACCTTAAGTAAACCCTAAGTAATTACCTAATAGATAATTAAGATAAAGAAGCTAGGGGAATAAGACTTATATATAGAATAGACTTAAGTCTACTTAAGTTTATACTTCTATAGCTCTTTAGTAATTAACTTATAATTATTACTTATAATACTTTTAGCTATACCTAAGTAATAATTACTCTATAACTCTTATTAAGGACTTAACTAATTACTAAGCCTTTTAAAGACCTATAATTACTTAATTAGACCTATAGAATAACTAATAACTATTACTATTATTATTACCTAACTTACTATTAATATAAACCCTACTATTAGTTAGCTAGCTGTAATATTACTGCCTTCCTAAAAGGCATTTAAGTAATCTAGTCTATTAGAGTGCTTCTTCTAAATAGAAGTACTTATAGAGCTTTAATTTTGAAGCTAATAAGAATATAAAGATTATTATATATCTAAGAGAGTTATATATTCCTATTAATTTATTATATATCCCTATTAATTACCTAACTATAATATATTTCTAATTAATATGTAATATTTAAGAAATTAATTAAATTAAAACTATATAAAATCCTCTTTTTAAAATATTTCTTTAATAAGTTAATATATTTATATATTATAATTAGTATTCTTATAGATATTATATTATTATTAGCTTATCTCTATTTTTTATTAATAACTATTATTTTAATATATTTTCTCTCTAATTTAAATTATTATTTCTATTTATAACTAAATATCTTCTACTTTAGCTATAATAAGACTTCCTCTTTATTTAAAATATATTTTTAACCCTTTAATATTTATTAAATAAGTTATTTTCCTCTTAAAGAATTTAAACTTTAGACCTTAATAAAGCAATTTAATATATAAATCTATAACTCTCTTTAATAAATACTTTATAGCTTTAATAATTAAAGTTAATAAGCTATTTTATTAATAAGAGATTTAATCTTTAATAAGTTTAAACTAAAAAAATATTTATATTAAGTTATTTAATATTTAAAAAGTCTAAATAAAGAGTATTATTAAAAGGGATCTTAAAGGTATTAATATATATAGCTTTATATTTAGCTTTAAAAATATACTTTTTATATTTAAAGAGATAACTTTAGCTTCTTTTAAACCTTTTTAAATATTTTTAATTATAAAAGTTTATATAAAAGTATTATAAAATATAAAGGAAAAGTCTTTTTTTATTATATAGATATTACTTTAATATAATATAGTTAATAAGTAAGGCAATTAGATAAGTAAGGCAATTACCTAACTAGGCAAACTAGACTTCTACTTTTATATATATATTACGCTATACCTAGTAATATCCCTTATAAATAAAGAAGCTTAATTAAACTTAGCTATTTAGGTAATTAAATAAGCTAATAATCTTAGTATAAGAGCTATATCCTAGATCTACTTAGTACTCTATTTAACGTTATGTAACTAAATTAAGGGAAAGATATTATAACGTAATATAATGCTAAACTTATAAAATTTAACTATACTTAAAGAGGAGAAGCTAGTTAAGTATATTCTCAACTTAGATTCCTAATTATTTCCTCTCTATATTAGTAGAGTAGAAGATATAGCTAATTAACTACTTATTAACTATAATACGCCCCCTATTAAGAAGCACTAGGCCTTAAACTTTATTAAGTAATAACTATAGCTCTAGACGCGCTTTTTTATAAATATAACTATAAGAGGGCTTAATAAAAAGACCTAGACGTAATAAATATATAGTTTTAGCTTATAGTAAATATAATTATAAAATATAGTATTATAGACTTAGATATCTATAACTTTAATAAGACTAGGTTTATAATAAGTTAGATTATATCTAAAATAGTTATAATAAGCACTAAAAAGCGTTTAAATATAAAAATAATATAGCCTAGTAACTATAAATAGGTTATAGTTATTTAGGTTATTAGTTTATTAGGCTATAGCGTTCCACTATATATTATTATTATAGGGCAATATTACCTCTCTACTTAGTATATAGAAATAGGTCTACTATATAACTAGGTTATTATAACGTCTAAAAATAGATAGATAATAAATAAAAGAGTCTTAAATTAGCTCTAGCACTTTAACTAATATATAAAACTATATATAAGTAGTAGATATTACCTTCTTATTATTAATAGTTATAAAAGTTACTATACTACTAACTTTAAGATATATTATAAAGAAAATAATATTATTACCCTTTATATACTAGCCTATTCCTCTTATTTACTCTAGCCTTTAGACGTTAGGTATTTTAAGCCCTTAAAGAAAGTATATAGTTAATAAATTAAGAATAAAATATACTAAAGTAATACCTATATTATAAAGGAAGACTTCTTCCCTATATTTTATAACGCCTTTATATAAGCCCTTATAGTTAAAAATATCTAGAGAGGTTTTAGAGGGGCTAGACTTATCCCTCTAAGTATAGAAAGTATACTTTTAAAGCTTAATATAAAGCTATATATATTAATACCTCTAGGATCCCTCCTAATAATACCCCCTACTTAGACTTTTTAGATACTAAATAACTTAATAGAGGTAATATCTTAGTTTAAACTTATTAAGAATTAAATCTTCTATTATTAAAATAGCTTATTAACTTTAATTATTAAGGCTATTAAGTATTTATTAAAGGGGGTATATAGATTTATATATTAAATTGCCTTATTAAGGTCTAAGAATAAAATCCTTTAGGAAGAGAATAACCTATTTAGCTAATACTAAAGGGCTAAAAAAGCTTAACTTAAATAAGGAGGGAGTCTTACTATAGGTAAGGCTAAAGACCTTTAATTATAAAGGGAGGCTATAGCTTAGATTAAAGAGGAAATATACTAGAGTAGTAGTTACTAGCTAAGGAAAGAGATAGGCTAATAGCAATATAGCGTCTATAGGAATACTAGTTATAATACGTAAATATATTAAAAGAAGAAGATCTTAACTAGTTTAAATTTAATTAATTTCTTAGGTATCATATATTAGTTAGAAATATAATATAGTTATAGTTAGGTATCTAGCTTGCTTATCTATCTAGCTTACTTATTAACTACGTTATCTAAATTTAATTATTAAAGCTATAAAGTATTTATTAAAAGAAATATTAAGATTTATAAATTAAACTACTTTATTAACGTTTAAGGTTAAATTCTTTAGAAGAAAAATAACTTATTTTATTAATATAAAAGAGCTAGAAAATATACTTTAAAAAAGAAAATCTTATTATAGCTTAAATAGATACTATTTAGTTATAAAGAGAGATAATAACTTAAATTAAAAAGAAAGTATATTAAAATAGTTATTATTAGCTAAGAACTAAAATAGGCTAATATTAATATAGCGTACTATATTATACTTAGGAAATAATTACTTTATTACTTTTCTTAAAGACTTTATTAATTACTAAAACCTTTAGAGATTTATAATCTACTCAATCTAAATTATAAAATAACTCTTACTATTATTATTACCTAACTTATAATTAATATTAACTCTATTATAAGTTAGCTAGCTATAATAAAAATACTTAGATATTAAGATTTAAAACTTATTTAATAGCTTAAGTAGTAAAATCTAATAATTACTTTTTAATTTTATATTAGTAGTTATAATTATTTATAAAATAGTATAATATAGAAATAAAAAGTTATTTTAAAAAAGTTAGGTAATTAACTTATTTATTTAACTAATATACTTTATAAGATACCTTTTATTTATTTTCCTTTCTTAAGATAAAATAAGTCTTATTTATCTTTTTATATTTTATTAAACCTTTAAAGACTTAAAAATAATATAAGACCTCTAAAGACTAATAATATTATCTCTAATTATAATAGAAATATAAACCTACTATTAGTTAGCTAGCTATAATACTAAGAATTATTCTATTTAATATTATATAAACTAAATTTTAAAGTATTAAAGTATATTATAGAAGTTAAGATTCTATAATAATCTACTAGCTCTAAGTATACTAGCAATATAGTTAGGCGCCTATTCTAATAGCAATATAGATCTTTAAACCATAAAGAATAGAATTCAGGAAATCTAGTGAACCTAAGAAAAAGGCTTTCTTAGCTGCTATTGAGAACGTCTTCAGCAAAGTACAACTAAATCCAGCCAGCTTGTACGTACCTAACCATTCACCACTTCCTACCTTTATCACACTTACTTCACGTAGTCAACACAAAAATATTTTACCACCAAAACAGAAATCCACCAACGCCTGCCGTCATCTCAATTACTAAACAGTTGCCTTCTTTCCCTACCGCGATCCGATTGTCGGTCTTCGCCGCGCATCATCAATTTCCCGTCGCAACCGTCGCAACACAAGGTGCCACCAGCAACACTCTCCCCGCCTTCGCATCTCCCCAAGCAAAATGTCCGCTTCCACATTCCTCCAGCAGTTCTTGCGTGAGGTTAGTACTCCCTGGTTACCTTCCGCTCCAGCTCCCTGACGGCTAACGCTTCGGCAGAACCAAGCCCGCCACAATTCGCTCATGGCGTGCATCCAAGATCTGCACAAGGGTCTCTCCACCGTCTCCAACTCTCTTCGAGTGGTCATCGAAAACAACCTGAAGCAGATGGAGGCTGTGGCCAAGGATCACCAGCAGCTTCAGAACGAGATCGCGAAGCTGCGCGACGAGCTCTCGAAGGAGCGCGACAAGCTCTCGAAGGAGCGTGATGAGCGTTTGGCTTGGCAGGCGAAGATGGAGGAGCGCATGGCCCTCCGTAACTAGTTGACGACCAACGACCTTTTGGTTTCTTCTGGGACGCCGTCGGTACACCTTAGACGGACAGTTGGTTTCCTTAGAATGCCCCCGCAACACGTCACAATAGCTAGGTAGACCTGTCTTTGATACCAATCACACAAGCTCATCGTCTTCAACCACTCGTCTTGGTGTTTGAATTTCGCGATGTGTTAACGTCCGTCACCCACTTCTAGGCCCTCTTAAAATGCATTACTACTATTTCTACTCTCTAATAGCTCTCTAATAATAATTATAAATATCTCTATTAGTACTTTTATAATATCTTTAACTTTTTAGTTATATACTCTTTACTTTCTTATAAGCTAATATTAATTAACCTCTTTAAGCTATAGCTAATAAATGAAGTCTTAGAAATATATCTTTAAATAAAATATATATAAAGACTAATAATTTAATACTAAAGTTAAGGGGCTTAATTAAGAGATAATATATTTAATAATTAATAAAAGCTTCTTTTAACTTTAAAAGACTATTTAGCTAAATATATTTAAATTTAAGCTACTTTAAACCTTATATTAATATATTAATAACTAAAGAAATTTATAAATTATATTATCTAGATCTAAAGAGACTTTAAGTTTCTTAAAAAGAATTAGATTTAGGATTTTATTAAGAAGAAGCTATTTATAAAGGTCTTAAGAAGGTAGTTAGTTTCTAATATATTTATTAAGTTTTAATTTATATTATTAAGTAATAATTTAGATTTCTTATTATCTTTATAGTATAGTCTATTAAAACTTATAATTAATATAATATAGATAAAATTAATATTTTAAAAAAGTAGAAAATTAAATAACTTTTATTTTAAATTATTAAAAACTTATTTAATTTATAAAAACTAAATTTAATTATATATTTAAGTATTTCTAGTTAAATATATATCTTTAATTAATATAATACTATCTCTACTTAATATATATATAAATAATAGTCTTTAATAGTATTATTACTCTCTAGATTTTATACTATATAAATTATTAATAGAGATCTTTATACTTCTAACTTAAGTAGAGAAACTCTTAGTAGTTAGATTATTAATTTTTAATAACTATAAAAGCTATAAAACTACTTAGTTTATATATTTATACTTTTAAAATAAGATAAAATAGTTAATAAGTAAGCTAGATAAGTAAGTAAGCTAGACACCTTAATAGGGTATTAGGGTAGTATATATAAAAATTTAGTAAAATATTCTTAAGGTGCACTAATAATTTCTTACTAAATTTAAGTATATAGCATATTAAGACTCTATTAAAGTGTCTAGGTTGCTTGTCTATCTAGCTTGCTTATAAACTATACTATACTTATTATTCTTATTAATATATACTTTATATTTTCTAGCTTTTAGATTAGTCTATTTTTAGCTTTCTTAAAGTAATATATAAGAAGAAGCTTAAATACTAATTAATTAAATAGAATATTGATATAGTTATAAATAAGAAAGGCTTTTCTATATATATTAGAATATATATAAAGTAGCCTTAAGAAATAAGTATATTATTAATAGCTAGAAATAAATTACTCTATAGTCTATTAGTATAGCTAGACTCTTCTTAAGCTCTCTACTATTTAAGAATATATTAACCTATATTAAACTAGCTAATTGAGCTTATTTAAAGCTTTCTAATAGTAAAATAAATAAAGAGTAAATCGTAGATATATTAATAGTCTCTTAGCTAATATATAAAAAGCGAAATAAGTATAAATATTTATTTTATTTCTTTAATAGTTAGGCTAGATTATAATTAATATATATAATATTTACTTTTTAGAAACTAACAATAAAAAAGTATTAATAAGTAAATATATTTACTAATAGTTACTTAATAAAAGATTAAAATACTATAGATAAGGGTTAATATTAATAAAGCTAGAGAATATAAAAAAGATTAGAATAAGTCTAAATTCTAACGTTATTAATAATAAAGCAATTTAAGGGACTTAGATTAAAGTAAATAAACTTAAAACTAATATATATACTTATAGTTAGTAAGTCTAAAGGTCTTAGTAATAATATAAGTTATATTATTAATTATAATATAAATAGAAATTAGTTAAAGTTAATATATTAATATATAAGAGTATTAGTTTTATATAGCTTAAAAGGGAGGGCCTATATTATATCTACTATAATTAGTTACTATAGGTATATACCTATATAGTATAGAATAGGAAGTAATAATAATAGAGTTATTATTACTAAAGCTTTTATTTATAATATAGTTAGCTAGCTAAACCTATTTATAATAGCTTAGAACTAAGTGATAGATATTAAACTATATAATTCTAATATATTACTTCTATTATGCTGTATAGACAATCTTCTAGTAAATTAGTTTTAGAACGAGTGTAAATAAAGACTATAGAATTTAGCAGCTAGTAGGTTAGGACTAACGCTAGCATAGCACTACAAAGTATAACTTCTTTTCTATACTGAATTAAAGCTGCTTAAAAGGTTGGTTCTAGTAGTTAAGAGAGCCCCACTATATAAACCGTTCTCTTTATCTGCTGCTTTTCTCTATCTTACATCTTAGATAATTAAGACTTAGAAATTTCTCCTATATCTAACTTAGACTACACGCGACTGAATGAGTTAACTGCAACTAATATACTTTCTACGCGTTAATACGCATTACACTATAACTAAGTATATTATTACTAAGTAATAAAGTGTAACGGCGCGCGCAGGGTATAGTCAATATAGGTGTACGCTACGACTATTTAGATGCGTAATATAGAGCTAAATTTGAGATTAATGACCGTAAGGGTATAAATGCATTACGTATGAGTAACTGCTGTATATTATCTAAATAGAGGGGCTGCCTATCCCCTATATAGGCTTTTAGAATAGACACATAAGCCTATCGTATTGTTCTACTATATGTAAGATTAATACCCCTTTCTTCTAGCTAAATGTTGGACACTATTAATAGAGACTGCCTGGCTTACCCCGCTCACTCTGCTCACCCAGACTCTCGCGACTTAGAGCGGCGAGTGATCCGGCCGCACCTGAACCGCATAGTGGCGACGGCTGTGCTAGAGTGCGGGTGTTAATTCAGCCGAGTCCATCCAGAAATCTTCGCACGCTTCTCAAGGTGATCAAGCTCGTTCAGCGACACGAGTGAAGTGGTCCTGGTGAAAATGATATCGGCGGATACTTTAGCGGCGAGGATGGTGTTGCAAAGATGAGAGTCGACGTTAGTGAACTCCATGCGTTTGATTTCGGCTGTCAGTTCTCGGACGCTGCCCAAGTAGGGCGGGGTATTGCCGGCAAGAAGAGGCGCTGGATCAACGTTGGCCGCCTTGCAGGCTATGATGATGGAGCCAAGTACTGTGCTGTCACACCTGACCTTGTCCTCGATCGACGAGCAACCGTTTCCTTCCAAAATCTTTTTGACACCTAGCCGCAGAGGGTAAAACATTCCGGAGATAGCCTTGTTTCTGGCGCGAGCAATCGTGTCTGCCAATTTTGTCAGTTAGCTTGCCAAGCTTGGGGATTTCGTCGACCATACCAAGTATGCCGGCAGCATCGAGGTAGATGTTCGTCTTCATAAGCTTGCCGTCAGTGTCGAGGATGTCTCCATCCTTGTTGACGCGGCACTCATAAGCGATATCAAGCGCCATCTTCTCAAAGACTCTGTCGGCGCCAACCTCCCAGGCAATCCAGGCAAGAAGGTCCTTGTCCGGGCACAGCTCGATTCCCTTAAGTCGAGGCACCCAGTTGTTGATCCAAGGTCGGACGATGTTAGTCATGTCGTATTTGTTCGTGATGATTACGAGCTCGAACAGTTCTTCGATTGTCAGGAAGGAGGGGACCTTGGCGAAGCGACCGTGAATGATCAACAGGGCGAGAAACATCGGCTCGATGTGGTCGTCCGGGAGAGAGACAAGTCCCTGGTCCGTCTCGGAAAAGTGTCCGAAGAGCATCTTGCAGAAAACGACGGAAGAACGGGCCAAGGACTTGGAGCAGACGCGGAACAGCTGCCTGGTTCCATCTTCGTTATTGCCCTCGTCCTCTTCAAACTCCTCGTCGTTTGCATCAGCGTTGGTGTTGCTGCCGACCTCCAATGTTAGGTCGCCACGCGGGTCCATCTCGAAAGCATGGGGAGCTCTCATGGTAGACCTCAGCGACTGCCATCTGGTGCTTTTTCGGGCGTCGCTGAGGTTGCTCTTTGATGCCATGGTCGGGTTCGGGATGGGCGGAGTGACCGAAGGAAATTTGAATTGCAGAAGAAAAGGACATGGCAAAAGCGTAGGATTGCGATGAAAAAGGAAGGAGACCCCAGCAGAGAAGGAGCCTTGGCTCAAATAATTGCGCTGGCTGGGTGATTCTGGAAGTAGTTACCAGAGATACATAGGGGTGGAAAGAACACAAAAGAAGTTTGACGCTGGTCGGCTCAACCCTTGCGGATGGAGGTAAAACTTCCAGGTGTCTGCGCAGCAGAAACTTTTACAAGCAGCTCGATCCTCCCCATTAGATGCAGAGAAAGTCAACTCATCACACGAAACCTGGCTCGCTTTGTAGTTACTTGCTATTGGATTCCTCGCGATGTCTTTAAATGATTCTTCCCGGCAGCCCTTGACAACTTCTCCTTGCCACCCTCGTGCCAGCTACCGTCTCGGCTTCTTCAGCTGGTACATCCCAGTGATCCGGTGTTGGCTTCATTGCCTGCCAAATAGATACATCCTGACCTTGTGTTGGCTATATGTCGGTTTTCGCGGCCTGGTCTCGAAGGTACTCTCTGTGCATCCTAGTAAGTGTGCAAGAGGCGATGATTACCATTTTTTCAGCCTTCAACTTTATTTTAGGCAGAGGATTGCAGTCTTCGTGGCCCTTAGGCATGCTGATGGTCATTTTCTGAATAGCTGATAGCAGATCCGTGATAGTTCCCTGGTAATTTGGTGTGGGAGTAATCAAGAAGGCTGAGTCTCGCAGACCAACGCCAGCGACGAGTTGGATGAGAGACCCAAACAGCATGCTGCCACATTGGGCTCTGGTGATTTGATCAGAACGTCTCCAATTGGAAGGTACGTCGACCAGTTCAAATGATTCTTCATGGACTTGGCTGGATGCTAGCGCTGCGCACTTGTGACTGGAAAAGGCTTCTTGGATGGCATCGTGGAGCACCGTGGTCATATTCTGAACGACCTGAAGCCGAACGCGTGTAATTCTTGCTAGTATGTCAAATTAGAAGAGGCTATCAACGGTCTTGGGAGAACTTCAACTTGCCGATGATGCCAGGAGGCTCCAGGCAATTGTATGACGTGAGGGGAACCCCTTCACTGTCTACGAGCTCTCCATCTTTGTTCGTTCGCGATTCCATAAACAGAAGCCTTGCGAGCCGGGAGAAAGTCTTTTCGTGTCCTAGCTCCCAGGAAATCCAAAGACGAATCTCACTGCCTTCAATATCTCCAACTCTCTTGTACGGCTCGAACCATGTCGCCGCGTACGGGCGCAGAATCTTTGTCATGTCGTACTTCTCAGTCACGACCAAAACTTGGTAGAGATGGTTTTGGCTGAGAGATTTTGGCACATTTTCGAAGTAGCCGTGTGCGATGCTGAGGATGATGAAGAGCGGCGAGGGCTGGTCCTCCGGGAGGTCGACGATCCAGGTAGAGCCAGTCGGCTCGGACTCGGCGAAGCCACTGAAGAGCATGGCGCGAAAGACGGAAGACCACCGGGCGATCGTACGAGAGCAAACGACGAACTCGTAGGCGATACCATTGCCGACCTTGAGGACCAAGTCGCCGCGGGTGTCGAAGCGAAATGCCTTGCCACACTCGAGGGATGCCATAGCGGTTTTGAGGCATGGCCATATATCGTGGGTTCCGGGCTTGGCAGTGCCCTGCTTCGTGTCGTCGTCGTTGTCCTCCATGATTGCTTCTCAAAGTTAGCTCGAAATTCCGGAAGGTAAGATGGAGAAGCTGAGCGACAAGGCAGCAGGAAGAAGGATAAGATAGCAGCAGACACTCACCAGGAGGATGAAAATTTGCTGGCAAACTTGCAACTCTTGCTGCAATACTTTTTCTATTTTTTCTTTATGTTTGAGGTGGTGAGAGATATCGATCCACGAAAGCTGAAAGTATGAGGTAGGTACGCTGGGGCAAAACCTCAGAAAGGAAGGTTTCGTTAGGCACTTAGACACCTTAGACGCGGGTTCTGTTCGCTGGTAGTAATTCGCAACGAACCAAGCTTCTCCTGCAGAACTTCGCTTACCTTATCTGAGCATATCTATGTGGCATATCCGTACATCTCATGGAAATACAGTGGCACCTCTGAAGAAACGATGCAAGGGGCAGCAGCTTCTTTGTCTACCCCGCTTCATTTCCGTTGGACAAGATGCCAGGCCGAGGCCAACAAGCACGATCACAATCCATCAATATGAAACCACCAAGCATCTGTAATTCAGTCACACAGAGGAAGTAAAGCAGTACGCTCTGGTCGAGGCCTGGAGGGCTTGGTGGGAGCAAACAGCCAAGTCAGCCACGTCGTTTCATCATGTAGAGATGGCAGTTAAAGTAGCACAAAGATGATCCAAGCCTGTGAAAGGCCAGGCTTCAAGTCTGGCTGAGGTAGAAGCCAATTGGAGGTGAACTTCATATTGGAAGGAGAAGATATGAGTAGCCTCCTTGGGTGACAATGCTCACATCAGCTGAAGGAGTATTAGGCCACATCAGCATTGGCTCTTCTTGACTCTTGCACAACACATGTCAGCCGACGCCTTATCATTTTTAATTGCGATTATGAAGCCGTTTTGCAACTAAATTCTGTGTGTTGTTGTGGCTGACTCTTCCTCCTGCATTCCCCTGTGTGGGCGACACAATGCACGATGAGCCAAACACTGTGATTTTTCATTATTGCCCAAAGATACACAAGAAGTTAATTAGAGCTGTAATAAATCCAATCCAGATCCCTGAGATGTCATTTGACCTCTTTTCTGTCATACCAAATCAGTGTCAACATTGGGTATCTGGTATGGTTGATTCTTGTTTGCCTCCACTGTCTCCGACTGCACCTTCCCTCGAGCACGATCTGAACCTCTTTCCTGTTCTCTTGGAAGGAAAGACCTCTTGGTTCCTTCCTACTCTGCCTCAAAACCTCCCACCCACCCCTCCTCTGCCACTATAAAATCCCACCCTTTCTCCAAGCTGGCAATCTTTCTTTCTCTTCCACAACAACTCACAGCCAACGTTCACTTCACTTCAACTTCACAAGGCAAGACCTTTAAAATTTGTTCATCTTCTTTCGCGCAACTTCACTTCACCAACCCAACCGTCAGTCATCATGGTCGCCACCAAGATTCTCCTTACTGCCGCCGCCGGCATTGCCGCTCTGGTCCAGGCCGCTCCCTTTACAGTCACCAATGAGGTCCAGGGCCTCAACGACATCAACCCGTAAGTGTTCAGGTCACTCTCCTTGTTTATTTGCCTTTTCTGCTGTCCTTCTTGTTGCTTGTCATCACTTTTCAGCTCCCCTCGTTTATTTACCGGACTTGATCTAACCTGTTTTCCAACAGCACCATCGCTGCCCGTCAGGACATGAGCCCCGGTCCCTTCACTGGAGAGATGACCTACTACAACCCCGGTCTTGGCTCCTGCGGCCAGAACCATGGCGATGGCGACATGGTGGTTGCCCTCTCCGCTGCCAAGCTCGGTGGCGCCTCCAACGACAACCCGCTCTGCTCCAAGTCCGTCCAGATCTCGTATGGAGGCAAGACTGTGGATGCCACTGTTGTCGACAAGTGCCCTGGCTGCGCCTCCAACAACATCGACGTCAGTCCCGCTGTCTTCACGGCTCTCATGGGCACCCTCGACCGCGGCCGCGTTCTGGGAGTCACCTGGAAGATCACCAACTGATTACGGAAGGGAGGGACATCATATCAAGCATCAGGGATGCTATTTGATCATGCATCGTTTGCTATTTGGGGAAGGATCCAAGGAAGTCTAGGTTGTGGTCATCAGTACTGCCTTGGGGCATGGAACGGTCCATAGAATCAGATAAATACCCTCTAGAGAACTTACACAATTCAATCAGTTCTTTCATCTTCTTACAGTCCTCGTTGAAATACTATCAATATTGTCCATGGCAGGAGCTCCCGTCGGTGTGTTCCTTCAGTGTTTTCGGTGAGGTCTTCGGTGAGACTTTCGGTGAGAGCGGGGAGCTCAATCGGCGCTAACCCTCTTTTGGGAATGGACCTTGCGCAGGGTCGGGAAACGCCGACTGGATTTTTCGACGCGCCTCGTTGCTCCCCCAAGTGCATTTCCAACGCGATCCACACCTTGCAATCAGCGCCAGCTTCACCTCCGACACCTTTGGCGCCCGAGCATCGTCTGGCCACGCTCAATTCCACCACTCAGCGAGGAGAAAAAAGCACAACGATTTCCCGATTGCGGTCGCGCATGCGCAGCGATTTCTACCCTCCACCTCCTAATCGTCTTTGACGTGTCCTTCCCTCGATCAGCGCCTTGCGACGGCGTACGATGTGCCATTGAGTTTCGCAGCATCTCAAGATGGACGCTCGATCGAAGCCACAGGCATTCCTGTCTACATATGCGCCGCGCATCCGGAGTTACAATAATTCCCTCCTGACACCGGTTTTACAGAGCGCGGGACCTACCGGCCCCGTCTCGCGAACGACAAAGCGCGGAACAACCATCATCAACTACGCCGAAGATGGCTACGACGATATCGACGAGGACGATGATGACAGCCGACGTCGCCCTACGGGTCTGCGCAGCTTGAGAAGAGAAGATACCGCGAACAGGCAAGATCTGTCCGACAAGGCGGGGAAGGATACGAACGAGCCCGTGGAGGTCCAGGGCATCTGGAGGGAATGGTTTGGTAAGGGGCGCCAGGTTCGCAACGACCAGCAGACCTCCGCGCAAGCCGACCTGCCCTTGACGCTGATTCCCATCCGAATTGAACTGGACATCAAGGAATTCTCTCCCCGAGTGCCATTCCCCTTGGGCGCGCATCACAACGTCGACACCAGCCTCCCTCAATACCGAGTACCGGAAATGACGCCTCCGTACCGACTGCGCGACAACTTCCTGTGGAATCTGCACGAGGCGGTCATTACCACTGACCAGTTTGCGACGACATATGTCCAGGATTTAGACTTGCCGAACCACCAGCTATTGGTTCCTGAGATCTCCAAGCAGATTCGGACGCAACTCGAGGAGTACGCTGGCGTTGCCTTGCACCCGCTGTTTCACGCGCAGTCACAAAACCCTGGCAACAACGAGACGCTCAAGGCAGGCTCTGCGGCCAACCGCGACGATTCCCCCACTCCTGCTACCCGAGCCATCAGCCGCTCCGATACCCCTATGCAGAATGGCGGCTTCGGGACCCCGCTCAGGACCAAAGAGGTGACTTCGGCACCGGATGTCACGGCGCATGCGAGTCCCGTACCCGTTGATTCGGATGAATACGACCACGACGATGCTTACCGGTGCATCGTAACGCTGAACATCAACCTCCAGTCGACGCTGTACACGGACAAGTTCGAGTGGTCCCTGCTGCACCCCCCAGGAATGCCGGAGGCGTTTGCGGCCCAAACGTGCGAGGACCTCGGATTGACCGGCGAATGGGTTCCTGCTGTTACTCATGCCATCTACGAGGCCGTTTTGCGGTTGAAGAAGGAAGCTTGTGAAGCTGGCGGTCTCGTCATGGGATGGAACGGCCTACGCGAATTCCCCAACGACGCTACAGCCGGAGCTGATGCCGGATGGCGGTACGATCCCGAAAACCTGGGAGATCCTTGGGAGCCCAAAGTAGAATTCCTCACCAGGGAAGAGATTGAGAAGCGCGAGGGAGACCGGGAACGACAAATCAGACGACTTCGCCGCGAAACTGCTCGATTCAGCTCGACAACTGGTTTGGTTGGCGGTGTACCATTCTCCGGCTTTGGTAACGTGGTTGAAGCCCCAGAAGAGGAGCGCATGGGCAGAGGCGAGCGATCGAAGAAGAAGCGCCGCTTCCGCAGTCTCAGTCCGCTTGGCCGATCTGGAACGCCCGGTGGACGTGGAACACCGGATGTTGGATCTGGTTATGGCGCTGGAAGTGGCTTGACGGACCAGGAGCGTCTAACGTGGAGATGCTGGCATTGCGCTCTCTGGGGCACAAGCGTGTGGGCAGTAAGACCTGGTCCTGGTGGACCGAGAGTAAGTCTCAAATTTTCCATTATTCGATCATCTTTTGCTAACTCGTGACAGACACTATGCCAAAACTGCGGCTTGCTTTATGAGCGGGACGGCAAGCTGCCCCGTCAAACGAAGAACATGCACCTTACTGTCATCAGAACAGCGTAATCACAATTCGAACCTGCACGTCGGTTTCGGCCGCGGGCGAAAAGAGATGGAGTACGGAATCGCCTCACTGCATCCAGCATTCCAACGTTTCAGGGGAGCGCGCCATTGTTTTGTGTGTATATGATGTGAGGAGGGTTATTTGGCAGGCGTTCACTGGGGTTATTTTGGGGCCTCGACCAAAAGGCAGTCAAGGAGTCCGGCTGCGAGTAAGGGTTTCGAGATATTCCAGCTGCTTTCGGGGTAATATGGATCGAGGTGCTGCCTCTCTATCGATGCGATAAAGTAGAATTCCTGTATAGGGTCACTAAACACTTTGATGAAGCTTTTGGACAGTACTTCCTCGGTGATTGAGTTGGAAAAAGGCAGGTGAAGATAACCGGCATTGTACAGTGTATAGGACGGTAGCTGATCATGGGTATACACTGTACACATTCCAGAGCAGACAGCAGTTGCCCCCTCTCTTCCGTGCCTTTTGCCTGGAACTTCACAGGAGCATCATCCATTATCTTCCCAAGCTTGACCAACATGTGATGTTGACTCTTCCATTCAACCGGCAAAATTCAGCTGTCGCGACGCTATTTACGCTTCTCTACATTTTCAGCATTCCGCGGCCTGCGCTACTTAATCCTCGTCACGAGCGCCAGTGCGACGTCGTGGCAAGAGGACCCGAATCGGGACGTCAAAACCACGGAGCCTCGACTTCAACCTCCGCAATCCGGACGCGCGCCTTACCTTTGTAGGAATGTCGTCGCTCAGACTCTCGACGGGGTTTCCATGACTTTTCCCGACTGTCTGGACAATCTGACGCGCTTTTGCAGCTGGGCGATGACGGCTGGAGCGTTCGGGCGGTACCTGCGAGGCACCGATGCCTGTCTGCAGCGTGTCTACGGTATTCTTCGCATCACAGATCTGGGACGGGTGGTGGGGCATGGCCTCTCGCTTCCGCGAGCCTATGCGGCGAGATCCAGGGCGAGAACATGCGCAGAGTCAAGTGACTCTGTCATTTCTACTGCGGCTACGCTGGCCCAGAGAACGCAAGCGGCTGGAAGCAGATAATTAGCTACCCGACGAACATGGCCGAGCCTGCCCATCGACTCATCAAGATACGATCCGCAGAATGGCCGTCATTCGAGGCGTCCAATACCGAGCTCCGTTTCGCCCCTTTGGAAATGCCTCTCGCCATCTTCGATACCTCAAGCTGCGGTTCGAATTGGTCTTGCGCCGACTTTCACGGCGGTTTGCTGTCCGCTGGATGAGTTGGTCCAATTCGCCTGCCGACGATAAGGCTTTCTTTCGTCCAGCCACTGCATCTTTCGAACGACGCGGGAAAGTTCCCGTCATGTTCAATTGGAGAAGCACGTCGATATTACCGGGCACACACATTGGCCTCCGCGGGCGCTTTGTCACATCCCGCTCATTTACGGCTTCGCTTCGATACTCGCCTATCATCACGGCCGGCTGGTGCCGACGGCGGCAAGGTTTCACGTTCCTGGCTTCGAAATGAAGACGCATGCGTGTGGCAGCCGCATCAGCCATCCGTTGTCAGTCAGCTGTTCGTGCCTGGCTCTGCGCCAGCCCAGGCAGACGGGCCCGAGATCGAGAGCAATACACCAAATGCATGCAACCTCGCGATACTGAAGCACGACAACAACACACAAGCGCGAAGCTCGACCGGCTGGTCTTCCCTGAATGCCGAAGAGCTAGTCGGCTTTCCACCCGGAGCTCTGAATCAGCCTCCTCCGCGTCAAAAGATTGCGTCAGCTGCGAAAGCCTCCGCCACCAGGCACGTTGCCTTTGAACGGCTCATTGTCGGAACCACCAGCCGTCAGTCGCACGATGGTGAGATAGGACGCGGTCATCTTGCACCCTTCGGTCGAAGACAGGATGCGGACTACGTGGATTGGGCAAAGCTTCAGGGTCCGCTGCGTGATGATGGACTTCTGGAGGAGGCATCTTTGCAGCCATCTCACTCTTGGTGCTGTCGATCGTCCAGATCTAGCATACATGAGGATATTCGGACCCGCGCGCTCCAGCGCCATAGTCCATATGTGCGTTCAGATCCGAGACTTTGGGGGCAAAGATCGTTCCTGGGGAGTCGAGCTGGCAGGCGATCCCGACCTTGAATTCACTTGAGCAGCTGGCGTCGTCAAGAGCTTTGCCGATCACCACCAAATCCAGTATTGATCTGGACCCTGCCATGACTGGAGGCTGAGCTCAAGCTTCTCAACCCTCGCCGCCCAGAGACTCAAGCACTTTTCGTTATCACGGGTAAATCGAACGGTCCTTGGCAAGTTGCAACGTGGAGACGTTCAGGTCTGAGAGCGGGTTCTTCGCGTAAGACTTGAGAAGAAGGTCACATCCTGCAAGCCAAGATACCGGATTGAGGTGTTGCCAAGGAGCAAGTCACTGTGGTGGCCGACGACAGACTCTCTTGTTGTTGACTACCAACCGAAGCCAAATCTGCAAAGAGTCAATGTGACCATCCCAAGTGGTGTGGTGGTGGTCCAGCCGCCCTGCTCTTAATACATGCACTATAGGAGCGTTCATCCGCCGCCAGATTGGATCAGGGCTCCATTCACTTTGCTGCAAATTGCTCTTGATCTGGTATCGAATCCGTCTGCCTGGTAGGCATTGATTGAAGTGTTGATCAATTAATAACCTAAACTTCGAGCCAAGTTGACCCAGCATATTTTCACTGCGACCTTTCATCTCGAAAAAGCTTGACGACCTCAAAATTGCTCGTTTTTCATGAGTCGATGCTCTACTCGATAATACTGGTCTAGCTTACCAAAAAACGAAAAGATGGCGTTTTGCGACAGCAAGGAACACAACGGGCACATGGCTGTCAGTGCCGGATGCCCAATAGCATTTTGCGGGGAGAAGCTCCTCCCACCATGTCCTGCGGTGAAGGTTGGGTGGATGACCCTTGCAGAGTGCGGGGAGCAACACCAGCGCCCATCATTTCGCGTATCTCTGCTGTATATCAGGCGAGAAAGAAAGAAAGATCCCGAGTCGAGCCGACAAGTCTCACGATGCAGGTGTGCACTGTGGTGCAAGTACTCAGGGGCATCGCGAAGGTTGCCAGTGAGGTGAAGGTGGCGGGATCTTCGGGAAGCAACATGATCACGAGGTTGCGCCGACTTTTCATCTCAGGGAAATGAGTTTCATCGTTTTCTCACGATGATGTGAGCTCTTTTGCAGTATTCTTAGGCTGGCTGGACGATTCGAGGCAGTAGTACTCGGCGGCTGTCCTCCGCGTTGGGCGCAGGGGAAATAAGTGCTCCAATGAGCTCGGCCGGGGTGCGTCCCACATCGGGCAACCTCATTGTGTTCTTTCGACTTAGTCGCGCCAGTTTCTCCGTTGGGAGGTGTGACCAGCCGCATGGCCGGAGGTGACATCGTTCGTCGACCTCGTCCGGGTCGGGACCCAGGGCCAGACAAGCACACTTCTGCGGATACTCCAATGTCAGATGTCGCCAGCCACGATTCTCCAACTCGACCCGGCATACCTTCTCCAACTTTCCCAATCCGGTAACCCATCCAAACCTTGGCTCGACGACGAAGCATCATGATCCATGGTCGGAATGTTTCTGGGGTCGAGGCGCCATCACGTTCCGCCTCTCCTTGGGCTTGAGCTTGACATCGCACTCGCCGGCCATACTACGAGCGATGTAGCCCCATACCCCGGCCCTCAAAGGGCTGCCAAGAATGCCTGGATGTATCTCAGCGACGCCAGGTCAGCATGTCCGTGGATCCAGATCTACTCACGGCCCGGAAGCCGTGTGTTGTCAGTTTCTGTCCTGGCCTGCCGGCTACTGGCTCTGTCGAACCAAGCGGTGGGAGGCTAGGTTGCGAATGAGGCAAATCTCATGGCCGGCTGGAAGATCATGTAGAGTCCGTCGAGAGAAGTCTCTATATAAACCCATCATCCTCCAGGACCAGAGTTCTATTTTTTTTCTTATCCTCATCCCGATCATCCCGCACTCTCATCCTCCTCTCACCTCAACATCCGCAGCACCGCCTCATCAGTCAAGATGCAGACCAAGTTCGCCGCCCTCATGGCCTTCGTGGCCGCAGCCCGCGCCCAGCAGGCCTGCTCGTCTCAGACCGAGACTCACCCCGCGCTGACCTGGCAGAAGTGTGCTGCGGGCGGCTCTTGCTCGAATGTTGCCGGTTCCGTCGTTCTCGACTCCAACTGGCGCTGGACTCACAACGTCCAAGGCTCGACCAACTGCTACACAGGTAACTCCTGGAACACCACGGTGTGCGCTACAGGAGCCGCCTGCGCCCAGAACTGCTGTGTCGACGGCGCCGACTACCCAGGCACATACGGTATCACCACCAGCGGCTCTGAGCTCAACCTCAAGTTCGTTACCACTCACGCCTACGGCAAGAACATTGGTAGCCGTGTCTACCTGATGGAGAGCGACACCAAGTACCAGGTAAGAGTTCCCCCGCCTTTGACGAAATGGTTCTTGTTAGCTAACCCAGCTTAGATGTTCACCCTCCTCGGCAACGAGTTCACCTTCGATGTTGACGTTTCCAACATCGACTGCGGTCTGAACGGTGCTTTGTACTTCGTCTCCATGGACGCCGATGGAGGTCTTTCCAAGTTCTCTTCCAACAAGGCTGGTGCTAAGTACGGCACTGGTTACTGCGACTCGCAGTGCCCCCGTGACGTCAAGTTCATCGACGGTGTTGTAAGTGGGCGACCACATCTCACGCAAGAGTCAGTGCTCATCATTCTTTAGGCCAACGTTGTAGGCTGGAACCCGTCCAGCAACGACGCCAACGGCGGTGTCGGTTCTCTTGGTGCCTGCTGCGCTGAAATGGACATCTGGGGTAAGCATTCAAAAACTCGGTATCCAGCCCGAAACAGACGGCTAACCTCCTACTAGAGGCCAACAAGATCTCCACGGCCTACACTCCCCACCCTTGCCAGAACAACGCCTACCACTCTTGCACCGGTGACGCTTGCGGTGGAACTTACAGCTCTACCCGCTACGCTGGTGACTGCGACCCCGATGGATGCGACTTCAACTCCTACCGCCAGGGCAACAAGAGCTTCTACGGGCCCGGTGCCTCCAACACCATCGACACCACCAAGAAGCTCACCGTCGTCACCCAGTTCATCAAGGGCTCCGATGGCGTCCTCTCCGAGATCAAGCGCTTCTACGTCCAGGACGGCAAGGTCGTCCCCAACTCTGAGTCCGTCATCTCCGGCAACCCCGGCAACTCGCTCACCCCGGCCTTCTGCAAGGCCCAGAAGACTGCCTTCGGCGACACCGATGTCTTCAACCAGCGCGGCGGATTCGCCCAGATGTCCCAGGCCGTCGCCGCCCCCATGGTTCTCGTCCTCTCCCTGTGGGATGACCACTACGCCAACATGCTTTGGCTGGACTCGACATACCCCGTCAACAAGGCCGGCACCCCGGGCGCCGAGCGCGGAACCTGCCCCACCAACTCAGGTGTCCCCTCGGACCTCGAGACCAACGTCCCCAACAGCAACGTCAAGTTCTCCAACATCAAGTTCGGCCCCATCAACTCCACCTTCAACAACAGCAACCCTCCCACCTCCAGCTCCGCCACCATCAGGACCTCCACCACCACCTCCGCCCGCACCAGCTCCACCGCCAACCCCGGCACCGGCACCGGCGCCAAGCAGTACGAGCAGTGCGGCGGCCAGGGCTGGAGCGGCCCGACGAGCTGTGTCTCGCCGTACACCTGCACCAAGGTCAACGACTGGTACTCCCAGTGCTTGTAAGTGGTGTCGCCTGGATAAGAGAGGGAGACTGGCTCTCGGGCGGTCTCTTTCTGGGCGGTGGTGAGAGATAAAGACGATTGACGACAAACTTACAAAGACTTGAGAAACGAAGATTGCATTGTTGATAAAAGGGGGAAATCTAGTGCGGGTTTTGCATTTCTCTCTTTCTCAAGAACAAACATTCGTGTATATATTGCCTCCCATTTTTCCGTATCAGCATGCTTCTCATGCTGGTGCTTCGTATATAAATCCAATCAGTCGCTAGCTAAACTTGATCTTCCTATGGATTTATGACCGCCGTGACGAATGTGGTATTCTGGTTTGGTGCTGGTGGCATACCTTATGCCATCTTCCTCACTGTCTTTGTCGCAGCTGCCGTCTATAGACATACTTATCTACCTTGCCCGTCTCTAGGTATCCAACTGTCATTGCCTCTAGGTAGGTACACAACTGCTTGTTCAAGTTTTCGTCACGCTCAAGATGAACCGGTCTCATGCCCGCTCCTGCCTTCCAAACCGACTGGCTCCTCTGACTTCAGTGACGTACCTCCCACCCTCCGCGCTTGCCTTTCGAGGCTCCTTCCCTCGACAACGCGACCGACCGCCTCGCCCACCACCTTCTTCCAAAGACCGAGCTGAATTTTCAGTACCTTCCTGTTACTATTTCTCTCACCGCCCGAGGTCGACGGCAGAAACCCCTCCCCCTCCCACGTCGTCGGGTCCTGCCTTTCAACCACCCACCTCAGCTCTCTTCCTCCCACCCCACACAAACTTCTCACTTCCCACCACCACATTATCACATCGCAACAACAAATTACCAAAACATCACAAGCCTCCTCACCATTCGTGGTGGGGAGGGCAATCACCTTTCTCCTTCCTCCACGTCTTCTCTCTCCCTCATCTCTATTTCTATCTCTACCTCTCTCCCTCCTCTCTATCTCTGTCTCTATCTCCTTTTCTCTTCCTCCTCTCTCTCCGTTTATTCTCCCCAAACACACACCGACGAAGTAGGTCACGCCGGCCCGACGCTACTGGGTCTGCTTGCGAACGTGTCGTCTACCGCGGCTTGCTGCTCGCACCTCATGGTGCCGCGATGCGTTCCCCGGGGTGGTTAGTCGCTCGTCATTGCCTCCTTACGCTGCAGTAAGGGACCCAGTTACGACTTGGAGGGGATTGCCCGTTTTTGCCCCCCACATCAACAAGTATTACAAGGTATGTCATCTCAGCCTGCGGTTTTTCGTTGGCTCTTTCCTTTTTCAGATGATTAATATTTATCCTAGGATGCTCGACAATTGCATCACGAAGAATGGTGAAGGGGCGATGTAGGTCGTTTCCTTTTTTCCTGACTGCGTTCGCGCCTTCCATGCCACCATTCTTCGCCCGCAACGTCTTCGCCTCCACCTCAGACGTCCGTTTCCAGACGTCGCACAACGCGCAGCGTCAAGATCAGGTATGCCATCGCAACTTGAGATGTCCCTACTTCCCTCCTTCGCTCCTTCTCTATTCAAAATGACTAACGTCCCTCCAGAGTCCTGGAATACTCGACAAATGCCTTGAGAAGGATGATCCACTGAAACCCTAGGTGGTTCAGTATCTTGTAATAGCGTTCGCGCTGTTTTCTTCGATCAATCTTCGCCGGCAATGTCTTCGACTCCGACTCAAACGTCTAAGGACGTTTTCGACTGTGCATTCCACCGCTCGGGCCTTCGGCTCGGCGGATCTCAAACGAAACTCAACTAGGTCGATTGTCCAGCGCAATTCGATCAGCAGCTTCACAGGTTCATCGAATCCCAGTCCTGGGTAGGGCATCGTTACTGTGAAGATCGAGGCAAGGGAAACCGCGATCTATCTCGACCCGACGATAAACTGCCCAGCGCGTGCGCTCGTCGATGAGAGACAAGCACTTGGCACCATGCCCGCCATCCGTGGGAACAACATGTCCTCGCGCCGTCAGAATCTCACCGTTCTCTTCAACCCCCTTCGGACATCCATTGGCAAGGTTGAACCCCCGAGCCTCGCGTGGGTCATGATCGGCTTCACGTCCTGGGTATGACGGAAACTGCCCATCATTGAATTCCTGGGCATGACGGAAACTGCCCATCACTCAACTCCTGGGCATGACGGAAACTGCCCATCAACATCACCAGTCCGCGTGCTTAGCTGTTCCGTCGTCGCTTTGCTGGCATTGCCACTAAACGCGAGGATGGTTCAGGTATGAATGGTGTTGTGAGTCGACTTCCTGGGCACGACGGAAACTGCCCACCGCCATTCTATTGGCGATGATGCGTTGATGTATTTCGCGCAAAGGAAGAAAAGCGAGCCCTGGTCCTGGGCATGGGGGGTCTCGCCCTCTTATCTGTCTCGGCCCGACCAAAAACTGCCCAACGCACGCTGTCTGATGCCGCAGGAGCACTTGGCACCATGCCCACCATCCGTGGGAGCAACATGTCCTCGTGTTCTGGTCCGCATCATTTCTCACTTCCACGATTTCGCGCCATCGGTTACCTCCTTGGTATCCGCTGCCCCTTATGAATGCAAGTCTCCGGGTGGAGAGGCACCCAAGTTACCACGACCGCAGCGATGCGATGGGTCAAGACAGAAACCCTTCTCAGTCCCGGGCATGACACACTGAAACTGCCCTCCCGTGCCGACTTGAGCACATCTCAACTTCTCAACACCTCAAAAACACCAAAACTTCGCTCGATTCATTCAAACATCAGGCGAAGGCCTCTCCTTGAGTCGGCATCAGGGCGAAAATCCTCAGTCCACCATTGCCACCAGCACCTTCCGACACTGGGCTCTCTTTGCTGTTGGCATTCAGCCGCATCAGGTTCGTTTCCTCACCTCACACTTCAAGGATTCTCATGGCTAATATTGGCTCCTCAGACAAACCGAACTGCGACTCCATGTACTCGAGTCCACTTCAATGCGGATCGCAAGCAACAAGAAGTGTGTCCCAGCTCGTCGCTAGTGGAGGCATTGGGGTTCTGAAAGGTGGAGGGACATTTGGCGTTCCTCTGGTCAGTCTAAAGACACTGGCAAAACAGGTTCTCGTGGCGGTAGGGCTGGCTCGCCACCGGCCGGGGGAAAGTCAGGAAATCGGGTACCTAGATTAGTGCATCTGAATGAACGTCTTTGCCTCCAAAGTAGTGTGCTCCGTGACGTTGACTTTGACTCTGACTGAACGATGACGCGCGACGGTGCTGACGGGGACAGGATGGCAAAAGCTCACGAATGTTTTGTGTGATTGATTCCATTATCAATATCCTGGACTTCCCTGCGGAGGCGCATCGCTGCGACGTCTACCCGCAAACCCAACACAGATCTCCTACCGATGATTGACTCCGTGGTATATATATACACACACGCGCGCGCGCGCACGCACACGGCCCGTATCCAAAGCAAGTGAGCCACCACGCCGGATCCTCCGTGGTCCTCAACCCAATGATGACACCCCAAAACTCCATCTGTGTGTTCGATTTCTTGTATCTAATCCATCCGCTCGCTACGTCTTCGCGCTCGCTGACGCTCACGCCTGAGGCCAGCCGCCGGCGGGACCGGCGGTGCCGCTCATGCCCATGTTCAGGAGGGCGTCAATGTCGCTCATGCCTTCGTTCTCCAGCACGTTCATCAGCTCCATTTGCTGTTCCTGGCTGAGACTGCCCTGTCGCTCCTGGGACCAGTTGAAGGGCTGGCCGCCACCGAACTGATCGAGGCCGAGCCCCGGGTTCTGGCCGTTGAAACCGTTGACCTGGAGGGAGTCGCCGAAGAAGCTGTTGCTCATCGAGCTGAAGGCGTCGGGGTTGATGAAGGGCGGCGGCGGGTTGAACCAGTCATTGACTGGGTTATAGGTCGGCAGCGGCCTTTGGGGCGGAGCTTGGTTGGAGGTTGGCGGGACGCCGAAAGCCGAGCCTCTAGAGTGCTGTCCGTGGTGCGGCAGAGGCGGCGGAGACATGTTTGTGCTGTGCCCCATCATGGTCGGCGTGCCTTGCTGGAGGATAAGGGGAGAGGAGTGTGACATGGCGGGGGTTCCCATCGCCGGCGTGCCCATTGCTGGGGGCGAGACCGTGGAGCTTGAGTTTGAAGGTGTTCCGATCTGATGGCTCGCAGGACCGAGAGACTCTGGCGGCGTAGGGAGCGCATTCCCAATGGTGCTCGGCGGCGAAGAGGAGTTGTAACCAGGCGTGGTCGTCGCCGGTGGGGTTGCATCATCCAACCCATCACATGGTGATTCAGGGGGGTAAGCCGAGAAACGACGACCCATGGCATCAGCGGACGGGTTGCCCCAGATTGAGTTGGAGCGGAAGGTCGGCTGAGGTGGCGGGAAGCTGTTGTCCCATTGGTACGTGTTCATGGATTCAGGGGTTGCGTCGAACACAAAGCCAAACTGCGGCGGGTTATGGGGTTGGTTGACTTTGAACGTAGGTGCGGCCGTTGGCGCGGTTGACGCCGAGTTTTCTGAACCCTGGGGCGAGTTGCTGTCAAACAGCGACGGGGGTGTTGTGAAAGTGCTTGAGGGTTGTAGGATGGGGGTATCTCTGGCTTCGTAGCTCTGCAAGCACGCTTTGGCGAAGATGGAGTACAGCTGGACGGCTTGAGCGGTTCCGGGCCAGCGTTCTGTGCACTGCTCGAGGATGTCAAGTGTTTGGTCCCCTAGATCCTCGACTTCCTCGCGCGAGTGGGCTTGTCTGATTTCGGGGTATGAAATAGTCCACAGCAGCGTGTTGAGAGACATGTAAAGGTTCAGAAGGAATACCCAGGTGATGTCGACGGCGGCCTTTTCCATCTGCTGCTTCGACAGATTGATGATGTACGCAGCACCCTCAAAGCATATTGATGCAGCGCGGGCAGATGGCCTCGGTACTTGCGGAGACGGTCGGTAGAGAAAGATGCGCATCTGGTGGTATCTTCCGGTAAACCTAGAGGCATCAGATTAGTTTCGTCCTTCTGCTGTGATTCAATTGTACTCACCATGGCCGGCACCAAGATGGACTCTGAGGCGAAGAATCGATCCAGTTCTGGATTTCTCTTTCCATCTTTGCAAACCAAGGGTGACTCTCGTCCTTTGGCTCGTCTCGTTTCTTTTCGTACAACACCCTTCTGATCTCGGCTTGTTCCATGCGCATCTTGAAAAAGTGCAGCGCAACCAGCTTGTTCTCGCTCGTCGGGCCTTGAAGAACGCCTTCAGCCGTGATGTACTCGTCGTCAACAGTCGCAAAGGGCTGGACGTCCATCCTGTCATCAGCCTTGGAGAACCCGTTCGGACGACCCATGCTGTGCGCCAGTCCTGCCTCCATGGATGTTATTATGTACGCCAGGCGACGGCGCATGTCGAGGGTCAGTGGATCCAGCGAGTAGCCTTGGGAAATGGTCTTCTCGTCGGTGAGACCCTCTGCTTGGCAGATGCGAGTGGCCAGGCCCACCATGTAGTATACCGCAGTCCTCGTCGGAGTCAATAAGGAGTACTGGCCGATGAGCGCCAGAGCTTGCAGCGACTTCAAGTCTTTTGGACGAACGACAGCCTCGAAGTGCTCCATGGCAGCAAGGTAGTAACTGTCGGCAAGACCTGCGTACTGCGGGTCCAATTTCTGAAGACTAATGGCAAACACCATGCGGACAATCAAGTTCTTATAGGGATCCTGGTCTCCGGCAAATACAGCTTCGAGGTCGTCTAGGAACTGCTTCTCGTGTAATGTGGGCCAGAAAACCTGCGCTGTACGAAGATGAATCGTTAGAGAGTTTGTGTCACAGCAGTTGAGATGGACAGGCCTACATCGTTGGCAGAAGACGTCTACAAGCTTATTCGCAATGGGCCTCGTCGGCAGGGTGTTGGCGGGATGTGCGCTGATCATGGGGTAGCTCTTCTTGCGGTCCCTCGTCATGACAATGGACTGCATGCGCGTCATGCGCCTTGCGCGGACTTCTGGAATCAGCTCGGATATTCGCTTCGAGTCGGTAAACAGCTTCGCGCCCTGTACGAGCAGGCGTGTCATGGCGATGCCACTGCTGGGACCCAGGTAGCGGGGTGTCTCGTCGGTGTCGCCCAGTTTGACCAAGCCTCCGGGGCGCACCATGTCCTCGTCGATGTGGGAGAATTCAACGTCTTCGTCGGTGTACTGGCGCAGCTCGGCCTCGAGGGCGCGTACCTTCTCCTGCAGCTTGATGACATAGTTGCGATTGATCTTCTTTCCTTTGGAGGTGTCGAAGTATTCGCAGATGGAGCCGGCGCGCTCGCAAGGCAGGCACCGGGGCAAGGTTGGATCACATCTCGTCTTGCGCTACAGAGGGAGGGGTCAACACGGGTCGAGGATAGGGATGGTATCACATGATGGGGGCCAAAACAGGGCGAGGGTGTACGCACCTGGCGGCAGCGACAGCAGGCCGTGAGGGTATGGGCAATGCGGTTTGAGGGACCATCGCTCTCGTTATCATCGCCACGACTCGGAGGCGGACGGCGCAGGGCCTGGTGGTAGTTCTGAGGCGGAAGGGGCGGCGGAGGATGGTGATGGTACGGGGGGTTTCGCGCCATCATGTTCATGTTGCCCAGGCCATGGCGGAAGACGGCGGCGGCATCCATGGGCCGGGCGGGCGACTGAGAGAAATCCCCAGTCGAGAACTCGGAGTGGTGATTCGGAATAAGTGGTGAGAGGCGGATCGGGCAAGCAGGTGTTTCCTCTACAAGCCGGGAGGAAGATGCGTAAATTGCGGGAGATGGAGATGGAGATGGCGGAGACCGAGATGTCTACGAAGCGGAGATGTTGGTGAAAGAGGGGTTCGGTCGGGCGCAGACGAGGGCAGTATGTCTCATGATTCGAAGGCCGGGTCTCTTGAGAAATGTCGTCGAAGCTATTCGCGAGGGGGCGGACGAGAGGGGCTTTGTCGTCGCGTGGACTCGGCGGTGATTGATTGTTTGGACGTGGAGGAACGTTTGAGCATGGGAGACGAAAGGGACGGATGAGGTTCCACTCTGGAAGGTCTCACGCCTCACGCCTCACGCACGAATAACTGAGCGTGAGGAGACCAGGTCCGCCTGCCCGCTGCCCGCGATCCGCGGTCAATCAGTCACTGAGACGGTCAGGGCAATTGTCGTGCTTTGGGGGGCTTTGGGGGCGCTGAATGGCGGCAGTGGGATGACCACGGGCAGGGGTGAAGGAGTGGAAAGAAGCAAGGTACATGAGTGACAGCGCGGATCACTGCGGGCCGGAAAGTATCTTTTAGGCCCCGACGTGAGCTGAAGAAGCGGCTGCTAATTCGTTCAGCAGGAGTTGCTGGAATCGGGCATGGCGAAGAGCAGGGTTCAGTGGTACCAAATGCCAGTAGGGGCGTTTCAGAAGCATTGCGGCGGGGACCTTAGCAGAGGGCATTAAGACGGGACGACAGCGCTGAATGATGTGTATCAATGGCACATGGAAGCAGAACAGAAGGGAAAAAAAAGACATTGAAATGGCCAGGTAGGTAAGCAGCATGAACATGTTTGGGGCTCCTCTCACGATATGAAGGGACCTTCCATGTTTCTCACGAGCTGTTGCCCAAGACCGGAAGAACACCTCAGAAGCGGAAGGCAGCTCCTTCCTGTGATAATCTTAAGGTACCTACTTCCTGCTTCTTTGGCGTTCGCTCTTTCCTTGACCGTGGAGCTTCTCAGGGTGCCGACCTGGCTTGGTGGCTCCTGCTGGCTGCTGCCCGCCCAGGTGAGTGGTGAGTGGTGAGTGGTGACTGCCCTACGATGCAGCCAGCCCCGCCCCACCTTTTCCTTCCTCAGTGCGTTCTTTCTTTCCATCGCCCGCGTCCCGGATCATCTGATCATCTGATTCGTTATTTGTCTCCACTCAACCCCACATCCCAGCGGGGAGGGTACGTATCCTGCGACCTCAGGAGTCTGAGCTCCTTCTTTTTCGAGGCCAGAGTCCAGACACAGACTGAATGATGCCTGCCTCAATTTCTGTGCTGAGTTGACACAAACTTGAGAACGGGAAGGAGCACACAAGACGCAGAAAAGAAAGGAAAGAGGAAAGTGAGAAACACGGCCACTCCTGCAGTTGCATTGACCTCCAGCTGTCACTCTCGCCTTCGCAGCTGTCTTCTTCTTACCAACTCGGCTCACCTACTTTTGCAACCCTTCGTCATTTTCCTACTCCTCTACAGTACAGAGTATGCGACGGGTCTTGACGTGATGTGCGATCGGCCTCACGGATAACCGACCCGGCACTTGTTTCCCCATGTTTTTCTTTCCATCACATCATCCGGGCTTCTTCGGCTCCCGTCGCGACCACGTACAAAATACGAAGGCCGAATAGCAACGGCCGAAACGTGCCGTTCATGACGGAGCCATTACTAAACAACCACGAAATTCGTCACACCGTCTCTTCCTCCAACGCTTCCCTCACTCGCTTTTTCCTCGCGGCTCTGTCACGACTCACAGCTGTCATTACCCCGCCCTAAACCTCTTTCTGAAAGATTCCCGGCGCTGAGCAAGCCTTTTCTGGACAAGCCCTGGTCCCATACCTTACGGTAGGTAGGTACCTATCTCTTAGTGCCAACACCGCATGCGCTTCAGCCTTCAGGAACTGACGTTCCCCAGCTAGGCCTAAGAGATCTGTATGCAGCTAATACTCACCAAATCATCCATGGAAAAAAACGAGAATAAACACCAAACACTCTATTTGATATCACGATCGCCATCTTTCAATGCTGTGGTTTTCCAGAAAAAAACACCAAAATAAACAGCGGGCACACCCCAATTTCGCCTTGTGGGACACCCAGCAGCGAAAGGCCCTGCATCGGCGGAACATAGGTCCTTCCATTCCACGCATCATCCGGCAATCCTGGTTGGTCTGTCCTTCTAACCGTCTGTCTCATACAAGACATGCGGAAAGAAAATTATCACCTTGTTGGACCTCCCGCACAGCGCGTGGCTGTCTCTTCTCTGGTCTGGGCCCTCCGACCGCTACGGATGGCGGCAATTGAATCAACCACAAGGCGTTATTGTTGTCTTCTAAACGCCAACCTTGCCGATCAAAGTGCTCTTATCTACCTTCCAGCTACTCCAAGCCGCGTTCCACGTCCAGTATTCGACGTCCGCCGCGCCATGGGCTTGAACTCCGTCCCCGTCCCCGTCTTGTTCATCCCGAGTCGCCTGTGGCCGCTATCCCCGATTCGGTGATTTGCACCTTGGCTACAAGGGCTGGGGGCGACAGTCTCGCCCACCCTCAGGCGAAGCAGACGCGGTGCCCGATATGCCCGCTGTGGATTGAACGCTGCTCGCTTTCGTCTTGCCCTACGAGGAACTGTAGGCGCGTATGACCTCCAAGTCAAAACGTTCCAGCAAGGGATGCTAGGGGGTTGTTCGCGACGGAGCTGAAAGAACAATCAGCATCTTGCTTCCAGATGTCGATGCCGTGCATTGCGCAACTCGGCAAGTCATCTGATCACGAACGAAGGCGTGGGGCCAGCTGGAGGGCCTCGCGCCATCAAAAACGCCTCTGTTGGCCCAATACGTGCCTATCACAGCCCTCGAAGTCGACCCGGACGTACTCGGTCATTGTCAGGGACGTCAACGTCGCGCCCAAATGACAAGGAGGTCGTCTTGGATGTGAGACGGGTCCGAGCAGAACCTTATCATCACGACAGGCACCCGCTGTCCACGTCTTCTGTTCTCAAGAGTTTTCTCCCGCGTCTTCTCAGGGTTCCCATATCTCGCCCTGATCGCGGTTCGCCCGTCTATTTTTGAACCAAACGATCGTGTTTGCCGACCTGAGATTGCGTTGTATGCCTTCAGCACCGCCCATGTCGGCGCTCCCGACGGCTACATCCGCGCAGAAGAGGTGCCCAAAAAGTAGCCACCCTGGCTCCGTCCAGGGCGATATTCAATATTCAGCAGCACGCGGGTGGCAGTGGCTCCAGGGGAAGGGAGCCGGGACGGGCTTTATCTGGGAAAAGACGACCGGGGACAGGGAATGCTTGCAAGCGTCGTCGCCAAAAGTCACTTCGTACCCGTCCAAGCACGGAACTGCGTGTGCGGTCACTGGTTGCTTCCCAACTTTCAAGGGCAATAAACGGAGCTCAGGCGGGGTAAGGGACGTCTTGAAAGTCGCACAAGAGAGGGGAAGAACCGTGTCAACTGTGCCGCCGATCCTCCAAGAACTGCGCCGTTGGACGCGACACACTGGACCGGTAACAGCTACCGTCGTCAAGGAATGCGAATCAACTGTCTTTCTACCGTCCCTTGCTCCTCTTCTACACGTGTACTGGTATTCATACGCTGGCGGCAGCACCAACCGGGCGGTACATCTAGCAAGGGCAGAGCTCGAGGTGAACGACTCGCGTGCTTGTCTCGTCTCAGGCGGCTGACCTTGACCCTCACTCTCACTCTCCTGTGCTGCGCATCCTCACGCTTTTACTACACTCCTGCACTGCAGATCAGTTCCTTGAGACTTCGCTTTCGCTACCCTCCGACAGCCGCACACTTTAAGCCGCTTCTTAAGGTAATCGCATCATTACTACCACTACCGCCACCTTCTTTGAGCGCACTCGGCCAGGTTAAGCTTCAGCTCGCAAACTCTCCGACAGCCGATACGCCACTGGCTACGCGCGATACGGCGCTTGCTGTCCGACGACCTGTCCACTGCCCGGCTCCGGTCTCTGCGGTGCAGCCTCGTCTGAACCACTCAACTCCGACGACGACCCGGCTTTCTGCCCGCTTACGTTGATCCCGACCAGATATCATCATCCCACCCCGGCTACCCTACATCTTTCCGCGCAGTGGTAAACGCCTGACAACGTCATACTTGATAGACTTGCCAGGACTCACGTGTCGTGCCCTCCGCCCGCAGCGCTCTAGTTCGCAAAGTCTCGTTCAGACACGGACCCTGTCGACACCAAGTCATCTCAGTAGCTCGGCCTCGAGGTACGGCACCTCGTTCTCGTCGCAGCTCATCGCCCGAAATGCCGCGATCCAGTTTCTCGGATAACCCCCTGCTGCGGGTATCGCGTCCTGTCTCCGCCTGTTCGCGATGTGAGTGTCCTGGTCGCGGCTGACTGCTTCTATGCCATGCGAAGCTAACGTTGCCCCACAGGTCGAGCTGCAAAAGTCAAGGTATATCTATCCCTTTCAGGCTGCGTAGCCTGATTCTTCGACGGGCACATGCTGATGTGTGCCTTGCTGCTTTAGTGTGATGGCAAGCTCCCAGCTTGCACCGCCTGTGAGAAGGCCGGTCGTGAGAATGAATGCTCCAGCGCTAATGACCAGTTTGCTCGGGGCAAAGAACGCAGGTATGCTTCACGCACAGGATTCTTCTTGGCGCTATTCAGAGCTGATGAGTTGCAGCTACGTCGCCGCTTTGGAGCTTAGAGTTGAGAAGCTGGAGAAACGACTTGCATTCGCCCGTTCTCGCAAGGCCTCAGTCAACCTGCACGACATAGACGAGGCCGCTGCACCGGCTGATCGCAAAGACTCGTTAGCTAACATCCGAGCTGCTATCCACCGCAAAGCGGCCCGTAAGAGAGAAGACTCGGACGTCAACTCCCTCGTGTCGGACTTCGGCTTCCTGTGAGACGTCAGCTTCCCGTACCTGTCATCGGTGCTAACATGTGCAAGCTCCGTCAACGCCACAACTCGCGATTTTGAGCCTTCTATTAGCAACATGACATTTGCCCGCCTGGTCTTGGCCGCTGCGACTAATGAAGAAGTACCGGACCCAACAGAAGACAGCTTTCCAACACGAGCAGAGGCCTTGGCTACCATTCAGTACTACACAGCCAATATCTTTTCGCTGTTTCCTTGCTTCTCCGAAACACATCTTCTTACCGTTCTTGACGATATTTACAACCCGGATGAAAGAGTCAAGGAGCGTCTCAAGGATTCAGATTATTGGCTTTTGTACATGGTGCTTGCTGTTGGCTACTCCGCACAGAGCAAGAACTTACAGGATGAAAACTATCGCCTCGGCCTCGACTTCGTCTCGCGCGCCCTGCCGTTCGCCGACAAGGCGTTGATGCCGGGATACCCAACTCAGATTCAGTCACTCATTCTTTTCACGCAATACTCTATGCTCGACTCGGCTCATTTCGACAGTTGGTATCTCATCGGCTTCGCGAGCAGAGCAGTGGTCGATTTAGGGTTTCATCAAGATCCGCCGCAGCTTCAAGTACCCGACAAAGCTGCTCTTGATCTTAGGAGGAGGATGTTCTACTCTGTCTATGCACTTGATAGGTATGTGTCTATGATGCTCTCCAATCCCGATGATGTCTAATAACTGGATCAGGACCATCAGCATAGTTCGCGCCAGATCGTTCTCGTTCACAGACGATTCGATCAACGTCGAGTATCCCAGCGCTTCGGGACCGTCCTCCGGAGCCATCTCCGGCCCCCAGTCCGCAGATCCAGCTTTGCTACTGTTCCAGCTCCGTCGAACTCAATCAGAGTGGTATCAAACCCTTTTCCAGGCGGATTCTGCGCCACTACCCGATGCTTCTTCTTTCATCTGGCAAATGTGCCTCGAGATGCGGGAGTGGCACGAGAGTTTGCCCGACAACCTTCCGGCTGGCACTCGGGAGCTATTCGACCTGGAGCTGAGGTACAGCTACATCTACTGCCTCGCACCTAGTGACAGATCCCCGCACTTGACCGACTACGCCAAGAAACTCATCTTCGAACACGCCATTGCGTACATGAACACCATTCACGGCGTGGCGCACGGTTCGCTGAATAACGCATTCTACACATCTCTTGATGTTCTGAAGGTCTACTTCGTCGCGATGCAGTTCTTCACGGTCTTCAACGCATCTCGCGAATTACAGCTTTCTGAGCAACGTATCATTCCACCCATCACACGCCCGGGGACAGCACCACCACCACCCTTACCACACCGACCCGCCGGCAGCGAAGACAGCGTAGATAGGAGTATACGCTGTTTCCAACAGGTCGTAGAGACTCTCGGAAAATTGTCCGAGAGGTGGGTTATTGCTTCGCAGTTGAAGACAGGTTTCGAGACCATATCATCGGAGTTGTTCTCCTGGCTTCAGATGCGCCGACAGATGAGAGACCAGCAGGCGCAACAACCTCAACACCCACCCCACCCTCACCCCCAGCATCAGCATCAACATCAGCATCAACAGTCTCTTCACATGCACGCAGGTCCATCGCCACCTCAACCTCAGCATCCGACGCACCCGCCGCACCCTCCGCACCCTCACCCACAAGTCATCATGGGACCTCCGCAGATGCAGATGCAGATGCCCGGCATGATGCCACAGCCTGGACAGCCGATGATGCAGTATAGATGGGTTGGGGACGGATCCCAACAGATGATGCCTGGGCCTCCGCCTGGGCACGGTTCCGGCTAGGAAAGGAACCTCTTACGGAAACGAGGAACGGCGCTCGGGTTAGATAGGTACACTGGGACACCCTTCATTCTTAGATCATGGTAAAGTTATCAAAAGCTCATCGATTCGATTCGTTCCGCTACCGAATCCCATGTTGAACCTGCATGTTATCCTCGCTTGGTATTTCCCTTAGCAAGTGATGGTGTTACTTCAACCGCACAGGACAGGTTCAGCTCGTTCGCCTGATATCGTTGAGAGGGTTATCTTCCCTTCCTCATGTCCGCTAGCTTTGTTTAGCAAGCCTTCCAATTCAACAGACGACCGAATTGGGTGTGAATTGTTTAGGTAAGCCGGAGACGGCTTTCCTCCACCAACGCCCATCTTGCGATTGTGTCTTCGTTCGTGTTCTATCTGTCTTCGTGCAATTTTGAACATGCTATTTGATAAAGGGGAACATGGTGATCCCTTTTTTCAAGCGATCAGGTGGGAGGTTCAGAATCCTTTCCGCCGCCCGCTCCGCCACGGACAGAATCGCACCTGTTGGGTTGGCGGTGACCATGCCAGGCATGATGCTCGCATCTACGACGAACAGATTCTCAGTCCCGTAGACCTTGGCGTCGCTGTCGACTACGGCGTAACCTTCTCCCCCGTTTAATCCACTGTCGGTGCCCATTCTAGCCGTGCCCATGAGATGGAGACCGCGACGCGCTGTGACGCTAATGGCGATCTGGAAGCGTAGCGTTAGTCAGGACAACTCCCTGGATTGATGCAACGCTCAAATAGGTAACAGAGAGCCAGGTTCCAGAGGGATGTGGGAACTTACGCTATTTACATAGTCCGCAACGGTCTGGTTAGGTGCGGGCTTGACCAAGGTGATCTCCGGATTCGCACGCAAAGCTGCGACCATACGTTCTCCGGCGATCACGGCGGCCTTTTTGTCATCTTCTGTCTGGAAGTAGGGGATTTCGGCGTATGATATCGTCATCTGGGGAATTTTCTATGTGAGTGATTGCATCAAGAGAGGGGTTTCACTTCCACAGCCGGCTCGAGAAAACGTGAACCGATGGAAGGACTCACATTCCCGTTGATTGCGAGACGCCCGACAGTAGATGAGCCGCGTCCAACGAATGAAGACAAGGTCAAGAGATTATTGGGCGGCCCAGGATTCTGGATTCTTGTGGTCCACTGGATTTGGCGCGGAGTATTGTCGGAAAACAGAGATCCTTCGAGGGTCTCCCAGGCCACTGGTAGAAGTCAGCAACAGTCTTCTTCAGAGGCTTTTCTTGGAGGACATGTGATAGATTAAATGTATACGGGGATGCGAGGAATACTTACTAGGCCCGTGATTATTCGGGGGACCGGCTAGCATGCCACTCCGGTCCCGCAAATACTGGTCAAGATCTCCCTGGACCGGCGCGTCCCAGATCCCGTTCGACCAGTCGTAGTTCTTGACAGACGGATGCGATATCTGGAAATCCGTCACTTGGTGGTCTTTCAAGTTCTTCCCCACTGGTAGCTGTAGCCATTGTCCGCGGTCGATGAAGCTCGATCCGTCCGACTGCGACTCAGCCACGACCTTCAGCTGATCCTCCGGCCCGATTCCGCTTCGGAACAGAATCTTCGGCGATCCAAAGTATCCGGCGGACAGAACCACGCGCCCCGTCCCACAGGTGACATTCACAACCCGGCCGCTTCCTTCTATTTCCACACCCGTCACGCGGCCGCCGTCCCTAATAACACGGCGTACGCTGGTGTCCGTCCACAAAGCGAAGTTAGGTCTAGCTGATGCCGTGACTAGATAGGTATCCATGGGCCCGTTGCGGTATCCGAACCGATAGTGATAGTTAGCGTAGCTAAACGTCCGATTCTTCGCATCCGGCGTCTCATTTCCCGTCACATTCGCCCAACCGGCCTTCGCCAACGCACCCGCTACAACATTGTACCCTTCGGGGCTATACAGGATCCCGTCCGGCGAAGGCCGATCCGTCGCCGGCATCCTCGCGAAAGCGCGCCCAACAGCGCCCCGCATATCCGCCGACCCCCACCCGTGCGGATACCCGTTCTCGTCAAAGTCCCCCGCCGGCGGCCGCCACCATAGCGCCGAGTTGACCGCGGTCGACCCCCCGAGCACGCACGCGGCGGGGTTCTCGGCCTGGTCGGCGCAGGCGATGTCGATCTGGCTGGACCAGAAGTACTGCGAGAGGCCCGGCACGTCGAAGCGCGTGAGGTTGGTGCCGTTGAGCCAGCCGGGGCGCCAGTTGTCGAAGGGCACTTGGTTCTCTTGCGCTGCGGGGATCCAGCGGCCGGACGAGGGGGGCCCGCGCTCGAGGAGGAGGACGGTGTGGCCTGCTTCGGAGAGTCTGTCGCTGACGACGAGGCCGGCGGCGCCGCCGCCGACTACGATGTAGTCGTAGGATGTGTTTTGGGCTGTTAAGGAGCAGGCGACCCGGCCGGCGCTCACTTATCAGGCTGTTAGGGGTTCTGTGGGAAGAGCTTGTTTGTGAGTACGTACGGAGAGCGGAAAAGGCTGCGATCCACAACATTGAGACTTTGTCGTTATGATGTTGCTAGACGTGGTTCATCCGGTCCTTAGACTGTCGATCTGCGTCCCCAAAACGTGGCGTGGCCACTACTTATCATTCTAACACCAGTTCACCAGTTTGAGTTTCCTCCAAGGCGGTGTTTTCTCGCCAAGCTTAGGAGAATTTCACGATGGACATCCCGACGGGCGTGGGCGGTGGGAACCGGCTGGCGATCGTGGGATGCCGCATCGGCACTTTAAACTTTAATGAGTCTACCGAACCCCTGACCCTGGGCTTCCTTGAGGAAATCAGGAGTAATCCAACGTTGTATCTCAAAACTTGGCCACTTCTGGCAGAAACGGAAATACTCAGCGCGTGGTAGGTTTAATGAAATGCTTCGTCAATGACTTACTCTCGACTGCTGGCAGGATGATGTGCTAGTCTTTGCTAACACCTGCACTTACCAAAAGCCGGAGTTGATGCCCATTGCGTAAATCGGACCAGCAGGCAAGACTTCTTTCTCGTGGTGTTTGTTCGGTCTCTTGACTGTGCTGGTCTCGTCTGGACGTACACACATTGGGTGTTATTCAAACGCGGTTTCTGTCATCTTTGTTGAATTCAATATGAAGTTGTCATTTTTAACTTGATTATGTTGGTCCAAGTCAAAGACAAAATCAACTTGGAAGGTCAAGTTCAATGCAAATCAATCAGGGTAAGCACTCTAAGCTTCAATTGAAGAAATTAAAGTGGTCAAGTAACACTCTGATTCTACCCACTGCGCTGGAGATGTGGAGATGGCAGTCGATCAGTAAGAACACGATTAATCTGATAGGCGCTGGCACAACTTTTGCTCGGTCACAACGGATAGACATAGCGATGTAAGTGCTTTGTGTTATCAAGAACTAGTCGAAGCTTTCCAACACAGATGTAGCTAACTTCGCGACAGGTCTGTATCAAAGCTTTGGTTGTTAAGTGTAACACTTCTGTACATCAACTAACAGTCCTGTCGCCAAGCTGTCCAGGGAAGCGCCGCTTAGATCAGTCCAAGTCTTCTCAGGCACGGTCCCGACATAAGCGTTGTAGTTGTACAGTCCGCAGATGCAGCTGTTCGAGATGGTCTTACTCGAAGTTGCTGAAACAATTGCCTTTCCATCCCGGCTGACTGCAAAACTCTGAACGCCGAGACCGATCGGAACCTGAAAGAAGTTCGTACCCTCGGAAGCGCTGAAATTTTGGGTATTGTTGCCCGAACGTACCGTGACCATGGCGGGCTCCTTGAGGAGAGAAACGACGAAGACACTATCTGAAAGAGTCTGCCAGCCGTTCGGCCGGCCCTCGAAGTAATTCCCGGAGTCGTTGTTGGCGGGACGGCCGAAGGTGGTATCGGTTGCGTCACAGCTCGTGGTAGACGGGTTGGGACGATACCAGTACACAAGCTGGTCGTCATCGATGTGACTGGCATCCACAGTCGTGGCGCCCGACTTGAAAGCCCTGATGAACGGCTTGGCCATATCCAACCATCCGTCATGCGGCATACCCAGAGTCCACTTGCTCCCGCCGTCATCGTTGTGTGATGAGCCCAGCGGAGCGACATAATGACTCTCGCCAAAATCGTTCCAACTCACTATCTCAACGAATCTCGGGCCCAAACTGAGCACATCCTGCCAGCGTCTCGCCCACAGCAGGTCGCCGGGAAAGACGAAGTTCTTGCTGTACGATACTTCAGGCCCGTAGTGAGTGAAGAACCAAGCAGATACCGGCGCGATGTACGGCTTTCCTTGCAGCCACTTGATGTATTCCGAATCGGTGTACTGGACTGAGACGTTGGCGCCAGCGGTAGGGGCCTTATTTTGTCCGTTGGTGTCCCAGGCGTACCAGTTCAGCGCGCCATCGAGACCCTCGGAGGTCTCGACATATGGCTGGCCTGATAGAGAGGGGACCGTCGGGGGGTGGAAGTTGGGAGCCCAGAAGACTTCGGTGGCGGTATTGGCGGCGACCGCCTCGCGCATCGCGGTCACGTTCAGACCATCGCCTGCGTAGGAGGATGCAAAGATCTTGCCGTCGACGATGAGCTGGCCTGGCTTGTTTGCGTACTTGGCGATCAAGCCGCCGACGACGTCTGCTTCGGTTTTGGGTTTATACCACTACAATGTTGGTCAGGTATGTTAGAGGAAACGATCCCGGAGGACAAGAAAAGGAACAACGCACGTTGAAGTCGAAGGAGATGAATACTTTTAGCCCGTTATTGACAGCCGCCTCATAAGCCAGATCCAGCTGTGTCTCCGTATATGGGTCTTTGCCGATGTTGAGCGCGAAGGCGTCAATGCCGACCTCCTTTGCCCTCTTGAAGTCTACATCATAGTCTGAGACTTTGTTGCGTAGTCCTACGATGCCGACCTGCGAATTCGTCGGTGTTGGTAAGCGGTTCTCGGTTTCCACAGTTCATGAGGGCCAGTCAGCCTACATACCATGAAGTGCGCAAAGACGAGCCTGTCAGTTGCAGCCAGGTCGCCATCCCTTGCAGCGATGCTGTTGTGGGACGAAACAGGGCTCGCGTTCGCCACGGACCTAAGTAGCAGACCTGCTACCGAGACCAGTTGCTCGAGACGCATCTTGCTGGGGTTAGAAGTGGACTGGACGAGCGGAAGTCAGAACACTAGCAAAGAAGCAAAGCGATTCAAGAGAGCTAGAGGAAATGAACGAGTGAAAATGAGGTAAAGACTGATGATAGAGTGGAAGTTGCTGGTATCCAAAATCGGCTGTCGAATCTACAGTGGGAGAGGGCGCCTTATATGTGTTCTTCGAGAAAGCTGGTGGGATCCAGACGTGATAAAGACTTCCGTACGAGAGATGCGATCGTCTCGTATATTGCTCTGCTTGAATTTAATTCCACGCATATTGTAGATACTTCATAGTAGCTCTAACAACTTAGAGAAACTTAAACAAATGTCTTCTCCGTCATGTCAGTTATTGAGATCTCTGAGGCTTTGAACAATAATCGGATTCAACTTGAGGTAACATAGGGGTTCATCGGACCTTTAATAGAGTTTTCTTTTTAGATTACTTTCAAGGTTACTTCGATTTGTTCGGATATCTAAGCGCCGCGCATTGCGGCTGTGGGCCTGCACAAGATGGCACTCACTTGCATTCGCTCTGTTCTGACATCATAACCGTTATAGAAATAGATGTCGGCAGAAGCCGATATTATGGCGCGTAAAAGAAGTTGCCTTTGAATCTGGCATGATGTCTCCATTCGTGACGATGCGAAGGCAAGTTCTCGGGAAAGAATTTGCAGAGATTTGAACATTTCAATACTACGGCGAAAGATACGTAGAGTACAAATTTTTTAAGCCTAAGCTGCTTCAATCGATCACCGGCTTCCTGGAAAGATACTGTGTTATAGGGAACAAATAACTGCCTACTTGGAATGGTTGACGTCCATGGATTTACCTACCTAAACTGAAGTCCCAATCCGGTAGTCCTAACGCCTTCGTGATTTCAACAGCCTACAACAAGGGCAACAGTGTGGGAAGACCCTGCATCGACTCGTGCTGTGGCCATGCTTTTGTTGAACTCTATATGTTGACGGTTCTCCGGCTCCGCCGGAATTCTGTAATACCATGAGATCGAGTTGCTGAATGGGAACGAAATTAGCATCTCAAATCACCAATGAGTAATTACAACAAGCCTTTCGTTCAACCACTCGAGAATAAAAGCTCTCTGACATACTGGTTTAATAAGAAGCACCTCTAGACAGCCCAAACTCCTGTGACTTTGCTTGATTGTACAACCATCGAGCGTCCTGTTCTGATTCCTCCGCTTTCACCAACACCTCAGCATTCATGGCGCGCCTTTCCTTTTTCCCCGGCTCTCTATCTGGTTTAATAACTCGGCAACCCATACTTCCGCTTCCGACACTCCCTCTTCTTCTCGACATAGGCGCGACCAACGACGGAAACGATGCATACTATCCGCCATGCTACGGGCATGACGAGCTCAGTAGCTAAAGATTCCGATTCCGCGACGAAACTATCAAGTTACCTCAAGAGAACATTATCACACAGCTTTGAGCGGATGTTGACAGGAAGTTTTGCTGGGTTGCTGTGTTGGTCACTTTAAAGGGACAGCTCGTCCTTAACAGTCAGCATGACAGGGTGATAGATACACGGAACAGCTGACGTGAACCCTTGAAAGCTCCTGTACCTTAGTACGCTTACGTTAGCTTTCATTGTGAGAGTGATCAGGTCGGTTTAGTCAGTCGGCAGAGGGCAGTAGCAACGTTGTTTCGCCTATTCCGGATCTTCAAGGGTTCAAGATCACATTCGAAACATGAAAGAGATTCAATCATGAGTAGGGTTCATTCAAACTGACTTTTGAACGTAGACAGTATCGATCGCATATGGTCCGGCCGAGATGATCAAGACCGTTCTTAGGAGAACTCGCATCACACCCCGTCCTCCGGAACTAATGCGGCCCATTGGACCGAGACCGAATAACGGTACCATCCCCTCGGTAAGCTAATGGATTCGCATAATCGACAATGAGTCCATCAATACCACAAGCAGAAAGGCCGTCGTCTCCTATCAGCCCCATCGCGCCGCCGTCCCTCTGCATATGCACGCGTCGACAAGGCTCCTGTGATTCGGTTCGTCTTCCTTCTCGCGGCCTCGCCTCGCGTTCCCCACAAGCCGTCACCGGCGCCGGCGACAACGGGCCTGTCTAGCGCAAGGGCGTGGACGCATCCTTCTTCGCCTCTGGGGAATGTTTATTTCTTCCATCAATCACAGTCGTGTCAAATGCGGACCCCTTATCCGGGTGTAGCTTAGTTCGGCCGCCTCCTAGCAATAAGCTGGGGACTCCGGATTCTGGTGGTTCGATTTCTTCCTTTAAAATGTTGGGGTTTGCGCGGGGGATGGAAAGATTTCAGATTCGACGCGGAGAGCCGGCACGTAGGGACTGGAGTCACGATGGCCAGGATGTAGCTTTTATTGTGATCTTTTTTTTCAATCAACACGAGAAGCCGGTGGGATGAGGCGCGGCGGACGAAAGTGGTGTGGGAGACACCGATTCAGGCTGAATTGCAGCCACGTTTTTGACCGGACTGCTGGAATGCGATGCTCTACGGATTCAAGTTCGCCAAGGCGCTTACGGGCAAAATTGATATCAAGTTCGCTTTTAACGGCAGGAGAGAAGAGTCGACGAGTGATATCAACCTCTTGGCAGCATCGGGTGGCTTGCAGTGCCAACACGGGATCCGCGGGTTGACACGGTCTTGGCCGCCTCAAATCGTCCTCATACCGTCTCTTGAAGAGCCGCAGGTCTTGGTCGTGAAAGCTTATGTCAACTCATTTCTCGTTGTCAGAGTTCAGACGATGCCTGAATCGAGCGAAACAGAGGTTGAAAGAAGTCTGCGAGTCAAGGAGAGCAACGGCGCGACGCACGACGTTTTCTAGTCCTGCCAGCCCGGAGCTAGACGGCGCATGTCGCAGCAGCCCGTCGCTGCTGACCGGGCCCCATTCTTCGCGGGTCGCTCTCTGCATGAGAAACATGCGGAAATAAATGGGTCATGGAGATAAACTCGCAGTCTGACCGGCCGAGATCTTTTGCACCTTTTTCTGACCAACCCGTCAGAGTCATCACATGCGAACCTCTCACGTCCGGAGGATGCTCGAACGTGGTCTGACAAGGGGGCATGTCGTCGTCAGCTAAGCAAAGCTGTCGTCTTTCCCAGAAGGAGTTAAAATACTCTTGCGGCAAAGATGGTGAGCGAGAGGTGCTTGTTTGGATCCACGGAGAGGCGTGGGCGAAGACGGGAATCGGCATCTGGCGTCGACGACCTGCGTCGCCAAGGGCCATCATCCGTCCCTCTCAACACACGAGATATTGCATCCGGACAAGGCTGGAAGTCCCATGATCACAGCACTCTAAGCCGTTTTCTCTTTCAAATTTCAGCAACAGCACCACCAATTCCGTGAGCGCAGGAAACCTCTTCGACGCCGTTGCCAACCGTAGATTGGAGGGTGGGAAAACACCACAAAAACAAGCGTTTGCCCAGACCAGCCACCGCGGTCTTGTTCGCCGTCCTCGCCCTCCACTTCCGCGATGGGGGGCCGCGGAGGCGAAATTCCCATTGGTGGAAGTTGACATACGGGGTTTCTCCGCCAGTTCGACCCCAGAACACGACGACAGGGATTCCGGAAGTTGGGGAAGGACGGAGTGCCACACGCGGCGCGGCGCCAAGAGATTGCCGGGTCCCTGCTGTCGCCGCATCTCTTGGTTCGTCTTGTCCCGTTCGGTTCGTGTTGCCCGCGCGTGTGGATGGGAGAGCTGGATGGGGGTGAGAGGGTGTGAAGATATTGAGCGAGCGGTCGATGACAACGACGGTGGGACACGCAGGATTCCCTGCGGCGATGCCTTCAACGACTCGACCCCTTCTTCGGTCCTTTCCTGAAAACTCCACCTCCACTCCCCCGGAACCAGCGCTAGCCCGGCCTCGACAAACAATTATGGGGAGAACCCAGTCCTCGTCCGTCTTCCTCGCTATCTAGACCCGGGGAATGAGGGGAACGGCACGGGGGAACTTGGGGCAAGATTTGGGGGAATGGGAGAAGGGAAATTGGTCTTTGCGGGGATTCGAGGGTTAAGTTTAGCTTTGATGAGACCGGGGGGGTTCGTCTGCGATAAAACCTTTAAAGACAACCGTCCATCTTTCTTTTGGCTCTCTTCTGTCTCTTCACCTCTCTCTGTCGGAGTTGTCCATCCAGTCAGTCTCCTGTCTTTACCAACCGACTCGAAGACGACAACATTCAGTCAGAGCCTGTCAAGCAGCAACACGTCGTCAAGATGGCAGTCACCAGCAAGAGGGTGTACAACTGGTACATCTCCCTCATGGCGGCCATGTGCATGGTCCTCTACGGGTACGATGCCTCCGTCTACAACTCGCTCCAGGGCTCCAAGAACTGGCTCGCCTGGGTCGACGTCGACCTGAAGAAGGACACGCAGCTCATCGGTCTTGTGAACACGGCCTACACAATCGGTGCCATTGTCGCCGGCTTCTTCATCGGAGGCCCTCTGGTAAGTCTTCAGTCTCTAGTCATCGTCTATAGACTACCGCTAACACTTTTCGTGTTCAGGCCGACTTCCTCGGTCGCCGCTGGGGCATGGCCATCGGCTGCTTCGTCACCATTATCGCGACCCTGATGCAGACGTTCACACCGCACCACCAGCTCGGCGTTTTCATCGCCGGAAGAGTCATCATCGGTCTCGGACAGGGCATGGCCCTGACCGCCGGCCCCGTCTACATCGGCGAGGTTGCGCCCCCGCAGATCCGTGGCCACATCATGGCCTGCTGGCAGATGTTCTACAGCGTCGGAAGCTTCATCGCATACTGGATTGTAAGAATCCCCCAAAACGACGGCGATGGTGTCAGCATGTGACTAACAACATCGTCCAGAACTACGCCTGCTCCAAGCACCGCCAGAGCCTCGGCGAGTGGGACTGGCGCATGGTCGTCATCTTCCAGATGCTCGTCCCGATCATCATCATCGTCGCCCTGCCCTTCCAGCCCGAGAGCCCCCGTTGGTACATCCAGAAGAAGGGAGACGTCGACTCCGCCCGCGCCGCGCTGATGCGCATCCGCGACACCGAGCAGGAGGTCGAGGAGGAGCTGCTTACCATTCGCGAGGCCATCGAGTACGAGAAGGAGGCCATCAGCGGCAGCTACTCCGCGCTGTTCAAGGACGCGTCCCTTCGCAAGCGTCTTTACCTCGCGTTCGTCCTCAACGTCGGTCAGCAACTTACCGGCCAGGGAACCCTCAACTCGTACTCGACTGCCATTTACAAGAAGGTCTGGCCTTCCGACGACACCATCAACCTGATCAACGCCCTGAACGCCACCTGCGGAATCCTGTTCACGCTGAACGCCATGTGGACGGCCGATCGTTTTGGACGTCGCTGGCTCTTCATCGTCGGTGCCGCCGGTATGGCCGTGTGCATGCTCGTGGTGCCCATCGTCGGTCTCAAGACGCCCTCGGCAGCGGATGGAACCAAGAGCGAGAGTGTCGGAATCGGCATCGTCTTCCTGCTCTTCCTCTTCACCTTCTTCTACAAGCCTTCGTGGGGTGCTACGACCTGGATGTACACGTCCGAGATCTTCTCCTCCAATGTTCGCGCGCAGGCCGTTGGCATGTGCTCGCAGATGCAGAACGTCGCCAACACCATCTTCCAGCAGTTCTTCCCGACCTTCCTGGCCAACGAGGGTCTGAAGTGTCTTTTCTTCTTCATGGGAATGAACATCGTTCTCGGCGTGTTCGTCTACTTCTTCATTCCCGAGACGAAGCAGGTTGCGCTCGAGGAAGTCGACGTGCTCTTCGGTGGTGCCAACCACATTGAGAAGGGAGGGCAGATCATGGGCGTTAACGACCACCCCGAGGCTGGTACCGGCTCTGATAAGGATGGTGCCCGGGTCCAGGAGGCCGAGAGGAAGGAGGTTGTCTAGATGGAGAGCGGGTGATTATGAGTAATGTGTTTGTTGTATTTGTTAGATGACGTCGTCGAGTCGACCTCACGGCCAGGCCGGGGCTGGTCACACTATACCCTCAATCGCAAATGATGAAATTGACAACGTTTCCTGTCATTCTTTGAAACTTCCCTACCACACGAATCAGCACAATCTCGCACCCCGACTCACCGAAAGATGAACTAATTTGAAATGGGAAAGTGAGCAACGCGGCTCGTGGCTTGTCATTGGACTCGCTTGGCCCTAGCATGCTAGAAGCTTCTGCCTATACTATATAGCTGAAGAAAATTCGAATCCAACTGGAGGTAGATGGCAAAGATGGTGGATACTTAGGCCTGCGCGTCGACGGCTCTACCAGCCTCGCTGATAGCGAGGCTGGCCATGCTGCCCGCCACCGCATCCGGCCCCCTCGTATCCTTTGCTTTCTTCGGACCGGCTTTCTTCTTCCGCTTGGAGGTTCCAAGGCTCACCGCTGGGGCCTCAAGCACCCAGCGGGCGATGGCAGCGGCGCGTTCCGTCAGAATGGGATACTCTCGACCATCATCCACACTCCACCTACGGAGGGCGGGTGGCTGACTGTGACTTGCTAGCTCTGATTTTCCGTGCGTGCCGTTCTTGAGACCAATCAGGTAGTCGTGATCCTCTTCAGCTCGCTTTTGGCGGGCGGTGATGGCAGCGCGGAGGCTTGCCTCATCGACAACTCTGTCGTCGTCAAGAGAGTCCATGATAGCCTGTTGGCGAATCCTCTCTTTCCGCTGATCCTCAGTCTCACCGAGATCAGGCAGCGTGTTGCTGTCTCGAGTGATGGCCGCGGCCGCAAGCGCAGCTGCTTTGGCGGACGGACGAACCTTGTTTTGATGCTCAGCCAAAGGCCCGTCCAAGACCGGCAGAGGCGCAGGGGCACATAATTGCTCCCAGGACGTGGTCATGGAAATCCAGTTGTTCGCCCGGCGAAGAACCTCGATCCAGTCCGCCCTGGCTGGGGACCTACTTGGTTGAAATATGGGGTACCCGTCGGCGAGGCGGGCCAGCCGAGCAACCATGTGCGCGTGGCGGAGGAGCTCCTTGGTTGAAGTCTGCATAAGACAGTGACAGAGTAGTAAGGAGTGGAGCGCGTCTGTTAGCAGAGGATGATATGTGATCGCCTCGTAGGTGGAAGGCTGAACGGGGCCAGATTGGTGCACGATCGCCTGAGAAGGATACGGCGGTATGTCTGCTGGTGGCACGGCGGCGAAGAGATCGGACAGAGGATAAATCTTGTATGATGGCGAAGCCCCTGAGTCGGGCATTCGAGGATGGCGAATACCATGGACTGTGCTATTAACCTTTTCCGTGAATTCTTTTACTACCTTCAGCGGCAGATCCGGCGTGTACTCAAACTTGGACAGATATGCCGTGTAGTCTCGCAGGGCCTTCTTGGCGTAGGTCTTGACCACTTTTCGCTGCTCTAACCGGTGGCGCGCGGCCTCCTTTTCAGCGGGTGAAGGTTCAGGAGACTGGCCGGACGTAGTCTCCTCTCCTGCTTTGGCATCAGAGGGTGTCTGCCTTTGACCGTCATCCCGCGCTACCCCTCCATCTGCAGGAGTGTCGGGCAAGCCGTCAATGACATGCTGGCATGCAAGCGTCAAGTATACCCCAGCCCGCTGGAACAACAGCTGCGTCTCCAAGCTGCTAGGCTGCTGGTCCTCAGTGAGGATCACGTCCTGATATCTCCTTGTCCCAGTCGCCAGCTGAAGTTCCTGGGAAGATGGAGGGGTGTGGATTGGCTGGTGATAGCGGCATTTCTCCAACGCGCGACTCAGATCCCAAGCAGCGCCTTCGTAGTCCTCCTTGAATATCCTCACGGTTGCCCTTGTTCGCAGAGCCTCGCCCTCGCCCGGTCTCGCGGAGATGATTTCGTCCAGAGAATGCAGGCTGGTGCACTCGGCCAGTTGTCTCGATGGTATCTTTTCGTGGAAGAAGTGGACGTATTTGGCATCCGGATCGTCTTTGCTGCGCTGCAACACTAGAGAGCCAATCTCCTCCAACGTCGAGGTGCCCTGCATAGTGGCGACACTACATGCGATCTCATCCAGACGATATGCGCGGGCAAGCTTCTGGCTGGCCTGTTCCCTCATCCTGTGTTTTCGTTCTTTGCTCAGTTTTGTCCCGTGACCCCCGCCCACTCCAAAGCCCAGCGACGACATGTGTCCATTCAGTCCACCATGCAGGTTCGACAGAGTCGGTGAGGCGATGTCGCTAGCGGCGCGGACTGCCAGGTCTGTAGCTTCGTCGACCAGTCGGCGGATCTTGAGGAGGTCGAAGAAGACGGCGGGGTCAATCGGGCGGGGTCGCGGGGTATTGTAGTTGATATTCGCGATCGTCTCGAGAATCTCAATGGGCATTTGTAGCCATGGGCCATGGAAGGAAGAGATAAAGCGCCAATGCCTGTCGCCCAGTCTCTGTTAGCAAAGGCCAGTCCCGATCGCGAGCGCCGACGATTCCCTTGATTCGCGCATCTGGGACGGGGGCGCAAGGATCGAAGCACCGTTAAGGTAGCTTTGCCAGAGGGAGTACAGACTTGTTGCGACATATTATGAGCGCAGGGGCAGAGTCGGAGACGGCGCTTGCAGCTGCTCTGCCTCTCGAAGAGCCATTCGACGAGGAGGATTGGGATGCGCTTCCACTCGGGACGCTTCCGTCGACATCATCGGCGGCAGTCTGCTTGTTCTTCTTTTTGGCCATGGCGGCAGCAACTCGGAAAGACGTATTCGAGCAAGCAATGTGTGCTGCTAAGCAAGATCGCACAGGATCGTCGTCGAAGTTCCCAGGGAACACAGACTCGAACTCGAGGAACGTTCGGAGTGGGGAATTATTGACCAATTGGTATTGAGCTCATGATAGCAAATTTGTTTAATTCGAGCCGGCCATGCTAGTACCGATACTAGTACAATAAGTTCGGCGATCTTCAATCTGAATCCCTATGCGAACTGCGGTCGCAAGACTTTGTTTTAAGTCAACGTCGGAACATTCACTGTTCTGCGACTTCCTCCAAGTCTCGAGTGACCGGCGTTTCACGTGACCGGCCGTTGAGCGCATTGTTACGTCAGCAGATAAGCGAGATAGATAAGATTAGATACGTACTGGTCATCTCCGGAATTCTTTCCGTCTTTCACCTCACCATATCACGAACGTCCTCACAACCGAGAGTATCCCATGTTCAGTCCTTGGAACAAGAGGTATCTCCATCAGCCCAGGGACATCAATGTTGGACCCCGAATGTGAGGCGGAAACACGCACTCACCACACGATGCCGTCAACATGTTCACCAGCTACTTATCCCCATCACCTTCGGTCATACCAGGAGCTTCAGAGAATTGAAGGCCAAGTACACTAACACGCTCCTGCGCCAATTATTGCTTCAAAAGGTTGTGATTATCTTGCAACTAATATCAATACCCTATACATCACAGCATACTAATTGTTACCCGTCCAGTGCCTCTGTCCAAACGCCTCTTCAGGTACCGTTCGCTGGCTGAAACCACTCCTTGCCGTTGACCGTCGTCGTCAGCGTGCCGTTCGCCTCGAAGATATTCGTCATGATATCGATGGAAAGATGAAAGCCGTCCGGGCTTGTCTTCTTGGTGCCATTGTTTGGGCCAGTCTGCACCAGATCCGAGAACCAGTCGACGTCCTCAACAGTTGGCGTCGGGTTCACCGCCGTGACCTTCTCAGTCCCGACCAACACATTGACGCCATCGTCCGAGAAGTCATGGTACTCGACAGCGACAGTCTGCGGGAGAGTACCCTCGCTGTTGGGAGTGATAGTGACGTTCGCCCAACCCCCAACTTTGCCCTTGAGTGTGAAGGTACCGTTCGTCGGCAGTGGTCGCGCCGGAGCTGCGTCGCCAGGCTTGTGCGGCGTCGCCCAAGGGATGATCTCGGGCACCGGCTGGATGGCGAGAGGACTCAGTGGTTGCCTGCTCGTCAGATGCGCCATCATCATCCTTTGTCTGCGGCCCCCCGGCTCCGTGGAGTTGTAGCAGGGCAGCGGGTTCTCTCCGCCGCACGCTGGCGAGACTGTCTGAGCTTGCCAGTAAACGATGCGAGTCCCGTCATTCGACCATTTCGGGTCGGCCATGCCGTTCCACTCAGGATCGTTGATGGCTCCGCCGCCAGGGATACCGTCTCCCTCGGCGTTGATCTTCTGGCCGAAATACGAGCCCCGGTCTCCGTAGCCGTCAATGAGCCACGGCTGGAAGAACCGGCGCGGGCCGTTGTTTCTCGTGGAAGACGTGGCGCTGCTGCTGACCAAGTCTGTCAACGGCGGAACGCCTCGCAGGCCAGCCATGAACATCTGCCGACCGGTGCCTCGCGTATCCATAGCGACAGTCCACTTGTCATCGGGAGATACGTCCACGGGATCCGTGTACTCGGGATGCGCTGTAAGCCGACGGACCTTGCCGGTAGTGAGGTCGGCGGCGAGGACATCGATGTTGGATGACTCGATGGGGTATCCAATGAAAGTAACTTCTCTGCCGGTACCACCGAAGCCGCGCAGCTCTCCGACTACCACAGCATCAGGGTTGATCCGGAGTTGAGTGCTGTCTTCTGGGTCGACCTCAATGGGCTGCGGCTCGTCGGCACTGAAAAGAGCAAAGACGTTGGTCAAGTCGTACCTGGGCGCCAGGGGCTCGCTGGTAGATGGCGACGGGTTGAACTCCAGTTTGCCAACGTATCCGTATTGGTCGATCTTGCCGGATCTCACGTTGAATGAGCTCCAGCCCAAGTGTTCATCGTCAGGGTGGATGCGAAGCTCTCGGATACTCCCTCCAGCCCCCGACCCGTCTGCCGCCGTGTTCCAGCGGATTGGGTAGATGTGGACTTTGTCGGGCGTGCAGTCCTCACTCGTGAGCTCTGCGGCGCACTCGATGATGTTCGGACCGGCTAGCAGACGCTTGCCATCGTGGAAAATCTGAGGATAATCGAGTGCCTCGCTGCGGCCAACCGCATTCTCCGCGGGGACTCCGCATGTGATGCATTTCCACGCATCGCCGTTGGGAAAAGTGGTGCCATCGACTTTGACAATGATCAACTGAGGTCCCGTGTAAATGCTGGCTGCATCTGGAGCAGCCGGGGCGCCGGTGAAGTTCACCGCTGCCACGACGTGCAGATCATCAGGCAGGAAGTCTCCCGACTGCTGAAGGCCGTTAGAGGCTCCTATGCAGCCCGTCCGATGAGGGTTGATCGCCTCAGTGCATCCACCCACACCCGTGTCTGGCGTCACAGGGGGGAGAGGCAGCTCGGTGACAGTGATCGGCTCAGGCTCAGGAGGGGCAGGGATGTCGGCTTGACGGCCCTCTAGAGGAGAACCTCTGGTTTGAATCCATTCCAAGCGGCTACCGATGCGTGCTTGGTCTTGTGAAGGGTAGGCATAAACCGCACCGGTGAAAACGATGATGGAGAAGGATCCGAGACGCATGCTGGGCAACGCTGGACTGGCTTTTCCAGATGCTGACGGACGAGGAGAAAGGCCTGAATGAAGCTTGGGAACACCGCGTTTATAAACATTTCGCGATGAGAGCACGACCCCGGATTCTTGGGCTGATCCCAGTCAATTTGATCCTGGGAACGCCGAGAGATCTTGCGGAGCTCATCACCGTTCTGCGGCTTCCCGCTCCGCGGGACGATCTTTGCAAAGACCAAAAGTACATGTGATGACAAACTTGCAAGCCTACCGCGCACTACTGAAGGCACAGCGCGCGACAAAGTATATTTTCCGGGGTACCAGTGCCGATCTGAATGCCCGAATATTCGTATCCCACCCCGAAAAACCCATCGGCCGTGGGACGCCGGCATACGCGGAAGAGTGGAGCCGAGTACGGTGAATACGGCCGGCTATACGCGTAAAGAACTTAGCGAATGACGTCTGCCGCGGATGTCGTGACCACAACGTCCCTGCAATTGTGTTGAAACAGGATGTCAAAATGTTTTATTTGGCAAACCTCGCCTACTTCTTGTCATCTCAGTGACTGACACGGTAGCATCAACACTGATGACAACTCATCACAATAACAAGGAGTCAACCTGCGCTGGAACCAGTTTCGACATGATGACGATGACACCCCGAGAGACGAAAAAGAAATGTTTCCGCGGCTACTTCACAATAACTCAGCAATAAACACAGACGTCTGCAAGCCGAGCAAGCCCTCGGTTGCAACCAGACCACCGTCGCTGAAATCCCACACCACATCTCCCCAGAGAACTTGAGCGACATTGCCAACCGCGACTCCATCCGGAAGAACAACCTTCACCTCACCCGGGATGTCCTCGGAGTTGAGGTTCACAACACTAATCAATGCCTGGCCCTTCTCCTCGCTGATCCATACGGCCGCGTCAACCCTATTCGCCCCTTCCACAGCAAGGTCCTGCGTCCTCTCGGTGCCGAGCAAGAACTCAATAGCCGCCTTATCCGTGAAGACTCCGGCCAAACGACTCGTCAAATTCTCCAACTCCGTCGTGGCGGGATAATTCCACATCACGATACCCTTGGCACCGTGGTTCACCGACAGCATCGTCATCACGACCTCCTCTTCCGCCGTCGGATACCGGCTCCAGAAGGTCTCGTTGCCGAACGCCTGAGGCGCAAACCACTGCGTCTTCTGCCATCCGAGAATCTCATCCCGACGGTAGAACTCATCCAGCCGGACCGAAATATCTTCGAACTCGCCCCCGCAGTTATCACACCCGCAGCACCCGTACGTCTCGTTGCAGACCGTGTCGTACACCGGCGAGAACGTCGCGTTGATGGCGACGGGGTAGACGTCGGACATGACGATGTCCGCGCCGGCCGCGTATTCCTGGTAGTAGAAGTTCTCGCAGTTGAGAGCCAACGAGACGGGGTGGTACGGATCCAGCGCCTTGATTTGCTGGTATGCTATTCCGGTCGAGTTGGCCGGGTTGGCTTTCCCGTCGGCCTCGTCGCTCTGGTACCACAGCAGGATGGACGGGTGGGTGCGCAGGCGGGTGACCTGGTCGATCATGTTTGTCAGGTTCGGCCAGGTCCAGAGGACGTCGTAGCGGAAGTAGATCCCGAGTTCGTCGGCGCGCTGGAGGTACGGCTCGAATTCGTCCCACGGGAAGGGGATCTCGCCGAGGCTGCCCGTGGGAACGAAATGGATCACGTTGTAGCCCATGGCGGCAAACTCGTTGAGGGTGTCGACGCTGGAGTTCCAGTAGAGTGTCCACTGGGCTACGAGCGGTCAGCCAGAGGAACATGATGAGTAAGTGAAGGCGAACTGACTGTAGTAGGTGTACGCGAAGATGAGATCCCAGGATGAATCCTTGCCTCGCTGCGCGAGAAGGCCGCCGTGAAGATTGTCTATGCGGGCTACGCTGCCGTAGTCCTCGGGATACGGGAGGTAAGAGACGTCGGTCCAGTCCTCGTAGACATGAGACGAGTCGAGAGTCGTGCGGACGGTGATGTTGTATGCCTCCATGCGTGGGGTGAAGGTGCCCAGTGAGAATGGCACCTCATTGTCTCGCGACCCTACGACGATCTCTTCGGTCGAGATCACATCGTCTCCAGAAAGAATCTCAACCTTCAAGGTCTTCGCCGCGCTTGTCGATATGTTCTGTCCGTACTCGGCCGGCAGTGGTGATCCGACCTGGTTCGATACGGCTGCGTCGATGAGCAGGTTCGCGGTGGTGTCCGTGTCGAGGTAGATGCTCAGTCTAGGTCGTACTTTGAGACGCAGGAGCGGGACCTGAGAGATGGCTGGCTCGGGGAACCATCCACCAGGATCGAATGAAGAGTTGCTGCGGGGCAGTTGTGAGCTTGACGTTGAACCAAATCACGGCTTCGGGGACCTACGTTGCGCGATACGCTTTTCCACACCAGATATCCACGCCTTCCGGATTGTTGAATCGCACAGCCTGCCCTTGAATCAAGGGAAGTGACGCGACCAAGGCCGCAAGAGCCTCAGTGGTCTTGGATAGCATCATCGTGGAAAGAGGTCCTTCAATCCTTTGTGAGCGGGGCAAAGCCTGCCTCACACATGGTCAAGAACAATGGAGCTTATATTAGCCGAGACTACCGTTGCTTCGTGGGCGCTGGGGATCCTGATGACGGTCGCCCCAAGATCGGGTCAGTCCACTGCTACCTGCACCCACATCACGATTTACATCGACGTAGACCATATCTGGAAGCTGCAGTCGATGTCACTGAGGAGACATGAAGGGAGGGGCGCTCTGTTCCCCAATAGCGACGTTACATCTTTCAATGGCAAAGCTGTTGTGGTATTTGGAGTGAGCTCATTAACCGGTGGTCAAGCGGGGAAATGAGAGGCAATGGAAGCTGCCGAGTGTGCTAGAGAGTCAGTATCTCAGTCATTTGGGACCAACCTAGTCAAGGTAGCAATCTGCCCATTCACTGCGGGGCGTCCGGGGAGGTTGGATCGAGAATGATAGCCCAAGGTGCGGGGAGATAAGCAGGGGTTGTGATAGTCCAGGAACCAGCCATCACGCTCCGGTTTTCGGGGAAAGATATCCATGGTAATTAACTAGGTTATTGAGCTCATGGGTCTGTATCGTCAGTTGATACCATCTCTCATCTGCTGTTCGTGGTGACATGCCTGTTTCATGAGCCAGAAAGACTCGGTCCTCAGCGAGGTTCAGGAAGCCACTTGATCGACTAGGGTGGCCATGGGTATTGTGCCGTTGCCTTCATACAACTTCAAAGACTCCAACATCTTGGCCAGTCGTGGAAGAGATACCTTCTCGTATTCCTTATCCCACGTACTGCACTCTCTCGCCGCCAAAATCGCCTCCAAGACACTCGCAATCTCCCGACTATCCCACATACCCTCTTTCCTCCGCATCGCGTAGAGCAATGCGATGGCTCTTTGCTGCAGGTCCAGCTCGCCGGAGTACCCGGCTATGAAGACCATCCGCGGAATCACATCCGCGGCTAGAGTGAACACTGGGTGCTTCAATTCCGCATCCTCCGCGTACACGAGACTCTCGGCGTCTTCAAGCAGGTCCTGGAAGGCCTGGCGATGTGAATGCTGGGTGGTCGGAGCCTCGAGGCATTTGATGATTAATGACCAGTCCATCTGCATGAACGATAAAAGGCGTACCTCCCACAACTCACTCTGGGGTGTGGAGGGATCTGATTTCAGATTCTTGGTGTACGCTGCAAGCCGAGCGCTCCAGACATCGAACCGGTGACGAGCCACTACCCACTCTCCAGGCCAACCCTCTTCTTCAATGGGCGACATGTCCTCTGGGACGTTGAGAAAGTCCGTCCAGGGCATCGGCAAGCTGCCCCGGAAGCTGTAACCGAGGAACTTTCCGAACCCCTCGTCCACAAGATGAAGGGCATATCGCGCCTCATCTGCACTCGTGAACGGCTCGGACGAATCTTTACTGCTGTTATGCCCGCCTCTGAAGAAGAAAGACAAGTCCGGGATGACTTCCCCTTGTTCCAGTAGGTAGGCCGTGTCGCAACCGATGGCCATGAACATGTCCGAGACATCGCACAACTGGTCGTAGTAGTTACTGACCGTCTCAGCCATACAGCGCTGTGTCGGAGAGAGCACTGCTGATGTGTGGGTACTCGTCGCTGCTTCCGCAAGCGACCTCATAATCCTGGAGCCGGATCGCAGGTGTTGCATGGCCTTGTCGTAGCGCCCTTGGATGATTTCGAGACAGATGAATACCAGGCAAGAGACAAGGGAGGTACGGATCGTGGTCGGAGACAGGTCGTTCATATCCTGTGATGTACAGTAGATGGCCTTGGCGTATTGCCGAGTCGCCATTTCCTTGTACATCTGCTGGGTTCCGAGCCCATGTTCGTCGGGCCAATCATCCAAGAATGCACGGTGTGAGCAGCCGAGGGCTATCAACGCGTGCTTCACCGACTCTGAATAGTATCCAAGAGGGACTATGTAGTTGGACCACAGCTTCGAGAGCAACGAGATGTGTCCAAAGCCCATGATGGTACATTGTCGGACATGGTGGAACATGGCTCTTTCTTGAGCGCTGCCAGACACATCCCAGTTCACTGGGGGCAGAAGTCTTGCCGTTTGAGGATTTGAACGACGAGCTTGGAGTTGCCTATGTCTTTGGCAATTCAAGTCTCCATTGACACAACAGTCACACCTGCGAGTTGAGACGTGAGCGAGATGAGCTGGGGATATGAGGAGAGATCATCAATTCCTACTTTCTGATTCATGAAAAAGTCAGAACTACATCTTAGAAGTTGATTGGAAACAGATGTGCCTTACTGAGGCCGGCGCCTTGTCCTAATTCCGGGAGTAGCCGATCCTGTCTTGCTGAACTTCCTCAGCATCTTGGGTGGGCAGACCAAGCCGGTCGGCTGAGGTTGACGCGGGGTTTCAGCCATTCTACCGCCATAGCCTATGCATAAGTTTGGATCTCATTCATAGATCCAGGCGAAGGAACTTATCGAGGCGTTAAGCAACTGTGATTCGATCTGTGCGAAGGATGTTGATTGCAAGTTGCACATTGGTGATCACGTCAAGAAGTTCTCAATGACCCACCTCTTCTCGCATGCGCCCCGCTATAGCTGTCACGGACGATTTTCCTGTCGTTTCATTGGCCTAAATTCTGAATTCAGGGGTTCGTAACACATGATTGGCGATAAAAGTGGGTGCAATATTCTGAAGAGCTTCTGTGGAAGGTAAGTCAACATTAAAACCCGGACTTTGGAGATACTGCGACTGATGATATGCACAATGCCTGAAGTTATTTGGTAGACTGGTAGTTCTAACAGGCGTCTGATGGAACTCATTTTCTGACAACTGGCCGATTTGGGTGAAGTAGCCACATCCAAAATCACCTAAATAGGCAAGTCAGGACACCATTCGCAATGTCTGTCTTTCTCGTCAAGCAATCCAAGATCTACACGATTGTCAAAGTTATCAACAAGATTCTTTCTTAGAAGAATAGTTTATCACATTTCTGACAGGACTTATAAGCAGTCTGCGTCTCGTGGTTGACAACTTACTGACTTCTATATCCGGCAACCCCAGCCGCCCCGGACGGAGGGTCGCTTATATTTACCCGCAATCAGCTCCACTTTACCGGCCCCTCACCGGACTTGACTGAACGTGTTCTGCCGTTGGATTCCTAATTCCTAATTAATGCAAGGTCGTCGTATGAATGAATAAATAACATTATTTCAAGCCTCGGATGTTGGTCAAGACTTATATAATTAAATCTCACGTTCAGCCTATTTGAGGTGCCACAAAGCATCAATATGACGACCGTCCGGAGGCTCCGAATCGCTATTCTCTGCTGTTTCACATTCCCCGAGCGCATCACCAAAGAAAGGGGCGGCTTCGACGACATTTTCGCCGCATGGATATTCGCAGCGGTCGACGCCTACAACGGAAAAAGACCAAAAGACCAAGTCGCCGTCGATTTCACTGGATTTGATGTGTTCGGCAAAGATCAGTACCCGACTTCGCTGGATGACATCGATGCTCTGATTGTAACCGGTTCAGCTGCCTCGGCATATGACAATGAGCCCTGGATTCATCGACTAGCTGCGTTCTTGCAAGGTAACGCTCTCAAAGATATGACTTTCTTGTCATGGATCAAGCCTAACAAGATCTAGATACCTATGAAAACAACCCGTCCGTGAAGATATTTGGAGGCTGCTTCGGTCACCAAATCGTTTGTCAGGCACTTCTCGCCAAGGAAGGCGCACGAGTGTTCAAGAATCCGAATGGTTGGGAGATTGGCGTGCATGAAATAGATCTTACGCCCGAGTTTACGTCCTTCTTCTCAAGTCTTGACAAGAGCCGCATTTCCTATCAGTTTCTTCATCAGGACATAGTAGAGTCGGAACCGCTTTTCCCTAAGGGTTGGATTCAAATGGGCTCTTCAGCTCTTTGTAAGGTTCAGGGTCTTCTGTTGCCCGGACGGGTATTGACATATCAGGGTCATCCAGAGTTTGATCGATTCATCACCAGAGAGAGCACTATAGCAGTGAAAGAGGCTGGTTTGATATCGGATAGTGAAAACATGGATGAGCTTTTTGAGCTGGTGGAAAAGGATGATACGAGGGCATTGGCTGGAGAGATGGTCGTTGAGTTTTTCATGTCCTAGCGATATTGCTCAAAACACGAGGAAAAGACTCATAGCATTCACATGTTAAATACAACAACAAGCAGTTCGATAGATCTGAAAACGCTCTTTTGCGAGACCGAATTTATTTGATGCAAATCATTGATTTCTAAATGCTGACATTGCAAGCTGCAAGCGCACGGGCAGCTGTCAAGCTAACTTTGAGGCTTCCGCAACCAAAGATCGGCGGAGAGAGTTCAGCCTCCGATAGCTTGTCATGAGTGGGAAAAGGCTATCTTGTAAGCAAGCCCTGAAATGAGACATCTCGTATCCCTGAGAGTTCTGTCTTTGTTTTCGTATCGACGATTCCGTCATTCCCGTATACGTAAATTTAGCACACCAAAGTAAGGTCGTGTGTGTGTGTGTGTGGTAGAATTTGAATACTGGTCTGGATCGTCTCCCTTTACCACTGAAACTCGTGTGGCGACATACCGTAACTTTCTGCCTTTATTCGCCAATAGTAGCCAAATGTTTTCAGGACGTGGAACTACTGCAGATAGATCGCGGAACTGGTTCTCACATCAGGGAGCAAACGAGGTGTGGTTCGCCGTGCTGTATGTGAACCTGAATCTTCGCAATGACCATCTGCCATGCTATCTAGGGGACGGCTATGAGGAGTGGAGATGTAGTTGCAATAGCCTATGCGCACTCACAAAGACGACCGCCGATGACCCGGTACGTGTGAAAAGACAACGCCCATCCATACGATACCGCCACTGTATTATGGTGCGCTGAGTAGTGACTGACACAAAGCCAAGAGATGAGGCTCAGTCTGAGAATTCAACGGCATAGGCCACCGGTGATCCGGGGGACTGATCTGCCTTGGCTCTTACTCAAAATGATTCTCGTCATAGGGAGCTTACTTAGCATAAGCTTATTGACCGTGCCTGTCCCATGAGGTTGTCTTCAGTGCACGTTGCAGATCGTCGAAACGAACCTCAACATGATCGTCGTCAGAGAACTGGGCCCTACCCGAGTGCCGAAGACTCACAGCATATAGCCCCGGCCCCGGAGATCTCACATACGAGCCCCCGGAGCCGAAAGAATACCCATCTCCGTGGACATCTCGGGGCAAAGCCCGTTTACGAAAATCACCCGAGAATGAGGTCAAGCCAAGGAAATTCGTGGTTCAGAGTGGTGGGACGTCCACCAGCAAAACATCACCGGGCCGTTTCGTGAACAGACAATATCGTCGTTACCTGTCAGGACTCCATCATGCGTTCACGCAAGCCATGTCTCATTTAGGGAGCTGTTCCAGCCGTCAATGTTTGCTCGGGGGTGTGCTGTATGGGTCAAGGTGGACGTCTCATTCCGACCTGAAGGGACTGGCTGGGTCTATGGGCGACTAGCCAGAGCGGGATGTAAACCAGATCGGAGTCGCACTCACGAAAGACCCGAGCGGGGTCTCCGGAAATACGAGGGTGCGTGGAGGAAGCAAGGCTGGTTCTCCTGCTACACACTCTACACGAATGACATGATGCCATTGTCTGATTTTATGATGAGGGCTCGAACGACATTATCCCACAGGTGACACAGAGAATCTACAGACGACGACACTGAAGACTTCGGCACAAAAGACTCAGCCCTCCCAGGCTGGGAGGCGCTCGCCGGCAGTCGATTCTGGAATGAACATGGTTCCCTTCTCCTCGTCCCAAAACTCTTGAAGGCGACCCCAGTCGGGACGAGGGAACCAATCGCAACTCTCCGAGAACGATGAGGAGGCCGATCTGCGAATGATACTGCGGCTTCAGCCGAGTGATCCAAGCAGCCCTAGCCTGACTGCAACATGCAGCACCCTTGAAGAACAAGGGGAATGGAAGTAGACGTTTCGTTTCATGATATTCTAAACATTTCAAGGATACCGCCAGTTCGAACAGTTTCGAGCACAGACTGGGTGAACACCGTCCAATTATTATCAAGTATGTGACTCGTTCGACCAACCGCTGGATCGACAACAGGGATTACTACACACGAATTATGGATGGCCACCATGCTCTAGTCCGTTGTGAGGAGAACAGAATGATATGATACAGGGAATAATATTTTTGACCAATGTTTTACCTGCCCTTCAGACTAATTCCAATTCGCACCAGGCACCGTAGAACCCTCCCTGGTTCACACCCACCAAACGCAGAAACCGAGACACTTCAACTCAACTTACAGGAGCAAACACACACCCATCATCCATCCAGAAACACTTCGCCCCGTAGGGCCCCCCCGCCACACGTGTCGCCCAGCCTCATGTTTCCGCCGGTGTTGAAGTAAATGTTGGAAAGGCCTTGGTAAGCAGTCTGAAAGGGCGCGATTCGGGTGACTCGGGTTTCGAGAGTAGAGTGCCCCGCGAACCCCGGTGCGAGGAGATTGGCGCGCTGGGAGCCCCGAGGTTCGCGCTTGCGGCCGCCTGTCAAGCTGGCTGCCTCTCTTGGCGTGCTGCTTGGCCTTAGTTGTTGGCGGGTTTTGGCGATCCCAGTTGGGCAGGCTTGAGGCCATTGCCACCGGTGTTTTGGGACGCCTGTTGTTGTTGAGGGCGTTGTCCCTGGTTGGTGTTCGTGTTGCCTCCGTTGTTGCCATTGTTGCCATTGTTCCCCAGAGTAGCGGGCTGAACACCATTGCCATTGCCATTGTTGCGGTTGCCGCTGTTTTGAGCCTGGCCATTGTTGTTGTTGCCCTGGTTGTTGGTCTGGCCATTGCCCTGATTCTGGCTTTGGTTCTGGTTGCTGCCATTGCCGTTACCTTGGTTCTGGTTGTTGCCATTGCCCTGGTTTTGGTTTTGGTTCTGGTTGCCGTTACCCTGGTTCTGATTGCTGTTGCCATTGCCATTGCCATTTTGGTTCTGGTTCTGATTCTGGTTGCCGTTGTTGCCGTTGCCAATACCCTTGCCAATGTTGCCCTGACCATCATTGCCCTGGCTCTGGTTGTTGGTATTGGTATTGCCATTGCCATTACCCTGATTCTGGTTCTGGTTCTGGTTCTGGTTGGAGTTGCCGTTGTTGTTACCCTGGTTTTGGTTGTTGTTCGCAGGGTTGGCGGCGGGAGGCTGAGTGACCTGAGGAGCAGCGGCACCACCGTTGTTGTTGCCGTTGTTTCCACCGTTGTTCGCAGGAGGAACAGCGGGAGTCACGTTCGCGCCCTCAACTTCCAAGCATCCAGTAGGGCGAACAGCCTGAATCTGCGGCATACCAGCAGCAGCGAAGTACATGTCGATGTTGGGAAGAACGTTGACGCAGCGGTTGTTGTTGATAGAGTTGACGTCCTTCTGAGCGGTATCAGGACCGTTGGAAACCATGGACTGGAGAGTATCGACGACCTGCTGGAAAGTGCCCTGGGTGGCGAGGACGTTGTTGGCTTGCGCGACCATGTCCATGCCGGTGAGCGCAGCGTCGAGAACCATCTTGTGGTTGAGCTCATCAATCTCGGCGTTGAGCGCGATCGTAGCCTGCTTGGTGAACTCGGCTCCGGTGAAAGAAGTGGCGCTGTTGAGGAACTTGGTGACCTTGCCGGTGTCCTGCATCCAAGACATGACGGCGTTCATGACCTGAGCGTCGCTGACGCCATTGCGACCAGCGGCCGTGTTGTTGGCACCTTGGCTGGCTCCGGTCTGTTGCTGTTGCGTATTATCCTGGCGGGCATCCAGACGTCTGACGCCCCGAGCGACGAATCGTGAGGTCCTGCCTGCCGCTCCGTCTTCCGCTGAGCTAGCAGTCGGCAAGGCGAAGACACAGGCAGACAGGAACGAAACGAGGAAGAAGAAAATGACTGAATACTGCATTATGGCGGTGTTGGTTGGAGTCGTAAGTACTAAAGACTAGCTCGAGTCGACGCAAGAAGCAACACGCGCAAAGAAAGGACGGTTATAGGTTGGTAAAGACGAAATAGTAGTAAGGTGTTATGAGGTGGGCGGCCGCTCTAAAGGAGAGTGATCGAGTGGTGGGCCTTCCAAAGGCGTCCGACCATTCGCTGACACAAGAAAAAGAGAAGGTTGATTAGGTGAGACGGAGGGGAAAGAAAACGCGACTGCAATCGGAAAGAGTTCACCGGCCCGGGAAACGTGGGAAGACGAACAGGACGTGGAAGACTTATATCAAATGTCCGCAAGGAGAAAGATGTGGTTGTAGTTGGAGAAACAACGAGACTGTGCTGCAGAGCGTTGGACGAAATGTTGGTTTGGTCTGAAGAGAGTCATGGGTGAGGGGTTCTAGACAGAGATCAGGCGCATCTCCGCGCTTGGGGAGTCGTGATGGATGCGTTCGAAGCAGACGAGATGTCGCGGCCAAGAACAATGTGTTGCAACGCCAAGGCGTGGATGGCAGGGGAGGTCGTTAAAGCAAGCCAGAAACCTCTGGGAAGCCATGGTTCTAAGAAAAGATGGACAGTCTCGTGGCCAATGGGAATACTTGGACTCTGACGATATCGACCAGTCCATGGGGGTCAGTGTGGGTGGAAACTTGGGGCGACCTGGGGGCCGTCATCAAGCACAGCATTATGTGAGCATACATGGATGGAAGAGGTTGAGACTCAGATCGAACCAGCAAGGAAGTTCGTGGTTTCCACACAGTAAACGCCCAGTCGGAGATTTTGTCCGTGTGGGTGCAAGTGGCACTTGGTGATCACCATGGAGAAGCGGCGTCGAGGCCTATTGGGCAGATTGGTCAGGCCAAACTCGTCGAGTCAACACCACCTCTATCGACTGAAGAGGAGGAAGAGGGTGGGCGAACAACATGGCTGTCATCTGTCTCGTAGACTTTGCAAAGTACGGATGCTTCATGTTGTTCGACGAACCAGCAGCATCCTTTTCTGGCCTTGTGGGGGCACCAGCGGTGGCAAGACGGGCTTGGACTTCTCTTCACTCAAGATTTGCTCCCAACTGTTCAGCTGTTGTGGTGTCCTCGCTGCTTTGGAGGTTGCCAAAGATGATGATGACAGAACGTGAGGCGGAAATCAAGAGGCAACTTGGCTATCTGGTGTTTAACTTCTGTACCCTTGCTGACGAACGACACCCTCAGAGAATGATCACCACCAACTGTTACAACGGAAAGATTGTAAAGACGGCCCGTCAGGCTGTAACGACCCCGTCTCCTGCCCAGCGAAACTGAATGAAAACCGAGACCATGTTACTCATGCTATGGAGGTTCTCATGACGACAGAAACAAATCCCGAGATGTGAAGAGCAAGGGCCATATACGTCGGAAGACAGGTGAAGGGAGAAGAGGGCGGAAGACCGTGATCATCTGAGGTGGGAACAGAGGGCTATAGTAGATCATTCTATGATGTGAAGCAGGCACAAAGACTCTGCAAGACACAGACGCAGAGCCGCCCGAGGACAAGCATTTGCCAAGCCTTTCTCCCAAGTCGCACATCAGCCGCGACGAAACGCAGATCCCCCACTTCGACTTGGCAAAGAAGATCAAAACGGCGAACCGGGAGCCAGGGATCCGTACTTTAATACGATGATCGCCCCCCCGCAGCTATTGCGTCGTACTGCAGAGGCCTTCTGTACAGGAATGCGTAGGACGGTGTGCCTTACATGATGAAGTGTATGGTCTAAAGTACGTAAGGGACGTCTCAAGGTCACGTTTGCCTCCTCATCCCGCCCGGCCTCATCTGATGAAACCCCACGCGACCGGGCTCGAAACGACGAAACCCATCTCACACCAGGCACGCTTGGGTGCGAAACCGAGGACTCCTGGTCTTCTGAAAGCCATTCGTCTCCCCCATGTGCCTCTTCTCAGAATCGGATGTGACCCCATTCCAGCTCGTGAACGAGGATTGCTCTAGTCCACATGTCCCTCACTCCTCGGCAGCACCAGCCAGACTCCATTCCACCGTCGGAAGTGCCGTGGTCCGATGATTAAGCCCGATGTCATACACCTTTCCCTTCGCCGAGAGAGAGCATCAACATCGAAAAATTGTGCGGCCGGAAGAGGCTGGGAGCGGCGTCTGCCGCAGTGGCTCTGGCACGACTTTCGACAGCCAAGTTATGCGATTGGTGGATTGGGCTCCTCTTCGGCTGGGCGCTCATCTGGGCGTCCGACCGCCCGATCATCTATGAGACTCTGCCGAATGAGCCGCCATGTGGCAGCTCATAGACCATGTCTTGTCTTCCTTGCCATATAGCCAAGTCGTAGCCGCATCCCTTCCTGAAAGGCATTAAGCTTACTTGGCCCTCGTCTGAATACTGATGAGTCCTTGAGTTGGTCGTCCCGCTATACAAACATCTTCCCCCTAGGACCCGTGGGTTTAGTAACGGTGTCTCTCCTTCCCTTCCCTTGTCATCCTCCTCTTTTTTTTTCTCTTCCTTTTGTGTGTTAACAGCCCCGGTGGTTGACCCTCGCTAATAATAATGACGCTCATGAAGTATTCACTTTCTTTTCTGCTTGTTGGCTTGAGGCTCAGCTGTCCTGTCGTTGCCCAAGATCAAACGCAAAATGCTCAATTCAATCAGGTCATCAACCTGAATGGGGATGTAAGTCTTACCTCACCACACCGGCATATCAATGCTTTCATATATGGCGATGATGATGATGATGGCTTCGACCCATCATGGTATCATACTAACACATACCACCAGATGAGACTGAACAGACTCGTGTTCCCCGACAACTCCAAGATTGAGACATTCTCCCAGACGCAACGTCAAGTTATCGTCAACCAGAACCCTAACCCGCTCCCGGCAAGCCATGTCGTCGGCTCAACGGGACAGCCGTTCGTTCAGCTTTCGCGCAACTCCTTCACCATTCAAACGAATGGAGCCACCGACCTGGTGGGCGCTCAGATCGAGCTGCCCATTGATCAAAACATGCTGCAAACGGCTGGCGTGACTGCCGACAACACCTTCGTCGCCATGCTTTCTCGGGACCGCCAGGCTTGGATCATCATGGAGGGCATCAAGAGCGTCAACATCACCGACGCGACCGTCCGCATGGTCAAGATGAACCAAATCGATGGCGAGTACGTCGCCGTCGGCCGCCAGACGTCCGAGCTTGGCACTTCTCTGACTCCGTTCGGCCAGCCCGTCAGCATCGCTGGATCTGGCATCCAAGAGGCTGAATTCACAGACGGGTTCCGCATGTCCATCAGGGCGAGCCAGCCGATGAGCATCAAGACCGATGTTGTCAACGGTATCAGCACCGACATGGTCACCAACGGTATCATGTCCATCAGTGAGCACATCTTCCTCGGACGTACACGTATCGACCGTACTGACACCACGCAGACAACTACCGCTACCTCGTCACCAGCAACCTGGCTGGCGTTGTCCCTAGTCTCAACTCGATGACCGCTGTTGTCCAGATGCCGCGTAAGTTGCCTCAAAAGCTTATTCTTCGGTGAAGGAATCCCCGACTGACCGATCTGAAACAGTCAACGTTGACCGACTCATGGCCATGGCCATGCGCGCGGGCGCTCAGCCCCAGTCGTCCATCACCCTTGGCATTGCCCAGCGTCCCGTTCTCCAGAACCCCGGTGGCGCTACCGGTGGTCTCCAGGCTCCTCGTCAAAAGCGTCAAGATGTGAACAACGGCACTGCCAGTGGTAACCAGCCTCAAACCGGCGCTGCTCCCAATGGCGCTGGTGCTGCCAACGGTGCTGCTCCCGCAGCTGGAAACCCGAACCAAGGAGGAAACCAGGGAGGAAACCAGGGAGGCAACACCAATCAGCCTCCTCAGGGAAACACCCCTACCCAGGGACAAAACCCTGGTAATAACGCCGGTCCCGCGATCCCGGCAGCTACTCAGCTTCTGCTTGCTCAGACCTTCAGCCCCATCAACGCCCAGGTTCTCCTCGACCGAGAGAACGCTCGTATCGCTGTGCCTGTCAACCAGATCGATGGTGAGTTCATCCTCACGATGATGGTTGGTGGTACTCCCGTCGGTACCCAGCCTCAACCTCCTCAGCAAGGAGGTCAGCAGGGAGGTATCAACGGCCAGCCTCAAAACGGTGGTGGTCTCGGTGGACAGCCCCAGACCGGTGGATTGGGTTCGCCTCAGACTGCCCAGCCTCAAACTCCTCGACCTGCTACCCCGGCCCAGCCCCGGCCCGCGCAGCCCCAGCAACCCGCTGCCGAGCCTCAGCAACCCGCACCTGCGGTCCCCGCGGCCGAGCCTGCTCCTCAAGTTCCGGCTCCTCAGGCGCCTCAAGAACCCAGACCGGCAGCTCCTCCCCAGCCGGCTCCCGCAGTTCCCGCACCCGCACCCGCGGCACCCCCTGCTCAACTTCCTCCTGCTCCTCCTGCCCAGGCTCCAGCTCCCCAGGCTCCCCAGGCTCAGCCGAACCCCAACGGCCCTCCCACCGGAGGTGCCATCACCGGCAACCAGCCCGGCCCTGGCGGCGGCGCCATTACCGGAGGCAAGCCGAACACTCCTCCTCCTCAGCCCGGTCGCCCTGCTCGCAGAGCCGACGTTCCCCCTACCGGCGCGATGGGCTTCGAGATGAAGATGTCGGACCTGATGGCGATGGCCGAGTCCAAGAAGAACGGCGGCGTCATGGCTACGTGGGAGATGATGACCAACTTTGCGGCGCAACAAAAGGTCGAGGAGCAGCCCAAGCCCGCTCCCAGGAGAAGGTCGTTCCCGGTGAGACGACGTCTCGGTGTGCATTTCTAAAGGGATCTCAACTTTGGTAGCATGGCGAGTAATGATTCGATGTGTATTACTTTCATCATCACACCCTCGGTCGGGCGCCTGCAGGGCAAGTTCAGACGGCTTTGAGGGGTTCAAAAATACTCAATAGAAGAAGCATTATTGGTGAATATCTGAGACCTGATACCTTGTGATTTGTGACTCTTACGGGCGGTGTTCACCCATGTGCGTAAACCCATGTTCTGCCAAGTCTAACAAATCCTCGTCAGTGGGTTACATGTTGTGAATATTCCGCGGACAAATTGCGAAGCCACCAAAACAAGCGCACTCCATCTGACGGCTAAGGGAACATTCCGAGATGACAATCAGGGCCTTCCACGGCCGCCAGTTGTTTCCACACAGGGGCCGTCGGTTGACAGTCCGACGTGACATTCTGACGTCTGCAGGGTCAAGAGTACGAGCGTCCGGGAAGACCACCGAGCGTCGGGCCGTGTTGCCACTAGTTGAGATATTCTTTCTTTCCAAATCATCGTCCGTACTACGGTCGGTCCCATCCGGCGTGGCGCCCGGGCGTCGCTCCGAGCACTAGGCCAAAGCTGTTGCGTTCGCGGGAACCGAAGCTATCGCTGGAGCTCGGCTCCGCAGAACCAACATGTGCTACGGACCTTCGCGATGTTTCCAAACTAAGGAGGGGTTGTTGGGGGGTTGGCAGAAGGTCTGCCAGACACGTTTATGAGCGTGACATGGACTAAGAAAGGTAATTGGGGGGATGAGATGTCAATTGAGAGATCCTTTTGGAGAAGGTATTGGCATCCAATCTCACGACACTCGTGTTGCGACCAAGAATTGCCTTTCGCGGCTCCCACTTGGCAGCCACTCTTCCATTCAATTCCAAGAGTATAATGGAATGTCTGTGGGGGATTTGACTTGTGATTGTGAGGATGGCAGATTTGTTCCGAGTTCGAAGAAACGAAGGCCTCGCTCGAACACGTCTTGCAGACGTCGGTCTGTGCCCAGGTTCCTTGATTCTTCTGCCTCAGCTCGAGCGCCCAAAGCGTGCAGCGCAGCAAAGTTCATCTAACCAAGATAAATCTGCTGAAGTATGGTGTATCGTCAGTTCGCGATGCTTATCGCGACGCAGGGACTTTGCTGTGCGACGATGCCTCATATCAATTGAGGCGTGTGAAACATGGCGAAAACAAAACAAAGTGGTGCCAGAAGATCAAAGAGTTGCGCCGACTTCGGAAACATCTTCTCCCACGCATGGTGATAACATGCCTCGGGGCAGATATCCAGAGATACGCAAACCTGTGCACCCCTGTCCCGATGACGTTCCAACAAGCTGTGCTATCTCCAACCTGCACCGGTCTTATCTGCAAGCCCCTCACTGCCTAGCAACCCCAAGTCTCCCGACTGTTGATGGTGACATGAATAGTGGACATCGTGTTGGGGAATGTTACCGTTCCATTCGGGGTCGACATTAGCGAAATGTTGGATTAATTGAGGGGAAAGGCCATGATGGGTATTGATCACCAGATTTCCCCGCTGCTACGCTGCGAGGTTGGTGCCGATGGTTAAAGATGGCGGCGTCCTCGGTAGAAGAGGGCGCGCCGTCGTGCTGCTGCTGTAGCGAAGCAATTGAAGTTGGAGGACGTCGTGATCTTTGAAAATGATGACTCCAGGGGGCTTCAATGTCTTCTCGCTGCTGGCTTTGGCCGGTTGCGCAATTGGAGCGACCAATTCTTCGACTCCTCAAGGAGTGAGTAATAACCAAACGTCCGCTTCGTGATCGCGTGATTTGTTGACAGCTGCGTTTGTAGAAATCGGTTCCCGTTGACCTCGCGGCAGCGTTCAACAACAAAGCCTTCGGCACGCAACCCGGCGAAGCATCCTTCGACGCTCTGAACCAGTCCTTCCCCAGGCCATCTATCGGCCCCGACTTCACCTCGACCGACACGGGCATCAAGTACAGCTTCCCCGGATACACCGGGCCCACGGAACCCGACAACCTCATCTGCGCCGGCCAAACGGTTTCTGTGCCGGCGGATGCTTACTTCTCCGCCTCATTCCTCGTTGCCGGCGATGTCGAGGGCGCGACGGTCAGCGGAAATGTGTCGTTCACATACTCAGACAACACCACGTCCGAGTACGAGCTTCGCACGCTCAATTGGTTCAGCTTCCTGACCATCAACCGGGGCGAGATCATCTTCCCTAGCCGCTTCACGCCCAACGGCTCCGACTTCAACACATCTCACATATTCGAGCGCACAACGGCTCTCGCGGCTGGGAAGAAGCTCAGCTCCATCACCCTCCCGGTTAAGACCAACACGACAGAGGGCAGACTGCACGTCTTCTCTATTTCCCTTTGGAAGTCGACCGATGTTGGTGTGCAGTCGGTGCGACCGACCCAGAAATGGGTCGGAAACGGGACGCAGGTGGTCGAGGTCACCATCAACAACGCCGGCTCGCAATGCGTGGCTGGTGACGGCCTCAACATCACACTCTCTGGCGATGGATTCACCACCGTGAGCCCCGGACACCTCAAGCGGCTTTGCCCAGGCGACCAGAAATTGGTTGTTGTTGGCGTTGAGGGCTCGTCCAGTGGACCGGCGACCATCAACATCGAGATCGATGACGGAGCCACGCGCAAGACGACCTCGGTCGACGATGTTGATATCGGGTTGACGGAGTGGACAACCGATTCCGAAAGCCTGTCTAAACACGAGAGCCCTGACTGGTTTGATGAGGCCAAGTACGGTATCTTCATCCACTGGGGTCCGTACTCCGTCACCGGCTGGGGTAACTCGACGCCTTACGAAAGTTATGCCGAATGGTTCTGGTGGTACTCGACGCACCATCCCGAGGGCGACCGCTCCAATTTCTATGGTTATCGTCTCGACACATACGGCCCTGACTGGGCGTACGATGATACGTTCCCCGAGTTCAATGCCTCAAAGTTCGACGCGAAGGAATGGGTTGACCTCTTCGCTGATGCGGGCGCCAAGTACTTCGTGATCACCACCAAGCACCACGACGGCTTCGCCATCTTTGACGCGGGTGAGACTTCGAACCGATCCGCAATCCATTACGGGCCCAAACGGGATCTTCTGAAGGAGCTCTTTGATGCCGCGGAGACATATCAGCCATCCCTCAAGAGAGGAACGTACTTTTCCCTGCCGGAATGGTTCAATCCCGACTTCGGCCCTTACGGCTTCGTCCAATTCCCGACGCCTTCGGCCGTCTCTTGGCCCGGCACCCTCGCGCCGAACCCATACACCGGCGAGCCGGAGCCGTACACCGGTCATGTCCCCGTGAACGATTTCATCGCGGACTTGATGGTCCCGCAGATGGAAACGCTCGCGTACGACTACGGCACCGATATTATGTGGTGCGACTGCGGCGCGGCCAACGGCACGGCAGGCTTCGCGGCGGAGTGGTGGAACAAGGCACGCGCCGAGGGCCGCCAGGTCGCGATCAACTCTCGTTGCGGCATACCCGAGGCAGCCGACTTCGACACGCCGGAGTACCAGACCTTCGCGTCGGCGCAGAGTCGCAAGTGGGAGTCGAACCGGGGCATGGATCCCTACTCTTACGGCTACAACCGCGCGACGAAGCCCGAGGAGTACATGAACGCGACCACGATCGTGTATTCGCTTGTGGACATGGTGTCGAAGAATGGAAACTTCTTGCTGGACATCGGGCCCAGGGCAGACGGGACCATCGTCCAGGCCGAGATGGATAACCTGCGCGAGGCGGGCAAATGGATCAAGGCTCATGGCGAGGCGATCTTCAACACCACGTACTGGTTCGTGCAGAGCGAGATCGTCGGGGGTCCGGATGTGCGGTTCACGCAGACGGACGATGCGTTTTACACCATCTTCTTGGAGAAGCCCACGGTTGCCAACGGCTGGGTCGCGGTTGAAGCGCCGGTTCCCATCATTGAGGGAGACATTGTCAGCTTGCTCGGCGTCGAGGGTGCGGGCGAGCTTGAATGGAAATTGAGTGACGCTGCGTTGGAGGTGAAGATTGACGAGGAACTGATTGACGCGGACGACTTTGGCTGGGTATTCAAGGTTCTTTATGTGTCATGATTTGTTGGACTTGATACGAGTCTCAGCTCTCGACCGGAGTGAAACAACTTCTTCGCCATGAGGACAGGAAAAATGGACTTCGTCATGCACAAAAATAAGTAATATACGAATCTGGCAAAAGAATTGCGCCGAGGGGGAATCGAACCCCCGGCTCCCCGACGCTGCTGGATGGCAACGGAGAATTTTACCACTAAACCATCGGCGCACTTCATATAAGGACGGCCGCAACCTGCACCCGAGTAGCACGCACCAGCGGTGCCTCGCGCTAGAGCGAGTTCGTGGCGCTTGTTCCTGGCGTTTCCTGCGGGCGTTCTTGTCGAGGGTGGCCTTGTCGAGTGTTCCCAATCCCAGCCAGGATGTATTCTGTCTCTTGCATTTCAGCGTCCAGTTTTCTTCTTTCCTTTTCTCTTCCGGCGCGTGCTTTTCAATTTCCATCGCAGATGGAACTGAAGGTTGTATAAATCTCCGTCTCTATCTGGGCTAGGCCCAGGCCCGAAGATGAGCAGCTGACGCAAACCTCGCAAGCTCAACCAGTCAACTTCCTGGTATTAAGTCTGGTTGAATGACCATAGTCTTCAACCGCTGTTTACGTGTCGCATCTTCAATGCTCTAATATTCATAGTACTATCTCAGTGGGTATCTTCTACTAAGTCTGCCTCTCCATCAACTCAGGCACATCTTTGCCATGACCCTTCTTCGAGTCTTCACTAACACGGCACATCTCGTCAAACCTGTGCAGCACTGCCTGGACCTCAACAGGGTTATTGCGGGCAAGATATTCGCCCTCCAAAAGCCGAGCGCTAGCAATGCTATGCCTCGTCTTGGACTTGACCGCCGTCCTGATGCTCTTGTATATGCCCTGCCCGGGATAGGCCACAATGCCAAGCGTTGCTACAAGTGATGTTAGTCTGATGTGAATATTCGAGGTTTTGGGGATAGCATACCTGATGCCGTCTTGGTAGCCATGTTCAAGACACCTTTACCGACACCCAAAGCTGCACCAGCTGCTCCGCCATCCCGTCCTCCCTTGTACGGCTGTACAAACAGGTCGGCGAAGCCCTCGCTGAGACCAGTGACAAAGTGTTTGCCGCCCTCCACAGTACCGGTCTTCCAATCGGTAATCGGAGCCCTCTCCTGAACTTTCTCGCCGTACAGCTTCGGCGCATTGCGCAGGCCATCTGTCACAGCCAGTGGCACGTCGAGGTAGAACTTCCCGTACGACTTAAAGAAGCCGCCAACACCCGAAGCAGATGCCTTGAAGACAGCTCCGGTTGTGCTCCCTCTACCTGCGCTGCGTGGTCGATCCAAGGCATCGGATTGAGGCGGTGCCAGGCTAGACGCATCTGTAGGGGTGCGGCTTCCGCTGCTCATGGCGTCCTCCATCTCCGCTGCCTTCTGTTTGTTCTGTTTCGACCGCTCATTGTATACCTGCACGGGTTTTACGACGATGTCGGTAGCACCCTTGAACATACCGGTCGCAACTCCCAGGAGCGCCGACGTTGTGCCGGTGACGGGATCCCATCTTCGGTTCTCGATGATGATGCTTCTTGTGTCGTGTCTTTGAACCTCGTCAGTCTTGATCTAGCTCCCGTCAAGTTGTTGAGGTACTTACGGTGACATGTTCTTCTGTCCGATCTTGAGATGGTCTAGGAGGATTCCAGCTGCTTTCTTCGACAACTTCACTCTCTTCTTGCCCCTCTTGTACTCCCAAGTCGCGGGTTGATCCGGGAAGATGTCGCAAGGAAGAGCGTCCAGGGGCAGGTTCGCATGGAATGATTGCGCGGCTGTGGCTACACCATTCTCCGTCTTCATCTTGGCGGAAAGCTCGCCGGCAGCCGCCAATGCCTCTGGGGTGAGGCAGAATCGAATAGCGTCGGTCATGTTCTCCACGTTCAGCTCCTTGTGCGGGATTGGCTTCGGTCCGGCGCCGGCGAGAGCAACCATGTCTCCCCAGAATGGCTGGCTACTTTTCGTCAGCACGATACCTGTTTGGCGTCCACGGTCAAACTTACTCGCCGAAGAAAGGCACGATTGTCGTAGGTCTGCCGTTCAGAAGACCACAGGCTGTCGTTCCGGCACCGCCATGGTGGAAGACGGCAGCCACGTTCGCGAAGAGCCATTCGTGTGGGCAATCTCCGAGGAAGAATATGTCATCCGACTCGATGCCACCTAGATTGCTCCATCCCTTCGATATGATGGCACGCACACCTGCGGAGTGCACGGCCTCGACCAGAATCTTCGTCATTTCTTCGGGGTGGTCAATGACAATGCTTCCAAATCCGATGTAGATGGGAGTTGGTCCCTTCGCGAGGAACTGTGCGAGGTCGGGTGGAGGGGTGTATTGGGGCGGCTCGCGGAAAAAGAAGCCACACACGTCTATCCTCAAGTATTAGTTGATCTGCTTGTCTTGGGCTCCTGAGAGAACTCTGTCATACCAATGTACGCAGGCCAGTCTTCTGGCTTTGGCACAAGTGCTGGAGACCAGCAGTATGTGAATGGGATCTTTTGCGCCTCTGCGAGGACTGGCCCTTCAGAGAATGGGACCTCCTCTAGATCCATCGTCTTCCGCCATTCGTTGATCACGTCTCCGAGACTGTTCGATAATGTTAGCAGAGGCTATGCCAGGTACTCCCTCGCGTCTACATACCCTTGCCACGTTAGCCACTCGACGATGCTGTACGAGACAAAGTTGGCAGTGGTCTGGTCAACGACACCCTTCTCACCGAACTTGAGGTTGGCCAGTGGATGAGGGAAAGCTCTCGTGCTGCTCCAGGGCATCGTGAACATCAAGTGCAGAGGAACACTGAGAGCCTGGGCGCAGTGGACATGCGCGAAACTCGGCGGGTTGGCGATAATGGCATCAGCCACGAACGGTTTCCCTGTCAGGGTGTCGGGCTCTATGCATGATCTCCAACATCCTTCCAGCATCTCCTTGACCATCTTGCGCTTCTTCTGAATATCGCCGCCCTTCAAGCTCTTCAAGCTAGGGATCAGGCCGGGGTTCTTCACCATGTATGCCATCAGCTCGGAAGGGTCACCGCCGATCGGGTAGAACTCGAGATTCGCTTTGCGCACAAAGGAGTCGAAGACGTCGTGCGTTGCGAGTCGTACGCGGTGGCCGTAGGTCTGGAGCTCATTGCCGAGGGCGATGAATGGTTGGACATCTCCGCGACTCCCTACAACTTGAATCACGATGTTCAGCTTGACGGGGAAGTTCTTCTTGTCGGCGAATCGTGCTGCAGCTTCGACGTATTCCGGAGGAGGGCCCTGGGCTGCTGTTGCCGCGGCGATGGAGGGGTCCTTGAAGTCGGGGACGAAGCGGGCGAGTGTTGTAGCGAGTCGAGAGTCGAGGTTGACGTCGATTCTTCCGTCGGCTGCGTTTCATCAGTAGGTTAGAGTCGTAAAGAGTAAGACCGATCTTCATACCGTTGACGCTATTTCTCTGTTGTCGGAGTCCATCACTAACAGCTGTCTCATAGGATGGGAGGTAGTCCTGGGGGACGGCGTCGTCCTCCAACATCTGTAGGGTGTTTCTTTTTGACATTGTGGTGCCGGCGTAGATCTGTGTACGGTTGTCGGAATTTCACAATGAGATTCCGTGGGTGTGAAGTTTGCCGGTATCGCGTGTGGCGCCTGGACAGCTTGATTCGGGGTTTCCCTGCTGCCTGTTCTCGTAGATGAAGGAAAATGGACGATGAAGTGGGAGGTTGTAGGTGAATAAGTAGAACACCAATTTTAGTTATTCAACAAAGGCTGTTCTTTGGAGTAAATATTCGGCGGAAGTTGCGCCGACAGCTACGAAGGAGACGGCGACCGGAAGATTTTAATCAACAGTGACATCCCACTTTCTTACATCATTCTAGAACGGCACTTAGCAGGCCCCTCCATGATTTTTCTCAGCCTCGAAGTAAGTCTAACGCCCATTAACGCGTACTGACTCGGGGTGACATGAGCTTCGAACAGAATCCTCTGCACTTAGAGTGGCTAGATCATCGTCATCCCTGCCTATTCAAGCCGCGTCATGGATGCTGTGCCCAGAGCTGCCCCCGTAAAAAAGTCTTATCTCGGCCGATTGATGAAAGAGTCCAGAGCTAGCGTACAGAATATTCGACAGCCAGCGTACAAATCCGCGGGTTCGGTTGCCTTTCTGTGCGGAAAGGGACTCCACGATGCGCGTGTTGCCGTTGTTTGGGGCCGTCCGATGCGCAGCGCCAGTCCAGACCCGTCAATGCTTAACTTTTAAGGAATTCTACCCATTTTTCAGGGACTCTTTGGCAATGATTGGCCCCCTGAATGCCGCGAGAAATGCGCGGGAAGTAGGGATGTTCGCACCGGTGACGAATACGCGTATGGAGACGCTTAGGACTCGCTCACCTAAACTTAGCCTTCTTAATTCTCCGCCGAGCGGCCCCTGAAAGCCGATTTTGGTATAGACTGAGGCGTTCTCTCGAACTCGCCGAACAGCAATCCCCTGCCGTCGTTCGGTATGCCCCATACGCGTATAGCCAAGGAGTCGCCATTGGCCTGTAGATGAATCTCGGGAGACGGCGCCGTGGATGGCGCCGGAGGAGGAGGTTCGGGGAGGCTCAGCCCTATCGGGACTCCGCGTATAATCTCAAAATCTGCATTTTCAATCCGTGAAACTCGTGGATGCAAGGAGACGCCGTATCGAGTGCTGCATCACAGACTACGCGCGTGCAAACACGAGTGGTACAACAAAGGGGTTGGTCAGGATAAACAGAGAATTCCTTACTTATATCGACTTCACCTCTAGCCAATGCAATGTGTACTCAGTCGATAGATCATTCTTTTCAACATTATCACTCGTTCATCGCTCGTTTGACGTAGTCTTTTCATCGTGATTTTGCAAGGAAATTCCAGCATCGAGACCCAAGAAAAACACACAGCTCAACAACGACGATCCTCCCGCAATGGCCGACAACAGCACAACAACCGAGGGCGCGTCCCAAGGCTTCGTCTTCTACCACTATGAGCCTTCCATGGTCGCAGCCGTAATCTTTATCGGAGTATTCGGATTATCGGGTCTGATGCACATCTGGCAATTGACACGATCGCGGACATGGTATTTTATCCCGTTCGTGATTGGATGCCTTTGTAAGTCGCTCGCCAACGTGTTCTGCTCACAATCGGCACACCAGTCGACTGACTCGCAACAGTTGAGGCCATCGGTTATGTTGGCCGCGCCATGTCTGCGCAAGAAGCACCCGACTACAGCAAGAACCCTTACATCATTCAATCCATCCTGCTTCTACTTGGCCCTGCACTGTTTGCTGCCTCGATTTACATGGTTCTCGGCCGGCTTATCACCCTGCTTGATGCTGGCAACTACTCTCTGATCAAGCCGAAATGGCTGACCAAGGTGTTTGTCCTGGGTGACGTCTTGTCATTCTTCGCCCAGAGTGGAGGTACGTTTCCTGCTTCTTGTTCGTGGCCCCATGAGCTCGTGCTGATCCTTGGACCAGGTGGAGGTATGCTCGCAACCGCCAAAGACCGAGACTCCGTCAAGAAGGGCGAAAACATCATTGTCGGTGGTCTGGGCATCCAGATCGTCTTTTTCGGCTTTTTCATGGTCGTGACGCTCGTCTTCCACATGCGCCTGTCCCGCAACCCGACCCCGAAGACATACTCTCTCGACACGCCATGGAAGGGCCTCCTTTGGGTGCTCTACGCCAGCAGTTTGCTCATCATGGTTCGATCCATCTTCCGTGTCGCCGAATACGTCGAGGGAAAGGAGAGCGAGCTCCAGGCGAAGGAGATGTACATCTACATCTTTGATGCTCTCCTGATGGGTATCACCGTGCTGTTGTTCAACTGGTTCCATCCCAGCCGCGTCATCAACAACCGAGCGACGGGCTTGAAGCAAGTTTCCAGCTCGGAGGTTCTGTCTGAGGGATACCTGATGGAGAGTGGACAATACCAACAGCCTCAGGGACAGTACCCGCCGAGCCCGTATCAACAGTACCAAGGTGCCGGAGGCCAGGGCGACTTTCGCAGGTAATGGGTCTCAGCCTAGGAGAGGAGAACTTCCAGCAGACTCAGCGATTGAATTGAGAGTTTCGACGGAAGATTGGAGAGAGTGGGCTTACGAGCCAGGAGCTGGGCGTTGAAGGCAGTCATCTTCAGTTGGGATCGGGATTTCTTTTGTAAAGGCTTTTACTGGGCAGGAGTTCGGTGTTACTGGTTGATAGAAATGGCCACCGAGTGATCCGGAGATCATCGGAAACAAATACAGATACTGGACTTAGACTGTGCAAGAAAATAGTTGAAATCGAAAAGCCAATTCCTAGAAACATGCTCCATCCCTTCAGTTGCGCATGAGTAGCTATAAATGTGGCACGAAGTACATCTGGTTCCGTAATCTTTTTCTACAATCTTGATTAAAGATGTGCTTCCGGAGGGGTGCCATGCGTGGATCCATACCGGAGCCGTATAGACCCACAAATCGCGGCCGGCACGGGGCCGGGATATCGGAGCAAACATCCGGGGCTCCCGGAAGTTGATTTCAATTATCGATTTGTCGGGTCCAATAGCTTGTACTTTTTAAGGTGCTTATAAATTAATAAATATTCTCATTTTAAACTTCACCCTGATGCAACTTTGTGCATTCACCACACTCAACTCTGGCTCGTCAGCACTTGCCCCGCGATAACTCCAGTTCTCGTAATCGTAAACAATAGGACACGCTGGCAACTTTCTGTAACACTTCATATTTTCTGCTTTATGATACCTATGAGGAGCAGCTCAAACAGCAACTCCTGTCGTTTGCAGTCTCCGTCGTTTCAACTTCTCTCTTAGGCATGTTAGGGCGCAGTTTCTACTTTCGATTCCCGAAATTTGCCATCAACGCTATTCAATTATGCGTGTTTACATCAAAGTCGCAAATACTATCATCTCAAACCACACTATTACCACCTAGAGCTTTCTCATCAAGATCGTCTTGTCGGGATCGGGTTGAGCCTGTCAATGTCTCAGTCAGTGGCCCTAATAACGCGAAGGCTTCTCTTGGAACTCACGTTGGAACCGAACTCCAAGTTCTTGTGCCGTTGTGTGCTGTCCCCTGCCATCTTAATGTCGTAGTTGGCTAGTGTGGTCGCCATGATCATCTTGATCTCGTTCACAGCGAAGAATCGACCGGGGCAAGCGTGTCTGCCGAAGCCGAACGTCAAGCTCGTGGGGCCTCCCACGCTGACGAATTGCGAGTGAGCGACAACTTCGGCCTGCTTGGTCCCTGTCTCTTGCTCCTTCTTGGCTTGGCGCAGCTTGTAGAATCGAAGGGCGTCGAACTTGTCATGGTCCGGGAAGAACTCGTCGTCGTTGTTGATTCCGACCATGGGGATCTCGATGATGGAGCCCTGCGGGACGACTTGCCCGTTCGAGAGGGTGAAGGTCTTCAACACCTTGCGCTGGAAGGAAGCTGAAGAACATGTCAGTCAACTGGCCGTATCTTGAGGGGTAATCATCCAACTCACTCGCTCCAAGCGCGTAAAATCTCATGGTTTCCTTCAAGAAGCTGTCCAGCTTCTTCATGTTCTGCATAGCGATGCTCGTGAAGACACCATTGCTCTCGGCCAAAGCCGTCTGGACATCTTCTCGCAACATCGGGATCAGCTCTGGCATGGCAGCCAGAGTGTAGAAACTGTGGTCAAGTCAGACGGCGGCTCACGAGGGGAATTATTTCTGATGAGTGCACTTACGCGTTGGTTGTGGTAACCGTAGTCGTGTGGATGGCAGCAAAGCTGATCCCGAGTTGGTATCTCGCAAGCTCCTTGTCGTCCTTTGCACCGAACTTGGTCTGCGCATCCATGATCCACTGCAGCATGTCGTACGGCTTCTGGTAGTCGGGGTTCTCCGCTGCCTCGCGCCTAGCAGTCACCACCGGCCTGAGGAACTTGTCCGCCGCCTCGATTCTCTCGTGCACCTTCTTCACCTCCGGTAGCCAAGGAGCCTTGAACCTCCTGGTCCAAGGTGGAAGGTCTGAAATCTTGCGAATCGCCTTCATCAAATCAACGGTGTAGTTAATGGCGGCGTCGAGATATTCCTCCTCGCGGCAAAGCTCGGGGCCGATGAAGATGCGTCCGGAGGCCATCGCTACGATGCGGAGAAGTCTGTCCATGATCTTGACCTCCGTCCATTCGGCAGAGTGGGGAAGCTCGATGCGAAGGGCTTCGATGACTTCGTCGGCGATGACAGGGTTCAGTCGAACTGATTTGTGTCAGCATGATGGGTGCTAGGGAAGACAGAACCGTTGAGGCGTACCGAGAGCCGGCGTCAAGGCAGTCTTGACAGTGTGGGGAAGCAGGTCGATATCGGTATCAACCTTCGTATACTTGGCATGCATGAACTAGACGGGGACGTCAGATATCGTCTTGCACGAGGCAATCGTCAAGCCAAGCTTACCTCTTCGATGGCCTTGTTGAAACTTAAGACGTCGTCGGGAAGCCTCTTGAGCTCATCCATGAATCGAGGAGACACAACAATGTTGGGTGACGCTGATTTTGTTAGTGTGCTCTACATCTTTTGGCCGATTACTGCAGGAAACTGCCCACCTCGCGTCGTCGTAATCCTCCAAGCCCTCTCTTTGAACTGGAGTTCGGTGATATTAGTTGACGTTCTCTGTAAGTAGCCGCCCATCACTTGCCTTCTTGTATCCGTCAAGATAGATATCCTTCGCATATCCATCCAGAAACTTCTTCCTTCGACTCTCGGCTCCTCCAAACTCGGTTCCTACCATCGGAAGGTCCGCCCACGGGTCGCTTTTGAGAACATTTTGCAGAAGAAGACCGACTACGCATGCGAATAGTGCAGTCGCAGCTAGAGGCCAGCGGTTGGCTACTTCTTCGAGAATTGAGCTGTCGACCACTGGAAAAGCGGTGGCATTCATGTTAGGAAGCATCGACATCGACATTTTGGCGCCTTCGTGATGGTGTGATGATACGGACGAACAAACTTAGAGGAAGTTGGGACCTAAGGGTTGTATTATAATCTCTGAGTCCTTCACACCCTCCAACTCCGCGCCTGGCTTTAGCATGACAGCCAAAAGCCGGCAAGCTCCCCTAGCCACCCTGTTCGCATGGAGGTCCCCCACCATGACGAATACCTCAACCACACAGCCGATGGGCAAAAGCTCTGACGAGTACGAGTAGAGCAGTCGCCGGTGGGTTACGAAACTTCGCCCGCGGCATTCGAAACCGGGTGGAACCGCCTCAACTACCGGAGGGATGGTGTCCCCTAACCCCTGTGCCGATCAACGGGACGAATGATAAAGTGATCTGATTGAGTTGCATTAGCTGTGCGGACTGTCGATTGGGGGAGCCAAAACGCGGGGAGCCGGGTAGACAAGGTGAGCGGACTGGAGTTAAAGTCCGAGCCAAGGGTCATCGAGTGAGGCTCGCGTGCAAACGACGTACGACGTGGTCGGTTTCGTATTCGTGAGTGTGATCGTCAGAAATAACCAGATAGACAAATAGGGCGTCACGTCGTTCAGAATAAGAATTGGACGATGCGCCTTAAGAGCGGGTTAGACGCTACGTTGCAGAGTTGTTTGCACACGATGTAAGACCACGATGCGAGGAAACAACATGCGTGGCCACCTTTCATTCGGATTCCTTCTCGGGTTTTCGCCTTCATCATCTCTTCCGTTGCCAAGGCCTTCCTTCTTATCATGCGGGAAGCAATCTGTAATGTTTCAAAGCCTTCTATTCATGGTGTCCTGACTCTCCAAGGCGGTCAAAGCGGGACATCATTGGACGAAAACCGAAAACAATGGCATGGAAATTAGAGAAAATGAAAAGAGGTAATTAGCTTCCTTCATCTCGGTGTGACTTGAAAAATTGACGGATGTATTGGTGTGTTCGATTCCCCTATCTCGGGTCACCAATAAGTCGGATGACCCTGCGCCTGCCTGCGTGACGTCTCCCACCGGCTGGCTCCAACCGAGATGCTATATTACACTGCCATTTATGAGCCATAAACCTTAAGAAAGCCAGTGATCTCTCCTTCGAAAAGTGGTTCACCAGTCGTCGGGTCCTGACTGTTTGCTCCCAGAACCCTCGCCTCCCAGTATGTACCTTGCTCGGCATCAGTCTCTTTCTTGAAGCCCCACGTTGTGTATCCCTCGGAGCCTAAGAAGATTCCGCTCTGCTTGGTGCCGTTGATGAAATGCGAGTACGGCTGGATTTCAGTTCCGTTGACCTCGTACATCATGAAAGCGTTGTACGGGATATCTGCAGCAACGAGGTTTTCCCAGGTGTAACCCGAGACACCTGTAGGCACCCAGCCTTGAATGCCCTCTCCGTTGACGCAGCGGAGGGGGTTCTGCGCCACACCAGCTTTGTCAAGCACGGCCATCTGAAAATTTCATGGGGTAAGCAAAGGACTTCGTAACCCCCCTTGTCGGAGGTGGCGGCTTCCGTTGAGTTCAACTTACGTATCCCCATCGGATGCCGCTCGAGCCGCGGGAAAAGATGGCTGTGAGCCCGTGGCCGGTGATGTAGTCGCCGGTGTCCTGGGCCTGTATCGACCACGGCCCCGCCTGGCCGGTCGACGCGTCGTAAGCCGGGTACACGGAGCAATCCCCGGAGATCAACTCGGCCGTCACGTTCGGCGCCGCAGCTGTGATGGGGGCCGTAGCTATGCAGAGAGCAGCAGTGGCGGCAACAAACTTTGTGAAAGACATCATGTTGCGGAAGTCAGGGAGCAGAAGGCGATGGAGAGAATCAGTACGAGTACGCAACTTACAACCTGGAAGCTTGTTAAGATCAGATTCTCTCGCTACTTAAATAAGATTTTACCCCTGAACATCGCCAGGCAGACAACGCCATTCCGGGAATTACGATCTTGTGTTGTTTTCTTTTTGCACGCCAAAGGATCTTTCGTTGTTGCAAGATGGGCCTAGTAGCGCGACGGCGCGATCCTGCCTAGATTCAGTGGGTTCTCATGAATGTTGATGGCGACGGGAGCTAGGGTCGCTGAGGGGATTGACGACGCTAAGAGATGATGAGGGTCAGGATTGGAGAACCGTCCAGACACTAAGTGCCGTTATCCGCCAAGCATCGTGAATCCGTACGCACAGTTGAGCTTCGGAAATTCACCGCGCATTAAACGAGAGACATTCTATCTGTCGTGATGATGTCATCCCGTATGCGCCGGAATATTGTTAAGCGGATGGGGAGTTAAAAGCTCTTCGGCCTTCGATCGAATTTGAACCGGTAGAACGAGCGTAGATTAGCGGCGGCGATCAAGTACAAGCCACATTCAGTCATCCTGCTAATTTGCATGTGCACAAGCCTTCTGGGTGCAAACTTTCTTCTACTGAATGGACTGCCAGATCCCTGAACATTGGAGAGGGTTCAGCAGTGCCTTTCCGACACACTCGAATGCCTTTCTCCTCACAATCCGATTGCTATTACTTTATGAATGGGCCTCGATCATACTGAGTTACTCTCTAGGAAAGTTTCCAAGTGACTATCGGCCGACGTCGACCTGTCGGCAAAGTGACGGGTTCCCCGGACTTGAAGGAACGACATGCCAAGGATCCTGATCCCGCTGAGCCTACGTACGCGCTAAAAGGTCATAACTACGGTAGAAATTCCGCACTCTGTCCACACATTTGAGACCCTCCTGTACCTTGACGAAAGTTTCCGGTAAAATAAATCTGGTGTTTGGCGCTGGAGGTTTTCTATCTGCATTCGACTTTAGTTTGCTTTGAGCAAACCACTACGAAGACAAGGGTACCTTCTACCTTGAATGCCACCGAGCCCAAACGCGCGAAGACTGAATGATGCTTGATTCTTGTCGAGTGGTGCAAATGAAGAACTGCTCAGGAAATCTCCCAAGCTGAGTCCTGTGTTGATCAAGCACCATCAAGCCGCAGTTCTTCAACTACGGTTGAGACTCAACCGACTAAAAAACAAGCGGGCCACCAAGACCTTGGACATGTGTTCTGACTGTCATTCTATCACCATAGAGTTGATGAGTGCTTTTCCCATGAGAGGCTAGCCAGAAAATTCCAATATGTCGGCATTGACTTTGTGTGGTATCCGGAACCTGGTTGTCGGTTTCCTCTACCGCCTGACAACTCCGGGCTACGATGTGTGCAGGTATAATCGAGTATCCTTTTTGACATTGTCATGCATTCAATAGACCTGGGCCTTGAGTGCTTCATGTTGGCAACTAACTTGTAAGCGCTTTGCAAAGCTCAAAGAAACCACTTTGAAGCAATAATTATGAACGAAAGCTTGGCATCTACGTGATGTCTCCAATCGCAGGCTCAAACCAGGCCAGTCAACTTCAACTAATTTGGGTTGGTAGGCTTGAGGCAGGCCAACCACAGAGGATGGCCGAGAGAGTACAATATGAAAGAAAATATGGCATAAATAGCCCAAAACAAATCTCAAAATCCAACTAATTGTCTTCTCATGCTAAGTATCACTAGACCTCAGCTAAGTTGTGGTTCATGATACCGCCAAATATGAAAACCTCACGTAGTAACAAATGCAATATGCCGCGCAATACAATGCAGCCACCCTGATAATGAAACCGGATTTAGTTCCTGCTGTCCTTGCCAACATGAATTTATTTCGGGAACTTCGCGTCTGATGTTAACATCACGGGCTGCAGTTATAACAATATGCAAAAGACTCAGAAAAGCGTATGTAGCATTTCGACGGGGTCAATCCCAAAAAGGTAGGTCGTTTGCTTCAAGTTCTTTCTTATCAATTCAATTAGACGGAGGGTTTAGTAACGACCATACGTACAGCCGGTCAAATCCGCTTATCGCCGCGGCGTAACCCCTCACGTGGCCAACTTCCCCTCTTCCCTTCGCTCACAACCAGACTTGGTTCATTAACGTCAGCAAAATATTTACAGCATTCGGATTAAAGCAACTTCAGTCAGTTCAATTCATTTGCAACTCCTCTTCGGCTTCCTATCGCCTCGCAAGATGTCTTTCAAATCCGAAGCTATCGTGGCCAGAGGCCCTATTTCCGAGGGAAAATGGGCGATTGAGCCAGTTACTCTGAGAGACCTTCGGGAAGATGAGGTTCTCGTAGAAATTGTAGCTTCGGGAATATGTCATACAGATCTCCACTGCGGAAACACCAAGGCAGATGCAGGAGTTCCTGGTGTTTACTATCCCCGAGTTCTCGGTCATGAAGGTCAGTGATGTCGTCGCCAGTAAGAAGCAATTGAGCTCTTGGGGGTTTCTGAAACCACGTTGTTGATGGTATAAATCTTAGGCTCAGGATATGTCGTCAATGTTGGCACCGCCGTGAACCACGTGAAGCCGGGCGACCCAGTCCTTCTTTCGTTTTCCTACTGCGGCTCCTGCCATGTTTGTAAGACGGGCCCACCGTCTCACTGCACCAACTTCTTCGAAATCAACTTCATCGGAGAACCCGTCTTTTCCGATGGAATTGGAGGCCGGTTTTTCGGACAGTCGAGTTTGGCTCATCACACCATTGTGAGCGACAAGTCGGTTGTCAACGTCGGGGGCCTTGGCTTGAGCAGAGACGATCTCAGAATCCTCGCACCTCTTGGATGTGGACTTCAGACCGGCAGTGGAACTGTCATCAACGTGGCGAAGGCCGGGCCAGACGACTGCATCACCATTGCTGGCATGGGAGGAGTTGGCCTTGCGGCGGTCATTGCGGCAAAGAATCAAGGGTGCAAGGCCATCATTGGCATCGATCGACTTGAATCTCGGCTCGAGCTTGCGAAGTCACTTGGCGCTACTCATGTCATCAACACGACTGGCTTGGACATGAAGCAAGTAACAGAGAAGATCAAAGAGGCTGCAGAAGGGCTTGGATCAACCATCAGCATCGACACCAGCGCTCACCCGCCTTTGCTAGCTGCACAGTTGGACGCCACGAGGTATATGGGAAAGGTAATCCAGGTCGGAACTGGCATGCCAGAAGCGAACATCTCGATTCACATGCAGAGCTTCATGGTCAGTGGGAAACAGTACTTCGGAGCTGTACAGGGACATTCGAGAACAAGAGACTACGTTCCTCAGATGGTCCAATGGTGGAGAGATGGCATCTTCCCGGTCGAAAAGCTAATCAAAGTCTATGAGCATCAGAACTTTGAACAAGCAGTAGAGGCGATGAAGAGCGGAGAAGTTGTCAAGCCTATTATTGCTTGGTCGTAAAGAACGGAAGAGGTGGTAGGAAGAGCTTAAGTCAAATCCGAAAACGAAAGAAAAGCTTATTCTTATTGAAGTTACCTGAATGGAGAATGTCTTGCAGTGTATTTTGGTGATGCCAGGGCCGGAACTGGCGCCTCCATAACCCCCGTTGGGACCGAGTTGCTCCATGTCCGTGTCTTGGCAGCTATGATGTGGCAGCAACAGAGAGTCAAGATCGCAGTGGAGTTGGGCGGACTTTGGAGCGAAATTGGCGGAGTATACCACGGTCTGAAGCTGCGAAGATTGCCATAGCGGCATATTTCACTCGGCGAGCCGCGGACGCCGAGTCAGTGTAGACTCCTCAAGCCTTTTGTTATAAACATCTGCTGATGGCCTCTACGAGAAGCCATCGGAAGGAGAACAGGTTGTCACAATCTATACTTTAACCATTTTCTGCCACTTTTATTCATAAATTATTATGTCGGTGAAAGCAGCCTTCGTTGGGGCTACGGGAGCCACTCTCAGCCATGTTCTGGCCTGGACGTTACTTACCGGGCATAAAGCCGCGGCTCGTAAGTCATCTTTACGTCTAAGAGCATCTTGATTCTAACTACTCCAGCAGTTGTTCGAAGTGCTTCCAAACTACGGGACATCCTCATGTCATATGACGTGTCGGAGGAGATAATCAAAACACAACTCATCATCGTCGAGGCGGAATCTTCCCGCTCAGTCCCAGCATGCGTTGAACTACTCCAACACAACCCAGAGATCATCTTTAGTGGTATCACTGCTTTACCCAAATTTCAGCCAAACCCTTTCAAGCCGATTTCTATGCAAGACCCGACGATCACCGGAGATTCAGCTGTCGCGGTCATTGAAGCGCTGCGTCACCTAAAAGCAGAGGGGTTGCTCACCAACGAGCCCATCTTCGTTCCCATATCTTCGACTGGGCAGGGCTCGACGCGTGATCAACCACTTGTGATGATCCCACTTTACATGTGGCTGTTGCCCGTTGCCCAGGCAGATACGGCCAACATGGAGAAGGCTGTTCGCGAAGCCGCATTGGAGCCGAACTCACCGTTGAAAGGATACGTCATGGTGCGACCACCACTGCTGACAGATGGCGCGAAGAAGGGAATGAGAAGTCTGAGAGTTGGGTGGACGATCGAGGACGCCGGTATTGTAGAAAACCCCGGGAACGAGCCAGGAGTGACTGTGGGTTATACTATCAGTCGATTGGATCTGGCGAACTGGCTGTTTGAAGAGCTTGTGCGAGGCAACCTTCATAAATGGAACGTTAAGTGCGTAACGGTCACATATTAGACGCTTTCAAGTATGGAAATGTTAATGATTTGAGCCGTAACAGAACTCAAGTGAGATCAAAACAGTTTAGATGGGAATGTGCGGCGTGAAAGTCCCTCATGGTCCTAGCTGCTCAATTCCTTGATCATTCGAATATTGATGGTTATTGAACATGCGGCTTAGGCATTGAGGGCGGTGGCATTGCTTTGCCACTGCTGTCCTGCCATCCAGATGGATTGGATGTGTTGGCATCTGCAGGCTGACACACCACCATCGACAAAGAACCAGATCATTGGGCCATACCAACTTGCGACTGCAGTGCTCCGTACGGGCTGGGGCTGAGTCGAGGCACCTATGCAGGCCAACAGGCCAGGGCTATTCCATAATGGCAAGGTATGAACCAGGTGATGGAAACCCCGGATGAGCGTTTATCATTTTCGCCGCCTTCTTTCCATCTCCTCCAGGCTATGATGCTAGCTTGACTGGAAAAGTTGTCGCAATCAATCCTTCTATGTTGACTGAAACGACAGCAATCTAGTCCTCAAAATGGAGGTCATCGGTGCCGCTGCGAGCATCATTGCCATAGGGCAGGCTTTAATCGCAGCCAGACATGGTTTCAATCTGCTGAAACAGATACCCGAGATTGGCAAAGATTTTGAAGCATTAGACCAAGAAGTATGTGCCACGATGTTCGCACATTGAGATCAAGTAATAGTATGAACGCTCACTAATTCATGACTTCATGTTAATCAAGATCACAATCCTGCTGGCCATGATTAATGAAGCAACACTCATAGGAGAAATTGCCGACCAGACCAGGCTCAATGCTTCCTTTTTGCTCGCGGCCTTGTCTCAGCTCGGAGACATCGCGAAGGAACTGAGAAGCATCGAAAATATTTGCTCACAGCAGACCCCGAGCCAATCCCGAACAAAAGTCAAGAAGGCCAGATGGCTTCTGGTACAGACTCGAATTTCCAAGCTTCACGCGAAGGCCAATGGGGCAAAGTTGAATCTCCAAACCGCTCTACATACCATGACGTTGAGGATGATACAGTAAGTCGAGGATATCTATATGTCGTTACTGACGGCACGTTCTCTGATATCTATACCAGGTCACACACTGGTTTACTTTCAAAGATCAACCAAAGAGCCATGAGTGATACGGGAGTCATTACTTCGCCAAGTGTTTCAACAGGCACTTTAATGCCTGATAACGCGGTCTTCCTCCAACCTTGTGCTTCACAGCCTCCAGCCTCGGCAGACATATCCAGTCATCTCAAAGCTGAAAACTACCAATACTCAACCAACATACCAGCGTTAGACACCAGGCAATGCTGTTGCGAATGCCATGAAACATTTCACCAAAGGTCTCAGCGTCGCCAGCTACTGCGGTTAGGGTGTTTTTCTGTCGTTCTTTTTGGTCTCGGAGTATGCCAATGCAGACGAAACAACTGCGTGGCTTGGAAAGACGTCAATGGAGCACTTCAAGTTTCGTTTCCTCAATGGCTTAGCTCCAGGCCTGTACTGTTGCAGACCTCCATCAGCGCATCTTCTGGCTTCAGTATTACGTTGCGTCCATTGCGAAGCTTATGCAGGGATTTGAGGTATTGGGTGTGTGGATCACACAGAACAGTCAGACTTGAGTGTTGGGATAAGATACCGGAAATCTGGGCCGAGTACGGACCGTTTTATCCAGATGACGATTTGGGTAACGAGTCGCATTTCAACTTGATCGAGGTTAGTACAGACCGCCCGAATTTCTTTGCTTCCAGCGAGTCCACTGGTCAAATATACGGCTTCTGATGATTTACTAGCATCTGGTATGCACTGCACAATACGAACTCCTAAGGTTCTTCATGAGGATATGGTCATCGTCACTTCTAAACAAAGCCTGCTCTCGGTAGGAATCGCCTCTGTCCTCCAAATACGTCAGACATCTGAAGACATAAAACTAATGCATCACGCTACTTAGGGTCACTCTACTCAACGCACGAAGGCACCTCGATCAAGATGACGAACTCGAAGATTGCGATGCACAGTTGCTGAGACGTATAATCTCGGTGAATGATAATGATTATGCCGATGCTGAAAACAGCTTTCATAAGGCTGTTGAGAAGGGTGACTTACAAGAAGTCACTTCAACCCTTGAAGCATGCCCTTGGATTCTTCACTATCGAAACCATCTTGGTTTCACACCTCTGATGTTGGCGGTCTCGAATGGCCACATTACCATCGTCGAACACCTTATCGGCCTTGGAGCTGATGTTAACCAGAGAGGGCCGAATGGTCTTACAGTTCTCATGAGAGCAACGGTGGTATGCTGCATCGACACGGTCCTGGCGCTACTACGCCCTTCTATGGGAACTGATGTCAATGCCACGAATCAGGACGGACTCACAGCTCTTATGTACATCACAATGTCTAAAAACCCGCAATCCATGGCAGTTGTGGATGCCCTGCTTCAGGCTGGAGCCTCGACGTCTTCACGGGCGGAGGGATTGTTTGGGCCGATGCAATTTCTATGTTCGTCGCCTAACATGCCTAAAGACACAAAAGAGAGAAAAATGCGCATGTTGCTGAGAAGGGAACGCTGCAACCCCCGCGAACTCGTGCATCCGCTTATATGCGCAATTCATAGCAACGATATAATAGCTGTAGAGTGCCTCCTTGAGTTTGGCTACTGCTTTGCAGACACGGAGTACCTTCAAAGGTCAAGTTTGCACTGGGTTGCAGGGTCTTCAAACGCTGTCATGATGCGGAAGCTGAAACCAGAGGACTTCGATGATCCTCGGGTGCACCTGCTCGATTCATCCGGCGATACACCCTGGGATCAATTTGTTCTACGCCTGCACAAGCCTCGATGGTTGTTAGCTAGATGGGAAGAGACAACCCAAGACGACAAGGATGCTTTCTGCGAGTTGTATACTGGTGTCAGGAACAAAACTCTGAGCCGCAACATAGCTCAACTGGAACTGGTGGTTGACTCGTTGACGTCTCGAGATGCAAAAGCGGCACGGGAAAGGCTGCGCTCGTTGATATCCCTCGAAGAGAATCGAATTTTGCCATGGCAATTGGAAACATACCGAACGGTGGATCTACAGGTCAGACAGGACATGTGGGAAGCAGCTGTTGAATCAGTAGAGGAGAACCTTGAGGTGCTGAGGAAGGACTTGGAAACATCACCTTGGTCTTATCCTGCCAAGTGCTGCCAGGATGAAGAGTGTGAGTTCAGTTTGGCAAAAGAATTGTTGGAGACTAATGGCGCAGTTGACGAGGAGGCGTCAAACGAAGCTTCAAGCGTCGAAGGAGCCAATGACGAAGGGATCAGAGGATAAGATCTCAGAGACAACACAAAAGGATGAGCGTATGCCGAGGTATCGAAGAGGTCGTCGGAGGAAAGTCAACCCGATAGAACAACATCATTTGATAAATACCAACTCAAGCTACGACTAGTGTTTTTTACGCATCAAAAAATAAGTGAACAACCACACCAACCGGGCGTCCGTAATCTCTTCCCCGCATCTCCGCATCTTCAGTCCGCCATTCTCCAACGCCAAAACCCCAACTTCGCCGGGTCACCCGGCCTCGAGCGGGCCAAACAGTGGAGATAAACCCATGAAGGGAAGGGAATTGCGCCTAAGGGACCTGGGGTAATACTGGAACGATGCTGCTTTTGGAGAGATGGCCGAAGCAGTTCGTCCACTCCGTCCCTGCTCCTCATTTACTTATTGAAAATCCATCCTCACTAATGGCCATGACCACGTCGACCACGAGGTGCTAACCCCGCGCGGCAGCTCATCTCGGAATTCGTTGGGCCCTTGCTGACAGGAACGACAGACACTCCGAACATGTGTTAATCATGCATGGCGTTCGGCCACGATGAGCCTCGGAGAGGTTGGGGTCACCCCTGATGATGTGAACGCGCCAGTCCCTAGCTTCCGATATTTGCGCCGGGCCTCGATTCCACACTTCTCACCGAGGCGCGGCATTTGCGATTCGTCTCGTCCGAGTGGGCCACTTGAAGAATCCCACTCGTTGCTTAACAATAGTCCCTCTGCCAAGGGCCGGGGATTCCATTTCGCGACGTCATCCATCCTGGCGTTGGCGTGATAAATACCTCGCTGTCGGCCGCGAATATTCTTCTTTCCTTCGAACGTGATTCCTAGCTCCGTCTCTCCGTCCGATCCGATTCACACGCGCTCCCACCGGCTAGACCGTGTCTCACCAGAGCCCTCCGGCCACGTCCCTCGACAATGAGAGCCACGACAACAACCGCCGCTATCGCCGGCCTTCTCGCCGCCGGCGCCGCGGCACAGAACTCGACAAGCACATGTGCCAGCGGAGTGCATCTCATCGTTGCTCGCGGCAGCAGTGAACCTGTCGGCGTGGGCCGGATAGGCAGCGTTGCCAACGGTGTTGTCGCTGCCATCCCCGGGTCTCAGATCGAGCCTCTCGATTATCCTGCCAAGTTCGAGAACTATTCCATCTCCGTTGAGGACGGCGCCATTGCGATGAACCTGGCCTTGACCCAGTACAACGCGAGATGTCCCAACTCGAAGGTCGCGCTTCTTGGATATTCTCAGGTACGTCAACTCGCATCCATATCCGGCACCCTTCTCGCATTTCCTTAGCGGTTCACATGGATGTCTGGAGGTTCTCTCGCGAGAACTCAGTGACTATACGCGGAAAGTCTGCGAGAGGGAGGGTAACATCAGACGACAATTAGACGCAAGCAGTCAATCTCTTGGCTTTCACCTTTTCCCTTTTCGCTGACGTGCATGAACGTAGGGTGCGCACGTCGCAGGCGATACCCTGTGCGGTAGTGTCGACGAAGACGCAGGTGAGGCGCTGGACTTAGAGTTCAATCGTACCGCGCCTATTGCCTCTTCCATTGTTGACCAGAGTGGTGAGTCTCCTTCCTTCTCAACAATGTTGATGGTCTTCATGCTCATATCCGGCAGTTATCGCGGTAATTCTCTTCGGAGACCCGACTCACATCAAGAACGCCACCTGGAACAGGGGCACGAGCACGCGCGACGGGGTGAGTTGAGTCAAGACGCATACCCTTGCACAACCACAACTGACTCGATCGATATTACAGCTTTTCCCCCGCGACAACGCCGCAGCATGTCAGCAGTATGCGTCCAAGATCGAGTCATGGTGCGACACAGGCGATATCTACTGCGATGTTGGTAACGACACTACCGTTCACGGCTCCTACTTTGTCAAGTACACCAACGATGCGGTTGACTTCGTCGTGTCCCAGTTCAAGGCGTCCAAGACGAACGGCACATCTCCCGCTCCTACCCCGTCCACCGTTCCTGCCTCTGGTGCCATGGCTACTGCGCCCGGCATGCTGATGTCGGTCGCGGGCTTGTCTATGCTGGCATCGTTCTTCTTATAGGCAGCGTATCAGCGCTCGATTAGTATGTAGTAATTAGCATGTCACCAAGCGGTACGAGTACAGAGTAATGAATATTACGATTCAAGACCATGCGTTACGAGAAGTCTGTGCCGCGTCCTCGGTATCGCTTTTCTTTTTTGTGCCTGCATACCTGGCCGAACGTCAACTTCCACGGATTCCATGGCCCTCCGCGTGGTGGCCGCAAACCAAAGTCGAATCAGACGATGCTGCCATGTCAGATCTCAAGATCATATTGCCAGTGATGAGATAAACCGACGGTCCGGGCCCATCGGTCCGACCTTTCGCGTTGAGATGTCCAAGATAAGCGAAGCGGCTTTGGCAAATGAAGGATTGTCGTGGGGAGACGGCTTGGTGGTAGATGCAAGGCGAAAGCATATTGTACCGGCATTACCCGCTCATCTTAGACTACGATTACATGACACCTGCAAAGAAATGGTGAGTTTGTTGGGCTGAATCATGGCGATAGCCGTGAGAAATGAGGTACGCTTTATTCTGGTTGACCCAAGGTTGACCGATCTATCTTCAACGTCTCACCAATCACTCAAAACTCGAGGTATCCCTGATGTATAACTGAAGTGCAGAAGAGATATCGATGAATCCCAGGATGGTTGCTAAAGGGTAGCTCACATGGGTACCAGCGAAGAGCAGACACATTTTCGTTAGACAAGTTAGCAAAAGGAAGGCAGCTCCTGAAATGGTTTTAGCAGCACAACTCTATGATTAGAACCAATCATCAATACGATGGGGATGAAAAGCACAGTTCTGGTCATCATAAGAGGTATTAGTTCTCCATTGAAGGTCTGCTGACAGGGTATCAAACTTCGTCCAGCGTCATAGCTACCGTCTAAGATTTAGATTACATATAAGAAAGATAATACGCGCGCAGTGATTCCCGGTCCCATTCATCTCCCGGGCCATCTTTAAATCCATTTTCCCTCAGCTATCTAACATGAATATTATTCGCTGCCTCTGCTCCTCCCAATCCTTCTCATTAAAACCTTCTCATGAATCTCATCTTGGGCTTCTCTGCTTCGGCAGGCTTCTCGGCCTCAGCAGGCTTCTCAGCGGGCTGCTCGGCAGGTTTCTCCTCTGGCTTCTCCGCAGGCTTCTCTGCCGGTGCTTCTGCGGGAGGTGCTTGGTGAGCTGGAGGGGCAGCCGGCATCTCGTGAGTGGGAGGAGCGACTGGCGCAGCCGCTGGGGGATGAGCAGGCATGGCCTCCGCCGGAGGGGCCTCGGCGACCGGGGGCATCTGGTGAGCGGGCGCTGCAGGGGGGGCTGCGGCAGGAGGTGTGTGCTCAGCTGGCGGGGGAGCCATCGTGTGTGCAGGAGGAGCCATCGTGTGTACGGGAGGAGCCATTGTATGTACGGGGGGAGCCATGGTGTGCGCGGGAGGAGCCATCGTGTGAACCGGAGGCGCCGAGTGAGCCGGGGGCATCTCGTGAGCCGGAGGCGCTACCGGAGCGGGATGGACTGCTGCCGGAGGTGTGTGTACAGGAGGAGGGGGTGCCATGGTATGTGCCGGCGGCGGTGCCTCGTGGGCCGGGGGCGGCATGGGATGAGCGGCCGGGGGAGGGGATACCACGTGTCCAGCGCCCGCGGTCACGGTTGTTGCGCAGTGACTGACGACTTGCGTGATGTGGACCGGGACTTGCTGATGAACCGTCTGAGTCTCCTTGACGACGTGAGGCGGGAGGGTGATGTGGGCTGTGACAGTCGAGACCTGGTGCTGAGTCTGGACCACAGTCGCCACGTGGGTGATGATCTTCTCAACGGGGAGCTCCTTTGTGATGGTTTGCGGCGGCAAGGTGACATGAAGAGTCTCCTTGACGATCTGGGGAGGTGCCGTGAGATGGTTGGTGACTGTGGCCGTGTGTGTGATAATCTTCTCGACAGGCAGCTCCTTAGTAACAACCTGAGGCGGCAGAGTTACGTGCAGAGTCTCCTTGACAATCTGGGGAGGTAGAGTGACGTGGTTGACGCTGGTGACTGTGACCGCATGGGTAATAATCTTCTCAACCGGCGGCAGCTCTCTTGTGACGGTTTGGGGCGGTAAGGTGACGTGTAGAGTCTCCTTCACCACCTGGGGCGGGAGAGTAACATGGTTGACACTCGTGACCACCTGGGGCGGCAAGGTAACATGAAGAGTTTCCTTGACAATCTGGGGTGGCAGAGTTACGTGATTGACGCTCGTGACTGTAGCGACTTGGGTAATGATCTTTTCGACGGGGACCTGGTGAACCGAGGTCACCACGTGGGTTTGAGTGAGAGTCTGGGTAACGTGGACCGGAACCGTGACCGGCATCGAAACAACGCGCTCCGTGGTAATTGTATGAACAAGAGGTGGCGCGGTGTGAACGACGGTCTGTACGGCGGTCTGAGTATGAATCTGAGTTTGGACGTGGGTGACTGGTATCGTCTCCTTCTGCGTCTCAGTCACTGCCACTGTCTGGGTATGAACGACGGGTGGCAGCTCTTTGGTGACTTCTCGGGTAACTGGCGGCAAAGTATGCGTAATAACCTTCTCGACGGGGACCTCTTTCGTGACAACTTGCGTGACATGAACAGGCGGTGCAGTCACTGCCACGGTCTGAGTATGAACGACCTTCTCGATCTTTGTGGCCACCTCTTTCTGCGTCTCGACCACTTTCTCGGTCTTGATCTTCTCTTGCGTGACAGTAGCCGTGACGTGGACGGTCTCCTTGACTATTTGAGGCGGCGCGGTGATATGAACCGTCTCCTTGACTGTTGTTGGTACCGTGACATGTTTGACTTCTGTCTTGACTTCGGTCTTGATCTCATGTTTGACTTCCGTCTTAACCTCCGTCTTGACCTCGTGGACTGTAGTAGGGACATGCACCACCTGAGTATGCGTGACCGGTGGTGCATGAACCGTGTGGACTCGAGTCTCGGTTTCGTGCTTGACCTCGTGGACTGTGGTAGGTACGTGAACCGTATGAACGAGAGTCTCCGTCTTCGGCTCGCACTCGGCTGGCGCTGCGGGAGGGTTGGGGGCAGCCAAAGCTACGGAGGCCAGCCACGAGGCAATCGCGTATCGTGATAACAACATCGTCGAATCGTCGAGGGATAGTCGAGGTCGGAGTGGAAAGTTGAGAACAGGCCGATCAAAGGAATGAAATAACACACAAAAAGGAATAAAGGAATGTAAGAGGCTCGCCTCTGAACGGGGTCGAGATACCGGTCTCTGAAGGTGAATGAAACGAAGTAAACAAATCGCAGCGAGCTGTGAAAGCTAGCTGCGAGAAGAAACGAATGAAGAGGGCGCGTGTGCGGATGAAGGTAAGAGGGACAGACCTGCTGATCACTACATTTCCGTAAAGGAGGGGAGCCAAGTCATTATATCAGACGGGGCCTGGTCATCGTGAGCCTTGGCTGATGGGTTGGATGGGTCATGCCAATGCACATCGCCCGCAACAACCGGCGCACGGAAGATCGGATGCTCGGGCAAGGGCAGTGGTGAGCGGTGGTGAGGTGGTGGCTTTCGGATCTTGGTCTGGACGAGGCATGGGTCTGCCGGAGCATGGTGTGAAGGTGATGGGGACATCTTGCTGTCGTCACATCCGTGGGGAGCTGGGCCAAGGGGTGACTAGGCGGTGATGGGTATCCTCAGACACGATATCAAGCGGTGGGCTGAATGAAGTTGGATTCTGGAGCCGAGTTGATGCGTCGGGTCCCGGACTGGAGGGACGGGGGTACCAGGCGTGCTAACAGGTTTTCAGCGTAGATGTAACCGGGACAAGATGGGATCACAAGTCGACATGCCATCTGAAAAGTGACGGGACGGCTGCCGAGGGAAGGGATGAAAATGCATGGTTTGTCCGTTTTGGCTTTGAGGCTCTAGCAGGGGAGTTTAGCCAGGGCTGAAGACTGGACCACGAGATACTGAAGAGCGGAGGCCGTCTGTCCAAGCACCGGGAGGCTTGAGGCTTAGCCTGCGCGTTCGAGATCTTCAGGGGTGGTTTGCCAAGTCGAACTAGCAGTAGCCCCTGGGAATCAGAAGAGGTATGCCGGAATCTGTTGAAGCCGTGAGAAAACACGAGGTTCTTCTGGCTGAGCCTCCGATGTGAAACTCGTCGTCGTCGGATGGGTTCAGCTTGCCAGTGGTTCCCTGGTTTGTCATGGTGATCATGAGAAAATCGCTGTGATCCTGATCTTGGCTGGCATGAGTGGGATACGCCTAGTGCCGAATCATCATGAATAATAAACTGGGATTATTGAGAGAAATAACCGTCTTCAGAGGCTTGTCATAGAAGTTCGACGGCCCCAATGTCTCTCAACGGGCGCTACCTGCTCAAGATGCTTACCAGAGGCTCGATAGCCTCGCATGAAGTTGTTCGCGTTTGTTTCCTTCTCCGCGGACGCCTCAAAACCCCACCAACGGCACCTGACACATGTCAATCGCTAGGTAGTAGCCATCAGCCTGGCCACGAGCAGTTTCAATGCGACCCTCTGACTTTCAAAAACCAGATGAACGTGGTGGCGTTCAGGGGTTTATGGAGGCACTGACCATTCCGCCGGGTTTGACTGAGCCCCAAGCTCCTAGTGCGTGTGAAGAGCTTGCTGTTTCTCCATGTTCAGTCATCCGAAACCCCCGCCAAGATAAAGCCCCTGTAAGAGCCACTTTTGAAGACATGCTTAAGAGGAAAAGCCTGGAGGTACGAAACGAAATCAGCTCATATTCCACTTGAATTGCTCTCTAGCCAGGCAAAGGAAGGGGCTTAGTGCGCTTCCGAGGTTTCGGAGAGCTCGTTGGGTGAGATTTGGGGCAGATGCGATGGTGAAGGAGGGACGGAATGGAGGAAGAAGAGCAGAGTTTGAGTTAAGCATTAAGGTTATTTTCTTAGGGTCACTCTATGGCCACTAATGTCGCTGTCAGTGACCTCATTCGGGGCCCGTTTGCCCTCCCTTGTCGGGGTCCCGCTGCTGGTCGGATTTGCAGCAACCCGGGCCCCTTGACATGGGCCAGACAGGGGGCACTCCACGACACCCTCACTCGAGTACCACCAATTGTGCTGCTGCTCATAATCATGACAGCTCGAAAAGACGAAAATACGACGATGGACATCTCGTGCCTCATGCAGAATGCAATTTGATCATAAAAACCAGGCGAACCCCTCACTTCTCTGCGAAACCGGATGCCTCCTGTGATTCAGTCACGCGAGTCATCTACACGTACGAGCCTGAGACTCATAACCATCAGCTCCCCGCTTCAAAAGTTCGACGGGCCTGGCTTCACAGCATTTTAAGTCCTTCATGACGCTCTCACCAAGTGGTGTTCCAAGCGGAGAGACAAGAAGCGTGGAATCGCTCGCTGATTTATTCGCAGGAACTGAGCCTGAGTATGCTCGCCGAAGTTGCCCGTCACTGTGGATGACCAACCAGCAAGACTCGGGGTCTCCGGGCCCAGGCTATCTTCCACGCTCCATTGCTGCTCTTCCTTACGTTTTATTTGTTTTACTTTGTTTGGTCGTTCCAATGCGGGCTTGGTAAAGCCTCATGTTCTTGTGCCATGGCTACAAGCGGGTATCTGATGCTTCAGTGAGCGATGGCATTGTTGCCATAAAGCTCTTTCCACAATGATAAGCCGGAGTTCTATAGATTGTATACAATCATATAACTATCACTGCATGCGTGATTGCTATTAAATCGCACCGAACAAGTAAATCTTTGCGGACATAATTATATGCAAAGCCATAGCCCGGGATGAATATTCATGGACGTTCAGGGAGAACAAATGTATTCAAGCTTGCGTGTAAGCGGAAGTGAAACCACATGATCCACAAGCATTTTCTTGTCGATTGCTCTCGAACATAGTCCCATGTCTTTGTCCACTTAGTCCCGGCTGGGCATTTCTTGGAGTTGCGATCTGAGCGCACCGTCTTGGCATCCCCTTCTTCCAATCGTTCTGCTGTTTTTGAAAACAGAATCCGATGTTTATAATATGAGAGGCACTGCCTCCATGGCCTGTAGATTTGATTGTGCGATATGGCTTTGATGCGGAGAAGGCATTTAATATTAGTGATCCAACCTCCGCACGAGTCCCGAGGCATTTCTGCATCGACAACTCTATTGCCGCGCAGTGGCTGACGGCACGGGAAAAGTCCGGACTCTCGCAATATTGACGCTGCGACATAATCGAATTATAAAGACAACATTGCATCATTGTGAGGGGAGCGCGGACTCACGCTTTCTGGAACAGCTTGGGATGGTGATATTTCTCGATTATTCAACTTTTCCGACGTAACCAATCAGACTCCAAGACCAAACCACCATCACACTTCGAGCTTTATGATCTTCAAATGAGCCTCGGCAAGTTAGAAATATCTCGTAGCCGGCAGTGTTACTTAAATAAATCGACACGAAACGACGTGCGTAGGTAGGCCATTTCCATCAAGTATCACACACCGCCAACCTGACCCTAATTTCCTGTACTTATTTCCAACACACGGCAAAAGAATATGGCAGACCTGAGATCCGCAGTTTACGTCGCACCTCCGATTCCTGCGAAGGTGCCAGGCAAAGACTTCACAACGATGTGGTCTCCGATATCGTGCACCTTGATCTACTCGGCCACAGAAGCCGTCCTCGTGGACACCCCAATTACAATCAAGCAAACAGAGGACCTCATAGCTTGGATCGAGAAGATCGCACCAAACAGAAAGCTCTCTTACATCTACGTGACTCACGGCCACTTGGACCATTTTGGCGGCATCCCGCTTCTACTGAAACGCTTCCCCGAGGCCGTCCCGCTCGGGACCCCAGGCACTATCAAGCATATGGAGCAACAGATCGAAGAGACCTACTTCAACGCAGCCTGGGAGGCCCGCTTTCCAGGCCAGATTTACAAGCCATTTGTGTTGGCTCAGCCTTTGACCAACCACGTTTTCAAACTTCAGGATCGTTGGGAGCTCCATGCCATTGAGTGCGGGCATAGCGACACGTACGACTCAACTGTGCTCTGGGTTCCAGCGCTCCGGCTGGCGGTTTGCGGCGACGTTGTCTACGGGCAGGTGCATCAGATGCTGATGGAAGCCAACACCAAGGCTAAGCGTGAGGAGTGGATCAGAGCTGTCGAGACGATTGAGGCGCTTGACCCGGTATATGTCGTGCCTGGGCACAGGCAGGCTGAAGAGATTGACGGGGTTTGGCATCTGGCTGCCACCAAGAAGTATATCCGAGACTTTGGTGAAATCGTGGAGAAAGGGCCAAAGAACGCGAGGGAGGTGTTTGCGGAGGTGATGAAAAGGTATCCGGATCGATATAACCCAGGGGCAGTGCAGCTCAGCGCTGCTGGTGTCTTCTTGCCGCCGAATAGGCCTCGTATTTAGCTTAATCAATGGCACAGTACAAAAGTACTACTATCTGTCAATTCATTCTAAAAAGTCTCTCAATGCCAAAAGGCTGTTAAGACAGATCATTCTTAATCATGTTTATTATTCGACAGGCATTGGGAAAGTTGAAGGATCGTTTTCTCAAATCCAATCCAGATCACCATCTCATCATCATAGATTGTCAAGCCCATGAGTTGTGCGAGTCTTCTTGCAAAGTTCTTCGTATTATGCAGTACGTACATGCGAAGGGCCGTTACTCTGCGTTGTAGGTAGAGAGCTGCAAGCGCTTGGAGTATTTTCCTCCTGTCAAGATGCAGTTCATGCAATACAGCCACAAGTCCCGCGCAATACCCTACGGATTCAGATAAGACCCATGCACAAAAAGATTAATTGAACTGGAGGAGCTTACATCTAAGTCGATTGTTGAAAGTCCTGCTATTGGGTGCAAAAGTACCCAACAGCTTGATTTTCACGCGCATGCCCCGCTATGAACCGAAAGACGACTGTGACCTATGAAGGATGCAAAAAAAACTGCCAAGATATAACAGAACTGTTATTGGAGGATTTATCTAGATTCATGGACATACTATAACCCGCCCCGTTGAATCTGACCACAAAGCCATTGTGTCCAAGCATCACGCCATCAAGACATCATAACTACTCACATCACAAGACTCGATTCACGCCGAAAGACAAATCATCATGTCTGAAGAGCTTGATTCCTCTTCAGACCTCGCCCAGCAGTTGCTGAAGCGGGGTTATGCACTGACTTGGAGCAAAGGAGAAGCTCTGAGATGGGCTTCCTCGAAGGGGTTTGCCGATCTGGTCCGATGTTTGTTGGCCGAGGGAGCGGATCCTTTGCAAAGAAACACTGAGTCTGGATTCACCAGTCTCATTTCTGCAGTCGTTTCCGGCTCTCGTGAGACATTTGAGTTGTTGCTGTCGGCCGGTGCGGATATCAACGAGAGATGCACCTTGGGTAACCGCGGAGCTGCGATCCACTTGGCTGCACGAATAAACCAGCCAGCTACTCTGGCATGCCTTATCTCGCTAGGAGCGAACATCAATTGTCGAAACGATTTTGGCACGACGCCCTTTCACATTGCCGCAAAGCATGGGTGTTGTGATGTTTTACAAGCACTGATGGATTTGGGGGCTGATACCCAACCGGTGGATACCGAAGGGAACCATCCGCTACACTACGCGTGTCTTCCTGGAAGTTACTCTGCTACTAAGCTTCTGGTGAAAATGGGCGCCAACATTTCGTGCGCGAATGAGAAGGGTATCACACCGTTGCATGTGGTGGCTTGGTCGGGTAATTTGAAGATTGTGTGAGTAGTCCCTTCATGCAAGCAGACTTGTCATCGATTTCTATCTCAACTTTTCCACTACTTGAAGCACTAGCTGATGCCCATCTCAATGTGTAGGAAGCTTCTCATAGAGTCCGGAGCTGATGTATCCGCTACCGACAAAGAAGGGGCCAATGCCCTCCACTACACACATCATTCTGGCTCTGGGTCAATCGCAACATTCCTTCTTGGTCGTGGAATCGATGCTGAGCATAAGAATGTAACTGGCGAAACTCCCCTGGCAGTCATGGCCAGAACCGGTTGTACAGAGATATTAGGACTCCTCCTCGCAAAAGGTGCAGACATCAACACGAGGAACAACGAAGGCCTTCAGCCTATACATCTGGCAGCTTGGCATGGACGGGAAGAGATAATGCGCATCCTTCTCGAGCAAGGCGCTGACATCGAAGCCATAGTCGAGCGAGAAGGCAACCTTCTCATCGCAAGAGGTGCAGACATCAACAAGAGACACAACGAAGGCCTTCAGCCTATACATCTGGCAGCCTGGCATAGTCAGGAGGAGATAATACGCATTCTTCTCGAGCAAGGTGCTGATATCGAAGCCAAAATCAAGCGAGATGGCAACGTTGAAAACATATATCCCGAAACGGGCGAAACACCGCTTCTCGTCGCTTCGGTATACGGCGGATTACATGTTATTCTTTCGCTGCTCGATCATGGCGCCAACGTTGCAGCGGCTTCAGACAGCGGATGGCAAGCAGTTCACTACGCAGCACTATACGACAAAAAATTCCTTCTTCAACTCCTCATGCGCCATGGAGTTGACGTTGATGCAAGGACAAACAGCGGGCGGACGCCTCTGCAAGTGGCAACTATTGAAGGATACCAAGAGATGGTCTCTATGCTGATTGAACACGGCGCAGACGTAAATGCGAGAGAAGATGATTCACGCCACGCTTTGCATCAGGCTGCGCGCTACGGACATAGTGAAATTGTCGAGTTGCTCCTAGAAAATGGCGCGGACGTTTTTGCAGAGACGAAAGATGGGTTACGGCCTCAAGATTTGGCCCAAACAATGGGGCACTTTGGCACCGCAAATTTGCTTCGGGAATGGACACCTGGGAGCTCAATAGCAAAGTTGGATTCGGCAGCTCATTCAATTACTTTACAGGTATCATTGGCAGGCAAAGGGCATATCGACCGGGTACTGCAGATCCTGAATAAGGGAGTTCCCGTCAACTCCGTGAATCAGGACGGTAGGACGGCACTTTCCTTGGCTGCAGAAAACGGACATAGCGCTATGGTTCGGGTGCTTATTGAAAAGGGTGCCGATGTGAGCTTGACAGATGCAGGCGGGGAGTCGGCACTCTGGTGGGCTTCACGATATGGGCACCATGAAGTCGCGTTACAACTTCTGACTCATGGCGCGCCTGTTGACACGCCTGACTGTGAGGGACAATCGCCACTCTCTGCAGCATCACAGCACGGCCAAGTTGAGTTGGTCGAGCTGCTACTACACCGAGGAAGCAACCCAAATTCCGAAACAACGTACGGCAAGACCCCACTGCTATTCGCTGCCGCCGCGGGATATCAGCGTGTAGTGCAGTTGTTGCTAGATTCAGGAGCGAACGCGGAATACCTGACGCCTGAAGGGAATACAGCGATGACGTTGGCCTCGGAAAATGGTCACCAAGAGGTCATCGATCTGCTGGAAAGAAGCCAAACAAAAAGCGAAGCGATATATGATGAGGACATCTGCCGAGCAGCAGAACATGGGCGAATCGCAGAAATGTTGCGCCTAATTGAGTTGGGAGCCAATGTGCATGGCGTCGACGGAACCGATACACCCATATACATCGCTGCTAGTCATGGGCAGCAAGATATGATAAAACTCCTCATTACACACGGCGCCAATGTACATGTTAGCAACAGTCAAGGCTATACAGCCCTGGCCACCGCCGCATGGTTCGGGCACGCTGCTGTAGTCAGAATACTTCACGAATACGGGGCTAAAACCGAGCAGACGGACCCCCATGGCCGGGTACCACTGTCACTCGCAGTAATCAACAAACAGAAGGAGGTTGTCCGTCTGCTTTTGGAACTTCGAGCAAGGACTGAACCAAAGGACAACAGCGGCAGAACACCACTTTGGCATGCAGCCGATCAAAGCACCAAGGATATTGTCGAGTTACTTCTCGTCAATGAAGCGAACAAAGAGTCTGGGGACACTTCCGGGATTACTCCGCTTATGGCAGCTGTCATGCGCAGGGATCGGAACATAGCTGAGCTGTTGCTGGAGCGCGGTTCGTCCATGAGACCAGACTCAATATTTAACTACTCGCCTCTGTGCCGAGCAGCCTTCAATGGCGACGAAGCAATGGTCGATTTGCTCCTTGATTATCAAGCAAATATGAATCATCTATCGGACCATAAAACGACAGCACTTCACCTGGCAGCCCGCGAAGGACATCCCATGGTCGTCAAAATGCTCATTGAAGCTGGTTCTGACAATGACGCTAAAGATGACCGAGGGAGAGCAGAAATATCGTATGCAAAGGAGACAGGCCTTGAAACCATTGTCAAGCTGCTCTCACAAGCGCAAACTCTACTCCATACTGACCAACGAGCCCCCGGAAGGGCTCAACGAAAATACCTGGACCGCAAACCACCTTATTGGTACCGAAGCTTGGCCAAAGAACGCTCCATTCGGGTGATGCGGCTGCATCCCGGCAAGCCAGATGATATTATCAAGTTCGATCTTGTTGAAGTGGAAGTCGGCATCGACTTGGACTTTCCATTCGATGCACTCTCATACGAATGGATGGACACAATCGGCACAGTTCCGGTTCAATGCAACAACGAGCAACTTCTTATTACACCGAATTGTAAAGCGGCTATATTGGCCCTTCGACAAGAGTCAAAACACAGATTTCTCTGGATAGATGCAGTCTGCATTAACCAGGAGAATCTCAGGGAAACCAGTCAACAAATGGCGTTGATGATAGACATATATCGAAACGCCAAGTCAGTCATTTTGTGGCTGGGAAGCGGGAGCGCATCGACTGACTCCGCATTTGACAGGATATCCGATATGGCGAGGGTGTTCGAAATGATTCAAAAGGACAATGCGGAAAGTGTAATGGATCTCATCCCACTCAGAGATTGCGAAGATGCCCAAACACTAGCCCTCAGTGTAACGACGGACGCAGACGCTGCATCTGGTTTCAACGATCTTTACTGGCATTCGTATTTTTCTCGGGTATGGATTTTCCAAGAGATCATACTTGCTGGCTCAAGGGGCGTTGCTGTGTGCGGCGGCCGCAAATGCTCCTCATCAATGTTCAAAAACGCGCTGCTGGCCTATGAGCAGAGTACGGGGAACGTCAATCGCCGTTTTCGTTCGTTGATTTTTGTCGAAGACGCTGTCAAACGAGCTGAACTTGAGTTACCCCCTTTGCTCTTGGCAATCACCTCCCTGCAAGCCACCAATCCTCAAGACAAGATATTTGTTGCTCTAAACCTCTCAAGGCTGCTGGGGGTGGATGCACAACAACCTGTCACTGACTACAACATGACCGTCCAAGAGGCTTATGTCTACGCCACTCGCCATTTCGTAAGCAGAATCCAAGATGCTCAGATTTGGATGGTGGGAAATCGACGCAGCGCAAAATCGATATCTGGGCTGCCGACTTGGGTTCCAGACTACCAGCAAAGTTGGCAAGATGAACACGAAAACTCGTTTCTCAAGTTTCCTCAACCGGCGCCATTTCTTGGTAAAACGATACCGACAGATGCATTTTCGAACGAGTCTTCGCTTTACATCCATGGTTATTCGATCGATAGGATCGTCTTCAGATTGACTGTCACCAGAGACGTCGACATTTATGAGATGCTACTGCCCGCAGTGCTAGCACTTGCGAGTCAAGGCCGCAGCATATACGATGTCTACCCTGGTAAAGGCAGTGGGAGCAACTCCGGCTGCGAAGTAGTGGGATTAGGTGAAACCGGCGAATCCAAAGTACAGACGCCTGAGGAAAATGATGATGTCACGAACGGCCAGGTACTCTTGGGAACTGTGATGGATATGGAAGGTGTATCTGCCAAGGAAAGTCTAGAAATTCTCTCCTATCTCGCATGGGCACTTTCACACGATCAAAGAGCGCCACCCCAGTCGAGAATCGTCCCAGGGCATATGCTCGAAGAAGTTGCGAGCTGGAATTCTCGATCCGAAGCCTCCAAGTATTTCAGCCTTCAGGTCTTGAAACGAGCAGAAGACAGACTGTACTACGACAAAGACCTGGTGTACACCGAAAACGGGTATTTCGGCATCACCAACGGAGGCGAGGCTGAAGAAGATCTGGCGATTGCTGTAATTGCGGGAGCGAAGGACCTGACCATGCTGGAGAGAAAGCAGAATGGCGACCAGGAATGTTGGTTCGAATACGTTGACAATGTGTGGATGAACTACGCAAGAAAGGTTGAGAAGCTGGAGGAGATCAGTGGCGGAGCGAAGATGGAACGGCTGGAGATCCGTTGAAGGGCGTATGTTCATGTGAGTTCTGCAATCTTTTTGATGAGTGCTGGATGTCCGTTAGCGAGTCGGCGAAAGAAGGAGTTAATCGGAAGTTTTGGTAGAAATTTGTCGTTAATTACAACACATGCAACAAGTTCAACAACAAACGAACCTCGGCGTCGGGTCCAGAGCGCAATAATTCGCGAGATCCAGCCTAGGTACATCGAATCCGATACGCACGTCGCTTGACACCAACTGATATTCATGACTCGAATTCCGCGTTGGGGATCTCGAGTGAGGCCGCCACGCCAGGAATTCAACAAGAGACCTGTGGATCTGTGAGATCACATGTTGATTACTTACAATCGTCGCCGTTTCCCATGCAGAATAGGTTCCCCAAGACCTGAAGTCGTTGAGGGTCCATTGGTCTTTGGTGAGGTTCAGTAATCCTAATGTGATGCCCAAATGACGGTCTAAACAGATGATTACTCATGAAGCAATCCTGCGCCCTACGCAGCGCCCTTCGGCCAGCAGTAGAAGAGACCCAGCTCTGACAGCATTCAGAGTTGAGATGAGAAAACACGCTCAAAAGCGCAACTTGAGATAGTCTATATAAAGGCCACGTCCAGACCAGGAAATGGTAGCTCTTCATCCCAACTCAACTCACAACTTAACCGCATTTTGACTCCTTGAGCTTTTCCACCTCATCTCCAACTTCCAAACCAACACCACCACCACCACCAACTCGCCCAACATGCCTAAGTGGGTATTCAACTCCCCGGCCGGCCTCCTCACGCCCGCCGAGAAGAAGCAGATCGCCGAGGGCATGACCAAAGTCTACGGCAGCGCCCGCCTGCCCGCCTTCTACTGCCACGCCCACTTCGTCGAGTTCGAGCCCTCCAACATCTACACCGCCGGCGAGCCCTCCAAGAACGTCACCACCATCGCCATCTACCACATCGCAAAGGTCTTCGACAAGCCCGAGGTCGAGCAGGCCTTCCTGCGGGCCTTCGACGACGTCATCCGCCCCGTCCTGAAGCCCAAGGGCATCGAGTGGGAGTCCGGCATCTACGAGTCCCGCAGGGAGCTCTGGAGGGTCAACGGGCTGGTGCCCCCCGCCAGGGACTCGGAGATGGAGAAGAAGTGGTTCGCGGAGGGGAGGGTTACCGATGAGGAGGAGTTGCTGAGGGAGCAGCGCGGACATTGATGGGTTCTCATCGGTGAGAGACTCGGTCCTTCCGGGTAGGCCTTTGGAGCGTTGGGGGCTTTGAAAACGTTACTACTGTTACATATCATTCATCTAGATAGGGGTCGGAATTTTGTCAATGAGATTGGGGTTTCCAAACAAAGGGGTTTCTGTGGAAACAGCTGAGATGAAAGTGATGGGCTCGAGTGAGGATGACTTCATTTTCGAGAGCTTGAATTGAGCTCGTGTTAGTTAAGCAGAAACTGTAGAAAAGCTGCACTTGCCAGCCTATGAAACAATGGGGTATCTTGCGCAAAGAAGTTACGACACAGCCCTCTCCAACACAGCGATGTCAACATCCTCCTCCTCCTCGTCATCTTCGGGCTCATCACGAGCCAGCTTCCTCAACCGCTCTCTTACGTCAGGGTCCCTCTCGAGTTCCTGCCAAAGCTCCAACCGCCACTCATCAGCGCACACATCGTTCTCCTTGCTGACCCACGGCCACTTCCAAAGACCGGCCAAGATGGCCGACCTCTGAAGGGTCCGGAAGACGGTTTCCATCAGGATGAACAGGAGGGTCATTATGATTAAGGTCAGCCACCAGACGGCGTCCGCGCCGAATATCTTCGAGAAGCCATCGCGGACCGCGTATGGCGACGGCGCCGGAGCGTAGATGCCAGAGAGAAAGGCGTTCCAGGCCCACCACCCCGAGAAGGTGATGAAGAACGAACCCATTACAATCGCCGACTTGTGATGCGTCTCGAGGATGCTGTGATCGAGTCAGTATTGAAATGTTCCACGAAAAATGAGCGGCACTTACAAGCACTTGTAATTGATCCAGACGACACCGAGAGTGAACGCCAAATCACCCACGGCGAAGAGGCCCTGATCACTCGAGTGCGCGAACCACACATATCCGGCCCAAACACCCCAGTACGCCAGCACGCCTTGACACGCAGCAGAAAACATCCATCCGGTGTACTTTGCCAAGTTGAGGCCCATGTTGCGCTGTCCATACACGTACAACTCCGGGACGGCAAGAAGGGTCTCGGCGCTAAGATCCTGTTCCCAAATACCCATGCAGATCACGCAAAGACTGGTGAACAAGGTGTTGAAGACCGTCAAGCTGGACGATTCGTACAAAGACGTTCCCGTGTAACCGTTGTAGCGCTGGTACATCGCGGTCGGCAGGTAGAAGAACATCTCCTTCCAGAAGGTACACAGAATGAACTTTGCCGTGCGTACGTAGTTCCACCGACCATGAACGAGGAGCAAACGTTGGAGGAAGCTGAACTGGGCAATAGCGTAGTCAGCTACTCGTGCGGCTTGGAGCCCTTCCTTGCCTGAGATACCAACGCCGACATGGCTGGCGGAGATCATGGCCAGGTCATTTGCGCCATCTCCGATGGCGAGGGTAAGGCCGTACCCCATGCGTCCGCCCTTCTTGTTCTTGAGTTGCGACCGCACAGTCTTGACCATGAGTGCCTTCTGCGCAGGAGAGGCTCGGCAGCAAATGACAGAATCGACGAGCGGGACGACTGAGTAGAATTGTGCCGTCAGGCCTTCAGACTTCTCGACCGCGGCCAGTGTCTGTCCATCAATGACGACGACACTGTGAACGGTGCCGGAGTATAGGTCTTCCGACAGCGCTGTCATCTGACCGGAGAGATCACCCTTCGTCACGTCCAGAGTGTAGAGATCAGACACCGGCTGACAGATACGAGTGGAGTGCGCAATATTGATAGCCGTCTCTCGCTTATCGCCCGTCAACATCCATATTTTGATGTTGGCCCGTCGGAGTTTGTCGATCGTCTCGGGGACACCTTCCTGAAGCTTGTCCTCAATGGCAGAGGCACCGACCAAGTTGAAAGACTGCTCAATGGTGTCTGCTGCAGCCTCAATCTTATCCTGGCGATCCGTCAAACTGGTGGCTGCGGCGTCAAACGACTGCTTCCATGTGCGATAGTCCTGCTCGGAAATGAACTTCTGCGCGAAGAGCAAGGTGCGGAGTCCTTCAGTCGCGAAGTCGTCGAGGTGTTTGAAGCATCGCGTAAAAATCGTTGAGTCATCCGCAATGGCAGGGTCATCGAGAAATGCGAACTTCTCCGGGGTTTGGTGAGGGAAGGTGGGCGTGGTCGGCGAGGCTTCGAATGAGGTGGTGCGAATATTGATCGAAGGGCGTAGAAGATCGCCAGACTTCCGTAGTTTACTGGCTTCAAACGACACGCTGCGATCCATCGGCGGCCTTGAGCTTGGGCCAGGCGCAGTGCGTTGCAGACCTAGACTTCTGCGTAGAGTCATACTGGCGCGCCCGCCGATGCTTGTTCTCCGATCTTGCTGTTCGCTCTTTCGGAGAAGTTCATGCTCCAGATCGGCGCTCTTCCTCACGTCCTGGGCCTTCTGCAATGCCAGATTCGCCATTTTGAGTCTAGGAAGAATGACGGAGTCGGCGCCTTTACAGATGATGCAGATTCTGCCATCTGGGTATCGCACGACGATGGACATGCGCTTGCGGTGGCTGCTAAACTCAATGACATCCAAAATATCGAATACCAGCTCTTTATCCGGCTCGGAGGCAAGACGCAGGGTGACGCTCGTAGACGACCGGGCAATCACGGTGTAGCCAAGCTCCTGGGCAGCCCGGACAATTGCGAGTTCGTCTGGGGAGGACGACTGGTACTCCATCTCACCGTTTCTGAACTCGGGAAGGCACGTGTGGCATAACGCCATGGCCAGAATGTAGTCTTTGGCTCGTCTCGCGAACAATGAGTGCGGTCTCAAAGCGATGAACTCCAAGAGGTCTTTTGTTGTCACGTCAGGTTGTACGTGATCTGGGCGGCCAGTTGACCTCCACTGGGATGAAGATCTTTGTGTCGAGGGTGCCCTGGACTGAGCCATGGATGGCCTGCCGAATGACGTCGGCGACTGGAGACAGTCGTCTGATACCACCTCAGGTCGAACATACTGCGTCGAGATTCGAGGACCTTGCTTGGCTTCGGCTAAGGTGTCAACAGAGCTGTTTTCACATTCTATCTCGACATCTGGCTGATGAAGCCATGCCGTGCCCGCGATGCTCAGCTTTCGAAACTTCATCACGTTCTCAGTGAGGGTTCCAGTCTTGTCGGTGAATATGTATCCAACCTGGCCCAAGTTCTCGAGGATGGTATTGGTATTGCACCGGGCCGGCGTATCAGTCTCCTCGTGATACATCTCGATATCGGAGTTGAGCATTAGGAGCTGGCCGACCTTGACAATCTCGAGACTGACGTACAGAGCCAGTGGGATAACGTTGTTGAATTGAATGATGTATCCGATGACAATCTCGTGGATCTTGACTTCTGCGTCCTGCAAATACCAGGTTATCCGCTCCTGAGATCTCTGCCACAAGATATAGCCGATGGAGCATCCAACTGAGAGTACGATAACGTAGATGGCCAAGGTAATAACAATTTTGTTGGCCACAGTCTCGAGAGCAGGCTTCTTAGCCTTCGGATGTTGATTGGCGTTCATGCGGATCTTGCACTCCTCCCCAGTGTTGACCACAATGCCGATGGCGCATCCAGTATTGCGCAGAATGCTTCCTCGGTAGATGATCTCGGCGGATGTCAAGGGCAGTGATTTGCCATTGACGGTAACCTTTCCATCAAACTTGTACAGATCTGGATTGGGATCTTCGACAACAAACTCGGCGTTGCTAGAAAGAAGACCCTCCACAGTGTCGCAGTCCGTGATGGCAGTTGACACCTGTTTGCTCTTAAGGTTTGTCTCGCCATCTAGGGCCATGGTCTCGATGTAAGCCAGCCCATTCTCCCCATCAGCGTGCAACAGCACAATATCCGCTGGCACGGGGTCGTCACGCGCCAATTTAGTGACGTCTCCGACTTCGATATCGGCCCATTTGGTTGAGATCCATGGCGCGTCTGAGTCCGTATGCGTCGCGCCTTGATCACGGTTCTTTCCAATCTTGCTTCGGAGTGTGGACAGCCAGCTTTCGGCACTTGCATGGCTACCATGTTTCGAATGCTTCAGCACCTTCGCGGTGCACGCATTTTCCACTTTGTCGAGGCGATGGCGCTTGAAGTCGTCGTACCCTTCTTTGGCGACTGTGACCAAGACGAAGAATAAAAGCGGCAAGATCTAGGATGTGTTAGGTATCATGATTGACTTTGCCACAGTAGTCATCACTCACCGTTGTGAATGATCCAGTTGTTGAGAGTCCCGGGATAGTCTGCGGGACACCAACGCAGAGGAAATAAAAGTTACCGATTCTCGAGAACTGGAAGAAGAGCTGCTTCGGAATAAAGTCGTAAACAGTGTATCGGGAAGTCCGGATAGCGTTGGACACGTAGGGATGGCCACCACGTCTTTCGTCTGTCAGAGGCGCATCTTGGTCAAGTCGCAATGGAATATGGCGTCCATTTTTCGATGGTGGCAGCGTTTTCCGACCAAGAATAGTCTCGAAGAACACGCTCTTGCACCAGGCGATGGCATCGCGCCTTGACGATGGCTCGGGCGATTGCGAATTCTCCGGCGAGGCGTCGGCAACATGCGGCGGGCCCCCCGGCGGAGGTGTATCGGATACCGGCTTCTCGTTCATCGTCGCGGTGTCAATTGGGTATCGAAACGAGTGGCGGATGCGGAAATGCTATCCTGCAGAACTGATCATGTCTGGAGCAGTCAAATAATCGGTCGGTCGCATTCGCGGTTCGTTCAGGTCGCAAATCGTGGGACTGCGTTAGACCCCGTCGCGCGCGCAATTTGCTTGCTCGTTTGCCGATGGTCGATGTGTTGTTGGCGACGTTCTAAGCTGACCGAGCCTGCAGAAAACAGACTTGAACAATACGAAAAATACGCGCCATCCTGTCGCCTCCCCGCGGACAGCTGCTGCTTTGACAGGAGCAAGAGAAGGAGAACGGCAGGAAATCGTGGGGAGACGAGGACCCAGTGAACAGGGAAAAAGAGCGGGCATCGAGTTCGTCATTAACGACATGCATCTCACCCGGGTGGGCTGCCAAGGACCCGAAAGACACCTCGCGAAATTACGCGCTGCAGGATGCTAAAGATATCAATCGAGCAATCCTGCGCACATCTTCCCACGCAACAATGGGCGGGCAGCTTCCCCGTTGGCACCATTATCCGGTGTTGATCTCTCCACGTGGTGGACACTGGAGGCTGGTTTGTCGCCGACGGCCTTTAGTCAATGGCCGTTCTGTGGTGCTCCTCGGTGGCCATGTCAATTCATGAGTCGCATTATCGAGCGCGAAGCGATAATTGGTGTTGGCAGCCAGGACCGAAGTTGAAGCAGGAGACGTTGATTGAAGGTTTCAAGATTTCCGTAAAGCTCTACGCCATCGTCTGTCAATCCTTCCATGGACGTCTTTTCCCACGTGTGCCATTAATTGCACAAGACTTCGTTGGAGAAACGTTCCAAAGCTTAAACATCCTGCTGTTGTGTCGCCGTTAGACACTCACACCACCTGCTGGGCCAGAGAAAGCAGGGATCAGGAACCGATACCACTTACCAACCAGCAGCAGCAGGGCCTGCTTCGGACACACTGCCAAAAGCGTCGCTGGCCGCGAAGGGACTGGGGATCGACCGTCCCGGCGTCTCGTTTGCGCCTCCGCAACGGCAGATGGATCAAGAGCATGCCAATGCCAGGCGGCTCCGCGTCGTAGCGGTCCGGACCTCGACCTCCATGTCCAAGGCGTCTCTTAACGACGGCCGTGTTAAGGTTCTTGAAGGCGGGAAAGACACAGGTCCCGAGGTACGCGAGGCAGCACGGATGCCATCTGGTGTTCTGGGCAGAGCATCCTTGGCGAGAGCCACGGGTTTTCGGGCGTCATAGGAAGTAAGGAATGTTCAGGCGAAAGGCGGTGCAGGCAAGACCCTTTGAGACGACGTCGCAAGCTGGTGGAGCATTGTGCATTTTTGGCGAGCACGGCGAGAAGGCGATGGCTTCGGGATTGGGGACTTCGGCATGTTTTTCCTGTCGAATTGCGTTTGGTCTAGAGCCGGCGGGATGATGCTATCGTCTGTTATGCCTCTTCGGCTGGATTGAAACGGAGCCGATGTTGAATCTGGAGTGGTGATAAGACGAGATGTGAAGGTGAAAGGAAGAAAAGAAAAGATGCAAGTTCTAATTAAGTGACGAGAATACTATGACACTGTGCTGGTGTGCAGGTCGAGGGCAAAGGTGTACCGTGTCAAGAAACAGCAAATATTTGCGCACTGTACCTGCCTCAGTCGTTCGATTCATCCCGGAACCCAGACTGTCAGGCCTTCAGTCAGTCAGTGTCACAGGCTGCTTTTTGGACGGAGAACAAGGTTCGGAGAATTTTCTCTGATTTGCACATCGATCAACGAGTGTCTGAGGTCTGTCTTGGTTGCCGCCGACTCCATCCCAAATTCCAGTCAGCTCTCTCTGGCTGCCCCGTCGCCAGAGCAGTCCTCCAGGAGGCCTTGATGCTGTCACAAACGCAAAAGTCTTGGTTCCAAATATGCAACAACAGAAGAAAAGGATATCTCTTAATGCCTGTGGATAGAAGAGAAGAGAAGATAGGAAATTGAAAAAAAGAGCCCGCCACCGCCAAACATGCTAGGGTACTGAAAATCCCTTATGCCATCTCATACAATTCGTAGACATGCAAATGTGGTCCCCTTACTTGCGCCTCTGGGCGCCCGCGGCAGTCAGCTTCTGTGTGATGAAATCGGCCTGCTCCTGAGCATTCCTGCCATACGACAAGTGCGCCGGCAAGATGGTGAGCGTGCCTCTGCAAACGGCGTCGCCCCTGGCGCAGATGATGTTCGTCTTGTCCTCGGGGAAGTTGGCGATCTTGCCTCCCTCCTGCTGGAACTGGGTGTCTCCGAACATGAAGGCGGCCACGATCTGGTCCTTCATCCCCTGGGGCAGATCCTCCACGGCCCGGTGCGTCACCGCAGCACCCTGGCTGTAGCCGCCGACGACCAGCATCGAGTTCGGGCACTCGGTGTTGGCCTTCTCGATCAGGCGCTTCATCTCCGCGATGCCCGCCGGGTCCGCGCCTCCGGGGAGCGTGTTGGTGGCTAGGCCGGCGGCGTAGTCGACACCCTCGACGGCCATGCTCTGGAAGTTGGACTTGACGGCGTTCGCGGTGGGAGGGCCGCAGATCGTGCCCATGTTGCCGGTCTCGGTCGAGCCGCGGGCAAAGACCATGATGACGTCCTTGCAGCCGCCTTCGGTGAACTCCTTGGCGGTGGATCCAACACGGCCGCCGCGCTGGCGGGCTTCGATGTCGCGAACCTCGAGCTCCTCGTTGGCAGATTCCTGGAGGGCGGGGAAAGCGGCCGCGGTGGCAGCGAAGGCCAAAACGTTGCTGAACTTCATCTTGGCAAGGAGAGAAGGTTCGAAAGGGTGAAAGTAAAAATGAAAAGAAAGCTCACAGAGCAGGCTAAGATACAGCGGCGCAAAGAGTGAATGACTGCCTCCGGGGCTTGGATGATGGCGAGCTGATGCTGCGGTGTTGACTTTCGGTATGCAGATGGTGATGATGATGAGATGAGTTCACCGGAAAGGGTCCTGCAGCCATCTTTATACAAAGTTTGCTGCGCGTCAACCCACGCCGTCGGGCCTTGGCTTTGGTGTTGAGATGACGATTTGGTGTGTGTATTGTCAACCTCGGCGGCGTTTCCACCCCATCCCATTTCATCCCATAGATCAACCCCGTTCGGCCGTCCAAAAACTGGCCAGTCGCATCTCTCGAGGCGCCACAAACAGCAAGAGACAACCCGTTGAAGGTGGCCCTTGGCGTGTAAGACGTATCTGGGGTTCGAGGGGAATCTCCTGAGGCGCAGGCGAATGTGGAATGGTGGAAGGTCCCGAATCGCAAGTCTGTCCGTTTTGGGAAACACATGTTCCCTTCAGGCCAAAGGAGCACGGTTGCAGATTTCTGGGATGCGGCAGCCAAGCCGTCGGGTTTGGTCAGCGAGTCCCTCAGCTGTGCCTGTCTCCGGCTGGTCGGTTTCCCCTGACGTCTGTTCTCGAGGCTGGCATAAAGCCTGGTGGACGTCGTTTATCGGAGATCAAGGGCCAAGAGCGGGAGTGAGAGAATCACCCCCCATGGACCGAGGCATCGTTTGTTAGCTTCTCTTCGGTAGCCTAAATCCGATAAGGTGGCCCCATTGACTCTTGTCGATTTGGGGGTCAAGGCCGTCGTTTCAAAGAGATTGTTTGCAGAACAACCCATGGTTGACGAGGCTGGGGTCAAGGAATCTCTCTGAAGTTTATCTTTCCGGCCTCATGCAGGCGATGGCCTCGAACATGGCGAACAAGAGGCTCTTTTCACCGACTTTGAAGAAGAAAGCGTGATTGACAACAAGACAAGAAGCGTTACTCCAACCAAAATGTCCTCTCGCTGGAGAGGCTAGGCTGCAGTAGTTCGGTTACAGGAGGCGGGAAAGCCGCCAGAAACCAAGTACGTAGCAAGTGACGCTGTATGTAAACCATCCAGCTGTCAACCACGCTTCCGAAACTATGACTTTGCCGCTGGACACGAGTCGAGCTGGAGGGCTGTCGTCTACCACGAGGTTCCCTGATGTGCGGACGGCGCTTGTCGATAAAAGTGTAGCTTGCGAATTTGACGGCGTCCGTGGTGGGTCGTCGAGTTGGGTTGAACACGATACGTTCTAGAAGTTCCAACCTGAAACTTGAGATGACCAGATCGAAACGGGAAAACGCTCATAGAGGGAACTCCTGAGCAGGGATGGGCCTAGAGGTCCTGACCACTTGGTGAGCAGGACAACTCGTCCTGACAATCAACACATCGAGTTACCATCCTAGGTCTGACATCTAGTGTGGTGGGAAAAGGTACGGACTCCGGAATCGGTGGACGTCGTCGCCCTTTCAGGGCAGCTTGGCGAGGCTCTTGCCGTCTGACACTTGTCAGAGGACCGAGCGCAGATAGACTCGCAGGTTGGGACGCCGGAAGGGCAGAGTTCGGAGCCCGGCGGAAAGGAAAAGTAAGTTGACGACGGGACCGCCTGGCGTTTATTCAGGTACGTCGACCGAACGGTGAACGACACCAAAAAGAAACAGGAGGTCTCGACCACGATCGATGCCATCGGGTTGAGAGGAAACGGCTTTGTCGGAGGCGAAAGGCGGACGATCCAAAGGCGCGGTCCAAGTAACCGAAAAAGAAAGATTTGCGAAAGGATTCGGGGCCAAATCCCCTGCGCCGATCTGACAAGCTGGTCAAGCGTTTGACCTACCTTAGTCGAACTTGGCGATGGTGGCAGATTTTCTCCTTTAGGCGATCGCTTTTGATGCAGGAATGAGTCGACTACGGTGATGCAAACTGGCGAACCGAGGTCGACGGAAGAATTTGAGAAGTTGAGTCCTTGTCGAGCTGAGACACGGGAACACGGGAACGAACACGAGGTGACGAGACCGTGCGTCGGTGCGGAAGAATTACAGGACACTCCGAGCACCCGGATCCGATCTCCGGCCGATGTGGACCATCTTAATCTCGGAGCCGGCCTTACTAAGCGGTGTCCGTGAAGTCACGTGCGGCTATACGGCGAAAGGTTTACCCGAGAGGCCGTGCCCTCCTACCCGAGTGACGTCGTTGAGTGGGCCCTCCGCTCCTGCAGGTCGTGGGACCCTGGAATTCGGCAAAACTCTGGCTCCCGTCACCGCCAAACAGCGCAGCGCAAAGACTCAGCAGCAGTCCTGGCGTTCCAGTGGCACCCCACGAATTGTGGGGTCTAGAATCGCAAGCTGAGCTCGGTGCACCCGTGCCGTTGCAGCCTTCTCTCATCGTCACACGGCCAACCCGCTAAGCTGCTGCTGATCTTATCCCGTGATAATTCGATAGCTCACCAGCGCATCTGCCACCGACAACACCTCTTTCCCTCTCTGTTCACAGCACCCTGCGACGATACGTTTTCTCTCTCTCTCTAAGATCGGTCGTTACGATATCTCGCTTTTTCCTCTTCGCATGTCAGCGACTGTCCCGCCTCCGCCCTTTGCTGAGCTCGAGCCTCGTCCCCCACAACCCGTCGCCAACTTCGAACTCGACTGCTCGCCTTAGCTGGAGCGTTCGTCCCCCAAAAACATACTCGATTTGAACATCTGTGGTGTATGTCTTCTACAGATCCCGCAGATCACTTTTCTAGCCTACCGGGCGACGTCCAACATGACAACACCGCTGCCTCGGTGACGAAGGCCGAGCCCGCGGGGTCCAAGGCTGAAACAGAGCCCACCAACCTCGAGAACCACAACGACGATGGCAAACCTGCCCTATCCGCCAAGGCGGCGGGCAAACAGCAAGCTACCGACGACCTGATCGACTTTGGCGACGATGCTTCTGCCCCCGAACCGGTAGACAAAATAGCTACGGACACCGCCAGAAAATCCGCCGAAGGATCTAGCCTCGACGCCTCCGCACCTGCCCCTGAGAGCGCTTCGGAACCCATGGCCGCCTCGATATCGACGTTGAAGCCAACGAGCCCTCGTCCACCTGAGACCGCCACACAGTATCTCACAATAGAAGCGACTTCGGCCGCTTATGTTGACCCGACACCTCCTACGCCGAGGACATCTCAGCCTCCCTCTCGAACACCTTCGAATGCAGGCCCGCGCCGAGTTTCGTCCGAGTCCTCTCCCACCCGATCCGACGCCGGCTACGACGAGCGCAGATACGCAAGCGAAGATGAGCAAGAGGGATCACGCTCCGAGATTCAGAGCATCATGGAGCAGTTCACCGGCGATGGCGGAGGCCCTGGCGCTGAAGAGGTCATGAGCCCACGGTTGGAGATCGCGTCGCCAATGTTGGGCAGTCCGGGCATCCAGCACCCTCCACGAAAGTCCAGTTTGGAACCTCTTGCCCCATCGCTATCGCATCAAGTCCAGGAACTCCAGGGACTGAGGATTCAGACTGCCTCTCCTGCGAGCATGGTCTCTCGCGAAAGGCCGGCGGACGACCAGGGGCCGCCTGTACCCCCTAAGGATGGGCCTCCGGCCACCCCAGCACGTTCACACGATGACCGTCAAATGAGTGTTGATTCTCAAATGTCTCCAGGGCTTCACCGGCCGCCGCCTCCGGAACCAGAGCCAGAGCCAGCCTTGCCATTCGATTTTCACCGATTCTTGGAGCAGCTGCGAAACAAGAAAGCGGACCCGGTTGCTAGATACCTCAAGTCATTCTTATCGGAGTTTGGGAAGCGACAGTGGATGGTGCATGAGCAAGTCAAGATCATTAGCGATTTCCTAGCGTTCATCGCCAACAAGATGGGTCAATGTGAGGTATGGCGGGACGTCTCCGATGCCGAGTTTGATAACGCTCGCGAGGGCATGGAGAAGCTGGTGATGAACAGACTCTACACACAAACCTTTTCCCCTGCGATCCCACCGCCACAGCCTATCCCCGGCGCAAAGCCAAAGAAGAGAGGCGGCGAGCGACCTTTGGGTCCTGGAAGAAGAGGTCAGCATCAAGAAGACGTTGAGCGCGACGATGTCTTGACGCAAAAGATCAACATCTATGCTTGGTTGAGGGAAGAGCACCTCGACATCCCGCCGTCTGGTGAGAGTGGACGACGGTTCTTGAAGCTTGCTCAACAAGGTGGGTGTTCTCTAAGTTGGCTAACTGCGTCCATCACTGACATGGTATAGAACTTCTCAAGATCAAGTCTTATCGCGCTCCGAGAGACAAGATCATCTGCGTCTTGAACTGCTGCAAAGTGATTTTTGGTGAGTTCACGTCGCCGATTAGCCGATCCAGTATTGAACTAACGCATCAAAGGCCTGTTGAAGCATTCTAAATCAGATTCATCTGCGGACTCTTTTATGCCCCTCCTAATCTTCGTTGTCCTCCAAGCCAACCCAGAGCACTTGGTGTCCAACGTTCAATACATCCTTCGCTTCAGAAATCAGGAAAAGCTCGGTGGCGAAGCTGGCTACTACCTGTCATCATTGGTACGGACCGTTCCGCCGGTCTAGTTGCGTCTCGTGGCTAACTTTCTACAGATGGGCGCCATTCAGTTCATCGAAAACATGGATCGAACGACTTTGACCATCACTGACGAGGAATTCGAGAAGAATGTGGAGGCAGCCGTATCGGCCATTGCCGAGAAGCATAAGCTGGATTCTCCCTATCCAACGCAGGAGCCTACGTTCTCAGAGAAGTCCGGCTTCAGCTTTCCGCCAAGTGAATCTTCAACCTCACGACCATCTCTGGAGATTGCTGTGGGCGAGTCGTCGATGCCGCGCAGATCAACGTCATCGAACGAAGGCGCCGCGGATGACCAGGCTCCGATCACCGGCCTCCTACGCTCAATACAGAAACCCCTCAGCACTATTGGGCGCATGTTCTCGGATGAGCCATCTCCCCCACCAGCCGGACCAAGCAACGCTTCCCGACCGCCGCCGCAGTCTGAGCGACTGTCACCAAGACCTAGCATGGATATCGAAGGCCAGCAGCCCAGCACTCGCCCCCAGCTCTCGGCAGAAGAAGCGGCGGCGAGACAAGCCAGTGCTGAAGCTGCCGAGGCCCAGCGCCTCCATCGCGCGGAGCACAACAATGTTGTCGAGACACTCGCGGGCATGTTTCCCGACCTCGACAGGGACATCATTTCGGATGTGGTATACCAGAAGCAGGGCAGAGTCGGATTGGCCGTAGACGCCTGCTTGGCCCTATCAACGTAGAGCATCGTTTAGCCGACTAAAACGAGACGCCAAGCGCGCAATGAAATCACAAGAAGTACAACACTGCCACTCAGCTGTGATGTGATCGCAGTGATCGTTTTCCTGGGAAGATGCCTCCTGGCCGTGAAGTTTCTCGATGCTCACTGGTTGGATGGACTGGATGATGTCAACTACCCGCAAGCTCTGATGAATTTCAGGTATCAGTATTGGGTAGGCATCACTGATGAAACTTGACAATGACACCCCACGGGCCTCCGACGACTCTGTACACCAGACGGCCAACATTTGGGCGGGCCCTTTATTCGAGATGGTTCTGAACAGCACTTCGAGCTCGAGCTTCCTGTATTTCGTAGACCTTTCACGGCAACAAACCAATATTCAGCTTCTCCCTCGAAGTCAATTACATCCATGGAGCCATTCACCTACCCGGTAGACGAAGCCATAATGCGGCGCATTCTCGAGGCCGTCTCCAAGCTGCGCAACATGTACCAGCAACCGGGCCAGACCTACGACGACTTTATCATGGCCTACGACGCTCTCGAGACAGAGCTTTCCGTCCGCCTCCCGGAGCTCTATCGCGTCTGCGATGTTCTCATCCGACTGCTTCCCGAGCTACGGTGGCAGGTCGTTTCTCACGGCATCCCGTCGACTAGGGAGGATTTGGATGCGGCGGCGAGGCGGGCGGATGGGTTGGCTGAGGATTTTGGGTTCATGAGGTCGATGGCATCTTGAGGGGGATACGCTTTCGGCCGAGTGTGGAATAAGAACACATGTCTTTACTTATGGGACGCGGCATCCTACAACGAAGGGCAGTCTCGCAGGCATCACAAAGGCACAGAGGGCTATGATTCAACACTGTTCAAGCCTCAACATTTCTAACCTCTACTTCGAATCAAGCAACAACTTTCCAGTAAACATTCTCCCATCCCGCCCGCCTCCTGATTATCCCTCTCAAGTCGCTTCCAGGAAAAGGCTTGCCATGCGATCCCGTCAGCGGAATCTCGGCCGTCTTCGGGACCGTGATTGCTCCTCCGCTCATACTCGTGACATCGAACCCGACGAGCAGCAGAACCATCGATCCCAGAAGTTCTCCGCTTGCGAAATGCCGACCAGGACTGCATCGATTAGCCAAACACAGCCCACGTATGCTGCATCCAAATTACTCACCAAATATGCTTGCCACCTCCGAAACCCACGAAACCCTTCGGCGTGAAGGTCGCGATGTTCTCGTTCGCGTCTCTCGACATCTTCAGGAATCGTTCTCCCACGAACTCGTTCGCGTCTTCGCCCCAAGCGTTGTCGTCCAAATGCAGCACCTCCTGCGGGATGTGAAGCGTCCAGCCCTTCTTCAGCAGGAAGTTCTGCGCTGCCCCGTCCGAGATGGTGGTATCGGCCAAGACCTTCCTGAACAAGATGCCGCGGCCGTATAGTCGGTGCGTCTCGCGGAAGCAGGACATCAGCAGCGGGCAGCGCTCTTGGAGTTTGTTTGCGTGGAGTATAACTACTCTTTTCCCGTCTTCTACTCCCGCCGTCTCTTCGATCACAGCCGCGGCTTCAGCGCGAAGACTCGCTACGAGATCGGGTCGGCTGAAGATTTCGGCGAAGAGCCAGTAGTATGTGGGGAATGTGTTGGAAATGGCTCCGTGGATGAAGGCGAGTTCTAGAGAGGCTGCCTCGGGCGCGGGTATGTTGTATGCGGCGGTGTGCTTTCTTCGATCTCTGACGATTGGAGGAACATCTGGTAGTGATGAGTCGCCTGCTTCGAAGTAGTGAGTCAAGGCACCGAGTACGTCGCGGCGCGCTCGGTGGCCGCTTGGCGCTACCAGAGAGGGCAGGATATTTGGGATAAGTCTTTGGGTCTGGCTTTCGTATGTCCTTGGGTCTGTTAGTGAATCCCATGCGAAACTTGGACGGGTTAAAACATACCAGTACGCCTCCACGAGCGTTTCGTCCTGCCCGAACGGATTCTTAGAGCCGTATAGCGAGTTGGTGCTGGCAACGGTGAAGAGCTTGCGGTTCCATTCGTACAGGTTTTCCACTTCGATACTCGCTTCCAACCTCTTCAGAGCCTTCGCCACGTTGTCGATCACCGAGACGTTGAGTTGGAGAAGTGAGTTTCCTGCCATACCATCCCACACGATCTTCACATAGGTTCCGTAAAAGGTTGGATCGTCCCATATGTCCATGGTTTCCGGAAGGGTGCCGGTAAGACCTTGGATGAAACCCCTCATAAATGGGTCGAAGGTGAAAGAGCGGTTGCGTAGGACGGAGAGAACGAGGGCGGGATCGGTCACCACGTATACCTTCCCTTTGAGCATCGGGAGGGTGAAAGCTGGGGGCTTGTTTGACCTTGCGCTGGAAGTCAAGTCGTTAGAGGTAGCAGAGAAGGACGTGCCGACGAAGACCTTGAAGGCTTACTGTATCATTCTCAAGTATTTCCAAGAGTATCGGCGTAGTCCTATGATGTGTCCGACGAAAGGGATTCGTGAGCGAATCAGCGGAGGCTCTTTTGAATCCATGGATAATGGGTGTATAATGACGTAGGCGACGATGAGGGTCACGAAGACCCCGATGAGACCATATAGCTGGCCGAGACCACCAAGATCCACAAGAAATGCCATGATGTATGGCTCCCAATCCACCAACAGAGAAGTGGTTTCTATGGATAGCACGTTGGTTGCATTTATACATACTCACGCGAATGGGAAAGACCCTATCAAATTCAACTTCGCGCATCAAGTATCTTGGCAGGCAGACTCGGCCTGGTCATAGAAAGCCATCTTCTCACGCGTAGTCATTGTGAACCTGGGCTCTGAATGTGCCACATTTTGTATTATAATGCTATTCAACTCCATGACCCTTGTAATTCTGCAATTCTTTTGCATTGAGAGTCGTATTGTCTTTGAGCACGGAGCGCCGACATGACCTTGGTCAATGTTGTGTCACCCCAGAGCATTGCATACCGCGATAAGTCCCGGGGACTGATAGGCGCCAATCCAGGCCCAATTAGCTCCTCGAAACGCACCACCCAATAATTCAAAGTCTCGGTTGAACTTCTGAAAGACGTCTTTTAGCAGAGAAGAAAATGTGGCGTGCCGGGACCAATCCGTTTCGGGACCGATGCGGGGCCGATGTCCCGGAGCTGGGAATGGGTCCCTGGAGCCGAAGTGGAGCCGGGTCCGGAACCGCTCTTTAAGCTTCCATGTCCATATATGTAAGCCAGGAAAGTTTTAACAACTGCTGCCTAAACGCATGCTCACAGGAGGCGTAACAGGCGGGGTGGGAGGTGTGTGTCCTCGAGCTTTTCGTCGAGTTTGGTGGTAATTGCCTGCCTCGGCATGAGAGGTACCTAGGGTGTGTTCTTGCCGTTTGATAATTCAGGGTCTTCATTGATCTTCTGTTCTATTCCGTCCAATAACCGAACTAACGTTGGTCCTTTTCGCGATGGGAGGCGCAGAATGATTCGGTAAGGATCTCTTTAGGCAGCTCCTAACCGGAGTGGCTGACTTAGGAGCCTCATTTTCTGTTTGCTCGTCGACGCGAGCGGGTATGTTCGTCCTTCGTGCATCCTCTGACACGTAGGGGACGTTGGGATGGCCGAGAAGAATTTTGTTTGACGTGTGCGAACTAGCCGATGGTTTGGGGTCCATGGTGTCATCGGGGAAGTGAACTGATTTCTTAGCCGGGACCGAAGCGGGTTGTCCCTGGGTCTTCTTCAAGCAGGGCTTCATCTTGAGCTCTGTCGTGTTGGACTGAGGAATTGCTGTTCCTGTACCGTCTCGTACAATGGGGATGTCGAGCGGGCTGAAAATGGTTGGATTTGATGTTTGCGAGGTAATCGACATGTTGGGGTCCATGGTGTCTTCGGCGAAACGAACTGACTTCTTTGGCGCGATCAAATCCGGTGTCAAAATTGTCTTTCTGAGGCAGGACTTTGTCTGAGATCCCGGCTCTGGTTGGGCCGTTTGCTTTAAGGCAACGTTTTCTGGGGAACGAGGAGTGTGGACCTTCTTGCCCAAGTCTGCGACGGCCTTGATGGGTTGAGTGACTAGGCAGGACTTGAGGCTTTTCGAAAGTCTGCTCGGCTTGGAGGGCTTGTTGATAGAATTGAAATTCTGAGAAGTGGAAAACATTTTACCTTATGGAAATATGGATTCGAGGGCGGCGATGGTGGTTTTCCCGGTTGGAAGTTGATAGCTAGTGTTCGAAAGTGTACGTGTGAACTTGATATTCTGCTGCAACTGCACTGCTCTAAAGGCCTATGTCTGGGGAAAAGACCACGTTATATATGATCTACAGACAGCCAGAAAGGTGTCGGAGAAAGATCGCGCTCTAGTTGCGAGGACTACCGGGTATGTTACCTTAAGGCTCCCCAACCTAGAATGGAGAAAGATGCACAAAATTGGGTACCGACTAGTTGGTAAACTCTATCAAGAGTGAAGATAGTACTTGGTCGTCAGCAATCTCCACTGCAGCGGCGAGCGTCGTGATAACATCCCTGGGGCTTTAGGCAGCTCACTAATCCCCATGGACGAAGCAACCCAAACATTATTATCGGTGATTTATCGCTAGCCATCGTCATCTACATAGTCTCTTTCTAGGTTCGCGAGAAGCAGGGAATGTCCTCAATCGTCAATGGATGGCAGTGACCGTGCATCAGCGCCGGTATTTCCAAACTGCATACACTTCGTATCTCCGGTTTAAAAGGAATTTGCGCATGCTTCTGCTTCAAAACCTCTTTATTTCTTGGTAGTTGGCCATTACATATAGGGAATGAAGTGAACTGAACGTGGTTTACGAACTGTCATCAACGGTGCAAATTCTTCCATGTGGGGATTAACAGGCGGCCGGGTCACTTGATAGTTACAATGTACATCTCTCGTCGTTTTTGTCGGCGAATCTGAACTCCTGAGAAACTCAAGCCTCATTGTGGCAGGTACGTGGGCTTGGTTCGGTTCAGATGCTGCCGAGTTAGGATTCTCAATGAAGCTGGTTAAGCCCACCAGAAAATGCCTACATTTTCATCGTAAGCCGGATCAGGCAGCACATTCAACTCATGCTGCTGTGGAAGCACGAAACCTTAGGCCTATTTTACAGGTCATTAGAAATTCAGACTGTGGTATTCTTTAGTTCTTAGTGACGGGTTGGTCCCGATGCTATTGTCCTCGTTCATCATGACTGTTGACGAACTACGTAGGCATTGTAACATTACAATTGCAACATTGAGCACCAAACGGTCACTGCTCAGCCGATCGACGGCAGGCCCCGGATCTCATCGTGATACCCGATGTCGACAGTGCGAGATGCCGACGGTTAAATGCCGTCGCATGGGTGGCACTGATGAATATACAGGATGATATGCGGAGACGGGCATGGTCCCGAATACAGACAAGACAGCGAAACCTTGCATTCGAGGATTCATGTTGTGTAATTCCGGTCGGCCATGGCTACGACGAGGTTGGGGCAAACAGGTTTGTTGGTTCTTCACCGTACGGTCCTTCCCCTTGTTCACCAAGTGTTTGTCCCAACCACGCCCGCAGAAAGAGGTTGGAACAGGGTTCAAGTCCAGCAAACATCGTCCTACGGCCCTACGCCGCGGATCCAAGAAACTAGGATACGAGTCTAGAAATGTAATGCGACCCCGAACAGGGAAACGTGATCGTTTAGATGGTGTGATTCGGTGGCATACGGAACGCCCGCGTTCTTGTCCCGGGCGGGGTTTTCTTGCGAGTTAGTGACTCTGTTCTCAGAAAAAGCGAGCTGGTCTATCGAAATTCTCATTCCTCGGTTGAAGACAACGTGGGCCGTTCTTCTCGAAGGAATGCGATCGCCCGTTGGTGCGATCAACTACTGCCCCGTGTCTTGACTAACCATTAATTACGAGATCATGGATTTATCTGCTTGCTTACATTGGGCGAAGTTGGAAAAATGCAAAACTTTTGTATCTATGTACATCTAAACGAACATAAATAATTCACAATGCTTTTATCTAGTTTACACACTTCTCTTAGACCGCTACTTCTTCATCTCTGGGCCCCTTGGGCTTAGACGGTTCGGCCTTGCCGACGATCTCGGAACCCCGGAAGAAGACACAAACAATCACGACAGATGAGATACCGAGAGCAAAGTTCATCCAAGAAGCTGCCCTGATACCGTCTAGTGAAGGCTGGTCCCATTCCTTGACAGGGCCCACATTCTCAACAGAAATGCCCCTGGCGTTTGCCATGACGGCGGTTTGTATAGCCGTAGAGATGGCCAAACCGATAGATCGGCCGACTTGCCCCACAGAGTTGACGAGTGCGCCGCCCAGTGCTTGGTCTTCTTGGGGAAGCGCCTTAGATACGAAGAGGATCAACGACGGCCAGGCGGTATCCGAACCAATGACCGACAGAATCATTGCTGGCAGACCGTAGGCGAAGTAGGATGTTGTTGGTGGGATGGGTACTGCGAACAACAGACAAGCAATGGAGACGGAGACGCTGCCGCAGAGCAGCAGGAGGTACGTTGGTACTCGCGAAATCAGGATCGCCGCGGCGATTGCGACGAGAATGCCAGCCGCTCCTGTGGGGAGAAAGTACAATGTTGTTGTGATGATATCTTGACCCTGGTACTGCTGGTAGAAGTACGTCGCATACGTCAGGAAGTTGTTGAAGGACGAGAAGAAGAGGGCCATGATGGCCAGCGCGGCGCAGAACTTGACGCTGTGGAAAATGGACGTCTTCATCAGAGGAGGTCGAGCTGTCTTGAACTCCAGATGGCGTTGCCAGAACCAGAAGGCGACGATGATGATCAGAGACACGACGAGGAGTACTGAGATCCACGGCGTACGCCAGCCGACCACGTTGCCTTCCGTGAGGGCCAGCATGAGAGCGAGGAGGCCAATGGTGATCAGTCCACCACCAATCCAGTCGACCGACTGCTCACTGCTGGCACCTTTCTTGTGCAACTTGACCGGCTCAGGAGGGATGACGAAGATACCGGCCACGGCGACCAAGCCAGCGCTCAACGCGAGAACGCCGAAAACCCACTTCCAGTTGGAATATTGAGCCACGATACCAGAGAGAATGTTGCCAAAGATGCTACCAAGAGGAGCGCCGGCGCCGTAGGCAGCGAAAGCGTAGGTTTTGGCCTTGCCGGGTGGGAATGTGGTGCCCAAGATCCCAATAGCGGTAGGTACGTTGGCAGCTGCGCCGAGGCCTTGAAGGCCGCGGAAGACGTCGAAGGCAATCTCGTTAGGGATGAAGGGATTGGCAATCGTCGTGACAGCGAGCCATGCGGTACCAGCGATGAAGATCAGGCGCTTGCCAAAGATGTCGGCGATGCGGCCCCAGAACAGAAGGAAGCAGCCGAAGGTGAGAGAGTAAGCCGAGATGATCCATTGCAACCGAGACTCTGGGATGTTCAGGTCTCGGCCGATGGTCGGGAGAATGATGACAACAGCTTGGATAGAGAGAGTCTGTTCAGATATGTTAGGAACTGTGTGTAGGTCGGTGACAGATGGCGATGGCTTACGTTCAGGAAGCATGCGCCAGTTGCTGTCGCGACGAGGGCAATGGCCCGAGACTTGGACAGAGCCAGCTCCTGGGGCTCACTGGTGATACTGCTCGACTCATCGTCGGACTGTGCATCTCGTGACGATCTTGTTACTGTCGTTGTTTGGAAATACTTCTCATCAGAGAACATCGCGTCGTGCATGATGACCTCAACGTCCTTTTCTCCGATGATTGGAGGGGGAGAGGGGGAGTTGCCCCTTTCGTCAGGATGGCCGCTCATGATGGGTAGTTTTGGCGCGTAAAGATGAAGAAGGTGAAGTAGTCAGCTATCTCTGATACTGCGAGTGGGCTCTGCAAGTAAGGTGAGGTGCTCTGGGTCAAGACGTCTGGTGAATAGATGCCATACCAAAAGGTGAGATGCCCCAGGCTTTTGTATCTACCATCGTGGATGCATACCCCGGCCGTGTTTGCCCACGCTCCTACTCAAAGAAGAAGTCGGCCGAGCACGGCAGCGTCCCCCGGCCCGCCATCGAGGTGGAGATGGCAAGCAGGATCATGTTGGTCAGATCTTTTTTTGCAGTTGCTTCGCCTAGGCAGATCCTGGCTTACACGAGTGGGTGTGAGTACGAACCAGTAACATGGGACATGAAGGATCACACAAGACATGCGGAGCTGCAGCCCGGAGACATGAATCCCAGAAGTCGTTTGTCTTGGCTGCCGTGCGAAAAGACAGCCGGCCCGTTCACCCTTCTTGCGGTGGCTTGCGTTGGCCTTGCTAGTCGACGGGCCATGTCTCCCGGCAGAGGCTTCCGGGATATGTTCCGCGCCGGCAGCGGACCACCCTTGGCCCCCTGTAGTTTGAGATCGCCGCATGGAATGGATAATATTTCTCTTCTCGTATAGAACGGTGACGAAGGCCTTCTAGATGAGCACCTGATGTCACAGGCTTGATGTTTGTTATCACGGGAATGCTGTCGCCAAGAGTGACGAGATGCGGCCACGATGTCGGCACGTTTCAACCTCGACTGGAGGTATGCGGCCGCAACGTTTTCTGGAAGCCTGAATGGTCAACGGAACACTGACAGTAACATCAGACAACGGCGACGTCGCTTTTGCACTGAACATGGCACGTTGGGATCTCTTTGTGATTTGGAAAATTTTCTTGAAGAAAAAAGAATAATAATAAAGGCGCCGCATTGTCTGAGATCCGCCCGACTGGAAACTCGGTAGATCAAATGTAGGGAGTAGATCCGGGTCAACAAATCTTTTGGTAACCGGGAAGCAACTACACGCCAACTCGAGACATTGGGTTCCCGGTTCGGAGTCGGCGTCGGCGTTGACTCGAAGAAGGTGAGCCCTCGTGTTAATGAAGAAGGGAGGCAAGGAGGGAGACTCGGAGGGTCCCGGAGGGGGGATCTAATGCACCGGGTCGTCATTGGGCGCTCCGCGTGTTTCCCCTCCCTTGTTGAGAAAAGAACGGTGGTGATACGCCGGTTTACATAATGGTTACATTCCCAGATAGCCGGCCGGAGGAAAGGTGACCCCCGCTCTCATCACTGCAGAAAAAAGCAATTACAAGGAGATCCGAGGGCTCAACAAGCAATGAGAACTCCGTGCTCAGACAATGATGCAAGGTCTCGCGTACGACGAGGCGGCCGAGAAGACCCATTGGAAGGGGCTGCACGCTTCCTCGCGTCAAATTGACCACCCCTTCGTCTGAGCTTGCTTTTCTCCAGATCTACACCCCTTGTCTTGTTGGAAAGGCCCAAGATCCGGTTGGGTCCCTTCAGAGTTGCATTGGGTTGGGTCGAGTCGATCTGTGCATGCGAGCTCCGATGCGATGTGTAACCGCTTGTCATGCTCGATGTAAAGACATCATTCGATTGTCACATTCGAAAAGAAACGGCGAAGCTGACTATCTTACCTCACCGACTCCTGGGACCGCAGATGACTTTTCATGATGCATCATATCTGAGTCGCCATGGTCGCCCTGCTCGGATGCGGCAATTGTTTTTTTGTGAATTCTTTTGGTGGGCATTCCGGTCGTGATGCCCTCAATTCCTTAGCCAAGAGGTGATTCATCAACTTTCTTTTTGTGCCATGCCCCGCATGTTCTTGTGGGACCCTGAAAGACTCGGTCCTCCTACCAGGGAACCCGGAAGAATCTCGCTTGAAGTTGCTCAAGAAGTTTCCCATTCCGTGGCGCTGGTTCTGGGTAAGACAAATGACTAATCCTTGTGATGAACTGTCATGAAGAGAAAACTTGAAGCAAGGGAGCGCGGATACGGTCCGCGATCTTCGGGCACGCCTCAATACGAGGCGAAGCCTGAAGCTAGACGATGTAATAGTCTGCCGTGTTAGTAGGGCAATGAGGCTGATATCGGACTTGGCCTGGTGCAAGGAGCGACCAGATGGGCTCATACTCAGCTGCGCGCTCCTAGATCTATTTTCTCATCTCTGCGGTGCAAGGGTGAGAATTTGGCATCAGGCGTCAACGACGACACCGAAATGTGACATGAAATGCTCGAACGTCCATCCACTTTGTCACGGATTCTGATGTAACAGTTGGGGCTGCGTCGTCTCAGGTCGAGAGGGTTGTTGTCTTAGTTGCATCCCGGCCGATAGACGAAGCAGGCGGCGAGATCTTGCGAAGGGGCCAGAGGCGCACACGAGGCGAGGCGGTTAAGAATCTGACTTGGTGGAATCTGGGAACGCGTGGCGAGAAGCCACACATTTCGGGCGGCTGCAGCCGTTTTCCGAGCCAAGAGGCCATGGAAGCGACCGCAGTAGATTCTCGATGACATGGCTGCTGGGCTGATTGGTCAAGATTTGCTCTGCCTTGTGTGTCTGATCCTCTCAAAGACGATTGTAACACATGACACCAGCACGCTGACATGGAAACAAGGATGGTAGACTTGAGCCTGAGACACGCAGACTACATTTGATTGAGCATTCAGTGAGGCATCTAGATCACTTCCAGCCCGTAGACTGTCTAGAAAATCGAAGAGCCTGGATGGAGGACAACGATCTGACCTCGATTCTCCATGTGCCTTGCCATCAAGCATGATTCCATCTTAGACGAACAATCGTGCGCCGTGCAGAATTTGAAAGCTGGAACATTCCCGAGCCTCTGGTAATGTTCAGAATTGCTATCAAGCAGGTGCTGCCACGCTGTCTGGTCGGATGCTAGGAAAAGTTTGATTCTTGCTGAACATTCCTTGCTGAACTTCCAGTATCAACGGGTGCTTTTCTCTCATTATGGCGAGTAAGCAAGAGCTTTTCAATGTTTTTCGGCGTTTAATCGAATGACAGAAATCTGACTTGCCCGTACCATGTTTGATCTTGTCTAGAAACATTCATTTGTTCCACCTAAACACACTGTCAGGAAGCTCGCGTCTAGAACCTTCTACATATTCATCCGTGCATGTACTTGTGGGAGGTGTTCAGAAGCAGCAGGCTCTTCTCTTACTGTGTGTTCAATAGCTAGCCCGAAAACTATGTGTTCCAACTGCTTGCGAAACTTGTGCATTTGTCAGGCAAAAGACAAACTCAGAAGCTTTTAAACCTCACCAGAAGACATTACTACTCCCTTTTCTTCACGCAAAAAACGGAAACTTCACCTGCTTGCCATCTTTCTGGGCTTTGGCAGCCAACCCGCGAAATTCTTCAATCTTTAAATCTCATTGAGTTGATAGAAAACATTCGCAATGCCTCTCATCAGCTCTTCAGCGTTGCGTAAGCGCCAAGCTTCAAGCGAAATCCAGATATATGCTTTCTTGGAACAAGCTTCCATGTCTTATTTCAACACAAGTGGTGCCCGTCTCAGCCTTCTCAATTTCACTTAGCCAACATACAGCTGTTCTCTTAGCTTTGAATTCGTGACAAAATTACTCCACATTGGCAAGAACCATTGAGCCTTTTCCTGATCCTGCCTCTGAAGACGGACCTAAATTTCCAAGGTACCCTTGGTATTTTGGCGCCTTCTCTTTCCCTCTCCGTCGTCGAACCTCTTACATGCTCTACATGACTCCAGATACACTCTCACAGCTCTAGTCTCTATTTTCCACTCGTGAAGCCTTGCCTTTGAACTGGGACGTCGTCAAACCATACTTGGAACTTACCAGAATTTCAAAGACTGCCTCCTCTCTTCTTCTCCATATGATTCGCGAAAACTACACCAGATTCAGCCCGGGAATTTGTGTCCTTTGATTGTGTACGAGGCTTCTTCTGCTCTTTCTCTTGCACTTTCCTATTCTCTCAGCGTCCATCCTTTGGGCTTCACAACGTTCTTTCCACTTCAAGATACCCATTGTCCCAACCTTGTTTTCTGGACTTTGACTGTGGTAAAGCTTCGAAAATCTTGTACTTCAACGACACGAAATCTCTCCCGTGTCTGGCTAAAGCGTCAATCTCTGTGTTCGGATCTTCCTATCATGACCATGACTTCCCAAGGCCCAACTTGTTTGCCTGGCTTCATAATTCTGTCTCTCAGGGGCTTCATACCTCAAGTTTGCCTCATTCTTCATCTTAGGCTGCCTCTGCTCTTGTTCGACTATGGCATTGGACTCCAACTCAACTTTAGTATCAAAATATCCATCTCCTTTGGCCAACTGTGTAGTCATTCGTATCCTACGAAGTATTCTTTGATATCTTACTTTTGTGGTGTGGCTACATGTAATCACTGGCCTCGGTCTCTCAGAAGCAGTTCCGGCATTGGATGGTATCTTCTTTGACGCGTTTTCTACCAACTAGCTACTGGATTGCTTTTCAAAATTTGCCATCTTGCCCCCGATTGAGCTGAGGCCCATCGCGACTTCTTATTTTGTCGACTTCCCTTCTTGGGCGCCCCACCTCGGCTGCTTCACTTCACCTTTCACGACCTTCCCCTCCACCACTTCTACTACCACAACCCTTCTCTTACCTTCTTCCCTCCCACCACAAACTTTCCACTTCCTTCAAATTACAGCTCGCGATCGGGAGCTCAAACTTACCAACTTCGAATTCAAGACTCTTCTCTCATCTCCATCGTGCGCTCAAAAGCTTTCCTTTCTACAAGTCAGTTGCAAAAGGAACCCTTAACATCGAAAAAACCCTTCTCTCGCTGCCTATTACCGCACCCATTTTCCGGCAAATTTCCCTTTTTGTCCACCGTTGCCCAGCGCATTCTGGACGCAACTTACCTCAAGGCCAAGTTGAGGTCTGCCTTACCACAACCCGTCAGGCATTTCATTCCACATCTGCTGCCTCCAGAGCGGCCTCCTTTCCTCTATTTCCAGCCTATCCTCCCAGTTCCCAGGCAATTCTGGACGGAAATATCACGTGCCTGATACCAGCACGACCTTGAATATTCCGCTGGGTTGGCTCCCGACACATGAGATAAAATCCATCTCATCTCTCCCGCGACCAAGCACTTCAACCTCTCTCTTCGTCACACACAGCTCCACCGCAACCTTCCATCCACCACACAGCAGCCTTCATCCAATAACACAAAGGTCAACAAGGAACACAATCGTCATTCAACCTTTCCTCTTTTGTTTCGCATTTCGCATTTCGACTACCCTCATCCAAACTCGCCTTTGACCCCCTGAGCCTTGGCAACTGAACAAAAGTAAGTCTCCTCGACATGAAGCCATACACTTGCCAAGTTACTGACCAAGATTCGTTCATCACAGATATACCTTTCCTGAAGCTTTGTCAGATCAACAACTTTACCATGTCTTCCAACTCCAAGCAGACTCCGTCCCGCCCCCAGGACATGCTCAACCAGGATGAGGGCCCTGATTCTGTCAAGAGCTGGTCTCCTAGCGGTGTTCGTGTTCGCAACCAGAACCACAAGAATCCACACAGCAATGAACCTGCCGTTACCACCTTTGAGCCCCTGAACGTACGCGCCAACAACCCTGCTCTTGGTCCCAGAACTCGCACCGTTTCTACAGCTTCTGCGTTCACCGACAGCTCAGGCTCTGTGGGCAACTTTGGCCCTTCTTTCAATGCATCCGCCCAAGCTGCCTGGGATCGCGCTCTTTCTACCCACGCTGCCCATGCATGGGATCGTGGCAACTCCTCCCACAGCACTGAGACTGTCAAGCCCTCCTCTCTGATGGATAAATACCCCCAGCTTCGGCAGTAAGTTGCCTCTTCTGAGCTTTCCTACCATATTACCACCGACCAGACTGGTTCTGGTCGGCACACAACCACTTCTTCCACATACGTATCAACCAGTCCGAAGCTAATGCTCTTCCCAGCTCCAACAACCTGGCTCAAAACATCGCTGCTGTCAGAGGCCCTCGGCAGCCGGGCTACATCGACAATGGAGCTCCCTTCGACAACTTTGGCTGCGGTGCCCCTGCCATCGGCGGTCACGCCAACCATCTCGGCCAGTCCCAAGGTGTCCACGGCATTATGGCTCACGGCTTGAGCACCACCACAGCCCGCCCCATCATCAACCCAGGCGGCCGGGTCCCTGTCAGGGTTTCTATCCACGCTGATCGCCCAGCTCCTACGATGCGTGCCCTCGGCAATGCCAGTTCCATCGAAAATCTGAATGTTCAGATGAGCGGCATCTCCATCGCCCCCCCTCGCAACCAGCCGCGCCAAGCTCTTCGGCCACTTCGAGACACCGAGTTGAACACGCGTGCCGGTATCGCGCCTCTTAACCAGGGCTACCGAGCCATGGAGGTTGTTGGACGTCCCTGTCGGTTGGACCCAAGCAAAGATCCTCAGCGCGAGCTGAAGGCGGAGTACGGCATCTCGCTCAACTACGGCGGTGACGCGTCCATCGCTCGAAACCAGTCGGCCAACATCCCCGACAACGAGAACTGCTCGATGTGGATCACGAACCTCCCGGCCGACTGCACTCACAACATGCTCCTCAGTCAGATCCAAGGCTTCGGACGCATCTACTGCTGCGTTATCAACCCGCCCGACCCCCATGCTGGCCACACGACGGCCGCCGCCAAGGTGGTCTTCTTTGAACTCAAGGCCGCTCAATGCTTCTACTCCATGTGTAGTAACCCTTCTCGTCGCCTCATGGTCGGAGGTCGGGTCGCCAAAGTCTCGCTGAACCGGATCAAGTCGGCGGAGCAAGACACCGGCGGACACAAAAGCCGGGCCCTGAAGATCGCGGGTGACATTCGCTACGTCAACCCGCAGTGCCTGACTTCCTGGTTCCAGGACAAGTTCGTCTTTGATATCGATGAGATCATCGAGGTCCTGAGCACCGAGGACATGGGCGTAGTCGAGTACCGCTTCGGCAGCTGGCGGTGCCAAGCCGAGGCTGCTCGGATGGCTCTGTTCCGGGACTTCGACATCGGACAGCCAGGCTGTCCGGTCTGGGAGGTCACCTATGCCGATGACCCTTGTGCTTGAGAGATCGTAATCGACTACTTTCGCTTGCTGGCGGTCCTCGTCGTCATCACGCCTATGTTGCGACAGGCCGCGTTCGGTTTTTTGGCGGCGTTCAGGTCGCGGAGTTTGAGTATTTTGAGGAAAGAGTTAGTTTGGCTTACGAGATACCCACTTGGAGTTTTCGTCTGCCTGTTCGTCTTGCATTTGGGACGGAAGGTAGAAAGGAAATGGAGTTGATAGACAGGAGACTGTTGGGTTTGGGAGTGCGCATTGGATGAGGGTTTGCTGCTGAGATTCGGACGATATCATACAGTCACGATAGCAGACTCAAAAAAACAAGTTCAATTTTGCACACTTGTGTCTCAACTTCCAGGTATTCTCTGCGATATTGAGAGACTGACGCCTTGGATCAGGTATCGTGATGGCAGTGGTGACCGGAAGATGAAGTTGTTATCTTTTGGTGACCAGCTGGTGACAGTTGGAGGGCTGGCAGAAAGCGCTGATGTAATCAAACCCGCCCCTGCTAATTGGCGGGTTTCGGCGTGACGCATTGCTGTGCCGTTGGGGGCGCTTTTCGTTGGTGCTCAGTGGCAACAGGCTACAGGCGGTCAATTTCGTCGTTCATTCCGATTTCATCTTACATATTCTTCACAACTCAAAGGCGGTCGACGATATCAACGGAATGGAGAGGAAGAGCAGCGAAGATTGCGGCGTCAATCAAGATGGAGAGAATGAACCCTCCGTAACCGAGCCTTCCGGCATCTCAGACGACATCGAGAGCCTTCAACAGGCAAGTGAACCGCCAAGCACAGAAACAGGCACCGACACGGCTTCAATCATCACGACTGAGGGCTCTCAAAGTTTTGATTTGTCTCGTACCGAAGCCACCGAGGCTGTCACAGACAGCGATCTTGTCGCCGCCACAGGCAACCTCAAGATCCGATCCAAACGCACCGAGAGACTTAAGCGCAAGCTGCTCAAGAAGTCATCCAAGAAATCCAACACCGCTTCTGTTCACCTTCTCGACCTACCAAACGAGGTTCTCATTGATGTCGTACTCTACCTCCTACCGAGCGACATCTTCAGGCTCTCCCGCACTTGCCACGAGATCCACCAGCTTGTCAAGCATAACGAGTCGTTTCTCGCCAAAGAGATCATCGCCGCACGGTATCCAATTCTCGAGAAATGCTTCCGTCTCCCAATCCCTCTGAAGGAAGTCGACCCCGCGATCCACAGCCGCCTCCAGGCCCCCCACAGACAAAACGTTCTCCTCATCCACAGCAAATACCAGCACATCCCCGCCGCCAACTGCTTCCACATCTGCACCTGCCTCACCTGCGTCATACGATGGAACTCACTCTGCAACGCTGTCGACTTCTCGTACTGGCAAACGCACCTCGAGAAGGGCGACCCGATCCCCATGATGCCCCGCCGTAACACCACGCCTGAGTGGAATCAGCTCCTCGTCGCCAAGACCAACGACATCGTCTCCAGGGCTCTGACCTCTCCTCTTCTCCATGCGTGTATACTGGAAGGTCACCTCAAGAACACGATCCTGGCCATCAAGCGCCAGAGTCAGAATAAGGGCAATCAGAGACGACATTTCCGGATGACGCAAGACGACGCCAACTCCCAGACGGACGAGTTTCTCAGTCGAGATGGGCCTGTTACCATTGACTTACCTTTCCATCGTGACAACTATTACATGTTGGAGGCCTTCATGCCCAGCCGCACCAGGCTTAAGGAGGAGAACCGATGGGCTTACATGCCGGCTGATGGGCATGATCGAGACCTGGCGTGGGTGGCTGGACAGGGTCGCAAGTGATGACGGCAACGACGATAATGCGTAAGGTAGCAGCCAAGGAAAAATGGCAAGAACCACAGAAACCGGCAATGACGCCTGCCCAAATACCTTGTCACAACAAGAACTAGAGAACATCGACAATTCGACTGAATCGGGCTTCTCTGGGCGCTGTTTGCGAAACGTGTTCGCACCTGAGGCGTTGCGCTTCTACCTCCTATCGACCCGATCTATCAGTCTCGATAATATTACCCGTAAAGCTTCAATGAAGACGAAGGAGACGAAAGTTGTGAATGTTCTCGTCAAGACTGTAGAGAAGGACGACCAAGAGTAGGACCTGGGGCTGAAGAGGCATGATCAGATGCCAGAGAAGGGGCTGCTGATCAATTTGACCAAATCATGGGCTTGGAATTTCAAACACTTTGACCGGTGTTATCTACTTGCCCTGTCCGTCACGGATTGTGCCCATGGAAATAGTTCGAATTACGCTGACAGATGTAGTCGTGCCAATTGGAGAACTCTACGTCTCCTTGATCACCCAAGAACCTTCAACGCATGCCTTAGCCAGGACTTCATACCCCTCGATCTCTCTTCTCGATGTATCGCTTGTTCCTTTGCATCCTCGTGCTCCAATGCCTCAACCACATCCAGGCCAGTGTGCAGGTCTACCTCCGCAGAGGGATGGGCCCAGGGGTCTCTCCAATTGAGCGCCCTGTGAATGAAGTAGATGATGAGGAATGCCGGGATTCCCACATACGCCGTCATGAAAGACTCAATCGACCACTGCCCCGGGAAGAAGACCGAGAAGCCGTTCAAAAAGCAGAGCATGACGAAGAACACAAGACAGATCCACGCCACGATTGGTTGGAACCGCGAGGCGAACGGCACCTTGGTCACAGCTTGCGTCTTGCAAGCCTTGTTAAACCGGAGGAAGATGATGCAGCAGCAGATCCAGGAGATGAAGCCCGCCGTGTTGGTAAGGTTGATGAACCAGTTGAAGACCGAACTCGTCGCCGACTTGACATTGAGGTATGACAGGAGCGAGTACGACGCGCTCGCCAGAATCGCGTTGACGGGCACACCCCACCGATTCGTCCGGCCAAAGATCTCCGGCGCGATGCCCTCCCGAGACATCGAGTACAGGCTCCGACTCGACATGTACAGGTACGAGTTACCAGACGACCAAGCCGACAAGATGATACCCGCGTTGATGACGCTGTCCAGGGCGCGGATACCGGCCTCCTTGATCGCAATCGTCCACGGCGAAGCTGCGGCTCCGTAGCCCCCGCTCGTCAGGCCAGGAGCATCGCTTCGACAGATCACGCCGATTGCCAGCGCCCCCAGGACGTAAAAGAAGATGAGCCTCCATATGAAGCTGTTCGCGGCCCTCGGTAGGTCTTTTCTCGGAGACCTCATCTCCCCGCTCGTCAGAACGATCATCTCCGGCCCGAACACGAACGAGAACATCGAGAACGTGAGCGCGTAGACGAACCCGCACAGCCTCCCCGCAGAGCCTTCCACGAGGTACTCGTTCATGGCCCCGGGGTCCCTCCAGTACGCGAACCCCAATCTCCTGCCATCCGGACCGCCTCCGACGCAGAGGATGAACGCGAACAAGATCAGCCCCAGAATCATCAACACCTTCAAGCTCGCAAACCAGAACTCGGACTCCGCATAGAACTTCACCGGCATCAGATTCAGCCCCAAGATGACCAGGAACATGATCGTCAGCCAGACGGCGATGTGCACGTCGTTGGGCCAGTACGAAATCACAAGCGCGGCGGCCGTGATCTCGTACGCGACGATGATGCCGAAGGAGTACCAGTACAGCCAGCCCATCGCGAAGCCCAGGCTCTTGGAGACGTAGCGGGACGCGTACGCCGCCATGGAGCACCCTTCGAGGGGGAGATAGGTGCCGACTGACACGACTGTCGTCATGGCGCCGTAGACGAAGAAGCAGATGATGAGATAGGCGAGGAACAGGGACAGAGGCCCGGAGACGGCGAGGGCCTGGCCTGCGCCGACGAAGAGGCCTGTGCCGATGATGCCGCCGATTGCAATCATTTGGGCATGTCGGGATTTGATACCGCGTTGAGTCCGGGTTCGGGGGGTGGGGGCGCCGGCGGAGGATGATTCGGTGTCAGAGGCGGCGTTGCGCGGTGTGAATAATGATGTTTGGTTGGTTTTCTCCAAGGTTCCGGGCCCTGTCTCGGGGGAAGACGACAAGACTGCCATGACGCTGTTCAATGAACTCGAAGAGGGAAGGACAATCTTGTTATGGCCTTGACAATGAAGACCGCCGGCTGCTTTGTCGGAAGTTCCTTGAACGAGGGGAGTAATAAGGACTGACTAAAAGCAAGGACGCTGTTCTAGAATCAGGCTCATGAAATCCAATACCCTCTGTTTGTTTCTTTGCGCAATGTCTGTTGCTCTTCCGTCCCCCTCGGTGTGCCCGTCTCACCGAGACGGTCGAGGTGCGCGGTGACAGGCTCGGTGAAGGGAGTGGTACCCGGACGCAGGGGATGCTGGAGCGGCAGATCTGGATCTTGGCAACCTTATCGAGACCTCTGAGGCGTCTATTGGGCAACTGATCTCGCAAACTCGTTACGAAGGTTATCCCAAGGGATGAGGAGATGTCGAGAGGTAAGAAAGGAAGGTGACCGCGGCAGTCTGGGCAACTGCTGGTAAGACTTTCTTCTTTTGTCCTGTCCGAAAGTCGCTTCTGTTGACTCACAGACCCCGGTTCGTCGAAATACCGGGCTGTTTGTGGGGTTAGGATCTGGATGAGGGCTTTCCGGGGTGAAGCCGTGATGTGTGGGTTCTTCTGGGGAGGCGGCATTGTTCCTCTTGAGCCCACTTGACTCTGAATTCGGATTTTTACAATGGCTTTCAGGGCGTTGTCTCAAGCTGAATAGTGACTTCTATTTTGCCAACAAACCTAATGTAGACCTGAGATATCTTTCCCTCCGCCTCTGCCTGCATCTTTCCCTCGCCCAAGGTCGAACAATAGTGATCAAATCTGCCACACATATTTTGCTTCATCGTAAGTACATGGACTAAACCAACATCAAAACGGAGATACGAGCGGAGCTACGCAAACGCGTTGGTGAATTGCTGCAAAGTTGCTGCATTTTCGGAGTAGTCCATCGGCTTACATGGGTCACGGCGCCGATACCGCAGGATGCCGCTCCACCGCGAACAAGGCTTGTTGGTATGCGAGCGCAGACAAGCTCTTGGCAGCTTAGGATCTTGCGACTTGTGTGGGCCGATATTTGCGCCGTATCAGATGCTGGCACGGCCTAGGTAACGCTGGTTGATTTGTTGTTGTTCCCGTGCGAGCTTTCCGGACCACGCCGGACCCGAACGGCGAGGATCGGCATAAGTGGGGCTCCGGCCGGCAATCACTCGAATTGTCCAGATTGAGCCGGGACATTACCATTGCCTTCGACCCTATCCCCGGAAAATATTTTCGAGTGGATTTTGATTACATCTGTGGTTCGAATCATCCAAAAAAACATATCTCAATAACGTAGTCCAGCATTCGACACACCCGTAACGACCTTTGAACAACCTCAAAGTCTGAAGGATCTTAGACCCCGGCCTCCGTTCGCTTCTTGAAAACACAGTTCAGTCTCCCAGGCTTGACAATCAACTGAAACTTGGCTTCCCCATCGAGGCTGCTTCCATCTTCACCCGGAGCGAATCCAAAGTCATAGTTCCAGAGCGTGTAGGCGATCGTCATTCTGACGACATTCATGGCTAGCCGCTTTCCAACGCAGTCAAACCGTCCTGCGCTCCTTTGTCAGCCGAGTTCGAACTAGAAAACCATTTGATGTCCTACCATAATGAAACGGCACGAATGCTCTGCGGTCAAGGATCAGGTCAGGCCGAGTAGTCCACCGCTCGGGAATGAAGTCGTTGGGCTGCTTCCAATATTTCGGGCCTATTACAGCCATGTTGTGTCAGATAAACGTTGTTTCAAGTATGAGCTTTTCCAAATAGGATACTGACTCCTGTGATATATATGCAACGGGGTCACTAGCGTGACACCACCGGGGATGTAGGTCCCGTCTACCTCGACACCTTCGTCTGGTGCGATTCTCGGGCCGTTAAGCGGTGCCGAGGTATGCATCCGGAGCGTCTCGTTAATAAAAGCCTCAAGAAACTCAAGTTTGGCCAAGTCGGCTGCAGCAAACTCTCCGGGTAGAGTTTTGCCATGAGTAGGCGCAATCTCTTCGTAAAGGCGCTGCCGGAGTTCGGCATCTCTTGCAAGGAAATAGAAGGAGTAACCCAAGGCGCAGGAGATTGTGTCTCTAGATCCCGATCAGCAAAAGCCAGAGAAGACAAGTTGTCTTTTAGTAGGAGACCACCTACGTAGCACCTATGAGGACCGCGTGAGAGTCGGCGTATATGATGTTGAGGTTGTGAAAGGTCTTGGGCTTTTCCGACCTGCTGTCATCGAGGAAGTATTTCATCATATCATGGCTCTGTTCCGTGTCGCTCTACAGTTCACAAACACTCAGTTTCCATACATTTTCAGAACTGATGACGCATATGGGTACTCACTGCAATTCTTTCGTCAACGAACCGTACCCCGAGATCTTCAAATTCTCTCTGCAGGCCAAAACGAGGAAGAGACCCGAGGAAGACCAGCGGCCATGGCGTCTGGCCCATTCGCGCAGCCAGCTTGAACGTCGTCTCGATGATGTCCAGCATGCGGTCCTCCCGACCTTCCTTCACGGTCCCGAAGTCGCGGCTAAAAGCCACACGGCCCATGTTGTCGAAGGGGATCAGCTTAGCGTAGAGTGAGGTGTTCACTGGCTTTCCTTCGAGCTCTTCAATGCGGCCTAGGAATGTCCGCAGAACCGATCGAGTCTCTTCCTCGTATCTTTCCAGGGCTGATTAAAATTCAGATGGGTTTGTAGGCTTGGGGGATATGAGCTGGGATGACATACCCTTGGTTCCCAGTGCTTGGTCCCAGACCCTGCGTCGGTCTCGATGCATCTCGTTGTCCGAAATCGCGTCCAGATTCAGTTCGCCTTTGGCAATCAGAGCATCGTAGAATCCGGTGTTTCGTTTCGTGGCTTTCGCCTGTGGACCGTGGAGTTTACTGAATGCGTCCAGATTCACTATGGAGATGTCGTTCGGTCCTGCGTCAAACATTCAGAGTCAGAATGGGAACTCTCCAATTGGGGTTATCGAAAAGAAGGTATTATTAATGAGCAACTGTTTGCTAGTTACGCGGAGGTCATGAGAGAACTTACCAACACGGACAAAGTCGCCATACTTCATATGCATCTCCAAATACCTGTCATGCAATTTCCAATCTCGATTCAACCACGCGATGTACGGTTTTGCGATTCTTGCCGCAAAGGGACCGGGAAAACGACGAAGTGGGTGGAGGAAGAGCCGATATATCCCAACGCTGGCATACAACGCGGTGAAGTATGATCCGGATATCGCTGCGTAGGATACAAATCCTTGATAAAGCCCCTGAGTCGACACGGCTTTGAAGAACAGCAACGATAAGGCTATTGCGTGAAAGGTAACAATACCGAAGGTTTTCATGCTTCTCTGTCCGCGGATGAAGTAGAGCCAGTGTGATAACAGGCCGGCGATTGCGGCGGCACCACAGGAGACATTGTTGGCAACACCCAGATTGGCGACTTGCGCCAGAATTAGATCCTGCATCTTGTTTGCGTAGTTTGGCCAAATGAATGATTTGAAGCAACGTAGACACAATCACCGTATTTTGAAAGACAAAAGGGGTTTAAGTCTTATGAAACTGCGTATAAATGGTTCCCTCGGAGGCCGAGACAATCTTCTCTTCGTAGACCTGAGCGCCTCCTACATGGTATATCCTGTGTCCCAACTGGAAATTCGGCCGACGGCCCGCTCACGGGTGACACGGATGAGATGGCCCAAGTGTTCTTATCTCGAACTGCCGCATATTCTACACGGAATGCTTGTTCCCAAGCTGCTGGCTTTTAGGTTTCAGACACCCAAACCCCTCAATCCTCGGGATTGTACCCCGCGAAGGCAGGGACCAAGACTAATCATCCCGGAGACTTCATACCGAAAAGGGACATAGACGTCTCGCTGGATCTTAAACACGTCGCAATCAAACGAGTGCGAGGCGTGCTTAATTGGTCGTGTCGCGGGTTCTTGAAAGTTGAAGCCTCGGCGCATGGCTTGCCTTGCTGCGCAGTTGAATTCTTAGTGCAACATTAAAGCTGACAAGTAGTAGCGAAAAGGGCTCGCGTATTGTTCAAGACATGGCATCGGCTCGTTAGACGAAATAGGCCAAACTTAATTATACCGGGTCGAATCAGAAGAGTATGCCATAATATATTTCCAACCATGCTCATGGGTTGAGATGCATATGTGCATGAAAGGGGGGTCATGTGAACTGACGTTCAGCAGCCTGCGAACATGAAACTCTCGAGCACCATTGCGTAGGACTATTGCTTACTCAGGTTATTATTTTCGAGAAACATGTAAGTTGCCATTTAGAATGAAGCTGTTCTCATGCTCTTTTGTAGACTCTAGTGATCATGCGGGTGTTTACTATTTCTGTCTCTTCCTTTTTCCCAGGTCGGTCGCTCAAATTGAATCGGTCTATCACTTCTCAACAGTGACCCCTGCGTCTACCACCCCATCCGCCTCCCCAACCGCCTCCCCATCCGGCGCCGTGGCCGCGTCTACCTCCCCAGCCCCCGTAACCGCCTCCTCCTCCGAATCCGGGCCGGGGTCCACAGGGTCGGGATCCACCCATCATTCCGCCGCCCATACCTCCGTGGTGATGATGATGTGTTTGTACAACTGCGGGACGCGGCCCCATGCCCATGCCGCCGCCATCGTATCTGCGCCTTGATCCGCCGAAACACATGTTTGTGAAGTTGTCTTCCGAAGGTCTTTAACAAGTACTGATTGCCGTTTAGATTTGCTTTCTGAGTGATAGACTTAAAAACCAGCTGTTGTGATTGTTCAGACTAACTTCATTCTGATAGAAATTGAATCTTTGATAATTTGAGATGGTTAAATTGGATATGGTGGTTGGTGTTTCAAGGTGATGATGATTTGTTTGTTTGGTTTGATGTGATCTAGCTAGGAAACTGACTGTGGAAAGCGACAATGGCAGATGTGCCTTTATACATCTTCTGATTCAGTAGAATCCGTCATTGAGGCTGTACTTGGGTCCCTTCATGCGTCATTCCGGCTCGTCAGCCGAGCGCTAAGATGCCAACACCCGCTTCGGCACTGGGATCAAAGAACCAGCTTGGCCTTGTCATGACGAGCCACGCAATTGCCCCCGCACACGATCTCGCTAACGTCACTCTGCGCGCAGACAAGCCGCAATGCAGCAGATGACAACTTCAAGGTTCATCCCAAGAGTGTGCTTGTGGCTTGGTATACGTGATGCTGAGCCACAAAACGAAATCAGGTTCTCGGTCAAGGACTCAAGTTGAAGCCACCCGAGTTGAAGATTTCACTCGGAGACTCCTTGCCACTTGCTCTGCGGAACACCGTGCATGACAGCCGAGCGTCGTGGCCAAGCGGCCAATTGGAGCCGGCTGTCTTGGTTTCGGCATGCAGGTGCCGCAGATGGTGTTAGTCAGAGCTTGGCTAACGATGACATCTTCCTCGTCACAGAGCATGTGAAATCATCTGAATTCTTTGCGACTTAAACTCTCTCAGTTCAAACAGGCAAGCAGGTTTCTCGACTGAAATTCTAGATTCCGAAGACATGTAAGTTATTGGCTTAAAGATAATTGAACAAGGCGCAGGTGTGGCTTCAAGATGCAGCAAGCCTCAAGCCGCAAGTACTAGCTGCAGAACAGCCACATCATTGCTCTTGCGACAGTGCACGCTGCTGTCACTACGTAATTCTTCAGCTCAGTATTATCGAGCTTCAAACTTTATAATGACAGATCGCAGGATCAAGCAGATGGAAGCTTCGATCACAGTCGCTCGTTGGAACTTTCAACATCAGAATTTGGCCCTCGGACGAAATGACATCGTTGGCAGCTAGGGTAGCACGACAGCTTGGGCTGACGTTAACGAGAAGAGATAGTTTCTTCAATGCGCCTCGTTCCCTCGCAGTATTCCCATGAGTCTTTAGTGGCAATGAAACTGAAGTAGAAGTGAAAAGAAAGAAGAGACAAAAGCGAGGTGGAACATAGCTTAGTTACCTTAGATATTCAATAGAACATTCAATCTTCAATTATTCATGTTCAGTTGAGGTACCATAAGTGTTGGATTTCCCATGTAGTTAGATGCGCTGTTTACATACAGCCACGCCAAGTTTCTTCTGTCGGACGTTACAAGATGATTGGTGTTAGACAAAGTCCCACCCGACGTTAACAAATTCCACAAGCGTTCCGACCCTCAAGTGTGTCCTTCTTGTCTCCTGCATCCACTTATACTCCGAATTTACTTTGACTCTCTTCTCTTCTGGTACAGGCTCATCGTTACTTGTTTCCCTGGGTAGGAGACCCCTGTTATGCTTAGATAAATCTCTGTCATGCTCGAAGATGCAATAGCTTTGTTTCAATGGCGCCAAAGTAGATGATCGTGTTCCTTCAGGCGGGTCGAACAAGATGGCTGGCGGGACTGGTGGCTGGGACCTCAGTGCTAGAAGAAGAAGCTCCGAAACGCTAGCCCATTCAGACGATGTGATGCCCTTGACCAATGACCAAATCAGAAAGGCAATAACGATATGAATAAACGTTAGGAGCATGACCATGGGGGTTCCCGATACCTGAGTCTCTACTAGTAAAGGCGTAATCGAAGACGTCGAGGTAGGGCTCAAAGCTATAGTACTTAGAAGTCTCATTGGTCTCCGCAACAGGAATCCCGTGACCTTCTGGGATTTCGGAACGAAGCGCCGCAAATAGAATACCGCCGAGAGTGTACACGACGAGGAGTTCCAAGAGCTTTGCCGCAAGCTGAAGAGCAAAGACCTTTTCGTCATTCTTGCCGCTTGTGCCGTTTAGCTCGAATCCGAAGTAGTAGTCGTCGCATACGAATATGGCAATGACTATGATCGCAAAGACTGCCGGGAGATGAGACAAGATATGAAGCGCCGCTTCCCGTCTGCTTTTTCTTATTGTGACGCGTTTGTTGCCCGATCCCTGTAGAGAGTTCACGAATGAGAGATGACACTGTCGGAGAAGGCCTCGAGCACCGTCAGTACGTTTGGCAAGCTCCATGTCCTGCCGTCATTCTTCTAGGGCCTCTCTGCTTTTGTGGCATTGACAAAAGAACTCTTGCGTTCCAGTGAAGACGCTTGGTCACATCCTGGCAGAGTCGGCGTAGGTTGTTCTTTTTGGTCAGCTTTGGGGGAGCTCTCTCAGCCCGGCTCTATAAGCGAAAGGGGGCCAGACGATGATATGGTCGCTAAGTTTCTTTGCCACTCGAAAATGACTCCCACCATATGGCTTCGCCTTGAGCGAGGAAGAGTGACAAGTGCGGTATTGGGGGTAGGCGAGAAGATTGAACAAGCAGATGCTCACCCTAAAAATGCTTCAATAAGTGAGTTCAATAAGTAAGTAGCATAACCTAGGATAAGACTAAGCAATACTTTGCAAATAAGTATCAACCACAACTGCTTTGAGTAATCCCTTCGCCAAACGGGGACCAACCTTCAGCGCATTCCGCGAATTATCATCAACGAAGCCCAATCTTTAAGACAGGCTACCTTGGCACGCTGATGCGAACAGTTATGCAACGCGTTTTAATATACAGCCGGCACCAAAGTTCATTAGTAATTGTATTAGTTCTTATAATTATTGGTTGTCAGTGGTCCGATTATTCAAGCCAGAAGAGCCCTCCACTGCCGATTGTCACAAGCGCGAACAGCGGTTTTGTTTTCTATCAACCAACAAAGCATGGGTTTTGTTGCCGTCGGATTGACTACCCTCCCCCGACGAGAGTGAGAAAAAGACCAACAAAACATTTGACTGGGTATGCGCCTGGTCTTATATAAACGGACACTTCATTCGTTGACGTATCCTCGCTTTGCTAGAACTCTCCTTGGACTGATACGCATGCTTCAGGTTCCGGTGATCTTAAGACGTCATGAATCGGTGAAACTCCGACATATAAACTTCAATTTCCCTCATAATAACTATCAACGCTTGCATTTTACCGAGATTCTCAGTTATATCCGCACCACAATCAGTACCCTTGCCAAGCGCGGTGAGGCTCTCGCGTTTCCACGATCTCCTTGTTGGTGATCGCAAGATATTCCTCATTCTGTTGAAGGAAGTCCTTAATGCCCCGGACATCCGTCTGCTTTCCCGCCTCGTGGTTCTCCTCCAGAGTCTTCAACATGGCATCCAGTCTGTCCTTCACAACCTCAGCTCTGTACTTGGCCCACTGATAGTAGAGCTCCGAAAGCTCGGAAATCGGTCTGATCGAGGTCAAGACGGAGTCGTCCTTGACACAAGGGTCGCGAGGTCGGAAAGAGGTAATCATGGTGATGCGCTCAGCACCACCGATAGCTGCGAGAGCCTGGTGCTCAACGTATCGGCCCTGGAGGATGACGGCATATCCCTTCACCATGGTTAGCAACAATGATTTACAACAGGTAGCGAGTCATCTTACCATCTGCGGTCCGCGAACCTTGAGAACGTCTCCTGTACCGGTCTTCAGGGCGGTCTCGCCTCCGAGCATGGTGGTAGCGTCACTCATCATGACAACACAGACGAAGGGGAAGGCATCGTAGTGCCACTTGGTGACAGAGGTGTTGTCGCCCTTCTTGGCGTCGGCCTTCTGCTTCTCGCTTGCTGCGCTCTGGATGGAAATGTTGATGTTGCCGACCTCGTACTGGATGTTGGGGATGAGATCGACACCGGCGACCTTGGAGATGACTTCGAGAGTCTTGGGGTTGTGCCAGGCCTGATCCATAAATGGTGCATACCTGGAGGCGCTATTAGATCAAGAATCGTATTGAAAGGCTGCAAGGGTATGCTTACTTGGGGCAGTGCCCTCTAAGCTGGCAAGGAGCAAAAGCGGTGCTGTGCAAGCAGTTCTCCCAAACTTCCGTTGTGAAGATCTCTTGTCTCATAGTCTGGATAGCCTCCTCAGTGAACAGAGGGAAAGGTTCTGAGCACGCAACGGGAGAGATTCCAATGTCTTCTGACATGGAGATGTCCTTGAGAGTGAGCTTCTTGGGGTCTTCGACAAACGCGAGGTGTTCATCGGGGTTGAAGGTGGCCGTTGGCCTGCTGGTGGTGGTTGACCTTAGCTCATCCTTGATGATGGGCTTGAAGTTCAGCTTCGCCAAGGGAGAAGGAGTTGCGGAAATGACTTCGGCCATTGCGAATATGGTAAAACTCTCGTGAAGTTCTGGTTGCAAAGATGCGTAAAAGCGAGAAGCTTAATTGTAGAGGTAACTGCTTGATTCGTGTCTTGATGACGATGCTGTTCTGGCTGTTCATTTCCTCCTTATCACGGCCATGCCATCTCATTCATATAGATAAGCTCAGCGGCCGGCAACACGGAGTCAAGGCCGTGTGGTCTTAGTTTCGAAACTCTCGAAGGAAGCCAAATTGATGCTCGGAGATTGCCATGATTGGCCCTGTGTCCAGCTGATAGCACCCCGACCCGAACTGGTTTCGTAAGTATGAATCATTGGGCACCGACCCGAGTGAGATTGTTGGCAAAGTCCCCGTGGGACTCGAAGCTTCTTGCTCACATGCCGCCTTGCCCAGACCTCGTGATCGGGCTTGATAGGAGTTTCGCGCGGTGAAATGGCCGCCCGAGATGGCTTCGGCTTCCTGATATCTCCCCCGGTCGGGTCCCGACCCGAGGGCGCTCCCGATCCTTGTCGGCCACCCCACCAAACCCGAGACTTGCATGCGCTCCGACCCCGGAACCCCGCACGTAGATGCGGAGAAGAATCGGATCTCATTTCTTTACCTCATTCGGATAGCTTAACCGGGGTCGGGTTGATGACTTCTAAGCATGACGATGCAACTCCTCCACCGCAATCGAGGGGCATAAAATGAGCATGACCAAGAGAGGAACAAGGTGCTTTCCGAGATAGCTTCATCCAGCAACACACGTCCTGAGAGATCTCCGATACCACATCTCTCGCAGTACCCAATCTACCGCGACCCCTCACAATGGCGCCCTCCTTTGCATCTTCACTGAAAGACCCCAGTCTCTTCGTTGAGAAATCCTACATCAACGGACAATGGGTGTCCTCAGTATCGAACAAGACCTTTCAAGTCCTCAACCCCGCAACAGAAGAGCCCATTGGCACCTGTCCCGAGTCCACCACAGATGACTTGAACAAGGCTATTGAGGCAGCTGCAAAGGCTTTCCCCTCATGGAGCAAGGGAATCTCCGGCAGACAGCGTGGTCGCATCATCAAGCGCATCTTCGAGCTCTTGGTTGAGAACAAAGAGGATCTCGGCAAGATCAACACAGCCGAGAACGGAAAGGCCAAAGGCGATGCCGAGGGTGAATCTCTGTTCGCCGCCAGCTTCTTTGAGTGGTTCAGCGAAGAGGCCCCTCGGGTCTACGGAGACATCATCCCCCACAGCAACCCGACGTACAGGACCCGCGTTATCAAGGAGCCTGTTGGTGTGTGTGGGTTGATCGTTCCGTGGAACTTCCCCCTGGCCATGGGCGCTCGGAAGGTCGCAGCCGCCCTTGCAGCCGGATGCACCGTTGTAATGAAATCCGACGGTCTTACACCATTCTCGTCGAACGCCCTGGCAGTCTTAGCAGAGCGCGCCGGGGTTCCTCCCGGAGTTCTCAACGTCGTGACTGCTTTGGAGAACACGCCCCAGCTCGGTCTGGCTCTATGCGAGTCTGACACCGTGAAGAAGATCTCCTTCACGGGTTCAACGAGAGTCGGCAAGTTGCTGATGAAGCAGTCGAGCGATACGCTCAAGAAGCTGAGCTTGGAGTTGGGTGGTAACGCGCCTTTTATTGTCTTTGACGATGCAGACCTGGAGGTGGCTATCTCAAGTGTTCTCATTTCTAAGTTCAAGGTGACTGGCCAGACATGCGTATGTGCCAACCGCATCTTCGTTCAAGAGGGCATCTACGAGAAGTTTGCCCAGAGGCTAGTGGAGGAAGTCAGCAAGTTCAAGGTCGGGCAAGGCACAGATGCCTCGGTGACCCATGGACCCTTGACGAACGGTGTCTCCAAGGTAGAGGAGCACATCAAGGATGCCGTCAGCAAAAACGCCAAGATTCTTGTGGGTGGAAAGAAGCTCCCTGCCGTAGGGAAGAACTTCCATGAGCTCACTGTTCTTGGCGACGTGACCGACTCTATGAAGGTCACGCAAGAAGAAACATTTGGCCCGCTTGCGGCGTTGACGAAGTTTAAAACAGAGAAGGAGGTGATCGGGAGGGCCAACAAGTCCGAGGTCGGCCTGGCGTCTTATCTTATCACCAATGACCTCGGAAGATCCCACCGTGTATCAGAACAGCTGGAGTTTGGCATGGTCGCCATCAACACTGGTGTCATTTCCGATGCCTCAGCACCGTAAGTCATCCCCAGGCGAAGATTATCCTCAAATGTACTAACGAATATGTAGATTCGGCGGCGTGAAGCATTCCGGCATGGGCCGTGAAGGTAGCAAGTACGGCGTGGACGATTACTTGACGATCAAGATGATTGTTACTGGAGGCATCTCACCTAATCTGTAAAACTCGTGTAGACTTGCAATATCACTAAGAAATAGACGTGCATATGACGAAAAATGCATGAATGTTGATCAACATCTGTTTTGTTCAGACTATCCAGTAGACCAATCTGTTGTCTAATATCTTGACATCGCTATAAATCAAATCCGATTGGTGACGCTTTTCTCATTGATCGGCCGTGATGATCGGACCCCCCTTAAACAAAGAAAAGGGTGCCGTCGTTGTTTCCTATTCTCTCATCCAGGTTGATGGAGCTGCGGACGTACTGTCCGTTACGGGACAGCTCCGCCTCCAGGCGCTGTCCGCCATCAACGAGACGGGCGTCGCGGGCCGAAGCGCCGAAGTTGCCTCCGGGACCACCGCCCCCACCACCGTGAATCTGGAGGTTCTGACCGGGCCAGATCTGATCGGGGTTGGAAATGTTGTTGCTCCGAGCAACCTCCTCCCAGTTGGCGTTGAATCGGGCCGCGATGTTGCGGAGAGTGTCGCCCTGCTGGACAGTGTAGTTCTGGCTACCGCCGCCGCCGCCGCCGGAGTACCAGCGGAAGCTGCCCTGGTCGTTCTCCAAGATCCGGTTCAAGCTGATGCAGCTGTCTTGCCAAGAGCCGTCACGGCGCTTGCAGGAAGCGCGCAGGTTGTAGTCGCCGTGGGCGTCGAGACGGATGTCCCTGCAGGATCCGGTGAAGCCACCGCCGTAGTTGCCGCCGCGGGGACGGTCACCGGAGCCGCGACGCTCATGGTGGCTCTCATGATGGTGGTTGTGCTTCTCATCTCTTCTGCGTCTCTCCTCGTCTTCTCTTCTGCGCTCCTCTTCCACCTCCCTGCGCTTCTCCTCCTCCTTCTTGTCGTCGCGCTCATGCTTCCAGTCGGAAACGCCGTCCTGGAGCTTGTGGCCGGCGAAGGCGCCAGCAACAGCACCGATGAAGGTGCTAGTCTTGCTGTGGCCGAAGTTGCCGCCAACCTTGTGACCACCGAAGGCACCGGCAGCACCTCCGGCCAGAGCGCCGGTCAGACCGCGCTCGCCGTCCTCGCCCTCAGGGCCGCCGGGGCCGCCGTAGCCACCGGGTCCGTCATTGCGGTAGCCCTGGTTGTGATCGCCGTTGTTGTTGTGACCCTGGTTCTGGTAGGGGGGAGGGGATGAGAAGTTTTGTTGCTGGTGGTGCGGGGGTTGACCGTATCCAAATTGTTGTTGGTGTTGTTGGTGTTGTTGGTTCTCGCCGCGGCCGTCATTGTAGTATGAGTTGGCCTCACCGCCCTGGTGACCGCCTCCCTGGTGACCGTAGCCTCCACCCTGCTGGCCGTAGCCTCCGCCTTGCTGGCCATAACCGCCGCCGTTGTTGTTGTTGCCGTAGTAGCTCATGATGTCTCACTTGTGAATGTGAAGGTTGAAATGACAGTGTTTGAGTGTATGATATCTTAGGATGGCCAAGACCAGTAATCTAACAAGCAATAGAGCTTCCGTGACATGCGGGGTAATGGTTTTCCTTATATAACCTTCTCTCACTAGTGTTGAGCCTCCAACAATGGGTCGATCCAAAGCTTGTGATATCCAAACATTGCCCAAGATATTTTTACACCGCCGCCATAGTGGGGAGAGGCTGATGAAGTCTCGACTCAGAATGTCCGCGCGTTATCCTCTTTTCGGTCCAATCGGGATGACCGCGTCAGGGTTCACGGCCCACCCCGCAGACACAGCCCCGGATGTCGGCACGGCTCTTCGAAGTTTGGGTGAGGAAACGAACGAGTTGAAGTCTGGGCACTCTCAGGTCCTTGCCACGTAGCTTGTTTTCTGACGTACCAGAGGCCGAAGAAGGGGCTCCTTGATGAGTCCGTTGGCGGTCCCTGATTGCCTAAGAGAATCGATTCCGCCACAGACCCCTGAGTCCGAATGCGCCACGATGAAAGACTTGAGACCATTGGAGCTAACCGTGCGATCACGGCCGATCAAGCCTTCCCCCGCACAGTGGCTGAGGGAGAAACACGTCGAATGTTGGCTGAGTGGTATCCGATGTTCACCACGGAAACCAAAGTTTGACATGTTGGGCGCTTGCACATGTCATAGGTAGCTCAGCGTGGAAGCTCTGGAATGGCCTGCAGGGAAACAGCTGTTTGTGACGTTCGACCTGCAGAAACCTAATGCCATCCTGGGGCAACAGAGGATGGCCGGCCTCCAGGAGCTTACTGCGTACCTCAAACACATTTTCGGGAAACGAGAGCGGCGAACGGGGCCCGCGGCTCGCTCCAGAGTGCACAGCTACGGAGCTTCCCAGGAATTCATGTCCCGAGGTCGCAGTAGCTGAAATAGAGTTGAACAATACCATCACCAGCTCAAACGGCCATCAAGCAAGTCCCAGACAGTCAAACGCAGCAAGCTCTGCAGCGGTGCAGCCGCGTCAATGCCACCTTGCGGCGAGCACTTCTGCAGGGGAGCCGCTTCAACGAAGATCCTTCCCTAGTGCAGTTTAGTAGCCCTTGGATCCCTCCACTCCGATCGCTCGTGAAACGAGATCCAGTTCCGCAGAGATGTCGGCGGCATCTCCTGAGAGTGGAATACGAGTGTTTGATCGCGTGCTCGCGACACCAGTAGATCGTACGTCGGCTCGGAAATAATGGATTCGGTAGCAGTGGTGTTCCCCTAGATCTTGGCACAAAGCCGACATATGCGATGGGGATTGTCTGTCCTACGAGCTCCGTGGCATCCGACGATGTTCTTCGGCGGCAACTGAAGGCGCTCGATAGCCGGTATGGCAGCCATGTGGAAATTTATTTCCATGGAGACGACATTCCAGTCATACGCAGTAATGCTGTTGCGCGAAACAATATTTCATGCAAGCAAGCTACAATCAGCCATCTCAAAACTTTAATCCCCTCAATCTCCAATATTTCTTTAGAACGATTTAAGCGCGATGGTGGAGACCGAGAGCACGGGGCGAACACCCAGTATGTGCATCACCGGCGCGGGAGGGTAGACCGGGATGGCCCCGCATTTCCCGCATGGACCGGACGAACGGTGCGACCGGGTTTCGGTAGCAACCCCGGCTTGATCTATCTGCCCTCGGGACCCTTCAGATCTTGATCTTTCTCTATCAAATGAGAGCACGAATCAGCAGCAGCTTCCGATACTACGCCCAGTGTACTGGAGTTGTTGCTAAATGCTTGACATCCGACCAGTAAGGGGTTAGGGAAATGAATACTAATAGTGTCGGAAGGCAATTTGAAGATATCGCAATGCTCTCTCAATTCCACGCATTCAACTACACTGAGCCACTCGAGGAGCGACCGTGTTCTAAATCTACCTTCAGAAGCTGTGCCATGCGTCTGCGTAATCCCACCTCCTCTTTGTCAGCCATGGCCGCTTCGTGCTCGTCGACCGCCGGACGGATCCAGACCAAGTCGGCGTGCTCCGGCCTGACAAACTTTGTACGCCTGATGACCTTAAAGCCACAGAAAAGGCAGATAGCTAGGATAGCCATAGTGTAACTACTAAAGAACGATCCAACATCCCATCTACCAGGCAGGAAAATAGCGTATCCATAGAAAGCTTCCACAGCGATGAGCCAAACCAAAGCGATCCAAGTTCCGTACGGTTGCAGGTAGCCACGGTAAGGAAGGTCTTCTCTGTTGAAATTCTGCGCGCGGAGGGCTCGGTAGAAAAAGAGATAGTTGACGCAAATCACGATGTACGTCACCAAGGTTCCGCCGGTAATCAGGTTGGTGAGCCTGATCTGTTAGCAATGGACATTATCAGAGAACCCAAGCAGAGTGACGAGAAACGCTGGGGCGCAGAAGAACTTGCTCACCATGTCAAGACAGTGACTGATCCACTTCCCAGCTTGAGATAAGACAGGCAGGCAAATGCCATGGAGACGACCAGGCAATAGACAGGAACGCCTTGCTTGGTGACCTTGGTGAAAATCTTGGGCGCATGGCCGTTAAGCGCTAGTCCATAGAGACTGCGAGACGAGCAGTACACATAAGCGTTCCCAGCAGAGTAAATACTTGTCAACAGCAAGGCATTGACGATATGCGGGAGAACTCCGACGTTCATGTTCTTCATCGCAATGACGAAAGGCGACGCTGCACCTGTTCCAGTCTCACCAGAGCTCAAGACTGACAGCAGAGAAGGATCATTTGCGGGGAGAACGATACCAACGCAAAGGGCACCTCCGATGAAGAAGATGCCGAAGCGCCAGTAGACGGACTTAAACGCAGCCTTCATGGTTTTGCGCGGCTGTTGCGCTTCGCCAGCGACTGTTGCCAAGTATTCTGGGCCAACGATGTTGAAGGCGGCCTGCCATAGCGCGGCGAGGAAACCATGGAAACGGCCCATATGACCCTTGTCAATGTACTCGACGAAAGGAGCCTGTAGACACGGTCATTCGCGACCCTCAGATGTAGTAGGATGGGACATGAGATTGGAAACTCATACCGGTTTGGACCAGTTACGGAAGCCATACGCATCGTGTTGCGGGTTTCCTCCGACCATTGTGATGAAGGTGAAGAAGAACAGGATGCAAATTAGCAGGAGCTTGCCTCCTGCTAACCAGAATTCTGTTTCCCCAAAGTACTTAACGACAAGTACGTTGCATGCTCTGCAACACTTTCGTTTAGCAAGAACACACGCAGCGTCATGGAAGCATCGACCTACGCATAGAGCACAATACAAACTGTGATGACTGCCGCGGACGGGATGTCGTCTCTCCAGAACGTCAAGACCATATCTAATGCCGTGATTTCGAAGGGAATGAGCAGAGCCTCGAAGATGAAGAAGTTCCACCCAATCATGAAGCCCCAGGCACTGTCCACCCAGTTGCCTGCGTGATGGATGAAGGCTGCACTGATGGGCATGAAAACAGTCATCTCCGCAAGCGCGTTGCTCACCTGGGCTATGACGCAAGCATGGAGGACAAAGGCTATTAGCAAACTTGCCGCTCCACGCATGAGGCCATAGCCAATGCTCACGAACAGAGCTGTCCCAATCGCACCTCCAATCGCAACGAATTGGACTTGACGAGGGGTGAGATGGCGTTGCAAATGCTCTTGGTTGTGGATGATCTCGCCGCTCGACACCTCACCCGAATCTTGCTTGCTCTTGGATTCTATCATGGCGACTGAAGGCTTGGGCTCAGACTCAGATGAAGGTATGCTCATGATGTGCAATGATGACAACGATGAGAACGAACTGGCTGGTACTCAGATCCAACGATTGTGTAAAGGGCATCTGACACTGATGCTTTTGGTCATGTTCAAGCTAGAAACTCTGGGATTATACAGTATTTTAAAGGGTTCTCCTGACAGATGGACCTGAGACTATTCGCTCTTTGGAGCTGACAGCACAAGGGTTCATCCATCTAGGTACGAAAGCATGACCCATCTAGGTATTGTGTCGATAGCTTTCGCCCGAACACATCGGTTCGTAAGGGTCGGGTGGCATCTACAAACCTTCAGTCATCCCGAGATAGCGTATAAAGTTTTCACTGTTCTCGGGTTGGCTCCTATGACCGTCAGCGTGCTGCGGTTTTCCAAGTTCGGAGGCTTCGGAAGGGTTACAAGAATACCCGGCCATCCCCACGGCTCGGGGCCAACCAGATGTTGCTGATTGCGATCCGACCGGACTGGGAGTGCGCTGTCTTGGCTATCTTCATGTCGTGGGGTGGATTGTCTGGGGAAACAAATCAGAGAGCGCCAAGGCCGGAGACTAGCTGACTCGATATCAGGTGCTGAGATGGCGTAGACGGGCAAATGGGGCAGATTCCATGGCAAACTCCGTAGTTCTGCTTGCGGTTGCAGCAGCTTTAAGCTGTAATCTACTTGTATAGAACCCGAATGTAGTCGGGATTAAGTCCGGGGTGCCGTGGTTCAGGGCGGAGACTAGCTTCGGATCCGTCGTGGTGACAAGGATCGGGAACTGCAGCGCATCCGATGTTATTCGGGCCTGACTAGTTCAGCGACACATCTACGCGGTCCAGACCGGGGCAGATCGCAGCTGTGTAACGACTGTAACATGACATGTGTCCAAATAGCAACATCAAGGTTCGGACCAGTGTGTCTCCGACAACGGGCATTAGAGGCAATGTGATCTTCAGGTGACGCTATCTCTTGTCCGATTAATCGGCACATACGCGGTTGGTCGGAAAGATAACCGTTTGTTCACATTTATCACAGCGTAGCCATGAGCATAAGAATGCCAAAGTCCGGGGCAATGAGACCGAAAGATTGACCCCTTGTTTTCGAATAACATACCAAACTCGTCCAAGGTGTCTGCATCAACCTGTCACGAGACGTTAGTCTTGATTTCTTGTCAAACATCTCCCCTGCGCCCGCCAATCATGCAAGACTCTGAGCTAGAGCAAATCTCTGAGGCACTCCGGGCCGCCCGCATCAGCAAAAGGCCCATTGACCCCCCAACAAAGACCTGGAAGAACCTCGACGCCGATAGTGCCTTTGAAGTCCAGAAGATCACTGTCAAGAATGCGATCAGCAAACATGGAGACCGCCTTGTTGGATACAAGCTCGGAAATATTGCCAAGGTCATGCAGGATGCCTTCGGACTCGATCAGCCGGACTACGGCTTCCTGCTTGCCAGTACCTTCATCTACGAGGGCACAGCGCTATCCCTAAAAGATTACATCAAGCCCTTTGTCGAACTAGAGCCGGCATTTGTGCTCAAGGGTCACCTCAAGGGTCCCAATGTAACGGCTGCCGATGTCATCAACGCGATAGACTATGCCATCCCTGCCATTGAGATTATCGATTCCAGGGTCAAGAACTGGGCTATCGACCTGCCGGATACTTTGGCAGATAACGGTTCTACCGCGGCTGTCATCCTTGGTGGTACACCCCGCAAGCTCACCGACCTTACTCTGAGCAACACCCGTGGCAACCTGCGCTTCAACGATCAAGAAGTCATGACGGGCAACACCAAGAATGTGCTCGGCAATCCTATCTCGGCTGTGGCGTGGCTGGTGAACAAACTGTCGAAATACGACATCGAGTTCTTCCCTGGACAGGTGGTCTTGCCCGGTAGCTGTCTGCAGGCGGTTCCAATGACGGAGGCAGGGCACTGGTCTTGCACATTCGAGGGATGGGGTACTATTGAGTTCGATGTCTTGAATGATCGCGCTAGCAAGCTATGATTTCAGGTGTTCCAGCGACACGGGGACGGTTTTCGTGTGGATAGAGAATGCAGTAAAGTCACGTTTTCACAAGCCACTTCGGTCGAATGTATTACACTTTGCGACGTAGATATCCAGATAATGATTTATCCCCATTCAATATAGATACATAATAGATACAGACTGTACTCAAGTTAATTTCCAATGAGCTATTAATAAATACTGCAGGTTTCGTCATGTTTCTTGTAATCCTACCTACTTATATCTCTCATTCGAACAAAATCAGGGAACCCGTCTAATGGCCTATCCGAACCGCAATCAGGACCTCACATTATAACAGAGTGGGCTGATAATGACGGCAAAGGCATACTGCATCGAAGAACATGACTTTCTTTGAAGCTGGCAGGAAGTTTCTGTTGAATATATAGGTGTGAACCATTCCATTCCATTCCCACATGAGCAAGATTGGTTTTATCGACATACTCAACGCTTTTTCCACGCTACTACTCAGTTTTCAACTGAGGTCATCGAGAATCCAAAGTAAGAACTCTTGGAAATGATGCTCAGGACTGAAGAGTCTTAGCTAAAACACAGAAACTCTTCTTTCTCTCTCGTGAGTCTCAATTTCTTCATTGCCTAGGCATATGTTGCGCATGACTAACAACATGTAAGATAGCGAATGCTCGCCAGGCAGAGCGTAAACCGAAGAAGGTTAGAATTATGAGAGCCAACTGGGCTATTCCCAGATAGCGCCCCGCCAGCTGTGTCCCGAGCCGATCCCTGCTCCCGATCCTTGTACGGCTTCTTGACCCCGCATAAAGAGGGCAGTCTCGGCTGATACAGCTCATTTGGGGTAAGGGACACGGCGATGACATCGAATCAGGAGTTATGATTGATTGCTATCTAAACTTTAAGGAGAACCTCAAGATAAAGAGAACAAATTGCAGTTTAAACGATGGCAGTTCTGAATATATCTCAGCCCACTGATAGACTCGCAAAAACGATAAGAACCTCAAACCCCAAGAGAAAATTCAAATATCTTATCAAGTTGCATGTGCTCCGATTTCATGCGCTAGCGGGCTCCATGAGTTTTTTCCTAAGGAAGCACGCGAGCATCCAAGCAGGCACTGCTGCAACGCCTCCTCACCCAAAAGAGTCGGAAACGTAATGAATATGTACGACGTGTAAGCCATTGACTATGAATGGACTTTTCCAATCCCGTCATATTTGAACAATATGTCATAGCACCATTCCCCGGATTGTTTGCCATGGGTACCTGACAGACTCATCCAACTCAAAAGCTATGTTTTTTGATGAATTTCGCGGGGTGCATGACTCCGTCCCCGCTGATTTCCGGCAACACCCTCCCGCTATCAGCCTCCCCCGCACTCCGTGTATCGGCATCGTGACGAACTTTGGCCGCGCGTGTGTTATCATGCATCTTATCTAGACGTGTGTTTAACACCTATTGGCTCAGCTCTCAACATCACTTCAGGTGAAAACCGGCATTCGTCCTACAGTGTCGCCCAATATGCCTCGTTCCAGCGACACATCCAACATGGACGCCGAGCGTCGGAAGATACGGCGAACGACCAATGCGTAAGCAGCTCTTGAAAGGCGTCCGATAACCAAGCCTGACCTCTTAGATGCGTACCGTGCCGGACGAGCAAGATCAAATGCAGCGGAGACGAGCCATGTGCGAACTGCAGGCGCCGTGTGGTGAGGTGTAGGTATGAGGACATGGGTGGCAAGGCGCCTTCATCTGAAAGGTTGGTCTGGTTGGTCTTTCGCTGGAACCAAGAATATTGGCTCACGGTGCAATGTGACAGAAGCAATCACGAAAGGCAGAGGCGGCCTTCCGACGTATACTCAACTGGCAGCAAGCGTTCATGCGATGCCGCTTTTGGATCCGACAACGATGACGGTGGTGAGTTGTTACTTGTGACTATCGGCTATGCACTCAGCTCAAGTCAATCAGATATCACCGTATTATCAACAAGAAGAGATTCGAGATCTGTACAAGCAAACGATCAGTCAGTTTATACCAGCCCGTTTACATTACCCTCAACAACCATCAAGAACACGCATCAAAACAAACGTGCTTGGAGTAAGTCGTCCAACAATTCTTAAAAGCGCTCATAGAGGTTTGGCTCGTTGCTTACACCGGTATAGTCTGGCTCGCCCCGTCTTCAACCTGGTCATTCACCGCCCGACTGACCCTGATGATGGCGGAGAAGCTGCAGATAGATGCACCATTCAGCGCTCCGAGCTTCCTCAATGACGAGATATATCCCCTGAGATGGAGAGCTGCAGCTGCCGAGGATCAGCCCGACATCAATGGTCTTCCCTCCATCGAACACGCTCTTTATCTGTACAACACCGTCAAATTCCATCTTGGCCAGAACTATCAATTTCTCGATGAGAAGTCTTTTGTTCAAAACATTAAAAGTTTCTACTTTGGAAACCCCGCTCAGAAAGCAGCCGAATCTCGATTGTGGTTTGTGCAGTTTCTTCTGGTTCTATCTTTCGGACAAGCGTTCCTTTCAAGGTCAAAAACTCCCAAGGAGCCGCCAGGCTCCAAGTTCTTCATCCGCGCCATGTCTTTGTTACCAGATCCCACGTTGTTGTGGAAGGATAGCTTGTTAGCTATTGAGGTACTTGCTTTGGCCGGGTTGTATTTGTACTCAATCTACCAGAGGGAATCAGCGCAGTTATACGTAAGTGGAAACTCTAGCATGATGAGCGCCTTTTCTAACGTAATTCAATCTCTCAGGTAGCCCAGGCTATACGAATCGCGCAGTTGGAAGGGCTTCACACTCAATTACCCGAAGACGCCCTTGGTCCTGAGACAGTTTCTCGATGCCGAAATCTTTGGTGGACTCTTTATATCATGGATCGACATTTCTCGTGTTCTTTGGGTGTCCCAATGAACACCCAAGATATTGATATTACAACACTTCTCGACCCGCCAAGCATATCCACTCCACAAGACGCGACACTTGGCCTCAGAGTGAAGCTGTCTCATCTTCTCTCATCTATTATCAACAGTGAGTTACAATCCAAAGATCTTTGAACGTCTTTGTCGTATTCTGATTCACCAATAGCCGTCTACAAGTCCGAGAAAACACCACTGGGAGAGTTTCTTGAAGAAACGAGATCTATTCTCCATACCCTGGCCGGGCACGCCCAAGAGATTGAAAGAATCACTCGCGTAAAGTTTCAAAACTCCGTCGATACCATGCCTAAGGGGACGAGGGACATCACTCTACTTTATCATCAGGTCAGTTTTCATCCAAAAGCTTGCAATTCTTTCATTTCCTAACATTCATGAAGTGCGTTATCATCGCAACGAGGCCTCTCCTTCTGTCCGCCTTGAAACAACAACTCGACAGCTACGGCCGAGGCGCGCGAGACCTTGAGAGTTTCATGGCACCCTTAACTCCACTGATGTCAACCGGGATCAAGTCAGCTGTGAAGACTTTACAAATCCTGTCTGTCGAGGACAACCTCATAGGTAATTCTTTCGAATCCCTCCACTCGAATTTGACTAACGTCATGCCAGAAGTCTTCCTCCCCTTTGATCTCGAGTACGCTTATGGTGCTGCGATCCATCTTACCATAGCAAACGCTCTATTCCCCTCTACCACTGATATGGACGGGCCGACACACAGCCGCGAGGCGCACGCCATTCTGGATGATATGATACACAAGGGCAACTCCGTAGCGGAGGTGCGGAAGTCTGAGCTGGTTCATCTGGAATATCTTTTCAGCGAATTCGCAACTCGGTTGAAGCAGCCCGACTTCCAACCACCAAGGCTTCCAGTCCGCTCTCGGGAGGTGGCACCGGTCATTGAAGTCGGGGAGAGCTCAACATCCGTGACTGAGCCGGACCTGGTGTCAATGACCACGCTCAGCGAGTCTCAGTCTCTTTTCTGCGCTCCCGACACCCCGAACAACGCAGAGTTCCTCGACAGCATCGGAATATCGTCTGATGACTTCCTGTCCATCGTGGAGCAAATGGGTAACCAGGATGACATGGATCTCCCTTTCACCATGTTAGATCTGGGACAGTTCTGGAAATAGAAGAAGCACGCCAAAAGTTAGGGGAGGTTGATGGTGATTTCTAGCGAATCATGTTGCTTCGAGTATTTGCATTACTAGTTATTTACTTCATTCCTGGATCCAAAGCTGAATCCTGTCCTCATTCTATTATTTGTCTATGTAATCATACACCGTGAAAAGTCCTTGCCGACTGAGGTCTGAGAAACTCACGAAGGGTCATCAAATTGCCTGTCGCGTATAAACTACTCCCGTATTATTCGCTGCCCATAGTCTGCTCATAGCATTTGCTTCCGAAGCCTGCTACCATCCAGTGTGGTAATAAGGATCCCAACTCTGATGTCTTTGAGCATTGGTCGTATGCTGATTTCCAAATGGCTGGTAGTCTGGGTTGTGCCAGGCTGTTTGATGAGCTGTTTGAGTTCCTGGGGAAGCCAAAGTCGCCTCGGAAGTCGTGTTTGTCGGAACTTGCTTCAGGTCGTACATCGAGTCTTGACTGTAGACAGAGGTTTGCCTCGCATCGTATGTGGAATCTCTGTGGAGGAGGGGTTGTCCCATGTTGGGGTCCAACTGCGCCGTGCTGATATTATGAGAAGCGTGGTAGTCGGAGGGCATATGACCTGACAGACTGTCTTCTAAGCCGACTTGGATGGTTGTTAGTCTCTTTCAGCGTGGTTCTTTGCACAAGAATACTCACAAGCCAAGATGTAGAACAGTTCCGCTATCACAGGAACCCATGCAGCCAAGGCGAAGACTTGACCAAACGTCCATCTATCGTTCTTGTCGAGACCGCCGGCTGCGTCAATAATCTTTTGCCGGAAGATGGTGAAGTATGCCAAGATTCCCCACATGATGAAGAGGTTGATCCACGCAATTAGAAGACGCCATATTCCTCTCAAGGCCTTGACCCATGGCCTGTCAACCATTCCAGGTATCTTGAAGCCAGTGGTGATGAAGACAGTTATTACCAACCACAACAACGGCAGTCCGATGACCAAAAACTGAACAGCTTTGACAACGTGCCAGTATTGTGAACCACGTTGGTCGCAGTCAAAGTTTTCGACGCCACTCTTGCGCTGAGCCCAGTCGATTTCAGCTCGGGGCGCAATGTAGACAACGGATGCGCTGAGACCCCACATGATGAAGAGAACCGATCGATGAAGCCACTTCCTGTGACCGTCGTGTTTGACCAGGGCGTAGAGTAGCATTACCGGAAACACCGAGAAGTTAGACGCGATGAGGGACAGCGCAGTCTCGTACACCGCTTCGCCAGACGGCAGATCCGGATTGACCTTGTCCCTCTCCTCTTTACCATCGATGGCCGCATACAAGGCAGCACCGAGCATAGCAACGGCGATCAGCATGGCGCCACTGAGGAACATATCGAGAGAGCCGCGGAATGAGTCGAGAATTCGCCCGCTAACTGACTGTGACGCGTTCGGCTTTCGTGGTTTCTTATACTTGTTCTTGTTGAAGCGCCGAATAGTTTGGTGGATTGTAAAGACGACGAGGTACATCGTCCCGAGAAGGGCTTCGAGAAAGTAGGAAACGACGACCTGTCAACCTTTCAGCATCATGTCGCGCCATTGTAGCCTGAAAAGCTTGAAGTACTTACACCGATTCCACATAGGTCTTGACTGCCAGTATATCCTACAGCCTTACAGAACTCGGCTTCACACTTAACCTTCGGACCCTGGAGAATGCGGGTGTTGAATCGATCGCTGAATAGGTAGTATTTTGGGTCTCCGTCGGCAGGGACTGGAGTGTGCATCATGTTGTAGGCAAACCACGAACTGACGTCTGCGTACCATGTTGGTAGCGTATAATTAACGGTATAGTTGTCGGGCAAGGCATTGAGAAAGAGCAACATTGAAAGCTCCATGCTCATGCCACGGTTGATACTTGGGTCCCATGGATCGGGCTGCACCAAGCCCGCGAGCCATTGTCCCCATGCTGTGCTTTTGTAAGCCAGTGAGTCGATGTTCTCGGCTCTTTCAAGCACCTACCTGTGCAGTTCCGGTTGAAGTCGAGCTGATCCCAAGCTAAGTTACCTGGGACCCAGAGGTCGTCATAAGTCGAATTCATTTTGAGGGGGCCTCCGAGGTTCAAAATGCCCTTCTTGGCGGCTTCGTGCCAACTCGTGGTATCGGAGAGTTGTCGCAATGTAGTTGTTCATCAATTGAGAAAATCAGAGCAGCGGCCATCAGAGTGCTATGGGGTTAGAGACATTCTTATGGACAGGCTCTCCACCAGATCGACAACGTGCTTTGCCTCACATTCCGCGCTGAAATAATGCCAGTTCTCCAGCCGCACTCGATCCCCTTTCAGTTATCGGGTCGCAAAGAGGGATCTTCTAAACCTTCGGCCGGTGTGATGCAGCTGAACCCTTGGGGCTGACGGCTAAGTCAAAAAGGGAGTATTCATCGAGACTAACTCCCGCAGTGAGATTAGCTAGCGCAAGCCACCATCGCTAAACTGAATTACGAGTTCTTCGGCTTGACAAGGCTGACCATTCGGAGCACTTGCAATACGCCAAACTCGCTTGGGATGCTTGTGCTGCTTGCGCTAGCGGGTTTGGGCCGCACAGCTGGCCGTTGAGGGCTAGCAACGCGATGTTGCGGACGGCTCTTGTTAGCGCTCAGTATCGTGCGGGGAGGCTTGTGGTTCAATGTAAAGCATCTTGACAATGAGTTTTATAGGCACTCTCAGGCATGAAGCTTCTGGCATGATGCAGTTTATTTCAGTCAGCTCAATCGGACGGCATGCCTTGGGGGTGCACCCGTCGCATGTGTCTATCACGGTTGTCTTTCCTTGAGAAGCCAGTACTATTCCCTTCAGAGAATTTGCACCCCTGGTAGGGGCAAAAATATGCCAGGAAACCTTCAATTGTCTCCGGATGCTTTGCCCTCCGATGGCGATCCAGGTCCTTGCTGAGATAAAACGATGAGGAGCATCCGGGCTCCTCGCATCTGAATGGACTAGCGTGCTTCTTGAGGCATCGACTAGAGGAGAGCACTTTATCAGTTTTTAACTCCAACTCGTCTCCATTATTTAAGAACTTACTGGAGAAGATACCGCTTGGAATAGGCGCGGCGGCATGTGTCACATATCCAAGGCCCAACTTGTCGGTTGCCAGACCGATTAGCGACCTGAGGGTGCTGAGAAACCCGTGAACCGTCATTACCAGGCTCTTCGTCGGAATATGGAAAAGACTGTGGGAGAATATTGTCCTCCGCGTACTCGGATTGGTTTGGCCAATGAACGTCTTGCTCCCCATGTTGTTGCCCAGCAGGCGGAGGTAAGCTTGTCGAAAGACTCCAATCATATTCTTCGAGAGGCCCTCCACTACCGGTCTGTACCCACGAGGGATCAACGGTTTCGAGAGACTTTTGATGATGATGATAAAATAACCCTAGACCAGTCGAGCCTAGTGGGTTTGAACTAGAGATGAAAAAGACTTACCCAAAGAAAAGGAGGAGTGGTAGGCCTGCTGAGAGAGATGTGATGGCAAGAGCAGTGATTCAAAGGCCGAAAATCAGATGAGATGGAAAATGAGTGGTTTGGTCGGCAACGAAGATCGTAATTAAAGAATGATGGGCTTCGCACGATATGTGCCGGCCTTGGAGAGGAAAAAAAGATGTCAATCGTATTGGGGCAGGATGGCACACATTTATCCTCAGAAGCCCTTGCACAACCCGCCACATGCTTATCGTATTTTTTTGAATGATTGGTCGCCAGATATGATAAGCCTCAACTCAATATGTGGAAAGATTCATCATCTCGATGCATCATGAAGTCTTATTCTTGTAGGCCTCGTCCGATTGTCGGAGCCAATGAGCGGAAGCCACGCCCATGCATCCAATCATTGAATAAGGGTGTTGCTGGAAATGGAAATTGGCCATTTGGTTGCTTCTTGAGGCAGCTTGAATTATAAAAGAGCTGTGAGGATAATAGTCACTCCTAAGATTCAGGATGCTTCATCTCACAAGTCTATGGGAAACAATAAATCGTTGACATTGAACTAAGCAAGACGTAAGAATGTCTTCTTTATTTTGCTGCGAGTCTCTCAAGCCGTACAAGGCTCAACGTACCGACCATGAAATGAAGTTCATCGGTTTCATGGCTTGGGCTAAGTATCCAAAGTCAACCGGCGAAGGAGACCTTTCCAATATGGAATCATCCGGTCAGACCCCTCTCTATGCGATCCAACTCGTACGCCAGGTCAACTACGGTCCCCTGGAGAGCAAGCGGTACTTTGTCTGCTTTTATGGGCTTGATAAGGGTTACGTGGAAGTGTCTGAAGACTTTCTTATACAGGCCAACTTTCAGAAGGTGAACTCGTATGTTCCTCCTCTTTTCTACAAGTCTGTGTCAAAGCATGGCCCACGGTATTAAGATATAAGCTTGTCTTACTGATTACACGCCGCCTACAGATTCAAAAACTTCAAATGCGACGACCATAACAGGTTTTTTGAACTCAACCTGTACCAGAAAGATCCCATCAACAAGCACCATTGGCGGGCTAACTTGGCTCGACCTTCGAGTACTATCGATTTATGAAATGAGTTTCGAAAGATTCTTAGCGTGTCCCAACGAGAAAGACGCGGCGTCATTTCAACATTACGAGCTCTTTGGTCTGGCTCAGCAATCTGTGTAAATTTCGCCATAACGACGTAAGCTCACACCGGGACGGTCACTCGTTTCTCTCTGGCGCCGATTGCTTCTCGATGGGATACGCAGCCCGGTGTGTAGCTTAGTCCAGTTGAATGAAATACGCTGTTGTTTCCGTCTGCTCCCTGACGTACCATCACACCGTTTTCACAGTCGTATGCTTTGCAGCTCATAAACGGCAGAATTCTTTCTACCATGTGAGTTTTAACCATAAAAAAGCGAGCTGGCGCCGGTGCGGTCTGGCTTCGGTTTAAACTGGCGCCAAGATCTTGTGGTGGCTTAATAAGGGGTTTGACTCATTCGAGCGGCACGCCACATCGCGTGAGGTCCCTTCAAGAGCGAGCCCCTGGAATTCCGAACAAATAAACTTCCCGGATAGCGGTTAGCCTGATCTAACGACAGTATGCCTCGCGCTATCATCGCCGAACGTCGCCTCCGATGCTCAGACACCTTCTATCCTAGAGCTGAAAGATAGCTGATGATTAAAGCAATGGCTATGACGCTATGCTGGGTTTCTAAACATTTCTGGTCCCGAACTTTGATCTCTGAACGTCTTTGGGTACTGTAATGGCCGATCTCCTTATGGTTTCGGTATGTCTCTGATCCAAATTGCTGACATCGCGGATTGATTCCGCAGTCAATATCCCAGTCCGAATGCATCACAGTTGGTTTCACCTCCAGATACACAACACGTGGGTGCCTTCCGACTTATGTTGAATACCGGCTCCCCTGGATGGAATATCCCCTCTTTGCAGCCCATTTTCAACAAGCTTAGGTGCCGTTGCCTTTACCTGCTCGAGGAAACTACCATTGGCAGCTAGGTCATCGAAATGGCGGCATTGGTATGCAGTTATCTAATCGGTGGAATTAGAACAAATACTTGAAGAGTGTTAGTATGAGACTTTGACTTCCTCGATGCGTTGGTCGAAGCTTGAATGGATTTACAGTTCATATCGCTTGGGCCAGGTTTGCCCACTCCATGACCACTCTCTTGTATGGGCTGATGCACTCTCGGGACATTCCAGCCACACCAAAAGAATTTTGAATGCTGCTTCTGACGAATGTGGGAATTTCTTCTCGTCGTCTGGGAATACTAGTAAGAAGATGGAAGCTGTGAATGAGCACTCTCGTCTGACTACTGTCATATTGACAATGACGATGCAGTACTAAGATTCTAAGAACAAGAAGCTTTGAGGATAATTCAAAGACATTCCCCATTACACCCAGGATTTGGGACATAGACTGTGATCATAAATCCATTGTCTGGCAAATGTTCATATTCTAGATATCTTGTCTGTCTCTGAGGCCTGAAAGGTGTTCAAATATGTTGATGACAACCACGGGTAAGCTTCACGACTTTCGTGTGCTTTGAATAATCTTGTCACGGAATACAGAATACAGCTGCTTTGTCAGTCATCGTGTGTAAAGCAGTGATTGGGTTCTGGAAGAGCGTATAAATAATAAATTCATGGAGTCATCTCAATAGTTTTCTCAGCAAGTCAAATCAAGAAGCATTCTCACTCCAGTCAAATCAATCAAATCACTTCAACTTATCAAAATTCCAGTCTTCTTCCAATTTCGAAAACTCTCCAATCCTTTACCATCACCAACATGTCCTGCCCCCGCGAAGGATGCTCTGGAGCCGCTGACTACCGCGAGCGTTGCATGCAATGGATGGAAGACAACAAGCCCTCCTGTGCCCCAGACGACTTCTCCTCGCCAAAAGAATCGAAGCCTACGAGCTCGCAACTCCCTCGAAGCAACACCATCGGCTCTCCCGACGTTTACGAACGTTCTGCCACCGGCGAAGCTCCTCTTACGCGCACCGGCTCCTTTGGCGGCGGTCACGTGAAGCAGCTTGTAGCTGGCTATGAAGCTCGTTCCCGCCGCGCCGAGGATCTGTCTGAGGAGGCCATTCGAAGAAAGCGCGAGGCTGATCGAATGTCTCAGGACAAGGACTCAGTTGCCTCGGCCGTCAAGAGCGATTCTGAAACGAAGGTCGCCTCTCAAAAGAAGGAATCGTCGACTGAGTCTGATACGGAAGACGGGGATTGGTATCGGGTCAACAAGACCACTGACTTGGACTAGACTTGTGTGTTTTCCCCCTTTCTGATCAGGTTTCGGTGTTGTTGGCTGTTCTTTGTCACTAACTTGCTTGTGTAGTTGATGGGTATAGCGCTGTTAGGATGATATCTCGTTTTTCAAAACTCTTTGAACGCACCCGATGATGGACTGCCCATCTTACCTGCTGCTTGAGGACTTGACTTCATGTTCACTGGGCATGGACCTGGCGGGACCCTCATCTGAAACAGCATGACCGGTTCCTTGTTCCATACTATAGTATGAGGCTTTAGAAGGCCATTCAGATGCCTGGCTTATCTGACGCTCTTTAGCGAGTTGTCTGTCATGTCTTTGTCCTCTGCGGTATGACTTTAGAGGTCGATGATTGAGCCGTGTTGGAAGAATGGCCATTGTTCTAATACAAGCATATTGTGCTCCCAAACAACACTTGCCTGACTTCTTGAATGTCCGGCCGGGTATTTGAAGTCAAGTGAGGTACTGCTTGGCTTCAATGATTCTTTCCACAAGTGCGTAACAACTATCTCCCCGTCTTGAACCACAACATCGAAATTTGCTCCCACTCCCCGAGAGCTTCTACTGCCGCCGGTCTATTGGCCATGGATCAGGGTAGTGGGTTCTCTTTCATATTCCCTGATTCCATCGTCATCGAAGACCAGGCAGAGACATCTGATGGTCAGGTAATTATCTCTCGTGTACCTTCACCCGTAGGTTCCGCGCACTGGTCCGAATTCGACCTCTCAGACTCTTCATACGACAAATTGTCCGAAGCAGATGCAGCTTCCTCTTGTTCTGCGAGATCACTGAGAAGCATTCGAAGTCTTGGAAGTTTAGAGCTTTCTCCGCCACCTTCCCTTTCGGATTGGGGCTCGGACGATCTACTGAGTGACAGTGATTCCGAAAGCGGCTCATCGCTCCGCAGCATTCGTTCCGCCCCAGATCTCAGGGAGCTGCAGAAGCTGCCGGTACCCAACCCCGTCGGTGATAAGTACGGACCTGCTTTGCAGTGGTTCATGTCCCAGAACTTTCTCGACGATAGCTACGAGACGCCTCCCCCCGGATTCTTCGAGAATCTTCGGAAACAAGCAGAGGAGAAGGAAAAGGCTGAATCTTTGTCTAAGCAGGAGCGGACCGGGAAGCCCGCCAGAGCTCCGTTTCCAGACCTCTCGATCGAAGACTCAGCGCGAGACCGGAAGCATGACGCATACTACAACATTCTTCTCCGTCGACGCAAGATTCAGGAGAAATATCGAAACCGGGAGTTGGTGGCCAAAGGTAAGTTGCAGGACTGGAACTGGTGCGGCTTTCCTGGGTGCAACGCTGCGGTTTGTCTGTACCAAGGTGAATCTGAGGGCGACATCAGGAGGCCGACCCCAAAGGTCCTAGTCCATTCCGACAACGGCGCTAGCGAGCATGTGTCGAAACGTCTCCTTGAAGCCCTCAATGAAATTTGCGTGGACGATGAAGCCGGCTTGCACTCCCTCGTCACGTTTGCAGCATCTCCACCCATCCTACGTGCTGCAGCGGATTGTGTGCTTTCGAGGGTCATGTTCGATGCGGACTATCAGTCAGCTGCTGCCACGTTCGAGGACAGAATGTCAGAGTTTCCTCCTGCCTTGGTCGAAGAGCACAAGGTAACCCACGAGAAACTCCCATTCTACGAAGAAGCCCCAACCCCGAAGACGGTGCCCGAGGTGGTCCTTCGATTCCTTATGAGAGCGGAGTCATGGCGGGGAAAGCAGGCCGAGCAGGGCTACCCATGGAACTGGCCACTTCAAGATTGTGTGCATATCTTTAAGGGCATTCTCGATTCATACAGAGAACTCTTCGATGATGGGCACGTGGTACTGGTGGATGAGCCTTTCGATGTGCTGGTGGACAAGCAGTGGCGGCATTGGCTTGATACCTACCGGCCGTGGAACGACAACGAAGTGCCATTGCTGAGTAACTTACGGTCTGAAATAGCCCAAAGAGATGGATTGTCTAGTCCAGAAGATCCGACCTTTTATGGGGCAACGGGTTTGGACAAGGGATGTTGGTGGCCGAGTCAACAAAGGGCTGCTGGTGTTGATGAATCACGAGAGCATTGAGAATTCTGTAGTTGGAATTCTCTGGGTGATGAGAGCGTGTTTTCTTTTCCATCTTTTTTGTTTTTAGGTTGTTGTATAATATTGGATTCCTAGTCGACCAAAACTCATTTGCAGATAGCAGGAATTAGAAGCCATCACCAGCGATGGGGCATTGTCAAATAAATAGCGGCTCATTGGCCAATCAGAAATGTCTCTGGAAAGCCCATGCACGGACCACCTGAAATTTGTCCGATTGACGATGAAGCTCCTTCTCCATCAACTTTTTCCATCACCACCATATCAAGTGGCAGGACAGGCAATTCCTGCTCAACAGACACGTAGGTTACGTTCAGGCACCGATATTTGAACAACAAGCTGACAGAGTCTGCAGAATGCCGCCCAGGTTACCACAACAGGCCGCGCGCGCCCTGCGGAGGCTTGCGACCCCATCCACGCCGATCACACGATACCTGAGCACATCGACGGCCTTCCTCGCAGCGCCGACCGCCGCTGGTCCTGCCAGCTCCTTCGCCGGCGTGCGCTCCGACTACGTCCCAGTCACGAAGCCCCCCTCTGCCCGCCCTCCCGAGACGCGCAAGTCACAGCTCATCCGAACCTACACCTCCCTCCTGCGCACGACGCCCCTGATCCTCTTCTTCCAGCACAGCAACCTGACGGCCGACGAGTGGTCCGCCGTCCGCCGTGAGCTCAACTCCGCCCTCGACGCCGCCACACCCGAGGGCTCGCCCCTCCCCGGCCGCGACATCCACCTCCAGGTCCTGCGGACCCGCATGTTCAATGTGGCGCTGAAGCTGGCCGAGTTCTACGACCCCGAGGTCGCCAAGGCGAACCCGAACACACCGCAGGGACGCAAGGGGCCGATAGTGCACGACTTGAGTATGTCGGCGTACGAGGCCATGAAGAGCTTTGAGGTGCCCGCAGACTCTGCGTACGCGCAGATCGCGCCTCTGATGTGCGGTCCCACGGCGGCACTCGTGTTCCCCGCCGTCTCGCCCGCGCACCTCGCCGCGGCGCTGAAGGTCCTCTCGCCTAGCCCGCCCGCGTTTGCGGCGCCGACGAGGAAGAAGCAGCCGAGTTACTACGACCCGCTGGTGCAGAGCGGTCTGCAGAAGCTGCTGCTCGTCGGTGGACGGATCGAGGGCGACGTGTTTGACGTGGAAGGCGTCAGGTGGGTTGGTGGTATCGAGGGTGGTCTGGACGGCCTCAGGGCACAGCTCGTGCACCTTCTCCAGAGCGCCGGTCTGGGTCTTACGACTGCTTTGGAGGCTGGTGGCAAGAGCTTGTGGTTGACGCTGGAGGGGCGGAAAACGATGTTGGAGGACGAGGGCAAGGAGGGCGAGGGGGAGAAGAAGAGCGAGTAGGTGGGCGAATGTGTACGATATTCCTGTACAAGTCTGTATTACCAGGAGACAACAGATCTCTACTATAGAGTTTACTAAAAGCAAGATGTTGTCAACTTGGTTGATTCCAAGCTCCCTGGGGTGTTTTATCTGAGACGACTTTGCAGTAGAAGCTCATTCACTGGAACTATGCAAGCCCAGCTCGTTGGCTGTGTCTGGTTACATACGCCGCAAACAATTCAATCCAGACAACGTCTTGACTACTTGAATGACGGGTTTCTGATGGACTAGTTTGGAGACGAGCAACGTGATGCTGAGCTTAAGGTATTTGGAAGGAATATAGCTACATTTTTGTATTTTTGCTCTGCATGAATGTCATTTCTCAATACCTATGCAGGATGGGGCTCATGAGCTTCCACAGTCAACAGAAGCTCGTCTGACGGATTTCAGGTCCTTCCGGATACTAATTTCAAGAGCACCCGCATGCTGAGCACACAATATCGTGTTGTCTACGTAGTCCTCAAATGAGACCAGTAAATAACCAATATAACTAGTAGAGCAGTTGATCAAACTAATCATCTTAGTTCAGATGTCTTCCTGAATAGTGACATCTCGAGGCGGCGGCCTGGGTGAGTGCGGGGCAGCACCAGCCACTAACATGACCGCTGCAGGCGACCTGCATGAACGCGCCGTCGGACCGAAGAAGACCCCTAATTAAGCTTGGTGCGCGAAGCTCCAGCGGGAAAAGGTACCTCGAGACAGTACCTGACGCCATGCAATTGCGCGTTTCTGAGCTCTCCAAGTTGTCCGGCTGACGTACCTTAACCTCTGTTCTCTCCACGCATTCCTCCACGACGACGACACACATCGCCAACAACACCGCACCCCGCGCGGAATCCAACTTGCCTTGACCGTCGCATCCTCGACGTCCGTTCCTTTCTTGCCAAAACTTTGAGCGAGCATCAAGCGCATCCCGATCGAAACGCCCCGAAACCAAACATCACGATGGACTTCGCTCCCTACCAGTCCTCCCCGCCGGAGCGCGAAAGAGCTCTCTCCCCTCCTCTAGCCTCGCCGCGCGCCTCGGCCGACTTTCGAAGACCATTCTCGCCATACAATCAGCCCTCGCCGCCGCCTCTGCAGCACCCACAGCCACAGCGTTCATGGCAACCGAGTCTGCCAGGGGCATACCCGACAGCGGATGCACACAGAGAGGGCGTGAGCGAGTTTGACACGAGCTTAGGAATCCGTCTGGACTACGAGGCGGCTCTGGCGTACCTGGCTTTCCCGCCGCTGGGCGCCATTCTGTTATTGATTGGGGAGCGGAACAGCGATTATGTGAGGTACGTGGAACACAGGAGCTTCGAAGTCCAGCAGTACAAATATTGCCTCGGCGTTGCGCCCCAGGAGACAGTCAGGCGATCAGCTTCAAGTTACTAACCAGATGGTAGGTTTCATGCATGGCAGTCCGCACTTCTCTTCACGGCGGTCATGATCTTCCACTTGGTTTTCCTCTCGTGGTCAGCATTCCTTAGCTGGTTCTTCTTCATCGGCGACCTCTTCGTGATGGTTTGGTTGGCGCTGAGGGCATACCAAGATGCGGATACGCTGGACAGGTATGTTTGCGAGCACCCAAAACACGGACGTGCGCTTACGAGTCGCAGATTCGAAGTCCCCATCATCGGGGCTCTGGCCAGTCGGATTCTGGATGACGAATGATTTTTCACGAACGGCTGCGTGTTGTAAGATGGCGCCAACGCGGTGTAATGACTTTGCTGTGCATAACATATACCCTTTTAATCGGTCGAGGTAGCATGAGAGTTCTTGAGCCTGGCTAAGTCGCGGAAATGAGTCTGTTGTTTTAGATGTAGGGAGGGATCCTTCAGATACGGACTTGTAGGCCCGATGAACTATCCGGAAGTGCAATAAAATTTCATGATGAGCAAGCAACTTCGTACCATCTTCTACTTCGACTTTGAATCCCCAAAATGACGTACAGTGCCAGAGACTGTGTCTGTCTCCACGCGCACAGTAACCGGATCCGGTCGGACTTTCCTCCTAGCGCTTTTCCGGCCTAGCTGGCCGGGCGCACAGGGCAACACCAGGCTGATTACGCGACTGTTGCTTGCCTTGAGAGCAGCTCGAGCCTCACTACCTTACCTACGCAGCTCCGAAGCTGTCCCTTTGCCTCAACACAACCCACTTCACGAAGAACAAACAACGCTCCTTCCCCCGACCATCGCCATCAGATCTGGCTCATTGACGGTAGCAACGGCGATTTTCTATTTCTTGACGATTATCTAGCACATTAATACCCTTCACGTCCCGCACCCCGCCACTATGTCGACCCTCGAAGAGCTCGACGACCTCGATCGTCAGGACCAGAACGACAAGAAGAGAGATGAGGGCGACAAGGACAAGGACAAGAAGAAGCCCACAGGCGATGGTGATGCCGACATGAAGGATGCGGAGGAGGAGGAGGACATCCTGGACGACGAGATCCTGAACCTCAGCACCCAGGACATCCAGACCCGCAAACGACTCCTCGAGAACGACTCCAGAATCATGCGCAGCGAGCTGCAACGGCTTACGCACGAAAAGGCCACGATGGGGGAGAAGATCAAGGAGAACCTCGATAAGATCGCAAACAACCGGTATGCCCCTCCATATCTGGCCAGTGATGACGAAACCGGTGACTGACTTGCTCCACCACAGGCAATTACCTTACCTTGTCGGCAACGTCGTCGAGCTGCTCGATCTCGACCCGACCGCCGAATCCTCAGAGGAGGGTGCCAACATCGACCTGGATGCCACTCGGGTGGGCAAGTCCGCAGTCATCAAGACTTCTACGAGGCAGACCATCTTTCTCCCTCTGATTGGTCTGGTCGACCCGACAACTCTGAAGCCCGGCGACCTTATCGGTGTCAACAAGGATTCCTACCTGATCTTGGACACACTGCCCGCCGAATACGACAGCAGAGTCAAGGCTATGGAGGTGGATGAGAAGCCTACGGAGAAGTACACCGATGTCGGTGGTCTGGACAAGCAGATTGAGGAGTTGGTCGAGGCCATCGTCTGGCCAATGAAGGAGGCGGAGCGATTCAAGAAGATTGGTATCAAGGCGCCAAAGGGTATGTTGTGGCATTGATGCATGTGATGACGAGATGCTGACCTTTTCAGGTGCTCTGATGTACGGCCCCCCGGGAACTGGCAAGACGCTTCTGGCCAGAGCCTGCGCGGCCCAAACCGACGCCACTTTCCTCAAGCTTGCCGGTCCCCAGCTTGTCCAGATGTTCATCGGAGATGGTGCTAAGCTTGTGCGAGACTGCTTCGCACTTGCCAAGGAGAAGGCCCCTGCCATTATTTTCATTGACGAGTTGGATGCTGTCGGTACGAAGCGTTTCGACAGCGAGAAGAGTGGTGACAGAGAAGTCCAGCGAACCATGTTGGAGCTTCTGAACCAGCTCGACGGGTTCGCGTCAGACGACCGCATCAAGGTGTTGGCTGCCACCAACAGAGTGGACGTCCTCGACCCCGCCCTGCTCCGTTCAGGTCGTCTCGACCGCAAGATCGAGTTCCCGTTGCCCAACGAGGAAGCCCGCGCGCAGATTCTCAAGATTCACTCCCGCAAGATGAAGGTCGACCCCGCCGTCAACTGGGGCGAGTTGGCCCGCAGCACAGACGAGTTTGGAGGTGCTATGCTCAAGGCCGTCTGTGTGGAGGCTGGTATGATTGCCTTGCGTATGGGCAAGAACAAGATCAGTCACGAGCACTATGTGGACGCTATTGCCGAGGTGCAAGCCAAGAAGAAGGACGTGAGTGTTTTCGTGAGCCGCATGTTGAGACCTGTGCTGACCTACTTCAGACTGTTAACTTCTACGCTTAATCCATCCAAGCGTTGGATGCCGCTGGGTATATGGGGTTATTGCTTCTGGCGGGAATGGGGCATAGACGATTCGATTGCGATAGACAACATTGTACGATTACCACGGACACCCATGCGGCCTTTTAGGAATGGAAAGCAGGGTAGCAAACCCATGATCCGGTGTTGTGATGGTGTTGTTTGCAATGTGATTCTGTCTTTGCGGGCAGGAATTTGTGAGGCCTCTTGCCAAGTGGCGACAATAACTACTTGGGTTACTGCGAAGTAGAGGCCAAGGTGCTCCAGATTTGGGATTGCAGTCTCGACGATCCTCAGGAGACGCGTGGTCGAACATGTGTGTTTACTATCACCTTGGAGATGCGATCGGCAGTCTTTCAGGAACAGCACGGAGTTGCCGCCTGTTCTTAGCTGCAGCGAGGACAGGCCTTGTCGAGCTGATGGAGATCGCATGCGAGAGCCTCAAAAAGCACAAGGTGCACCGTATCCCCGTGGAAGCCACACACATCGCCTCCAAGTTCGTCTGTTAATCCCATTGGGACAAACATGGCCAAGTGGCACACATCGATACCACGCCGTTACGTAGATGACCAACCAAGAGCTCCAGTCGCAGAACCCCAACCATTACGGAGTGGCCAATCGAAAGGATCAATGGCGGTCGGCACTCAACCGAGTGGTAGAAGCGTGTTTCCAAGTTTATAGCTGGTGGCGCTATTCTTCTGCTTGCCCGTTTTTTTTTGAAGCCTCACTGACGACGCGACGTTGCCCGTTCTCCTTGGTTTGTATGGCTGATCCCTGCCCGTTCTGGGGTCGCTTCCAGGCCGATCGAATGACAGGGGGCCTCAAGATGGCAGTCATTCCCTAGCGTCTCGTCTGGTTTTCATTTTGTACAGAGCATTCTCCTGGGCTCTTTTTCTTGGCTCCCTCCTCGCGGCTGGATTGGTGACGAGGAAATTGCTGTGAAAGGAGGTGATGAGGGCGACGCAGGCGAGGTGACATCGAGGGAGGCGAGTGTGTGTCCCCCCTGATGCAACACGTCGGTGTGCCCGGCTTCGATTCTTGGGTTGCCGGCAGGCTGTTCAGTAACTTCAGTTGTGCACGGTTTCCAGAGTTTTGAGATGTGGTCGCCTTTTGGTTGTCGCGGAGCATGTCGATGGCACGTCGTTGCGGCTGGAGGTGAGTTACCGATGGTTCGGACCTCAGCCAGGGCGGGCGATGACGCGATTGCGGCGCCGACCCTCTTCGGCGATTTTCCAAGGAAGAGTGAGAAGCTTAAGCGCCGTTGGTATATCCGTACACTCTCTTGTGTTCGAGCCTTGCTCCTTGAGCAACGTCACGGCGAGCCCTACGCCTGAGACATTCGGCCCCCGATCTCGACTTCCCACCGCGGCCCCATGTGCCGGCCTGCGTCCGACTTCGTGCCGGATCGAGGGAGTGCTGCTGCATGGTCTTCTGGAATCGTTTAATTTCTCTGGGGTGGACGGATCGTCATGATCATGCATGTTCCCAGCACGGCTGAAGATTTGCTGTCGTCTGAATTCCCATCCTTACGTTCATCGGATTTTCGTCGTGCTTGCTTTTCGTTTTCTATTATTATCGCTGCACGTTTTTTCTGTCTTTACACTAAATGCTAAGAGGTGAAGATAGACACTGGCCCAGCTGTCCAAGGGACACATACGCCGACTTGACCGAGAGAGATGCATCGTGGCGTCGCCGATCGTGGGCGAAACCGAGCCACCCAGCCACGGCGTCACGGCTCAGACACGAGGAGATCGTCCGGCCGTTGGGCGGTTTCTTCCAACGCTTTGAATCTCGGTGTGATGGATGACGCCCCCCTCTCTTTTTCCAGAACATCAAGGATGGGGATGGGAAGTGGTGGGTGCCGGTAGTTAAGACGCAGGGGGACGGCACATATACCCCCGCTTTCCTGACCTCTTCCGAGGACCAACGACATGTCGAGACGTCGGTGCTCGCACTGCTTGGCTGGTTGGGCTTTTTGGTACACTAACAAGTTAGTTTGGCAAGGTGGTTTTCTTGGGTTGGACGGTTTTACTTCTGGTGTGAGCATTAGATCATATCATGTTGATTTCAGAATGGGCCTCTGCTTGCCATGACGAAGCTGCGTCGCCAGCCCCGGATTTCTCGTGCCATTGTGCGCAGAAACCGAAGCAATCACTTCGCAAAACCCGCCCGAGTGGGAAGAATAGAGTGCTTGCATCCGAACAAGTCTCCGAAAGGCTCGCCACTGACGACCCCAGGCAACGGACACCGCGTTGACGATCACATCTCTCTCTCCCCTTCGAGGGCCAGGCAACTCGGCTAATTCATCCCATGCGATGCCACTCTTCCGGACGTCCTCCTTTCGGGACAACTTCCTCAAAATCCCCAAAATCCTGTTCTCGCGTACCGTCGTGCAGCTCCTGAGGCTCACTTTCGTCTTTCAGGTCCTCGATGCCTGACGTATGCGGTGCTTCGAGGGTGACAGGGAGTCTGTTTTTGGACTGTTGATCGGCCTCCGGGTTGACGGCTGTTTGCTGCGCATGCGAGATTGGATCATGCGCTTGTTCAGATGGGCGATTTTGTCTCGGTGGGTGGTTGTTTGGCGCCGAAGCCTTGTCACTTCCCCCAGGGTTGTGAATCGGCCACTGTCGTCAGTCAATTTGCGCTTTTCATGCCTTTCTTCCCTGGACCGAGGTGTTCAAGACTTTGGTACCGATATGCTATCTCCTGTCATCTCTTGTTTGGGACTTACAGACTCGAAACCTTTGGCGGCTTTGACTGTGGCTGTGGTTCGACTTATCTCGTCGAGGATCTGCAGGATGGTTTTGTCTGGAGAGGAAATCAGGGGTGGTTCTTTTGCCTTGTGAGGGCCCCTTGCCTCGTGGTTTTCAGGTCGAGTGGCCACACGAATGCGCAAACATGCTTGCCCTGCCTGCCCCATGTCCACCATGGACTGGTTTGGGTGTCTACACTATTACAACTGCAGTGCGGTGGTAGATTCCTCCTTCTTGAGCCCAGGGCTGATTTGTGCCTGCGTCTGGTCGTCTTCCCGGTATCGTCCAAACTACCCATGTTGACGACCACGTCAATACCTCCTACACTACGTGCTCCTCCTTAGGGGAACCAAACCGGGGGTGTTTGTCTCCCCATCCCTGCCCAACGGCGTCTAGGCACAATCGACTAGCCCTATTTCTCCTCTTCTTCCTCGTCCACTTAGACGACCACATCGACCCCCTTTCTTCGGTGTGTGGGCGTCACCGACCTATGATGTCGAGAGATCGCAGTCTGGTAGGCTGCCAAGGTCACGGCTAAGCGGCCTCCAAGTACAACGGAGACGGCATGTGGCAACACATCTCAAGGCTCCATTGGAGATTTCAGGTACCCGATCTGATTAGTCTTCCGTCGTGGGGACCGGGTGTGCTGGCGGGGGATGAAGTGACTTCCCGCCTCATTCCAACCGCGGGCCCCCCCGGCAACGGCAAGCTGGAGGAGACGTAGAGAGAGTGGTTCTCAGCTCGACGGGTCATGAGATCGACGGCAGCCGTGTTCGTCACTCCACGAGCTTGAGGGTATATCTGGTCTCATGTTATGGCTTGTTCGATGTTACCCTGTACCAGGGATTCTGTGGATGGTGGTCGTGAAGCGGCGGCGCGAGCGCGTCTGGGTTTGTGGAACCGGGTGAAGAGGTGGAACATCGTCATCGGGCTGGAGGCCTGTGACGAAGGTCAAGACCGGCTTCGACTTGTTCTGTTGAAATCTCTATATAAACCGACTCTCCATCCGTGTAGACGTCTCCATCTTCCATCCTCATCAGCCCATCAACACCAGCCAGCCTCCAAACCTCAACCCCAAGCCTTCGTTCATATACAATCTTTAACACCCACCAAAACCACCAAAACCAAGACCAAAACCGTCAAAATGCAGTTCCTCGTCGCCGTCACCGCCCTCTTCGCCAGCGTCGCCTTCTCCGCGCCCCTCGAGGAGCGCCAGGCCTACGTCCCGTGCTCCGGCCTCTACGGCACCTCGCAGTGCTGCGCGACCGACGTCCTCGGCATCGCGGACCTCGACTGCGGCAACCCGCCCGAGACCGTCACCTCGGCCGACAACTTCAGCGAGGTCTGCTCCGCCATCGGCCAGCGTGCTCGTTGCTGCGTCCTGCCCATTGTAAGTCTGCTTCGTCGTTGAATGTTCCACACATTGCTAATGGTTTGCCGTAGCTTGACCAGGGCATTCTCTGCAACACCCCTACCGGCGTCCAGGACTAAATGTCTCGTGGATGATTGTAACTTTGTATGATCTTCGCTGAAAAGATGACGGGGTCGACCGAAGGGTTTCGATCGATTTCAAAGCTACAAGGCTGTACGATTTGGAATGGTGTAATTGTACTTCGATTTGCGGATGACAGCTGATATACCACGGGAGCAACACGGGTCAGAGACGAATGGATTGGGATATTGGGATACTGAGATATAGGACAGATCTTGAGCTGCTGTTATGCGGCTTGTACAAAACCTATCTTAGAGGAATGGAATTTTCTTTGAGTAGTCGAGGCCCGCCTTGATTCATCACGTCTTGGTGTTTACTTACAATCATCCTATTTAGCGTACTGACTCCTTACCCAAGAATCACCGGCCGAAGGAGACCGAAAGCAGTTATCAGTTCTGTATGAGTATTCCGAACGACCAAGCACTGATAAGCTCATTCCCCAACAATTAACAAAGGATATTTACGAGATTTCCTCGGCAATTATGAGCTGGATACACCGATTCTTGAGATTCCCTTGCCATAAGGGGAGGAGAATAGTGTCAATAAAGTTCGTTGCTCTCTTTCCTCCACCCCGATACCACCTATCTTTCTATCTCTTTTTCATTCTTTTTATCACCCACGTTTTTTTGGCACTGAACCTTATTTCTCACTTACACATCATTGTCAACAATCGTGATGTTGTCATGGTCGAGTTCTTCGGGGCAGAACCCCTGAAAGCTGCAGCATGGGCAATGACGCTTATGGGGAATTGGGACGAATTTCAAGGTGAGGAAATTGAACAATTCGGTGTCGATGAATTTGGCACTTGGACTGCGGCACGCACTGACCGCCAGCTGGCAGGCGTCCTCGTTACCCCACATGGCCCATCAGCCGAAGCGGTGGCGGTGCGTGAGTGGCTGAAATTTTCCCTCCAATGTGGGGTTGGCGCAGAATGACATCACCGGAGCATTTGGTCCTGGCGCCGCTGTGGCAGGCAGTCGCTGCTGAGACAGGAAGGCGAGACCTTCAGCTTTTAGCAACACCATCGAGATGTCCAACACAGAAGGAGCAACATGAAGCTATTTCGACTTTTATTCTCGTGAGATATTCCACGGATTTGAAAAGCATCAGTCAGAGCATGAATTGCATCCCGTCTCCCCAGTTTTCCCATCAAAGTACGGTTTCACCACGGGGCTCAAAACTGACCTGCAACCTTAATGTTCAGCGCTATGCACGCCCGGGCTGCTGCGGATACGTACCGCGCCGTGGTGCGCCCAGGGCAGCGGGCTTGGTCCAGGCGGCGACATGGTAAGGGCGCTAGCCACTGACAGGGGATAGCTACGTCATGCTAGGAGGAGACCAGCTCTCACGGAGCTCTGTGAGTGGCTACAGCAGAAGCTCCCCCATCGTCCTTTAAGCAGATCATCGCAGCATGTGGCCTGTCCTGGTCGATGCGATTGCATTGAATTGACGTGACCAGCCGCAATATCTTATGTCTGCAGCTTCTGCCTGCCTCTAGACCTCTCACAGGCGAGGGAGCACAGAAGCTACCTACCTAGGTATACACAGATCGGAGGAAGGAGCATCCATCACACTGAGAAGTTCTTTCCACCCCAGCTGCTCCTGCTACTTCCCGTCGCACTTGCCTCCCTCTCGTCCCAAACCACCTCAGGCAGGCGCCTTGTGCAGGAAGGCGTCACTTTTTATGTAGACAGTTGGGGCAAGAGCACCTCGGCCAGCACTTGCCCTCCCAAAGTACGTAGTACGTACGGCAAGACCAACTGGACGGGCCAAGTGCAGCCACAATTTCCCACAAACGCAGCCAAGTGACGTGATGGATTCCTGACGTTCGATGCACCGTGAATTGACCTTTTTTCCTACCTGATGTTTTGTACCTACGTAGCTTCCTGGCGACGGCCATTCCTCCTCCCTGTCAACAACCCTCCACACCCACATACGCACTGCTTTTCCACTAGGTCCCCGTCTCCCGCCTTGCCTTACGTCAAACAAAACAAAACCCATCCGCCCCTTGGCACCCTCAAACATCTTCTTCCTCCTGCCTCACTTCACAATACCCTCATCCTGTGGTTTTCCTCTACTCAGTTCTTCCAGCTTTTTGTGATACCCTCTTCGTAACTGCTGCTTCATTGGAAGACTGATAGCAGAAACACAACCACCATGCGTTTCCTCCCCGCCGTCCTCACGGCTTTGGCCGCCCAGGGCGCCGTTGCCAGCTCCTGGTTCTCCAAGGCTGGTGAGTCCACAAGTCATTTCAATATGCTCTTTCCAAACAAAACTGACAAACAATACGCAGCCTACAACAAGTGGCACGAGACGGAGCTTGAGCGCTGGCTCTCCGACCACGATATTCCCTACCCTACCCCCGCCGACCGCAAGGACCTCGAGAAGTTGATCGAGAACAACTGGAACGACTACGTCGTTTCTCCCTACAACTCGTGGGACGCCGACAGCCTCCAAAAGTACCTGAAGGCCAAGGGCATCGAGACCGAGGCCTCCGCCAAGGCAAACAAGGACTCTCTGGTCTCCCAGGTCCAGAGCTCGTGGTACGAGACGGGTGACCAGGCTCAGAATGCCTACCTCAGCGTCAAGGACTGGATCTTGGACACTTGGACCGACAGCCAGCTCAAGGCCTTCTGCGACAAGCACGACATTCCTGGTATGTCTGGCCCCACCGAAGTCGTGATGCTTAGAGCTCCCTCACTGACATCATTCCAGTTCCCCAGCCCCGCAAGCGTGACACCATTCTCTCCAAGGCTCGCTCCAGCTACGACACTGTCGCCCAGAAGGTCGGCGAGTCTGCCTCTTACCCCGGAAACTGGCTGTACGAGACTTGGTCTGGTAAGTGTGACAACATTCCGTTTAAGAGATGTCCCACTAACCCCACGCAGAGTCTGATCTCAAGGAATGGCTCGACACTCACGGCTTCCCTGCTCCCCAGGTCACCAGCGTAAGTTGCAAAGTTACCGAGAAGTAGCATGCCCTAACAATTTCCAGCGTGACAAGCTGATCGCCTCCGTCCGCCGCAACTCCCGTCTCGCCTACCTCAAGGCTCAGGAGCAAGCTGCCACCGCTTCCGCCAGCGCCCAGCAGGCCTATGCCACCCTCACTGACATGGTTATTGACGCCTGGAGCGAGTCTCAGCTCAAGGAGTTTGCCGACAAGAACGGAATACCTGGTACGTGATTCTGCAAGTCTCCAGTCACAGTGACGTCACTAATACGTCGCAGTTCCCCAAGGTACCAAGACCAACGAGCTCCGTGCTCTGATCCGCAAGCACCGCGCCGACTTCCTCAACGAGAACGTTGCAGGCAAGGCTTCCAGTGCCTTCGGTGCTGCTACCTCCAACGTTGGCTCGGCCGCTTCTCAAGCCACCGACAAGGCTTCTCTCGCCGCCCAGGAAGCTTTCAACGAGGCTGTTGGCACCTGGTCTGAGAGCCGCCTCAAGGCCTACCTTGATGCTCGTGGCATTCCCGTCCCCCAGGGCTCCAAGACTGATGAGCTCCGCGCTCTTGTTCGCAAGAACCAGCACAAGGCTGCCTCTGGCTGGACCGCTTGGACTTTCGATGACTTCTCCACCGAGAACCTCAAGAACTACCTCTCCTCAAGCAGCGATGTCACTGCCAAGAAGGCCGCTGAGAAGAAGGACGCTTCCCGTGACGAGCTTTTGAGCGCTGCTCAATCTGCCTACAGCTCTGCTTCCTCCGCTGGCGGTGCTTCTTACGCTTCCGTGACCAGCTACCTGAGCAAGGCCACTGATTCCGCCAAGTCGAGCCTGTTCGACACCTGGAGCGAGAGTGAGCTCAAGTCCTACCTCGACAGCTATGGTGTCAATGTTCCTCAGACCTCCACCGTCGACGAGCTCCGTGCCTACGCCCGCAAGCAGTACACGTACTTCAAGTACGGTACCTCGACTCCTTCCGAGACTCTCTTCGCTAAGATCGAGGAGAACTTCAAGGACACCTGGAACTGGGTTTCCAACCAGATTGGCCTCGGCGCTGATGCCGCCCAGAAGAAGGCCGATGAGGCCAAGGAGAAGGCCAAGCAGGAGTTGTAAACACACTTCGACTTCTATTTACTCAAGGGGGGAGGTGTTGATGGTGGCTTTTACGGGTCACGGATTAACGACGGATGACAAAAATTGGGTTTCCGGCTTGCTTTATGACATTTGCACTTGACTTTGGCATGGGATCCCATGGGTAGCACGGCATCGGACTTTTCATATGCCCTGTCTACCACTAAGCTAGGACTGTACACTATCGATTAGGAATGAAGCACGAAAGACGAGATAATTAGCATGTTCTCTTATGACGTTGATCACTGTGCACGTTGTGAATGTCAATTTTGCAGCCTGTCCAATAGAGTACAAAACTCCATCCAAGTAGGCAAGTTCTTGTGAAAACAAGTGGTGACTTTTCGTATTTACCAGCTATTCGTCTAACTGAGTAGAGCTCATTTCATCATTACCATAAGCAATGCATCTTTTTGGTATCACAACCACGCCTACCTCCTCCTCCGGTTCCCCCTCCGCCGACGCTATCTAGAAAGGACACCCCTGACAGTTCCCTGCAGGCTGGGCTTGTTGTCGAAGACGACCTCGCTGACACCCGTTCCCTCGCCCGTGCCGTTCTCGAGCCAGCGCGCGAGCAAGTCGTTGCTCTCCTTGGGCTTGACGTTGTCGTCGCGGGTGCCGACGGTGATGTGCGCGACGGCGTTGACGCACTGCCACCGCTCCGTCTCGTCAACCAGGCGCACGACGATGGCCATGACGCGGTCGTCGAATACCACCTGCGTCAGTTAGTCTGGATATCCTGCTGTCACGGATTGGGTTACTAGGAAGTCTTCTTACCCTCTCCATCTCAACGCCGCACTCGCCCACGGGAGGGATTTGGGGCTGGTGCTGGTGCTCGACCGACTTCTCCGCCTCGGCGTGGATGGCGCTGTAGCGCTGCCACAGCTCCGCGTGCTCCTTCAGGCTGGCGCGGTGCATCAGCGTGACGTGGAACTTGGGCTGCACGCGGCGCGTCTGGACGAGCTGCGTGTAGAAGCGCGAGGCGGGCATGCCGGCCTTCTTGAAGGCGCCGTCGAGGACGCCGCGGACCTCCTGGGCGGGGACGTCGACAGACATGTACTCGAGGGGCTTCTTCTTCTGCTTCTTAGGCTGCTGCTGCTGCTGGGGCTGCTTGCGGGGCCCGCGGTCGGGGATGTTGTGCTTGAACTCGGGCTTGTACTCGATGAAGGCCGACTGTATCGCCTGGTCGAGGCGCTCGGCGGAAGGGACCTCGGGCAGCAGGTTGGGGTACATGCGGTGCAGCTCGTTGATGACCTTTTCGAGGTTCACGCGGCTTCCGGCGGTGGGGTCGAGGTGGATGACGTTGTCGAAGCCGTTGTCGGGCGGGGAGAAGGCGGAGATGGGCTCGAAGCGGGAGACGAAGCCCTCCATCACGCCGAGGAACTTGTTCGCGTCGGTCGCGGCGTGGATGGTCTGGTGGTTGTCGCCGCGGGCGAGGACGCGCTCCTGGGTGATCCTGCGGACCTCGTCGACGTTGTTGTCGTCGTGGTCGAAGTGGAGGGCGACGAGGCGGGCCGTCTTGTGCTGGATCTTGACGTCGGTGAGGAGCTGCTTGCGCTCGTGCTTCTGGGCGTTGTTGCGGTCCGCGACGACGACGGGGGTTTCCTGCAACTGGTCGAGAACGGCCTTGACGAAGCGGGGAGGGCGGCCCTTGCCGGAGATGTTGTCGTTCTGGACGTGGCCCCACTGGAAGAGATGCGTCAGGGCGACGGCGATGGTCGTCTTGCCGCAGCCGATGGTCGCGATGGGGCAGAGGATGACATCGCGGGTGACGTCGGCGTCCACATTGGACGGCTCGTCGAGCTCGAGGTTAGCAGCGTCGGAGCCCTTCATGTTCTTGAAGGCGAGGAAGTCGTTGCGCAGGGCGATGATGCCGTGGTTCTGGTTGTATAGCTGGCCGAGCTTGGGGTCTGCCTGAAGGCGGCGGCGGGCGTAGAGAAGGTACTCCTCGGTAATCTTTACGTGCTTCTTGTACTTGGGCGGGCGACCGGAGATCATGGCCTTTGTGCACTCTCTCCACTGGCGGTACATGAGATAGGGCTCCTCGAACTTGTACTTGAAGAACCAGTCGCGGTAGGGCACCGACTCTGGCTTGTAGCTCTCCTTGCAGCGGATGACGAAGCCCTCGACGTCGCGGCCGCCGTGGGCTCCGGTCTCTGCCACCTCCTCGAGAAACTTCTTGACCTCGTTGATGTCGTCCATCAGGATCAAGCCCACCTGCTTGAAACCCCACGTATCACCAAAGCTCTGGACGACGGCACTGGGGTAGGTCGCGAACTCTGGGAGGTTCAGGTTGATTCCGTGGATGTACAGACCGGCCTTGTCCGGGCCGTACTCGAGGATGTGCTCCTCAAAGGAGTCGTCGCAGAGCTCGGCCACGGCGGTGGCATTGCGATTCCTCAACTCCTGGGCCAGGTCCTCCTTCGTCTTGCCAATGGCCGCAAGCTGCTTCTCCAATAGACGCTCACCAGCAGTGGCATGGCTGAGCTCGGCATCTGCGCGGTCTCCAGTGGAGTGCTTGCTGCAAACGAGCAGTGTTCCGTCCTCCAGGCCAGAGATGAAGATGATGCAGCCATTCTCCTTGAGGGTGAGCTCGTAAGGGCCCTTTGTCCTCTTCAGGATGTTGTCCCACTTTGTATCATGCACCTCCTCCACGTTGAAGAACTTGTCATATCCACGGGTGACAATCTCTGGCTCGTTGTGGCGGTTCCTTGTTGTGAAGAGGCCGCGGGCGTATGTGGGCAAATCGCGCTTCTTGTAGTCCCACTCCTGCATCTTCCATGAGTCCACCTTGATGCCATCCTGGGAGTTCTTGACGTCGAAGGTGTTCTTTTTGCAGGAGAAGCTGGCGGCTCCCTTCTTTGTGGCTTTCTCCAGGGCACGAACCATACCTGCCACCTGCTGGACATCTTGGGCGATGTAGGGAGCCTTGGGCATTACCGCCTCGGCTGTTGTTGCTGCTGTAGCCATGGCTGCAGAGAAGATGTGAGTTGTTATGAGGGGGGATGTTCTGTGCGTCGAAGAAAAGGCCCTGCGGGCTATGAACATATAGAAGACGGCAGCTCGTCGTCTTGTTTGTGGAGTGGTGATAATCACTTGAAGTTGCAACCCACAAGAAAAAGAAAAGGTGGGAGGCAATGTGATTTTTGTAGAATGAGAAAAGAGACCGAGTCCTCCAGTGTTGGACGAAGAACGTAGACGGAAGCTACAAAGACGACACAAGCAGGAGGTGAGTCACTTCCTTGGATTCGGACCCTGGCGACCGCTCCGACCTCTTTTTGAAATGGCCTCAACCGGGCTTGGCTTAAGTTCTCCTTGAAGAGTCCTCAGACACGGAAGTTGGAGTCACGCCGGAAGATCGGTGCTGCCTGAGATGAGGTGAGGTAAGATTTGATACTGGACGTCTAGGTAAGGTACGAGATAGCGGCTGTTATCCTGGTTTTGGAGGGGCTGAACGAGCCGCAGCGAAGTGGCGTGGGCGCGATAATGCCCTGAAATCTGCTTATTTTGACGCTTGGAGGGGCAGCACCCCCGGAGATTTAAGCTAGGCGTCAGAAGAAGCAAGCGGTGAGGGTGAAGATCGATTCTTAGCGGGGTGTGCGTCACCGAAAGCTCCCCGCATGGCAGAAAGAAAAATCCACTGTCGCTTCCACAGACGCAGCTTGGAGAACAAACATTCGACTGCGCCACGACCGTGATTTTGGCCTCAAATCTCCACGACCCGAAATTCAATAATCTCCAATTAGCTCCTTACACTAGACGATCCATCGAAAGACCCCGAAATGTCTCCCAATCCGTACCTCCTCGCCGCCGACAACCCATCGGCCCTCCTGGCCCTCCTCCGCGAGAACCCCGCCATCGCCTCTGGCCAGGATGAGCACGGCTACTCCCTCGTCCACGCCGCCGCCAGCTACAACCACCTCGAGCTCCTCCGCGCCTTGATCCGCGAGTTCAATGTCGACGTCAACATCAGGGACGAGGACGAGGAGACCCCGCTGTTCGTCGTCGAGACCGTCGACGCCGCCAAGTGCCTGGTCGAGGAGCTCGGAGCGGACATCAACGCCAAGGGCGCCGAGGGCATCACCGCCGCGCAGAAGATCGAGGGCGAGGGCGACTACCCCGAGGTCGCCGAGTACCTGAAGAGCGTCAAGTCGCACAGGACCGCCGACGCCGTGGCCAAGGGCCAGACCGAGTCCGGGGCTGCTCCCGCACAGACTGAGACGGAGACCGGCACCGCCGCGCCGCCCATCGAACTCCCGCCCGTTCCCGAAGGTCTCGGCGTGACGCTCGGCACCATGGACCAGGCCGAGGAGGTTCCTGCCGAAATCGACCCCGAGTTCAAGCGCAGGATAGAGCAACTGGCCGAGAGAGAGGACTTCCACACCCCGGAGGGCCAGGCTGAGCTGCGCCGGCTCGTCGAGGACGCCGTCTTGGACCAAGCACTCGGCGACGAGCGCAGCGTTCGTCAGAAGCAGGGCTAGCTCAATTCTCTTCTCTTACATACAAATTCTTTTACTCATTGCTCTTGACCTCCCAGAGGAGGTAATGACCGGGCGATTCAGGCGGTCGGAGGAAGGAGACCTCGGTGCTGTCGCCGACCATGCCCTTGGAAAAGGACGTCGCGCTCATGGCGAACCAGACTCGCGATGGGAGAGCGGCGAGGGCGTCGATGAGGACACTGCGCACCCAGCTGGAGGCGAAGAGGCCTTGCCAGGTGATCTTGCAGACCTTCCCATGCGGAGCGGAGTCGGCATCTCCTGGGACTTGGTAGCGGGATAAGTACGGGTCGATGGAATCGCCTGCCTCGACGCGCGGGCTTTGGAGCCGGATCAGGGACAGCCACTCGTATGTCTCTGTGGCGAAGTCCTCGAGGGCGGGTCTGTCGCTGTTCTGGAGGATCTCCGGAGGAAGAGTGAGAGGTGCCATTTGGACCTGGCCGTCTGAGATGACCGATGGCTGGCATGTGTACCTTGTTGGATGGTACTGGTCTAGGGGGTCTGGTGACGGCGCTGAGGAAGATTAGAATAATCCACACAGAGAGCCTCGAGGGGACTTACTGGTAGTAGTCGCATTGCAGAAGAGCCACGTTGCGGGCGTGTTGAAAACGTTTTTGCACGCGTAAAGCAATCTGTCGAAACCTTTCTTGCCGTGAAACATTGAGCTATCCCGCAATTGGTAGCTCACGACTGAGTTCGTTAGTTCCGCTGGTGGTGTCGAGGACGGTGTTGGTGGTCGACTCACTCCATCTCGGCTTCAAACCCCTCTTCCCTTTGACTCCGTGCTCCTTTCCTACCAGGCCGGCTCGCTCGTAGGTCTCTTTGTCGAGATACATAGTAAGGAGACCCTCGCGCAGGGTAAAGACGTTGTCGACGGTCGTCTTGCCTTCGGAGTGCATGAGAATGTTGCCTACGCTGGTCAGTTTCCGAGACAGGAAGAGACTCGAGTGACATGTTGGAACTGACTGCCTGGTCCCTTGATGTACTCGTTGTAGAAAGCGCCTTCCAGAATCTGGCCAAGCGTCATGATAACCCGGTGGAAGGTCGGTGGAGCAAGCTCCTGGACGAGTTTCTGGTGCACCAGCTCGAAGCACTCCTGGGGAAGTATGAGATCGACCTTGAAAATGGTCAGTTGAATTCTCCCTACAACATGACAAACACCTAGGAACTGACCTTATGGTTGAAGTCCTGGCTCAGGATAGGCGCCCACGGCTTCCCCTTACTCGGGAGCTGGCTGGGCGTGGGCTCGGGCGGTACGTGAGCCATGGTGCCGTAGCTGACGAAGCATTTCGGCGACTGGTAGACGCTCGGCGTCGGGAACGAGAGCATTTCGACTTGGTTTCGGGAGTTTCTATAGCTTGTTTCGCGATCTCTGCTGTTGAAAGGTGTAAGGATAGCCCCTAGAGAGCTTCGACAACTCGAAAGCGAGAATTGCATCTGCGAGCTAATTCCACGGCAGGTGTGCGCTGATTGGGCAAAGACCCACACCTTCCCTTCTGGAACCCGACTGGAAGGAAAACTCCAGCCACGGCGGCGTACGTCCATCCAAGTGAATCATCCACCAAAAAGTGACAGTCTTCAAACCCACAAACCCATCGAGTCAGCCATCCAAGGCGTTGGAAACCGACGATTTTCACCTCCAACGACTCGATTTTGTCCCCTTTCGAGAAGAATTAGACTGGCATCTTTGTCGCGTCACTGTAAGTGTTTCTGTAAAATTTGAGGCCCGTACACAATGACTGACCAGCACGAAAGAAGCAAACAACACGCAAACGAGGGGCACTTTTCACCCCGCGCTACGCCAGTTTTTTTCTGGACTGCCCCTCCTCATCACGACTTGCGCCGCCGCGACCAGCAACAGGATGGAGTACCTGGTGCGCTTCTCACAGGCTCACGAGTCCTTTAGACTCCCTGAGCTACAGGCTCTGGCGGATCTCGAGGGTATCGACATGAAGGTTGTCGAGTACAGCCATGAGGTAAGTCTGGTTTACTTCATGAAGGTCTCGAGTGAGCATCTTCAACCTCAGTCACCTCTCCGGCCTCACACCATTTGACCCAATATCGCTCTGTCGAATATTTCCTTCAGATTTGTATCTTGTCTCTGGTTTGGCTACATCTGGACTTTTACGACTTTATACCACCCAAGCCTCAGCATGCTCATGATTAAATGTATTCATCTCATAACAAAAAGCTCAACACAACCCCTATCTCATGAATGTCACAGCTAATAGCTTCCAGACTCCCTTCTGCATCGTAACACTCCCCTCCCACGCATCCGCCTCAAAACTCGTCGCCCGCTCCCTCCTCACGCAATCAATCCACCACCTCTGGGCCGCAGCCCCCTCCCACGACGCCCTCCACGCCTCCCTGAAGCCCAACTTCCCGCCAGACTCCCCCCCGAAAGAGACCCCCTTCTGGCTCCCCTCCTACCAGACGGCCTCCTTCCGCTTCGCCCTCGACACCTACCAAAACTCCCGCCCCCACGCCGACTTCGTCGCCCTCATCAACGCCTTCAAATACCTCCCTCTCAAGGGCCCCATCAAGATGAAGAACCCGGACATCGAGTTCACAATCTTCGAGGACTGGGACCTCCACGGCCCGGCCCCGAAACGCGTCTACCTCGCCCGCCACCTCGCCAACGGCGCCCGCCACCTCTCCCTCACTTACGACCTCAAGAAGCGGGGCTACATCAGCACCACCTCCATGGACTCGGAGCTCGCCCTCGTCACCGCCAACATCGCCCACGCCGGCCCCGGCAAGCTCTTCTACGACCCCTTCGTCGGCACCGGCAGCTTCCCCGTCGCCTGCGCCCACTTCGGCGCCCTCGGCTTCGGCTCCGACATCGACGGCCGCAGCATCCGCGGCAGCGGCGGCAAGCGCTCCCTCCGGGGCAACTTCAGACAGTACGGCCTGCAGCACCTCGTCGGCGAGTTCTGGACCGCCGACCTGACCAACTCGCCGGTGCGCCGCGCGCGCTGGCTCGACGGCATCGTGTGCGACCCGCCGTACGGCGTGCGCGAGGGGCTGAGGGTGCTCGGGTGCCGGGACCCGGAGAAGACGCCGTGGGTGGTCGAGGCCGGCAAGGAGCGGTACAAGGACACGGACTTCATCGCGCCCAAGAAGCCGTACAGCTTCCTGGCGATGCTGGACGACATCCTCGAGTTCGCGAGTGATACGCTGGTGGATGGCGGGAGGTTGTCGTTCTGGATGCCCACGGCCAACGACGAGGAGCAGGAGATACCCGTGCCGGAGCACCCGAGGCTGGAGATTGTCGTGATGTGTGTGCAGCCCTTCAACAAATGTAAGTTTCCCCTTCCCCTTTTGTCCGGTACCGCAGGTGGATAGCGACTTACACCATCGCCAGGGTCACGGCGACTCATCACATATCGCCGCATTCCCGACGGCCAGGTCGACCAGGAGAAACTGGCGGCCTACAAACGCACAACCCACGAAGGAACGACAGCAGATGAACTGAACCCCTTTCGGAGGGGGTACTTCACCAAGTTTGAAAAAGAAGAAGCCTAATAGAAGAAGAAACATGTACAGCAAGTTGAAGCCCCCCCTCCCTTTCCGTCTTTGATGATGCCTTGTGTCTGTGCCTGATAAATACCACTGTTCGCGCGCGTAGTGTCTTGCTTTCTCTCGTTCTCTCTGTGTGGTCATAATTCCCTTTGCTGCTTGCCTTGAATTACCCCTACTCGTCATACCCAAGGCATGTCCCAAGGCACCGTCGTCGTCGTTTGATATCATTTGTCCAATAAAAAGCAACATGCATCCGTAAAAATTCCAACAGATGGCAAACTCCCGCGCCGGATGACTGTTCTTTCCCGTCGGGATCTGCGCTCGTACCTCTCGCCTGCACCCCGAGCTCCTTTCCTTTCCGGATTCTCCCCGGGTGATCGGACCTGTTAATTTTCTTTTTATCTGAATTCCATGGCGCCGAAGCAGCCCCTGTCCTCCACGTGCTTGAGCTCGAGTTGCTGAAACCTGGGGAGGGGCGTTAGCAGACGAAGAAGAAAAAGAAAAGTTCTCGGGGTCTCGGGCTTTTAGAAGGGTATCGTCGGCACATACTTTTCGCTCTTGGAGTGGAAGTAGATACCACTCACTTCACCCTTGACCTGGTTGAAGCAGATGTAATAGAAGCCCTCGAAACTGGCACCCGAAATGGTGCGCACGCGATGGTCGGGAACGAGGAAATGCTCCTTCCAGCGCATAAAGATGTTTTCTCGCTGGGCGACGTCGCGGATCACCACAGGGCCCTTGCGCGCCTGCTTCTGGAAGGGACGGAAGGCGTTGAACTTGGCCCAGTGATTCAGGTCGATCTTGTCCGTGGCGCCCCAGCTCTCGTGGTTCGTGTTGAAGCCGTATTTGGTGCCGATGATCTCGCCCTCGAAGTACGTCGTCAACGTTGGGTGGTCCTCGGTGAGCCCTGCACAAAGTTTAGTGGCCGTTACACAACGGGCGGGGGAGCTTTGTGGGAGGTGTGTACCTTGAATACGGAGGTAGCCGCATAGGAAAGACTCCCGCAGATCGACGTGCTTGATTTCGACCTGGACGTCGTAGACTTGCCGTTCGGATTGCTGTGTACCGTGGAACTTGCTTCCTGGTCGCAGGAATGATGATGGTGATGATGGAATGATCTGTGACTGTTAGCCATTGCGTGAGTCGAATTGGAACACGCCAGCACGTACGCGCATATTCGAATACTCCGAACCCATGGACGGTGCCATGAGCTCCTCTTCCCACACGTCATCGGCATCGATATCCATGTTCTTCTCGTTGTGTAGTGTTGTCGGCGATTGCATTGCATCGTGCCGCCTTGAACCATCGGCACGGGAGGCTCGCGGCCTATCACCAGCCGAGATGCCCTCCTCATCTGATTCACCGTGCTTCAAGGACTCCGCGTCGGCACCAGGCGTTGAATGGGCGGTATCTCCCGATTGCGGCCTTGGCGACATCGTTGTCGACCGAGACGAGACGGCGGAGGTGGGCTCGTCGTCGAGGATGACTTCGGTGCTGATGCCCTCGACCGGGGACATTGGGCTGAAGGGGACGGGGGATATGTCCTCGTCCATGCGGTCTTGGTTGTGATGGGAATCCATCTCTGCAGGGCCCTCGTTTGCATCGGTAGGCGGACGCCAACTGCGTTGTGGGGATCTTGAGCTGCTGTCTTCAGGACATGTCGAGAAGCTGTGCGATCGGGGGGAGTGCGGGTCGGGAGGCGGGTTGGATGAAGGCGTCGGCATTTTCGAGGAAGGGTGTGTGTCGTGTGCGATGTTCGTGAGGACAGTATGGAGGTGGATGTCGATGTCGGGCGATGGGGGTCGGTCGCGTTTACGGGGAACGCTGCGGCTTTACCGCCAGCAGGGGTCGAAGGGCTCCGCAATGATGACAGCCGGGGCGGTTGGAGGATCGTGGAGAGAGCGGATGGAGTATCGGTAGCGGTCTTGAGCGATTCGTTGACTTGTAAATGAAGCCGTTGGTCGGGAAATCGCTGTTATTTGCGGTCGCGAGACGAAAGTCGGTCGAGAGGATGCGAGAAGCGAGAAGGTGATTCAGGCCAGTTGGAGCAACAGGCGAAGCTGGAGTCGGCCTCGAATGGATGGAATCGGCAGGCTGCCAAGCGAGAGGGAGCGGTCGGGAGAGGACAAGGGCATTGGCTGGGGGAATCTCCAATACCACCTCCCACTGTTGATTGAGAGTCGCAAAACCGCCTGGCGTCGTGGGATGGCGATGCTGTTAGTGCGGCGCGGGCGACCAGGTCGAATGAGGAGAAGAAGTAGCGACGGGAGCTTAGGTTGTCGCAAGTGTCGAAGCTTACCGGGCTGAGGGAATAGAGAACCGGTAGCAGAAGAAGCGGAGGAGGATGTGTGACTGACGGGATGTGACAGAGGCGAACAAATTGGTGAGGAGGAGCGAGGAATGGGAGGGTTGCCCAGGACCAGTGACAGCGAGGTACGGCTTCTACAGGTACGGCTTCGGCGGCGACGGCAGTAGATAGCAGTACATGTAGAGCCGGCGCAGCGCAGTTCAGAGGCAACGGAAGCACACTGGAAGGCACCTTTACCACAGGCCGCAGAGAGAGCAGAGTCGGGACAGGACCAACCAAGGAACGAGGAAATGGGACGGGGGTGTGACCATTGGCGATTGGCGACTGGGGGAGCAAATGGGCAGGGAAAGGGAAGGGCGGCGCGGGAATGGAATTGGGGGGACGACGAGACTTGGACTTGCTGGGATGGGACGGGACGGTGATGGAGGGAGGTGATTGGCGAGCGTCTGCTGGGAGGGTATGAATGTAAAAATGTTATCTCAAGGTGAGAGAGAAGATGAATAAAATCCTAAATTCGGCCGGCTTGTTGGTTTGGTTGGTTGGCGATAGCGTTGAGACGGCGTTGAGATTGTGGTGAGTGTGAGTTTGAGTGTGAGCTATGAGAATGAGTTTATGTCGCTATTCTCGATTATCGTGAGAAATTCTCAAGTCACGCGGTTAGATGGACTGGACTGAAGTGATGGAACGAAGGTGCCTACATGAACGGCTAAAGTACATGAGACTGAGGTGCATGCAAAAGGGAGAAGGTCACTGAACGGCTCAGATGCTAGCCAAGTAACTCAACTCAGCTCAGCTAGCTGACACTTCAAAAATGACTTCAGTCAATGCATTGCAGCCGATGACGCTCCTCAGTCCCCGCCTCTCCATCTGCCCTGCTGCAAGCCCGCCGCTTCCTGCGCAATCGTTACCTTAGCACACTGGGCTGCCACGTTGGAAAGGGTCTCCCTGGCATGTGCCAAGTGAGATTTCTTCTGTGCTGTCGGGTCTGCCCTGCGTCCGTTGTCCGCTGTTGTCATAATCGTCTTCTCTGTCACTGACTGTCAGAGAGAGGGCCGCGCTAGACTGAAGCCAGCCACGACACTTTACCCTCAACTTCTCTAGCGGCGCATTTAGTCGAGGGCTTGGATCTTTGAGAGACACCTCTGCCGGGCTGAAAGCGTCACGGACAGAGACAACGAACACCAGCATGACGGGACACCTCGGCGCCTCCAGCCCCCAAGTTCCAGCCACTCCAGTGTCGTCTGATTGAACCTCCGTACAGGTATGTAAGTGCAAGGTCATCCATCTCACGAATACACGATGCACGAGGTACCGAACACGAAGCCGACGCTCGCTGGACACGCCCTGCCTCCAGCGTACCTTACCATGGCTGTACACCAGACGCTGCGCTGTAGTCGGTCTCAACACCTCTCTCTGCCTCATGCACCCCAACTCCTGAACGCCGCATCGCATGTTGCATAGGTTTTTAGGGGTGCAGGTCCCTCTTCGGGCTTGCGGGGGGCTCGCAGTCCCCGTTATTGCAGGCGCTGATGCCGCCCTGCCGGATCCCGCTGCAGGCGAAGACTCACTCGCTACTTTACTCTCAGGCTCCCGTCTCTCAGCCGACGACCATCAGTGACATTCCAAGTCACACCGGACCACTAGACTCTTCACGCGCTGGTTCGATCTGCTCATCTGCTGCAGAGGGCACAGACTGGTGCCAAACTCTGTGCTCTTGCAGGATTTACAGCTCTTGCTATGGCGGCAATTTCTATCGACTCGGTGTGTCTAAGCATCAAGTTGAAGAGCCATCTCACCTTGGTTTTCTCACGTCACCTCAAGGTGAGCCATGGTCAACCGCCTCACCTCAAGCTACGTGCATCTAAGCCTCACTCCTTGAATTCACATGAAATATGAACGGTAGTGCTCAACTCAGTAGAGTGGTTCCCCTGAATCAGATAAACTGCTCAATGTCTTCAAGCACTTCCCTGCCATGGTCTGTGAGCTCGCTCTTCATCTGCATTATTGCCGCCGTCTGTGCCTTCGTCATTGTATCTTTAATTCCCCCTTTTGAGTCAGAGACCAAAATACAAACTCGTCATCAACGGTGGACTCGCCCTCGACTCAACCTCACAACCATATCTCCGACCATTTCTCAAGATGATTCACTGAAGGATAGCCATCATAATAGACAACGTGTCGATGCTAGCCCCCTGTTCCAGCCGAACGCCGGGCACCAGCTCCCGTCACGCCTCACCTCCCGCCTTACTCTTAACCGAAACCCGCACTCCGCCGTCGGTCTTGGTCTCAGCCTCCGCCATGCCTTGCTCTTCCTTGCAACCCGCCGAGCCGACCTGTCCGGCTTGTTGTATGCTTAGCCCGACCGGCCGTTACAAGTCTGACTCGAGATGCCCCGTTGACAGCTCGAGCCGCAAACCAAGTGCGACAACCAGCTCGCCCCAACTTCCCAATCAAAAGGTAATCTTAGGTTAGTTCTCCTGCTGCCGCGCCGTCTGACAGCGGCCCGCATGTCAGTGAACCATCTCAGACCCTTTTCGATGCCTGACCTGAGGTAATCTGAAGAACACGCCCGATCCGCGACTCGTCGTCTCCCAATCTGTTCGTGGCAACGCGCGTGCATCTCATGCTTGAAAAAAACGTGTCTCGTTATTCCGGATCACGACCAACATCGGCCATGTCCGTACGTGTCTACCTCGTAATAAGGGACGGCTGCTTGCCGATCGAATTCTTCTCCTTTTCCGCCGCCGCCGTCCGTTCGCCAGCGCCTGCCGTCATGTCCGAGCTGAAGGGCCCAAGACCTGCTTCATGCATACACCTGCAGCTTTATGCACTCTTCTAGAAGAATATCGGTTTTTTCCCGCTTCCCGCAGTCCGCAGTCCGCAGGTCACACGCGGGGTTTCGTCAATGTGCTTTTGTCTCGTAAAAACGCCCTCCCTTTGTTGAACCATTCGTCCCTCGCCGAATCGGTGGTCGGCCTCTTGATTCCGGATATCTTCGCTGTTGCTGCCGCCGTGGAGGGGGTATTCTCGTCGACCTTCGTTTAGATGGGCTTAATCTTGAAGTGCAGGGCAATCAAGCTGAAGACGAGCGCCTTAAGATCCTGCACCAGGTAGTAAAACACGCGCAATCCTTCCGGGTCTGCCGACTCCGTCACGTCGACCAATGAACCAATTTTGGCCGTCTGCCCCCGAAACATGTCAGCGGGTGCCCCGAGAGCAAAAGGATCATACTCCCACCCACCTCGAAAGAAATATGATCGTTGCCCAGCCGGATCTCGAGCTCCTGTCGTCCGTCCTTGTTCTTTTGCGGCCACTTGGAATCGTCTTCCCTTCAGAGTGTGTTAGTCGGGTTGCTTGGTGGCACCGGGCGCGGGAACGCACTTCATGATTTCGCTCGTCTTGATGATGCGCTTGATCTCGTCGATGACCAGGGCGCTCACGCACACTGTGCACTCATGTCAGCCACTGTCTCGGCAGCGGTGTCGAAGGGTGGTTTCGTACTCTCTTTGCGAATCAGACTGTCGTTTCGGTAGTTGGAGTTGTTCGCGTATCTCGCAACCGCGCTGCGTCCATCGCCGACGACGCGAAAGTCAAACTCTGAAGTCGAGGTTAGTAACGCTAACTCGAAATCGACGAGACCTAAGACTGGCCGGGTTTCTTACCCAGGAACTCGTGGCCGAAACGTCCAGAGTGACCGGAGCTAAGTCCGTTAGCTGGGTGTACGAAAGCAATGCGACTCCAAGTACGCACTAGTATCGCATGTAAAACTGATCGTTGGGGCCCGACATGATGGCGGTGTCGTCGACAAAGGTCAATGTCGGTGTCTTGTCACGACTGATGTCTCCGGAGCTGCAAGGCTGGGGATGGGAATGCAAGAAAAGCGGGATGGCCCCGTAGCACTTTCAGCCCTGGCGGGGTCAGGCATCATGAGTGGATGAAGCTTCGACCAATGGCAGAGCTCCAGCGTCGGCGGCTCTGTCTGGGTCTTTCCGGACTTAATCCGATCCGAATCCAGGGGCCGGGGTCCACTTCCCAATTCCCGTCGTCACGTGGCTCGCTTAGTGACACCTGTTCGGCGGACGGCGCCAGGGACAGATATTCACGGAAGGCCAGATCAGTGTGTAAGGCATTACTTGATACCTTGGAGAGAGAGCCTGCTGCCAGCCGTATATCGGATCGGTGAACACTCAAACAACAACAGCTGGTGACGCATGCCTACGCAGGTCTCGTGTGGAAGCGGACAGATTCAACGGATGGCCTGAAGTACGTTTTGTTACCCAATGCCATCTTCCACTTCTTAATTGCATGTACCTGAAGCTCCTTGAGCTAACACGTATTCACCCCCGTCCCTTAGACCGGACTGTCCAATCCCCAAATCCCCACCGCCCAGCTTCGTTCGATTCGATACATCCCACTCGAACCCCCGACTTCCCAATCTTTAATTCCCCCTTGAACACGTCGTCAACCTCACCGCGCCGGCACCGAGCCAGCAACACCATACCGCCGCCACGATGGCTTCCTTTCTGGAAAATGCGTACAGCTTGGTGCACCAGGACAATGCTGCCGACGTGCCTTCCCTCTCCGACCTGCGCACGCAGCTCGAGAAGGGCACCGACGAGAGCAAGGTCGAGACCATGAAGCGCATTCTCACCATCATGCTGAACGGCGACCCAATGCCCAATCTGCTCATGCACATTATCCGATTCGTTATGCCTTCCAAGCACAAGCCGCTCAAGAAGTTGCTCTACTTCTACTACGAGATCTGCCCGAAGCACGACTCCAATGGCAAGCTCAAGCAAGAGATGATCTTGGTCTGGTTCGTGGCAGCTACAATCTGGACCTGAAGCTTCTTCACCCCTGCTGACACTTTGGCTACAGCAACGGTATCAGGAACGACCTGCAGCACCCTAACGAGTACATCCGCGGAAACACCCTCCGCTTCCTCTGCAAGCTGAGGGAACCCGAGCTTATCGAGCCTCTCCTGTCCTCCGCGAGACAGTGCCTCGAGCACCGCCACGCCTACGTGCGCAAGAACGCCGTCTTCGCCGTCTCCTCCATCTACACACACAACGCCTCTCTCATCCCTGATGCGTCCGACCTCATTAGCACATTCCTCGAAGCCGAGAACGACCCGACATGCAAGCGCAATGCTTTCGCCGCCCTCGCCTCTATCGATCACGAGAAGGCCCTACTGTATCTCAGCACAGTATTCGAGGGTATCCCGAACGCAGAGGAGCTGCTGCAGCTCGTCGAGCTCGAGTTCATCCGCAAGGATGCTGTCCAGAACTCCCAGAACAAGGTAGGACCTCTGGAGATGGTTTGCTTGGCGCATGGCTAACCTGAGCAGGCGCGGTATCTCCGTCTCATTTTCGACCTTCTCGAAGCCAGCACCTCGACCGTCGTGTACGAAGCCGCCTCTTCATTAACCGCCCTCACCAACAACCCCGTCGCAGTCAAGGCCGCCGCCGCCAAGTTTATCGAGCTCAGCATTAAAGAGGCGGACAACAACGTCAAGCTCATTGTGCTCGACCGCGTGGACCAGCTTCGGAGAAAGAACGAGGGTATCCTGGACGACCTGGTCATGGAGATCTTGCGCGTCCTCTCCAGCCCTGATATTGATGTTCGTCGCAAGGCTCTGGGTCTCGCCCTGGATATGGTATCGAGCAAGAACGTGGAGGAGGTTGTGCTTCTGCTTAAGAAGGAGCTGTCCAAGACGGTGGATCAGGAATACGAGAAGAACACCGAGTACCGCCAACTCCTCATCCACTCCATCCACCAGTGCGCCATCAAGTTCTCCGAGGTCGCCGCTAGCGTCGTCGACCTGCTTATGGACTTTATCGCCGACTTCAACAACACCTCGGCAGTGGACGTCATCAACTTCGTCAAGGAGGTCGTGGAGAAGTTCCCCAAGCTGCGCAAGCCAATCGTCCAGAGGTTGGTGGCCACCTTGAGCGAGGTGCGCGCCGGCAAGGTTTACAGAGGAATCATGTGGATCATTGGAGAGTACTCTCTGGAGGAGCGCGACATCAGGGACGCGTGGAAGAGCATCCGTGCCAGCCTGGGCGAGATCCCTATTCTTGCCTCGGAACAACGGCTGCTTGACGGCGATGGTGAGGAGGAGCAGAAGGAACAGGTCAACGGCCACTCCAAGCCTGCGCAACCAACGGGCTCCCGCAAGGTGCTTGCTGACGGAACGTACGCTACTGAGACCGCCCTCACCAGCCAGTCTTCTGTTGCAGCCAAGCTGGAGGCTGTCAAGGCCGCCCAGAAGCCTCCTCTGCGCCAGCTTATCCTCGACGGTGACTACTACTTGGCGACCGTCCTCTCCGCCACCTTGGTCAAGCTCGTCATGCGCCATGCCGAGATCTCTGCCGAGGCCGCGAGAACAAACGCTCTCCGTGGTGAGGCCATGCTTATCATGATCTCCATCATCCGCGTCGGCCAGTCGCAGTTCGTCAAGGCCCCCATTGACGAGGACTCCGTTGACCGTATCATGTCCTGTGTGCGGTCGCTCGCCGAGTTCAACCAGCACAAGGAGCTCGAGACCGTCTACCTCGACGACACCCGCAAGGCCTTCCGTGCCATGGTCCAAGCCGACGAGAAGAAGCGTGCTGCGAAGGAGGCGGTTGAGAAGGCCAAGACTGCCATCCAGGTCGACGATGTTGTTCAGATCCGCCAGCTCTCCAAGAAGAACGCGTCGGACGGTTTGGACGAGATCGAGGTCGACCTCGAGAGGGCAACTGGTGGCGAGGGTGCCGCCGAGGACCTCTCCTCCAAGCTCAGCCGTGTCGTCCAGCTCACCGGTTTCTCCGACCCGGTGTACGCCGAAGCGTACGTCAAGGTGCACCAGTTCGACATCGTTCTGGACGTGCTCCTCGTCAACCAGACCATGGAGACCCTCCAGAACCTGTCAGTCGAGTTCGCGACCCTGGGCGATCTGAAGGTCGTCGAGAGGCCGACGACGCAGAACCTGGGCCCCCACGACTTCCACAACGTGCAGTGCACCATCAAGGTCTCGTCCACGGACACGGGCGTCATCTTCGGTAACGTCGTCTACGACGGCGCCCACTCCACGGACACCAACGTCGTCATCCTCAACGACCTCCACGTCGACATCATGGACTACATCCAGCCCGCCACCTGCACCGAGACGCAGTTCCGCACCATGTGGACCGAGTTCGAGTGGGAGAACAAGGTCAACATTAACTCCAAGGCCAAGACGCTGCGCGACTTCCTCGAGCAGCTCATGGCCGCCACCAACATGAACTGCCTGACCCCCGAGGCCAGCATGAAGGGCGACTGCCAGTTCCTGAGCGCCAACCTATACGCCCGCAGCGTATTCGGTATGTTATTTCGTCATTGCTACCCTTTTGTCTCATCTCTGTTGTACTAACACATTTCGCAGGCGAGGATGCTCTGGCCAACTTGAGCATCGAGAAGGAGGGCGAGGACGGACCCATCACCGGCTTCGTCAGAATAAGAAGCAGATCGCAAGGCCTGGCGCTGAGCCTGGGATCCCTCAAGGGTCTCAACAAGATCGGCTCGGGGGCGTAAGGTCTGTGTGTGTGTGTCGAGTTGATGTAGTTGCTATATATCGAAAGACTGCAGCGGTCAAAAAAAAGCCCCCCGACGTCATCATTGGAAGCCTCCATCCCGGCGGGTGTTTGTCAAGCCCAAGGGGCGTAATGGGGTAGGAGATCTAGGATCCGCAAGAAGAATACGAGGGGGCAGAGAGATACGATCCGGGGGGACTGACCGGCAGGCTGGCCGGTTGGCGCGGCTGAGCAGCGTTGAAATGGAAATGAAACCGGGGGGTTTTGGTGGGTTGGAGTCCTTGTCTGCGTGTTGTTTCCCCTCGGCTCCTTCTCCCCCAATCCCCCCTCTCTTTGTGGTTAGAGTAAAAAGTGCAGCCCGGTCAGGCGTCATGAGTAGGTAGAAATGAGATGTCATTCATGTTCTAAGCGAACTCGCATTACTTGTTATCAAGAGCCGTCGCTAGAGAGCGAGAGAGCTGCCGTTTCCAGCAAGGGATGAATGATGGTATGTGACATTAAGTACTACTATACTACAACTATGAGTGTCCCCTGCCTTGAATCAACGCTTCAGCCATGACCCTCCACAAACCGCTGCATTGATCAAGAAACCGCTGTCCTTGAGGCAAGCACGCGTGATGACTGACAAGGACAATGAAGACTTTTCCGCTGACAAAAACATCCTCCCAAACGCCAATGATAGGAATCTGAGCCGCAATCAAAGGGTATTATCCAGAACCAGACTGAAAAAGAAAGTTGTAGAAAAGAGGCGTGTGTATGTACGCGAGGTGTATACGCGTGGGACCAATAGCAGCAGCAACAATAAGAGAACCGTGAGTGAAGCTCACGCTGGACGACAAGCTTCATCATAGGTTATCAAAGAACGCCAGTACGACGTGATTGATGTCTGGTGTTGGTTCAGTGAATTCCAAGTCGTTGAGCATGCAATACTGGCGCCACATTACCCACGCGTAATGTTCCCAATCATTCGTTCTTAGAGCAAATCTAAGCAGTTCAGGATTTTGCGGATGTTCCTACTGGTCGAAGACATAAGCATTGACCGTCTTCTCAGGCGTCCAGCCCTGTTCTTCCAGAGTCAGATTTGGTTTCAAAACCCTGCCCAGGAAAAAGAGGCGGATCTTTTTCTTGGAGAGCTGAGCAGTATGTTAGCTGTGTTCAGTTCCAGATCTCAGAGAGCCCAATGTACTTACTGCCGATGCAGCGAGAATCCTGGCCGCGATGGTTTCGATGGTGTCAGAACTTTGGAAGGAGACTGTTACAATCTGGTCGTTCAGGCTAAGGCGAGCCCGCACTTCCTGGGACACGGCCTTGCCCTTCTCCTCTTTCCGCTGAGTAGTCTCATTCTCGAGCTCTTCGCCTGCCAGGTGGTCCTTGAGATCCCGTGCGTCGTCACCTCCGTCTCCGCCCATGGGGTATTGCTCCGTGTCCATGATATTCGGGGGATCAGCCACGACCCACTCGTTGAGTTGGTAGTATTGGCCGGTCGAGTCGTAGGCGCCTTGAGCCAAGTCCCCTGTAGGCAGTGTAATTTCTCCCGCGTCGAGGATGGCTTGGGCGTCAGCGAGACCTTCGTCGGTGACACCGTGGTTAAGGTCGACGGGTATCCAAAGCTTTTGCACAACGGTGTGTAGAATCTGCCAGACTTCGGGATGGCCAGTGACGCGGGTATCGAAGAAGGCGGTGCGCTCACGGTCGAGGGTGGCGCGAGTCCAGACACGACGGTCGTGCGAGGTCCACTTATGCCGGCGAAGAGGCTTGTTTATGCGGCGTTCGGGGGCACTACGGTGGGCGGCGCCGGGGCCGGATGGGTTGATTGCACGGGCGTTGTTCGAGGCTGAGTTGTGTGAGTTTTGCCCGCCCGGGGAACGAGAGAGACAGCAGCCCTGCAGAAGATCAGTCAGTCTGATGTTGAAGATATGGCAGCGTCCGTGGCGCGGCGGCGGGTTGGAGCGTTGTCTGGTTTAGATATCGGGTCGGGTTGGGAGGGGACGTCAAACTTATCCGTACCATAGCTTCAACTGAGGAAAGGGATCAGCGGGAACGACGTTTGTCAAAAGAATGATCTCGGTCCATAGCCTGAGGTGTGATATGATGTTCTGCAAGCTAACGTCGATGAAGTGTCTGAGGATGTCGTTTCGCGAAGTCGTCTGGTTCGAGATAAGATGGGGAGAGGTGAAGAGGAGAAAAGAAGACGAGATCGGGCGATGTTGTTGGAGGTCGAAGTAGACCCTGGACGATGAGCTCCTGCTGGTTGGTCGAGGACGTCAGGCGCGGCTGCGGGTGTGTTGGCGCTGGAGAAAGAGCGACTGACGAGTGTGTATCGTATTTGCGGAAGATGGAGGGTGCGGTGCGATGCGATGCGAATGAAACGAAAGAGAGTACCTAAGAAAGCAAGACGGTGAAAGGCAGCTTCGACCTGCAGCCAAGGCGGTGACGGTGATGGTGACGACCACAAAGGTGCCGAAGAGACGTGTAAGGTATAAGGTAAGGTGAAGGGAAGGTAAGATTGCTTGCTACCTTTACTTCACTTGGTTGACGCAGGCAGGCGGAGGTGGGATGGTGACGACGACCTGGACCTGAAGGAATGATTTCCGCTCTCTTTTCTCCCGCCTTCAGTGCGACGCGGCAAGGAATTCAACGGCAACGGCAGCGGCAACGCGACAGGGCAAAGCAAGAAGCAGCGCGAAAGACTTCAGTGGTTGCAGTTCCCCGGAATGGGATCCATGGATTTGACTAGCAGGGGTCCATGAGCTAACATTATTCCTGGTCCAACACCTGAATACTTGAATACTAAGATACCTACCTCAGTGACGATGGATAAGAAGGTCAATTGGATAACAGTAATAACCAAGGTACAAGAGGCTGTAGTTTAGATGACTGACGAGGTAGGCCTACTGCGTGGTACCTTACGTAGCTAGGTATTTACTTCGTCTTAGGTACTGAGGAAAAACAGTCTGGACCTTGGCTTTTTGGTCCCTCCACGTTCGCATTTTCCCTTTTATTGAATGTCGAATTGCTTGCAGAATCCACAGTGGCTGGATTCCCAACTCTCTGTTCCCGTCCGCACGTGGAATTTGTCATTCTTAAAGGAAAGAAGATTGAATCAAATACAAACAATGGAACGGCTCAGACAGAGATTCGTCTTCGTCTTTCAACTTTTTCTTCATCACCATTTCCATGCCGCCGAATTTATTCTAGCTCTACCTTAGGTCACAAGCGCCTTGGCAAGGGCCTGTCAGACCCTCACTCTAATACAGGGTCCCCCAGCTTCATTTGGGTCCCAGTCCACTTGTTCCATGCGGGCGAACCCCTCCGATGGTGGTCATCCAAGTGTTTTCGCTGGTTGTTGGCGATGCTGGAGAGGGCCGGAAGGTTGCTGAGCCACCTTTGCTTCCACGGCGCGCCTGACACGGCCAAACTCCCCCCATCGCGAAATGTTTGTAAAGTAAAGTTATTTTTTCTTCCTGAAGCCGGCATTATTGACGGTCTCGTCTTGGCGGAGGCACATCTGACAACTCAATTACCAACGCAGCCCGCTGCCGAGAATGGGCCTGTCTCATGGAACCCCCTCCGCCCAATCGAGACACCGTTCCGAGCTTCATGACTCTCGTTATCCTGACCCGGGACTCATCTAAAAAAGTGTGGACATCGCGAGCTATAAAAAAAAAAAAAAAACTTATATTAAGCTATACCTTAGGGAATAACTTTCTATATAGAATATAATATAAGTATATATACCTAGTACTTAATATAATAAGGGTTTATAAAGCCTATAGATATATATAAGCCCTCTTAGCTAACTTTTTAGCCTATATAGTTATAAATAGCCTTAACTACTAAGGTTATAATAACCTTAAAGGGCGTTTCTAGTAAGTATAAATGCTGGAGGACTGACGAGGCCCCCCTGATCCCTGCTTCATGACCCTCGTTATCCTGACCCGGGACTCATCTTTACTAACACAATCCAGATCTGTTTCCTTTCGGGGTCGGATGCCCTAATCTCTGAGAGCACCGTGTCATATCATGCGATCCCCATCACGTAAATCGCCAAGCTCGCCCACGGATTTGACCGCGACCAATCCAGGTCATCCTAACCATCTGAGTCGCTGGCCTTGTCGATTTCAGATGAACCATCTGCGCCGAAGCATCAAACATCCCTGGGAATCCAGTCGTGGCTCCATCGAGGAGCGGCGCCTCCGTGTCATGCCGGCGAACCGTTTTCACCGTGGGTCTATCGCACGAACCCCTGTCCAGATCCACCGTTTTACAACCCTCCAAGCGGTCGATCACCGAGCATGACGTCGAAATGGTCTTGCGACAACATCCCATGAGTCCAGTGCTACCTGATCACCAGTGGTTTTGTTGTCAAAATGCTCCAAGTCGACACAATAATCTTCGGCCCACGAGGCTGCATGGTTCCAACCGTCGAGTAAGCAGATCATCCGCAGTGATCACCACAAGAATCCACGGCATTTCTTGCTACCGCAGAGACACGGAACCATGTTGCCTCGTTTGCTCTTGTCGTTAGCGTCATCATCTTCATGAGAAACTCCGTCGACGTAGTCGAAGGTAAGCTGCTCTCCCGCGGGAATGTCTCGCAACGCGAACATGGCGATATCGTGGATGTGCTTGTCGGCGTGGTCACCCACTCGAGCAAAGATGCGCAGGTTCGGATCACAAGAATGGTTGATGAATCTCGTCGGGCCGGACATGAACTCGCCGTCGATCTCGAGGGGAGGTCCTCGCAGGCGCGGGTCTGGAGAATCCGGGTCGGTGAATTTGTCGAGGGCGAACAGGTATACGTCTTTTCGCTGCGCAATGTCGGACTGGTTGCGCCGGCGTTGCGCCTCCTGGGGCGTGAGGATTTCGCCTATGTACTTGTCGACGAATTGACCCTTCTTGATGTCGGCAAGCGGCCGCACACCTAGCATCCATCAGTCAGCATCTCCTCTCGTCTAGATATCCCCTCCGGATTCAAGTGCCTCAAAGTAGCTTACCCCATCCGGTCCTGTCGGTGCGGAAGATCTGCAGAGGCACCTTGCGGCCGCGCTCGACGACGCGGTTCGGGCAGTCCTTACTGCAGGCGCAACCATCGTGACACTCGTAAATGGGCCGCGACGAGTCGAGGTACTTGGACCTTAACAATCCAGCCTTCGATCCGCTCGTGTGGTACATATACTCCTTTTTCCGGGGCTCGCCCCCGGCTTGGGGGTCGTTCAACTGCTCCGAAAGACAATGGCAGCCGCTGTACTGGCATTCGGTGTCGTCGGAACATCCGCAGCCCGTTCGGAAACTATCCTCTGCGGCCTGGACGCCAGTCCCGAGCTTGGAGTCTTGCAGAAAGCGGAAGGTGGAGGGGATCGTAGCGTCGTCTTCCTCGTTTATGATCGTGATTGGGTAGGCCTTGTTGTTCGGATAGCTTCTAATTTGACACCAATGGCAGTTCTCGCGCTCTTTTTCAAGGGCCTGCGATAGGAATGAGTTAGTGAAAAGTTGGGAGATCGGGAGGCAGAGAGCTCTAGAGGTCGTACTCGTGCAGAGGCCTTCGTACCTGCCGGCTCCGAGGCGCCGTGGTGGAAGAAATGCCTTTCCGTCACAGACTCCATCTTGTCATGACTTTCTTGCTTCGGTTGAGAGTCGACGACGAGGCATGCTATCGCGAGATTTTGCCTTGGTAAGGGGGGCGATGCGCCTTCAGTAAGGTAGAGCAGATAGCGGGGTTTGCGACGGGGAAGCAATTGGCCAAGGTAGCCACCAAAAACCACTTTACGCGACGCGTCGGTCTTTGATGACTAATCACACAAAGGTGGCCTACCTAGGTACCTATGACATTCTCTCTGCTTCATCTCTCTCTTCTTCAAACTTCCAAGTCGCCTTTGAACAAGACTCAATCACGTCGCTTTACACAACATGACAATCATGCGTTTCAACAGGGTGTTTCTCTACTCAATTGCTTCACTAGCTATGCTGCTACAACCCTCTATATCCTTCGCCTGTTCTTACACTCAGGCTTGAACGTCGAACCAAGCTCGCCCCATTTGATGTTGCTGAAAGTAACGACGGGGTTCGGCTCAACCTTGACGACATTCACCGGGAAACCCTCCGTCTCATTACACGGCCCAGCCTCCGGCGCACCGTCCAGCCAGCGCATCGCACCGCCCTCGTCCCACCAGATGCTGAAAGCAAGCACCATGCCCCGATCAAACGAGTCGCCCATCTCCCGGTGCGCACCGAGCTCGGTAAACCTCCGCGACCCGGTCGCCGCGCAGAACTCGTCGTTGAGGTAGTTTACCTGCGGCAGGTCCGGGTTGTTGACCGTCTCGCTACGGATGACACGCCCGTCCTGCACGTACAGCCGATGGATCTCGGAGAGCTCGCCCGCTGCGTTGGCCGGGAACTGCGTCACCACGGTGAAGGGCTTGGTCGTGTCCACCGAGAAGTTGGCGCCACGGCCGTATTCGTGCGGGTTGTTGTTGCGGTACGGGTTCCACGCGCATCCGTTCTTGTCGCAGACGCCCTCGAAAGCACAGTCTTCGCCTTCACAGAGGTAGACGCCCGTCTGGTTGCACGGGTGAGGCGCAACGTGGCTGGCGCGGGAGTTGGCTTCCCAGATGTCCTGTCCATGTGTAAGTCGCTGTAAGGTGCCTGGAAGGGCAGATTTCAGCTTACCATCTCGTTGCAACAAGCTCCATATCCTTCAATGTTGGCCTCGCCGTTGATGAACGGCGTCGTGTAGCATTGAGCATCGCAGTATCCGGTGCCGTGAGTAGCGCCTCCTTCATTCAAGCTCGATTTTCCGCCGTCTGCGTACATCTCGGACAGATACAGCGCGCTGTTCATACCACATGGGAGGCGCGTGACGTCAACATCAAAGGTGAACTCCATGCCCGTCAGGTGCATCATCTCGTACTTCTCCTTGGCCGGGTCGAGCAGGTACACGCGGGGAGACACCTGCTTGCCGTCCTTGAGCTGGTACATGGTCATGGCCGCGCCGTCCGTGGTGACGCCGACACGGGAGTAGTCATCCAGACCCTCCTGGACACAGTTCTCCGCGCACGCCTCCTTGGTCGGGCATGCCGTCTCGTTGGGCGGGTTGCCCCAAGAGCCGCAGCTTGCACCGTTGGCCTCCTGGTAGACGTTGTGGGCGAGGGAGTCGAGGACGACGAAGTTGTTCACCTCGGTGCAACCACCGGCCTTGGTGCAGCGCCAGGTTGTCAGGGCTGGGTGGTTCTCCTCAGGGCCGATTTGTCGTTGGGCGGAGGCCAGACCGAGCAGGAAGGCGGCCAGGCCGAGGCTGGAGAGGACGGGAGCCATGATGTTGACAGAACGACCGGATGGACTTGGAGAAGAGAGCGTCTGTTACACCTGGTGGTCGCAAGAGTAATCACGACATGGCGATGGCGCGAGACGGCCGCTTGCTCATATATGCTGACGGATTGACATCTTCCGCTGAGCAGCATTGTTTCTTCTTTTTCGCCTACTTCCGCATCCCTTGCGGGTGTCCAAGCCCCAGCGACTCCCTTCACGAAAGAATCATATCCGATACCCATGTCGCGTCAATCCCGTTGCGATTGAAGGAGGCTCAGGCTCCGAGGTTCTCCGCCGGCTTGTCTTAGCGCTTTGCCGTGATTGATAACAAGGGATCTATGCAGCAGAGTGAGGGGGCAAGGTGAACCGAGAAATAGCCTTAGCTCACACCCGATCGTGAGCCATTCGTGGCTTCACGGTCCAACGGGCCAGGAACCGCGTCGAGAGACATCTTGGCGCTGCCTCCAATGCGACGCTACCTTTCGCTACTGTCCTAGCGCAGACGAACCTGCATATCGAGCAGCTACATCGTCCAGTAAGCTCGCTAGACAGTAGAATGTCTATTGGCCGGCTGCTGTACCTGGCAGAAGCGAGCTACCGGAGAGAGATCTAGGCCTTCCGTGGTCAAGTATCTTGAAAGCAATGAATAGATGTCAATACACGGGCAAAAAGGGAGGTTGCAAATGGCTCCCGGGCATCCTAGTCGACTTCCCCAGTTCTCCGCATGAAGCTCTTGTATGGGAGAACCGGGATTAAGTGACCCGATCCAAGGACCAACAGCCGCTGGTAGTAGAGACTGGCGAAAGCTAACGGCGCAAAGTAGTGGCATCTCCTCAGGAGACTTCATGGTGACCATGAGACTATGGCATGGGACATTTTTGCCAGTCATCTCAGACCTTGCGGTTAACTTACATGGCAAGGACAGTTGTGACATTGAATCGTAAGAGACCGCAAAGAGACCAGTTCTTAACCTTTCACGTATCTGGGAGACACCAAAAGAAACCACACCCTTACTCCCGGCCAGTTGGGACACGGAAGAACTCATCGCAATTTCCGTGCCATCCATACGTCCAAATCAGTATGGACGCCTGCACTCCTCCAATAATTCAATTCTACCGTCTTTGCCCGGCTGGGCAGATGGACGTCTTGAACCCCAAACCACCACTCACTCGCGATTCCAAAATGAGGGGATTCGAGATCTCAGCAGATTGATTACACCCACATTGTACTGCAAGGCACAATTTCCCCTCACTCACTCCGTCCAGTCGTTCCGAAGTTCTGCCTCCGGATACGTGAACCGACGTGAATCACCCCTCGTCTGGATCGCCAGACCCGATTACCCGTTGTTGCTGGACACATTGATGACCACCGAATCAAATTACAGATCTCGAACGTCAAAGTCGCTGCATTACCTCAGATCTCTAAAAACGCCTTATGATAATCCTTCCAGTTCTTCTCCAACTGGCCCCTCACAAGACTCGCCCAGAGCTTCGAGCACTTCACCTCCGCGACCTCCTCCAGCTCCAGCCCGCCGTCCTTGGCATCCCTCACCGTCCACCGCGTCTCCAGCACCACGCCCAGCGGACAGTCCGTGTGCACGAAGCAGCCGTCCGCGGTGAAGGTGAACTGGTAGTGGCTGTCGGACTCGCGCTCCCAGACCTTGGACAGCACGGGGGTCGGCACGGCGTCCGTCACGCTGTAGCAGACCGTCGGGGCCAGCGGGGTCACGTCGTCGGGCAGCTCGGAGAGGACCTTGGGCGTCGTGCCGATAAAGGTCTTCATGTTCGGGTCGCACTTGATGTGGTGCTCCGGGTCGTGGAGGAGGCTCAGGACGTGCTCGCGCGACATCCGCGGCGGGACGGGCGTGGTGTGTTTTAGGGTGAAGGTTGTTTCAAACATATTCGCGCCTTGTGAACGTATCAGCTATCAAGAGTGTGTGAATCTCTCTCTCACTCGGAGTGCGTTGAGCTAGCGCGCGGTTGAGCGGAGTGATATCGGTGCACGATGTCAAGCTTTATGGCAGTTGTGAGTACGGGGCTCGCCACCGGCCTGATGCCGTTACTCATAATCGCCACGTGGGATTGTCGTGTTAGTAGATTCTTATAAATATTCCCATCCAAAAGATCTAGATTCGCTTGAAAAGGTTCCTTCCCTTCCGTGCGATGTGTGTGTCAGGGAAGTTCCTAGCGTAAACTTTCCCGAACACCATCTATGCACTCGACGACGTGTATCCGATCATCCGTGCCGAGGCCGTGTTTGATCCCACCGGAGGACAGAAGGAACCGTAGCTCTGTGATTGTGGTTCACGGTGTCTCTCTTTACGGCATTTAGTAAACAGTTGGCCTTAGTCTCGGTCCACGGAGGGCGGCACGGCAACTTGAAGGTGGTTGAATCATATGTTGTAATCTATATATTAACCGCTTAGTCTATACTTGTGAACACTATTTCGGCTCTGTACGAAGAACTTATTCAATTCCATAGGAAGCCGCCAATCCTTCTCCACAAGCCGTTGGGATCATACCGTTTCTGAACCACCTGCAAGAATCGCTGGTTCTCCTCACCGTAGCTGGCTTGCACCGGTTGGTTCAACAGCGCGTAGTTCATGTATCGCGGGTTAGTACGGTAGAAAGTGGTCTGCTCAGCTGCCAGAGCACCTTCAACGGCATTTGAGCTGAGTACACCAGGTGAAAACGATGCTGCCAGACTATCTGCTTCCTTGCTGATACTCTCAACAAATCCAAACATCTTCGCATCGTTCCCGGCATCCATCCAGGCGACGGTGTAATCGATCCAAGTGATGTCCCCGGCGTCGGCCTCGAGTCCCATCACATTCTTGACGCCTATGACTTTCTCGCCGGCCCTCACCACAGGAGCGGGCACTGGTACCAGCGCCATGGAAAAGATGAGGCCGTAGTCTGCTCCTCCTGTGCCGCTGGCCTTGTCCCGGAAATGCTGCCAGTGCTTGAGGTACAAATCTGCACCATGCGGTGCGGCGAGGTTCGGGAATGTGTGGCCGCCGATGAGCCAGCGTGGAATGGGCAGATCGCCGTTGTTATTTGACGCGATGAGGGTGGCGTAGCTCTGTGTAGCGGTGGTATCTGCCAGCGGCTTCGCTGCGTATAAGGCGGCGAACGGGTTGGCATCACCCGCTGGTGGCGATGAAGCATTGTAGAAGACGTAGACGTTGATGAACGACAGTTGTGGATTCGCACCTCCTCCCATGCTGAGATAGATGTGCGACTGGGGATCGTACTTGGCGGTGAAGGCCTGCGTCGCGTTGAAAATCTGACTGGCTTTGTCGATGGTGAAGGATAGCATTCCACCCCAGACCTCTGTCCTCTGTGAATACGTCTTGAGTCGGAAGCGTGTAACAATACCGAATTGGTTACCGCCTCCTTTGAGGGCTCGGAAGAGGTCAGGCTCTGATGTCTGATTGACGTTCGTGATGGAGCCATCGGCGAGAACGACCTCGTAGTCGAGCACATTGTCGCATGCCAGACCGTGAAGCCCGCTGAAATAGCTGAGGCCGCCTCCGACAAGAAGACCACCGACACCGATCGACGCGAATCGTCCACCGATGACGGTGACCCCTTCCCGCTCAAGGGCTTTGTACACGTCCGCCCAGCGCGCGCCGGATCCAACGATGGCGTAACCCTTGTCTGGAACGTTTTCGACTCTATTGATGAAGTCCAGAGAGACGAGGACTCCGCCGTCCGTGTTCGACCAGCCCGGCCACGAGCCGTGACCGCCGCTTTTCACGGCGAACCGGACATCTTCGCCGCAAGATGAGAGCACCCTCACGATGGAAGCGACCTGAGCGGCGTTTTTCGGCTGCGTAATACATGCTGGACTCAGATTTCCGGCCGCCTCGTTCCAGTACGTGCCCCGAACCGTCTGATATGCCGTCGTGTTTGGAGTTGCGAGTGCGTCGGGAGGCAAAGTCGCAGCGAGAATCAGACACGCCTGCGCTGATGTTGAGCAGGAGTAGCCCTCGACCACCGGAGCTTTCGATGTGAGTAATCCTGGAAAGAGCGCCCAGAACAGCCTTTGCAATCTCCTAGTCCGCATGTTGGCCGATTTCTGCCGCGAGGAAGTTGATGCTGGGCGAAGGACATAGCTCCCAAGGGAGAGATCGTGGAACGGACAATTCGGACTTTATGTACCCCTCCCCCGCAGTCTCTCAGAGACAATGACGCTAGATGTCTCCGGCTTTCTCGGTGGACTTGAAGGTTGTACGAATAGCGACCATGTCGTATCGATCCCACCGGCAGTTACTGAACTGTAAGTCGGGCGGAAGCGCGCAATCCTGCGAGACGTACTGACCAATGGGGTTGCCGCGCCATTCTTACAGCAAAGTCAACTACATCATAGTTTCTCGTCTGTAAGCGGTTTGAGTCGTGCTCTCGTATGGCCAGGATAGGAAATGCTGCGCTCAGTATCAATGCCTGGCCAGCATGTGAGCTCTCAATCAGTAAATGCAACTTCCTGAATGGCTTCACAATGCTAGTTGCTCCTAGCTGTTAATTCATTCAATTATTTGTAAATTCATCGACGAAAGAATCGAATACTCGCTCGCTAAATGACTGGGATCACTGCCAGTTTGTCTTGATAACATCCATAATCACACCGTGGTCCTGGTCCTGCTTCAAGCCGCTGACGACGACCACAGCAACGACGCCCTCGACGCCCTGCACGCGGATGGGCACGCCGCCGCCGTGGATGGCGTACTTGTTGGCCTGCTCGGTGCTCATGCAGAAGAGCGCCGCGAACTCGGTCTCGTTGCCGGCGAACTTGTTGTGCAGGAGCCAGGTGCTGGCGCCCCAGCGGAGGACGCTGTTGCGCTTGCGCTGCACCCACGTCGCGTTGTCCGGGAGGGTGCCGGAGCCGACGGCGGTCTGGAAGAGGATCTGTTCGCTGTTGGCGAGGGCGATGGAGACTACGGTGGGCTTGCCGGCGGCGGCGAAGGGGAGGAGGCGGGCGTAGAGGAGGTGGCCGAGCTCGTTGGCATCCTCGGCGGTGAAGCGGTCAAAGGTGAATGAGTCGCCGTCTTGCTTGAGGGCTTCGACCTGGGTGGGTTCGTCAGCATGCTGTTTTACGCTGAAATTGGTTGAGCGCTCTCAGTTTTTGAGTGATATGGCTGAGAGATGGAATTGAAAAGATGAGGTGCGACTCATAAGTTGTTGTGGCCGATGAGAGCGAACGTTGAGTATGAAAACGCTCAACGACGGACATGAAAATCCAACATCGTCAGAAAGCTTCAAGGCGGCACGCTAAACTTACATCGGAGGTCGGCGTGGGGATCGGAACGGGAGCGGCGGGGTTTCGGATGGCCTCGAGGGATTTCTCCAAGCCGTAGCCTGCGGGGTTGCGGCGGGTATAGACCTTCTGCGACATGTTTGCGGGGAGTGGTTGAGACTAAGGTTGAGGATTGCTGTGTGTTCTGAGAGTGCAAGAGTTGGAAGCGAGGTCGGGACTACTTGGTGATGATTCGGCAGTCGGTGTACTTGATGAAGATGGAGATGAAGAGGAATCGTCCTGTAAATACTTTGTTCAGTCAGTCTTGTTCCTCATGATGCGAAAACGGACGTATTTAACATCCCCACCACGGGCCAAGCTGTGGCTCCCTCCGCTGATGCAAGAAAAGCCCACTTGGTGTCCCATTCTTCTTCAACTCTTACAATTACCCCATCGGGAAGAGCGCGGGTTACATACCGAGTCTGGGATCTCCTGCTTGGGCGGCTGTATTCGTACGGCGGATGAGTTCGAGACGGACGCTGTTCTGTCATTCGGGAGAGACCGTCGTTCTTCAGGTTTCTTGCGAGGTCTTCCCACCTTGTAGCGACGAGTTATCCCCCATAGTGTGATTCGACGCTGGAAAGTCGACCTGCTAATCTTGATGCCTTTGGTCGCGAGGAACTTCACGATGTTATCAATCGTTTCTCCACGTTTCCAGGCATCGACGATCTCGCCCTTGTAGGGTTCAAGATCATGCTTCACGAACAAATGAACTGGAGGCGTCCGATCGGCTGATCCATTCGCTGCGGGGTTTCCGTCTGGGGTATCGACTCGAGACATCGGACCGGAGGAAAAGAATCGCAAATCAGTGATGCTCAATGCCCAAAATCGATGCAATTGACCGCATTCACGCTTGCGCCAGGCGCGTTCTGGGTTCAACGGCGGTGGGGGGCTACCCCCTCAGTCGGGGTCCACCCGGCAACGGCCGACAGGCCCCGTGGGATCAGATCGGCCGAGACTCCCCGGTGCAGCAGCCACGCCACTCCGGCGCGGTCTTCCGCCGTTAATCGGGACAACTCCGGCAGACACTTTCTCAACTTCTTTCGAGCTTATAAAGCATTTTCAGAGTTCATTATAGCCTGCGTTATCCTGTTTCGGTCTTTCCATCAAGCATGGATACTGTCTCAGCAAAAACCTGGGGTAAGTAAGCCTCGGTGTCATCCGAAAGCGCCGGGCTCAACTGGCGCTTCCCGTTCCCCAAAGTAGACTAACAGACCTACCGAGATGGAACCGTCTTGTAGTCTGGATCATGTGGTTGATCTTGAGGACATACCTTGTCTGGGCAGTGTGCTTGGTTCGATAATAGGGCATGTTCCTGCCATTCAACCAACCTACAAAACTGATTGACAATCACCTGAAACCGACGTTGGGCTCTTCTAACATTATACGCAGTCGATGATGGAAATACCCAAACTGCGAAACTTGGCCCTATAAGTGACGACCCGGTCCATGGATGACTGAGAAGCAATCATAGTCATAATCCTCACAACTGATTTGCTTTATCGACGCTGATCGAGACAGAAGCTGATGGGCAATGGACGTCTAGAACCTCGAAACAGTCTCAAAACAATCAGCGAATAAGCAAGCTCTAGGCTGATACGAGGTTTTCTTTTCTTTCCTTTTTCTTCTTTTCGTGCCACGCGATGACCACACCTTTTTTAGGGACGACAAATAGCCACCGCTAGTAGGTGTGTAGGAGTCCGAGAGCTAAACCACGAAATCTTCGTCTTATCTCCTCTACAGTGGCCAGTGAAATAATTTGCTAGCATCGTTTATCTCAAGGTCGCATCGTGTGGTATTTAAACAGAATTCTGATTACATATGTTTGCCTAAACGTCGAATTTCAGCCTCAAACAACTTGATACCCCATTTGAGGTCAGCAGACATTTCTACCTATCCCTCTACCCTATTATGGTTCTCGGGTTTTAGCGCGATATCAGTGCGAGTTTGTTATGGACCATCTTGCTGTTTTCAACAGAAACACCGCTGATATCCTCATCGGGTGCAAGTTTCTTGGAATCGATAAAGTCTAATTGTTCTTACGAAAATCCAATGACAGGACTTGACAACCGCTGCGATCCGTACATAGTAACAACTGACAATCTAGCTTTTGACATGAGACTTAGACGAACAACTTAGGTTCAAGCACATGCATTTATCCTATGTGGACATGAACTTATGGTCAAGACATTCAACACTGACACTAACCTCAAGCGATCGAGGACTTCCTGTGCTCTAACGGCGTGTCTGAGTTCCTCCCATGGCCGGTACTTAGACCATCAAGCCTCAAGGGGAATGACATTGACAGTAGCATGGCAACATCTTCATGTGCTGTCATTTCAAGTCGAAAACATATGAGTTCTTTCAAGCTCCGTCTTAATAAGAAAGCATTTTCTCAATCATTTGATAACTTCTTTTGCATTGTCAGTCATATGTCACTCGGTCTTACGTTCTGAGTCAAATCAACTGTGTTGAGTTGCTGCCCTACCCTGACCAGGAGTTCGTGGTAAGCTGGTCTTTCCCTAATGACTTCATCACTGGACATGTACATATATGCTCAAGTTCCGCTCAACTGGGATACACTATGTAGACTGGCATGACTTGGGCGAGACTGAAAGTCTTTGGCTTTCGTCTTAGCTTTGTTCGTGGCCTGGGATGTTTGGATCGCGACTCATGAGGAGCCTCCGGTCGTCAAAATCGTCAAGCGTTACTCGGATCATTCTGCCGATGAGGCTGATACATGTCGCCCGGGGGCATAAACAAATACATGGACATCGATTTCTGCACACGGCTCGGAGATTCTCAGTCCTTTTTAGGAAGTTGTCTTCAACTTGATGTCGAGGAAGGTATATTCAACGGGTTCTTTTCAATATCAACCGCCACATTCCGTTGGTCAACTTGTCTAGCTGCGACGGCAGCTGAGCAGCTGGCAGAGGGCTATCCTGGGCTGTCAACTCACAACAAGACCAGATGAACGAACAGATAGAGTTTGTTGGTCCGAGTTCAAGTCCGAGGCCAGCTGATTTCAAATTGAAGTTATTAAGACTTCGTACCAAGCATTCGGATCAAGCCCACCGAGGTATCCGCTGACGATCATGAGAGCCATTGTGGGACTCTCGCAACATCTCAACATCACGTCCCCTCGGACAACGGCCGGTTGGCCCAATGGCAAGGCGTCTGACTACGATCCACTGTGGTATCAGGAGATTCTGGGTTCGACCCCCAGGCTGGTCAAGTTGAATTTTTGCCGTTCAGTGCAATGCCTTCAACTCGACATGTTGTGCTTGACGCCAGAATGATAGTTAGGGCACAATTTTTTGAGGCCTTCAGGGGAGATCCCCACATGACCGTCTTGCTTGATGTGGGCCGAAGCACGGTTCGTTGGTTGTTTTCTGGACGAAAAGCTTGCGTTCACCGTCTCTCGTAAGGATGTATCGGCGGGAGTTGAGTGAAGAGGCGCAGAGCACACAGACAAGTTAGCGAGCGTCGAACGCGTGAACTCATATACGCGGCCGTCGCATTGGTCCTACGCGTGCATGGCGGCGTGCGTCACCAGGGATCCGTTGGCCTCGAATCAGACGATGCGTCTGTCAACTGATCGAGAGCGAGAACGAGCATATCTTATCGTGATAAAGGATCTGGGGAACGGACGGCTCAGAGCCAAGGGATGCTCGTATCCCGTCGGCACCACCGCTCCGTCGGCGACCGTGATGGCCGGCATCACCGTGGGTCCCTTGTCGGCAGTCTCGGCTTGTGGGAGACGACTTGGCAGCCAACTCTCTCCAGGGCTTGACGTTCCGGGATTGCGACATGGGCGTCATCTGTGGCTTCGCCGATTCGGCACGTACGGTGGGCATGTCTTTCGACGACGATTGGGCAATAGGAATGCTCGGAGGAGAGGCGTGAGGCAGACCACCGTCACCACCATCAATCTGCAAATCGTTCACGCCGTCGCCGGCACCATTTTATGTATGAACAAGAGGCACTACTGCTCCTGTTCAATATAAGCAAGACGATCAGCAACCAGCGCATAAAGTAAAATCAAACTCTAATAACCGGCAAGTGGAACCGCTCGCTCTCATCTAACCATGACAGAAACCAATCTCCCATCGGTGCCTGACTCGTATCTTGACCAGGGTGCTGGTTTCAACCGGGAGTCGGGGATCATGCAGCACAGCAGCAACCCCCACACATTTGGGAATTTCCCCTGGCTAGAAAGCCACAGGAGACTGCGATCACGACAGACGTCAACGGAGCCGGGTTACTCCCTCCGGTCACTGGGTCAAAAGTGCCCCTAATCCCGCACTGGCCGACTCTTCGGGACTTCTCCCATTTGGGCTGAGGGAGAACTGGAGGTCCAGGGATCTTTTATCAATACACGTACAGGCAACACAAGGCACAAGTGAACCGTGCCATCTCCAGGCTGGACAAGGTGGACAAGGAGAGTGAAAGCCGTTGGTCCCTTTTCTAGTTCTGAAGTCCCCGTGCCCCCTCCTCCACATTGCCTACCTAAAACTCTTCGCTCGTCCCATATCGTCTGTCGTCCCTTCGAAACTGCCATCCCACCGGTAAACGCGTTCGAGAGGTTTGAGGAAACCCAATGTTGAGGAAAGACTTGGTGAAGGCGCTATCGTGGTCGTCCTGTTAGAAAGAAAAACAACAACAAGGGGTTTCCGACGCGCCAGGCGTCGACCGAAGCGACCGAAAATGTCCTCGAGACATCGAAACCGAATCCTCCCGCCATCGTCACTCCTTCTCTCCTATCTTGCGTCAGCATCTTACGCTGCCTTCACCAACGACTTCTCCGCGTATCCGGCATCATCGCGGTCATGTCTGAACACAGCAGCAACCGCGTCCGGGTGCACGGGTGACACGGTGTCCGAAATGAACCATTGTCTGTGTGGGAATGGGGGGAACTTCGTGCTCTCGGCTGCGGCATGTGTGTCGAAGACCGACCACGATGAGCTGGATGATGTTTACGAGATGCTTTTGACGTCTTGCACAGACTCGAAAACGCCATTGGGCGTCTCACAGGCCGAATTCCTGGGAGCCGGCGACTCGACAACATCATCATCAAGCACGACCTTGGCCACGTCTACCACAACGCCGAGCACAGCATCGACGACATCATACGTCCCATTGACTACATACAAGAGCGTGGCGAACGGAGTGACGGTAACCGTTACGAGGGGGATCGAATCGGTGCCGACCGGAACGAACGTTGGAAAGGGGAGCAGCAACTCCGACGATTCAGGCTCGGGTGAAGGATCTGGCCGTACTGCCCTCGCTGCCGGCCTTGTCGGAGGCGTCGCAATTGTTTTGGCTATTCTCGCATTCCTTTGCTACAGGAAAAAGAAACAGCGTCAGCAGCGAGCAGCCAACACCGGACCAGGCGGGAAATTCGCGGCCTTATCGAGCGCGACAAGCCTCACGACCATGAGCTCTCCGCCGCAAGGAGCGGCCACCACAGCCGGGGCAGCAGCCACGACACAATATCACAACGTGAACGATCAAAGACCGGATACCGCGGGCGGGTCGATGCCCATGGCCGCAACGCCTGGCTGGAATCCTCAACACCAGCCATCACAGCAACAACAACGTCAAGAAGGGAACCTGAGCCCTCAATACTGGCAGCAACAAAACGGTCAACATTCAGGTTCATGGCCATCACCGGTATCGAATGGAGGCACGGGCACGTGGGGACAACATGGAGTCTCCCCCGTCTCTCAGTATCCTCCAGGATCTCGTGGCTCGCCTTCGATGCAGAACGGCACATGGAACGGCCAAACTTCAAATGGGCGAGACCTCACATGGAATGGCCAAGCTGCAGCACAGAATGGCACATGGAACTCCCACAACCACAACTCACCACCAGACGGAACATGGAACGCACAAGCCGTTCCTCACTCCCAGAACTCACCACCGAACGGAACGTGGAACGCGCAACCCGTTCCCGTCCCGGCACCGATCCCTCATCCCACCGGTACCGCCACAACCCCCGTCTTCGAACTTCCCGGAGACCATATCCTAGCCGTCGAGGCAGACTCGACACCAATCGGTCCTGCTCAGCCAGCGCCAGCACAGCAACAACATCAACATCACCAACATCAACAATACCAAACACCTCTATCCGCACGACCGTCGTCATCGATACAATCAACACCGCAAATGCAGGTAGCTCATCCAGCACAACCGGCGCCCGCACACTACGGCATGCAGAGGCAGGTCGACGACGCACTACAAATATCAAGAGTAGAATTACCGCCGCCGAGATATGAAGGGCCCAGGTCACCGGAATGGGTTAGCGAGGACAAGAAGTTCGGATGACGGAACAAAGTCTCTTGGCGAGATAGCTTTTCAGCATAATGATTATTTTCTTAATCCTTGTAATACTAGACTCCCGGGCACCGCTGCCGTCATGAGGCCCAAGACAAAATTTACTATTCTGATCACTAAGCATTGCGGATCCGGTTCATGCTGTAGCCAAGTGATGTCACGTCTCAAGTTTCCCTGTTCCTGTCACAGATGGTGAGTTGTATCCGGGCAGTGCATGCGGGACCCCGTGATCGTCATGTCAATCGCTCCGTCCCATGTTCCAACTACCACCAATAATCCTGGGCAGTGTTTGTAGCAGCAAATGTGCACGGGGTGGACGACACTCGAGGCAACGTCAACTCAGGGTGATCTTTAAATGCGTCTCATAGGTTGCTGCTAGTTGGCAGAAAGCTACAGTCGCACTTGTTAAGCTCGACGATGGCTACTCAAGGTTTCCAACTCGATGTCTTTTTCAGCCTGTCAGAGATATGTCTTATGAAGTGCAGCCTTAAATGTTGGAACAATGTGCTTGGTACTGTTGCTTGCAATTGCAAGTGGACCGCGGTAAAAGCGACATCAGCAAAAAAGATAGTTCCAAGCCGGCGCCGGACAGTAAACTGGCAAAAGTGGTGTCCTCGGAGAGGCTCGAACTCTCGACCTTTGGATGTCCCTGTCTGTACACAGAGTCATATTGAGTAATATGAGACCAACGCTCTACCGACTGAGCCACGAAGACATTGGTGGATGATGGAGCCAGCCAATGGGTCGCTCTAAGTGGCGCCGGATTTCTGACTCAAGCTTGTGAAGAACGTCGAGAGCTTTTCATCAATGCCGGTCTCTTTTACGGCACTGGAAAAGCTCCAAATTTCTATTTCAATGATACAAGTTGATTGCGTGTGAAGAGTAGCTTGAAAAGCAGCTTGACAATGTGAGACACATGCTGTCAATGGGGTAGGTTGTTGGTGTCACAGCGCCATCTGGTAACAAAATGTCTGTCCAACCAACTAAACGGGGCGCGAGATTGAGAAGAAAGCGCTACTAATGCAGCCAATGTGGCGTAGATTCGGTTTGCGACACCGACTATTATGAGTCGTAGCATTCTTACGGACTGAGACCAGATGAGACCGCGAAAGAGCCCTACGGCCACGTTGCGTTGCCGATGACTTTCTCAGACAGGTCTCGAATGACCTCGTTATGGGCAGATCAGTCTCCTTTCATCGTCAAAGAGGCCTCTTGTCAGCCTTACCCAGCCACATCTCGCGAGTTTCGTGTCCCGAACGCGCGTCTTGAGGACGCTAGCGAATCCCTCTGGGTTGATTGGGCCGAACTGCTGCGGCTGACCTGCATGAGGGCGGCGCAGAATTCCTGCCTAGAGCTAGGAAAAGTTCCCAATCATCTCCGACCCGGGTCATCATTCCACCATGCAACGTTCGTCAATGAAGTCGGGAACCCTGGTCTTTGGATTTAACCATAAATCGCCTCCGACGACCGAGTTGAGTGCCAAGCCTAGTACCATCTAGAGGGTGGATCACCAGATATCCCGGCCCCATCAGCAGTTTTGATCAACGACTCGAGAATGGCAATGTCCGGCTTCTCGTCCGCGGCGTTGACGTCGAGCTGCGATGACATTTCCCACCGCTCTCTGTCAACGTCAGCTGAGCTCGATGCTCTCCTCAAAGGCATCGACCCGGGGAGCATGGCAGCCCAGCATCTGATCTCCCTCTCCGCGAAACTCGACCAGTTCAAGCAGACTACGGAACAGTTGCGACAATCCCTCACCGATGCTTCGGCCATGTCGCCGGGCCTCCGGAACGCCTTGTCCATCTCGATCCAGCCATGCGCGGACAGCGCGGCCATCGTCGATAAGCAGATCCGCAGACTCGACCCCGGAAATGTCGACGGTCTCAACCCTGAAGTCATCATACAGTATGAGGACTACCACATGTCGAACACCCGCCTGTTCAATCAGATCATCCAGGTGCTTCAGATGTGAGTTTATGAGCCTGTTGAGAATATGCCATAAGCTAAACTTGCAAAGTCCTACCGTCACCGAACAGGACTCTCAGCTTTCCGCGCCTGATGGACATCGAATGCTTGAAAACGCCATTGAAGCATCACAAATCGTTATGATCCGGAGTGATATACTCGACAAGCCCAACGAGCCTGGCCAACCAATGGGGGATGCCGAAGTCGCTGGTGAAGGGCAGATCAGCCTGGGTCCAGATGAGTTGCCTCCGGATTACCCCTCTGGAAAACCGGACAAGGGCAAGAGAAAAGCTACCGGCCAGTTCTTCTCGTCGTTATCGAATTCGTTCAAAGCAATGACTGCGGGCCTTCGACCTAAGCCTGAGCCGATGGTAATCGCCATGTGCCAGGCGGCCAAAGACGGAGATGTAGGGCATCTCAAGGGTTTCATCTCTCAAGGAGTCAACCTCAACGGCCAGAACGACGAAGGATACACTCCGCTTATCTGCGCCATTCGCGCCAATCATCTTTCTGCCGTGAAGTTCCTCCTCAAATACGGCGCTGACAAGGCTTCGAAGGACTCAGCCAGCGGGAAGCGGAAGCCGCCTCTCTTTCACGCAGCTGAGTGTGGCTTCGTACCTATCGCAGAATACCTCATCAGTCAGGGCGCGGATATGAAAGAGCGGTCTTGGTCCGGCCAGGCGTTCTTCATTGAGGTTGCGAATAGCGACCAGCTGGACATCATTCGGTTGTTCCTATCCCGCGGATGTGATGCCAACATGATGGCCATCAGCGGCCGCAGCATCTTCATCCACGCTATTCAGAACGGCAGTCTCCCTCATATGAAACTCCTCCAGGAGTATGGCGCCGACGTCAACGCTCGTGATATCACAGGCCTGCCTGGTTTACACGTGGCGCTGGGCCAGAACCGCCTGGACGTCGTCGCATGGCTTCTCGAACACGGTGCCAACCCGAATGTCATGGATCTTACAGGCAACACGATGATAGTCTCGGCGTTACACAAGAAGAATTACGAACTGGTCAAAATTCTCCTCACCCGAGGCGCTGACCCCAACGCCACGGGGCTGATGGGCAAGGGAGTGTTGTGGACGATGTTGCAAAACAAGGACATGGAGGACGGCATCAAGGCTGACCTAGTTCGCGCACTGCTCGACCGCGGAGCCGACCCCAATCAGACAGACAGCTGGGGAGAATCCATCATGTCACTTGTCGTGACCCTGGGCAACACGGATCTTCTCCGCACTTTTCTCACCCATGGCGGCAACCCAAACAAGAAGATCAAAGAAGACACCTTCCTCCTTTACGCCATAGACCGTGCTAGGTTCGAGCATGTCAAGATGCTGCTCTCTCACGGTGCCGATGTCAATGGGTCTGACAACAAGGGAAGAGTACCGCTCGTGGAAGCTCTTCAAATGAACAACCGACCTCTGATAGAGCTACTGCTTCAGTTTGGCGCTGACCCGAACAAAATGGGCCAGATCGAGCCGTTAGCCCTAGCTAAATTGATCGGAAACACGGAAGTCGCTCAGATGCTGACTGAAAGAGGTGCTGAGGCTCCCAAGAGGCGAACTGTTGAGAGTATGCCGACAACCCCGGCCACTCCAGTGACGCCAGCAACGTCAACAGCACCGAGAAGAGTGAGCGTTGGCGTTTCTCATGCTCGATCTGAATCGGGTCGAGCAGACATGCCGCCACCGTACACCGAAGGCGCTCTCAAAGACCCTCCCGTCTCTGGTAGGCGTGTCTAGATCGGCACTGGTAAATTCATGTTGCCACAGAATCAAAGGAGACGGAGACCAGTGAAAGGACACACAGCTTGCATTGCGGCTTCCGGAGAAGTCATGTCATATATTCAGCTAATAGAAATACTAATGAGGGAAGTTGGTTGATGAAAATTGCCATGTCTAAAGACACTGCATCTCAAACTCGCTTGCACAGAGCTTCTTTGAAACCAAGTTGCTTGCGAACCAATCACCTGGCTTTGTTTTGATGATCTTGCAGACACGTTTCTAGCTTCCAAAATAGTTTATATGCTGAATTCTGTGTACGAAAGCCACGTCTGCTAATTTGAACCTCTGCGACGAAGAGCTTTTACGGATCTTCAAGGCATTTAAGCCGTCTGAATACCAGACTTGCAGGGTTTATGTATAGCCTCGGCGGCAATATTGACCTTCTCGAATAAGCGAGGCAACGCCATGATCACTCACGGAACCGTAGCAATCCACAGAATCGTAGCGCCTTACTTGACATAGCGAGCCTGGCAATTTTTGGCGAAGGCATGGGTTCCCTAGTCAGTGCATTCTAACTGTTCCGTGTCTAGCAGGTGGACGGGGATATGATCTTGGCTGATTTCCAGGGTTACTCAACCCAGCTTTCAGAGGCCAGGAACTGTGATGTCATGTTATTTTGAGATCCATGAGTGAATTATCACTGCCTTGAATCTGGAAATTCAATCAACTGCCGTTAAAACGCAAGTAGACTCCATCGATTAGCTCTGGTAATGCTAAATTCCGCCGCGTTTCTACTACGAACCCAAAATCACGCCCAGGCACACTTGAGAGAAGCCTTTATGTTTGTATTAGTTGCTCCGACTGGTCAGTTCGATCATACTTTCGGGTAAAGAAGCGTTGATTTGATGAAAAGGCTAATAAACTCCGTCCCTTGACTGTCACTTAAACTCAACCTTTCATGGCAGCCCTAATGATCTTTTCCAGCCCTTCCCTACCTATCGGCTCAATTCCCAGCAACTTGTTGTCCGTCTCCGGGAAGTAGCCGCCCCATCCTTTGCCCAGAAACGCACGGTTGATGAACATCTCAACTACCTCCTCGCTGTGATCGCCCTCTGCCCATCGTTCAAGGGCAGTCTTCTCCAGATCCTCAGTTCGACAATGCTTGATATCCCACTCCGCAGTTGGATCAACAGTCTTTGCAATCTGCAAAATCTCGTTTTGCGTCGTCTCAACGCTGCTGATCTTGACAGGACGGTTTGCCGTTTCCTCCAGATGTGTCAAGATTCCGATGACTGCTTGTCCGATGTGCGGCATCGTGGTTGCGTTGAACAGGATATCACCGCCGTCCTTAATGAGAGCCTTCTTCTTCTCAACGTCGACAAGAAAGTTCAGCGCGTATCCAGGGGCCAGGAACGAGACATTCATAATGATTGTGTAAGAAAACGAAGGTTTCTGTGCAACCTTCTCGTCCAGATACTTCCGGATAGCGATCTTGGGCTGATAGATGGGGAAGGCAGCCAGCTTGGGGTTCTTGGTGTCATTGCCGTATTCAGAAGGAATCATCCTTCGAATGCCAGCGTTGAAGGCTGCGTCAACCACGTTTCTCTGGACATGGATGGCGCCGAATGCCAGGGCGGAAACAAGAGCATCCTGACCGCGGAGAGCGGCTTCGATGCTGGGGACTGACTCGTAGTCGACTGTCTTCACTACGACGTTTGCGGGGAACTGGTGACCAGACCCGATGCGAGTGAGAACGGTGAGCTGGAAAAGATTTGACTTGAGCAGGACGTCGAGTAGTACACGTCCAAGGAAACCATTCGCCTAGAGAAAGTGCATCCATTCGTCAGCTCCGGAGCAACTCATACATCCTTTCGCCGAGAGGGAAGCGAGACGCAGATGACTTACACCTGCTAGTACGACGTTCTTAATTGGGGCAGACATGGAATCTGGGATTTGGTATCGTTGCAGTAAGAGAAGAAGGCTTTGAATAGCAATGACTGTTCATAAAGTTCCACAAGCAACGCAGCGGAGAAATGGAGTCTTGATATAGAAGCTTGATGCCTTCATCTGCAGCAAGGGACGGTGAGCATAGCAACCATATTTATGATCATCAGGTACAACGACCAGTATGCCTGGAAACATCATGTGCTATTGATACTTTCCTGTCAGGCCCGACGTCTCGGCCTGTGTCAAGCCGGGATCGTCTCACAGCCCGTGGAAGCCCACACTTTAGAGTTCGCCGGGACGGCCTGTCGGACGGACGGATCCGCCGCCTGATGGTGTCGTCGTCCTGCCCGTTTGGAAATCCCGCATCTAGCGGAGACGGCGGTCGGTCTGCCAAGGAGCATTTACTGTGGAATACAGGGGCCGATGGAACTTCTTAATCGTGAAGCGCGCGCTGAATAGCTGAGCTGGACTTCATCGTATGATTGCACATATACCTAACCACGGGATCCTGTCAAACGAAGTTGCAACCAGCAACCCTGGCACCATCCTAGCCAGCACTGTTTGCATGCCATGCTGCTGGGACGAGGCAATATGACTGGTAAGGCTTGGGTGTCAATATCTTCCTGTCACAACCAGGCTTTGACACGTCATGTGAGTCTCGGGGCTGATGACTTTGTTTGAATTCTGGATAAGCGAAGGGAAGGTCGGAATGAGATGCCGATTGAGTGGAGGATTCATGTGGAAGGAAGGTTGTACACCGGGAGTTACTAACGCGGCAGCGGAATAATTGTGATGTGATAGGATATGTATATGGCAGAGGTACTGAAGCTTGTATAAATGTCTTGTCTCCCTCCATGACTGCCCACTCGTGGAAACGTTTGCTAAGCTGGCTTTTCGAAGACAATATCAAGGGTTATTTACAGACCATTAACGTTGACCGTTATTAAAAATGTTGTTGCCCGTTATCACTCTCTTTGCGTCCCTCGCAACCGTTGTCTACTCACTGTATGTGATAGTCACCACCCACGTTCTTCGACGACGCATGAGGAAAGAATATGGATGTCTTCCACCAAACAAGTTGCCCCAAAAGGATCCTCTCTTTGGGACCGATGTTGTCGTTCAAAACCTGGCTGCTGCTAGGAATTTTGGATTTCTCAAGCTCTTACAGAGCCGGCACAAGACAAACGGACAGACTTTTACCACCAATACCTTCTTTCGGTAGGCTTTTCTATCTCTTCAACGATTTACGTACGTTTTGGCACTATTGCTAACGATAATCATTTTAGAACCACGATAAATACATGTAACCCCCGCCTGATCCAAGTCGTCCTTTCGAACCAGTTCGAAGACTTCGGCATGGGCCCATTGAGACGGAAGAGCGCCAGTCCGCTGTTGGGGAGAGGTATTGAAACTTCATTACCAGATAATGCGATGTTGTTCAGCCAGCTGATTGAGATCGACAAGGAATCTTCACTACCGACAACGATATCTGGGCTCATCAGAGAGCGCTTATTCGGCCGAGCTTCATCCGAGCTCAGGTTACCGACTTCACCATCTTCGAAACGCACGTGGACCAACTTATTCAGCTTATTGCTCGTGAGAACTATACTGTCGACCTGCAGCAGTTATTTTTCCGCATGGTTTGTTATTTTCCGCCGGTGACGTAGGCTTTGCTTCAAATCCACTAACCTTCTTCAGGTTCTCGACTCCAATAGCGAGTATCTTTTCGGAGAGTCTGTCGGCCTGATGTCTGACAACGCTTCTGATTCTGCACACACTTTCCACCACGCCCTCGATTACGCTCAACAAGGAACGATCTTGCGTCTCCGACTTGGCAACTTGATGTTCGCGCATCGAGATGCAAAGTTTAGGGAATCATGTCAGATCGTGCACGCGTATGCCGACAAATTTGTGAAGCAAGCACTTGAGTTCCGCCAGCAGGAGTTGCTGCACCCGTCGGAGAAGAAGGACGAGTATGCGCGCCAGAAGTACGTCTTCCTCAACGAGCTGGCCAAGGATACGGATAACCCTATCATGCTGCGAGATCAAATTGTCAACATGCTTCTCGCGGCTCGTGATACCACGGCTGGGCTTCTCGCTTTCGCTTTCTTCATGTTGGCTCGGAACCCCGAAGTCTGGAAGAAACTTAGAGCCGATGTGCTCGAACACTACACTGAGCCCCTCACATATGATGCCGTTCAAGAGATGACATATCTCCGCTACGTTTTGCAGGAGAGTAAGTTGGTTCCTGTTCGAAAAAACTAATTCTCAGATGCAGAGCTAACGACTACAAGCGCTTCGTCTCTTCCCTCCTATCGCGACCAACAGCCGGATGGCCAACAAGGATTGCGTCATTCCAGTCGGTGGTGGTCCTGACGGCCAATCTCCCATGTTTGTTGCGAAGAACAATGTGGTCACCTACAGCACCTTCGTGATGCACCGAAGACCCGAGCTCTTTGGCCCAGATTCGGAAGAATTCATCCCAGAGCGGTGGGAGAGTCTCCGTCCTGGCTGGGAGTTCCTGCCGTTCAACGGCGGTCCTCGCGTCTGTCCTGGCCAGAAGTTCGCCCTTACCGAGTCGTCTTACACAATTGCAAGGATGCTGCATGCCTTTTCTGGCATTGACAACTTGGACCCAACTGAATGGCGCGAGCAACTCACCTTGTCCTTGACACTGAACAACGGTGTCAAGGTACGGCTCCACCCTGAGGCTTAGAAGTCCCAGGATCTAGAAGCAGGATTCCTTTGTTTTCGCAACATGAATTTGAACATGCCGAGACAAGAGAATAAACCAATAAACTGAAGCATTTTAACTTGAAGCTACCATCTATCATCGAATAATTCTTTCAAGATCCTCCCTTCCCTCCATGAACGATTGCCACATACGCAAAGATCACGTTTTCTGTCTTCGAGATGTAGCTTAAAGAACTGACATGTAACTGAGACTGAGATGACTGTACACCGTCTCCGTTTATTTACATGTCTCGAAATCTTTCCATATTAAAGTAGCAACCGCAAGGGTTCCGCATCTGGGTGAAACCCAACACTCATGCAGTACAACATCGCTTGAAGCCGACCCAGCCAAGAATGCATTGGCATAACCGACGACGACATATCATCGCTTTTGCGTGTCTTGAGCCCAGCCAACCCCATTCGGGTAATGTTCCAGAAGGGGTTAGAAGAAAGGACAGAATCAAGAAAGAGCCAAGAGAAACGACAATATAATAGAGTTGTGGGTACCACTGGGAGAATGCAAGAACGCTATGTGAGCCTTGTAAACCTCACCGCCGTCACATACATCATATACCTCTCTGCAAGGAGAACCCTCCTATTTAGATGACACCTCATGATTTGGTGGTATCGGCTGATTGTGTCCTTGGCTTTGTACCTGAGACCTCGCCTCGAGTTGCCTTTCAGGTTGTAAGAGGAAGAACTTGTTTATTCGGACGATTAATTCTCTCAGGCCCACTGTATCAACCTGAGAAGAGGTTACAGGCTGAAGAGAGATCGCCAATGCCATTTGCCATCTTTGGCTTTCGACAGACAAGGACATATCACTTGTAACGAGGTGAAGTTGGGACCCTGCGAAGTTTAAATGTACCCCGCCGCGGATACGTTTACCGCCACCGGGACCGAGTCAGCTAGACTCTAAGCGAGGCCTCGGCCAGAATCATTAACTCCCCGGTTGTCTTGAACCGCAGCATACGTACAATGCTTCGAGATCAGATCCTTGCTACGAATAAGGTTTCTGATCCCGCCTCCATGCTACCTACGATGCAGTAGTAAAGGCTTCAAGCGTACAGCTTCCAAGGCGTTGCCGTCGTCCGAAGTCCAAGTTTGTACGTAAAATAAACCGTTACCCGTCTCGCCTCGAAGTTTGTTCGTCCATGAGGGCCTCATGCTAGCCAAGAAAGTCTATTAAGGTGACCAAGAGCAGAGAGAAGAATGGAAGGTAGTATTCTGGACACTAAAGGCTAAGTCATGTACTGGAAATGATTGACTAAGCGGACCGCATCGTACGTTCATTGCGTGCTGCTTGCGGGTGGGCAATGGTCATTCCCACTACTGCATGTGACGATGTTGTCAACCTGACTCTCAAGTTCTCTGACGAATTCCCCGCACATCTACAGCCGTTTACTTTGAGGCCGCGTCACCAGTGATCAACAACAGAGAGAAGCTTAGCTTTTCTATCTGAAGATTGTATTTTGATCGCTCTTCTCCCTCCACAGTGATTCTAACTCACGACGGTGCTATGTGTGGAATTACGGCAGCAATCAAGCTCAGACGGAGCGGCTCCGTCAATGGCATCAACGGCGTTAAGTCGAACGGAAGCAGCGATTTGAACGGACACGAGCAGAATGAGCGGACAAAACATGGTGCTCTCTACCATCAACTAGAAGAGAGCCTCCAAAAGATTGCTCATCGCGGACCTGATGCGTCTGGCATCTGGGTCAGCGAGGACGGAACCATCGGTAGGTTTTCTCGTGGATTAAACTTCGATACAGCTCTGATTTCATCGATGCAGGGCTTGGTCATCGCCGCCTAGCAATCAACGATCTGTCCCCGGATGGGGTGCAGCCCATACATAGTGACGATGGCAAAATCCATGCGGTTGTCAATGGAGAGATCTACGATCATGATGCCCTTAGAGAACACTGCATCCAGAAGCACGGGTATAAGTTTAGAGGCCACTCTGACAGCGAGGTTTTAGTAGCCCTCTACAAAATTTACGGAGCCCCGGGATTCTTTGAACATCTACGCGGTGAATTCTCCTTCGTCATCTACGATGAGAGGGATGGACGAATTATCGCTGCCCGGGATCGGTTTGGCATCAAGCCTATGTTTTGGACCCTCCAAGGCGAAGGAGACGATAGTCGTTTGTTGTTCACCTCGGAGATGAAAGGCTTCCTCGCTCTGGGCTGGGAGCCTGAATGGAATGTCTACGGTCTCATCAGCTCATCTTCACTACAAGCTGATAATACTATCTTCAAAAATGCATGGAAGATGAACCCCGGCGCGTGGATGGAGGTATCTCGAGATGGAGAAATCAGACACCATCAATATTGGGACCCGGAGTATAAAGACAAGGTGAGCATTATTTGGCATCTACTGCCCGCGAGCTCCCTGTTAACAAGACACTTAGCGAGAAGTGGAAACGCGGAGTTTAGACGAAATGATTCTCGAAGTTAGGAAACGTCTCATCGAGGCGATTCGACTTCGACTGCGTGCTGATGTACCCGTGGGCATCTATTTATCTGGAGGCATTGACTCATCAATCGTTGCGGGAATCGTAACGAAGCTGGTCCGCGACGAGGGTGTCATGCTCGGGAACCAAGACGCGACAAAACGCATAGCCTGCTTCACCATCCAGTTCCCGGAGACTTCGGGCTTTAATGAGGCTGGTAAGCGGGACACATCCTGACCGAGATGAGGCTTAGGTGTGAACTAAGTGTGCTGATGAACTCTACAGACATTGCCGAGCGATCGGCCGAATGGCTTGGCGTTCAGATATTGAAGAAGAATATGGATGAGACTGAACTTGCCAACAATTTTGCCGGCGCAGTCTATCACACGGAACATCATCATTTCGATCTCAACTGCGTGGGGAAGTACTGTCTGTCGACGCTACCCAGACAACATGGTGTGCCTGTTGTTCTTACTGGAGAAGGCGCCGATGAGCACTTCGCTGGTTATCCGTTCCTTCTACCGGACTTTCTGCTGGAGCCCGATTACGCTTGGCCTGGTTCTGCGTTGGCACATGACGACAACGTGCGCGAGGGTATGCACAGAGAGATGGCAGAAGACATCAAGAACATGTTCGACAGAGTTGGCATGTTCCAACATGACTGGAACAACAATCCCCAACAAGACTTCGGTGTTGGGAACAACTCCCTGAGATGGCAACCCAGTAAGGATCTTTTCGCGCCCTGGGTCCAGGAGAGATACGGAGATTTTGATATGAGAGAGGTCATGGCTGCATCCGTGCCACTCGAAGTTCGGAAGAAGATGGATGAGAAGTGGCACTCGCTGCATTCTAGTCTTTGGGTTTATACCAGACTTCCACTCGCCAACATGGTTCTGACCTGTCTCGGCGATCGCACGGAAATGGCCCACAGTGTCGAGGCGCGAACGCCGTTCTTGGATCACCATCTTGTCGAGTACGTCAACTCGCTGCCTCCAAGCTTGAAGATCGCATACAACCAGGTGGACGGAGAGGCTGTTGGAACCGGCGCAAGCTTATGGTGGAAGAACCTGAGCGCAGCGCGTCAGTCCCTGAGCGAGAAGTGGATCTTGAAAGAAGCCGGGAAACCGTTCATCACGCAAGAGCTGTATGAACGGCGAAAACACCCTTACTCGGCTCCCGTAAAGTGGTCTCGCGGTGGCCCCATAAACAAGATGATGGAAGGTCTGATCACGGAGGAGAACGTGAACAACTTGGGCTTCGTAGCATGGGAGGATGCGCGGGATTGGTTGGAAAGGGGCTTCGGAGACGACGCTGATCCGAGAGCATTCAGAAAACTGGTGGTCACGGGTTCGTGGGTGGTTCTGAGCCGAGAATTTGGCGTCAAGAAGGCTGTCAAGGAGCACTGGAATAATGGTGCTTAGACGGTAGGTAGATCATGTGTCTTAAACCGCTTCTGCGGACTGACTTAGAAACCAGATAATATAGACTGAAAATGTCGATGGGTGAGCATCTTGGGTTAGATTGATGATATGAGATTAAGAGTCTCGGTGTCATTGACTAGATGGTGGAAGACGGTAATCAGACAGTACTTTGGGACCACTTGTGCGGCTCACCGATGACAGGTTTCAGTAACTCTGGCAAGATGACTGCCGCATCTCCAACAAACACCCAATCTCTGTTCAACTGAATACCGTTGGCGTCACCGGCATCGGTGTTGATCACGGCAATCCTCGCACCCTTCTTGCGAGCCATTTCAGGATAGCCAGCTGCCGGCCAGACTCTGCTGGAGGTGCCTATGGTAAGGCAAATGTCAATTGGCTCAGGATCGTCGAACAGCGCCTCGGTTTCTTCCACAATTTTGACAGGTAGAGACTCGCCGAACCAGACGACCGCGGGTCGGAGAATGCTGTCCTTGCACTGGGGACATTGTGGAAGATCTTCCTTTGTTAGACCCGATGATAGTCGGACAACTGGTGATGAACTGGTTGTAGGTTGCTCCGGAGATTTGAGAGCGGCTAGGTCTTTCGAGGTAGGGGTACCGCCCTGGTAGCTATCCCCGAGGATTTGCGCGTGCTTCCGAGCAATACCGGCTAGCAGAAGAGGGCTTGCCCTGGGTTTGTTGTCGGGATTAAGGCTTCCGATAGTTTCTTTCTCATCTTTGGAGGGATCAAGAGCGGGTGTCAGGCACTCTTCAAAGTTGTTGCGTTCGACGTAACCGCACTTGATCACATCAGAGCATGACAAAGTAAACAAATTGCCATGGAGTTCCTTCAACTGCTCGGGCGGATGACCAGCTCGATGGCTCAGATTGTCGACATTTTGCGTTAGGGCGACGAAGCCCGGGACTTGACGCGCCAGCTCGGCCAAGGCGTAATGAGCTGGGTTGGGTTTGGCGCGAAGCGCCTCGTGCCGACGGTATCTGCAGTTATTCATTAGCCCACTTTCCCACACTCCGGTGGTTTTGAAGGGTTCCCATACGTATAAAATTGCAGAACGAGCCCGGGGTCATGACGAAAGCCTGCAGGTGAGGCAACCTGCATCACGTCCTGGCTCTTCCAGAGTCCATTGGTGCTTCTAAACGTAGCCAGTCCTGAAGACGCAGAAAGACCCGCACCGATCACGGCAATGATACGCTTCGCATGTTTGAGGGCGTCCTGAAAGTCGGCAACCGCCGCGAGGTCTAAAGCCGAAGTTGACTCAGCCATGAAGAAGTTATTTTGGCCAAGTACAGAGTCTGAGGCCGAAACAGTTGCATGTATTTTATATATGGTCATTTGTTGTTGGGTGCCTAAATGACGTGGAGAGGCAACGAGGCGGCCGCTGGTGCCTAGTATGTAGTTGCCTGCTTGTGAGCCTCACCACGGAAGATTTAGACTTTGAGACGTGCCTGATAAAGATTTATGTACATCCTTGAAAAGTAATGCATATACGTCTCAAAATTGTTGAACATCACATCTGCAAGACAACATACTCGCGACCAAAGCCACTGATGTAGTTATTGTTCACCATCCGGGCCACGTATCAGTGATATTGGCTTGTCATGCCAGCATAGTAATTCAACCAGATTTGTGAGATAAACCAGATTTTTGATACACCTAAAAGGATCTAGAGATGATATGCAGTAATAATATGATACAAGTAAAAGAGATCTAGCGCCATCCCTCTTAAAGAGTGCATAGTGGGTGGAGCAGTAAAGGAGTGACAAGAATGATAGTGATGGGAGCAAACTTCAGGTAGCCCTGAAATAGTCCGTTGGCCAATGTATGGAGTCAAGATCAACCGCAGCCGATCAAAATCTCATCTTCTTCGGGAGCCCTTTACTGAGTCTCCTCACCCTCGACATCGTCGTCGGTGATGTCAGCCTCGGAAACATCCTCGTCGTCCTCAGGGGCATCCTCAGAGTCGTCCTCGGGAGCATCCTCGGAGTCGTCCTCAGGGGCATCCTCAGGAGCGTCAGCGGGAGCATCCTCAGGAGCGTCAGTGGGGGCATCGACGGGGGTAGTGACGGGAGCATCGACGGGAGTGGCGACGGGGGTAGCGACAGGAACATCGACGGGTGTGGCGACGGGAGCATCGGAGGGGGCAACGACGACGGTAGTGTTGGTGGGGATGCCACTCTCCTGGCGGCGCCAAGCTCCCTTGGTGTTGCCCTTGTTGTTACCGCCCTTGTTCTTGTTTCCGTAGACATTGCCCTTGTTCTCGCCCTTGTTGTTGTTGTTGTCATCATCATCACCACCCTTGTTGTTGTTGCCCTTGTTGTCATCCCACTGGTCCTCGTTGTCATCACCCTTGTTGCCGCCCTGGTTGCCGCCCTTGTTACCGTACTGGTCGTTGTTGTCGTCGTTGCACTTGCCCTTCAAGTTGAAGAAGGTCCGCTTGCACTGCTTCTGGCAGTTGCCCTTGGGGTTCCAGAAGGTGCGCTTGCACTGCTTCGAAAAGGTGCGAGCGGCGAGCTCAGCGCCGTTGACGTTTCCGTTGGCGCGGATCTATTAGTTGAAGTGGTTAATCATCGGATTCGGTCGACAGTTGATGACTTGGCTTACCTCGACAGCAGCAGCATGCCCAGCGGCGGGCGCAGCCAGAGCAGTGGCGGCGAAGAAGGCAACGCCAACGGTGGCGACCTGGGTGAAAGTAGGGAGCTGCATTTTGATAGTTGGTTGGTGTTGAGAGAATGTTCTTGTGTGAAAGAATGTAGTTGTTGAAAGTGAATGTGGATTAGAAGTGAGAGACTGTAGTGGTCAAGTGTGATCTGAAGAGTGAGTGTGATGAGGAAAGAAAAGTTGGAGAAAAGAGAAATAATTCAACGACTTTATAGAAAACACTCTCTCATCATGAGAGGTTTCTGGCTGACTTAGTTGTTGTGACGAAATGGTATTCGATGCCTGAGTGAGCATCCGGACCAATTCGACAAAAGCCACACCACTGCGGGTTACCGTGCAGCTAGAAGATCACAGTCTGAGCACCGCAGTTAGCCTCCGGTGATCAAACAATACGTTTGTCTAAGACGAGACTGATCCTCAGTTATGGAAGCATTGTACTAGGCTCATAACTGTAATTCAAATTAACATGAACTAGTAGATCCGATTGACTGGTTCAGGGTAATGTTGCCAAGTATAAGCATTCTAGCTCAAGCCACCTCTGTTACCGCACTGGTTTATTTTCGTGCTCTGACCAGCGCTACAATTCCCGCGCGCAAGTATGCTTCATTTTCGACCGAGCTAGAAGCCCTGAAAGAAGCTATCGACGGCGCTGATCTTGAAACACACAGTCCCAGAATAAGTAGGGTACCTATGCCCGAGATCCTCAAATATGCATAGGAACCCGAATATACACATTGAATCTCCGAAATCAACAGAGTTTTGTTCGAGATATTTGCGAGCTCCCTGACAACTGCCATGCCCAGCTCCGGTGAGCCCCAGCCTTGATACGACTAAGAATAATAACCGTGTGACTCAGTCACATCCGAAGATCTAGACCAAAATCTGGGCCATCATCCGTAGTCTAGCTTCCCACAGCCTATCTAGTCGCCGGAAAGACGCCTCTTCAGGTGAAAACCTCGGACCAGAGCATACCCACCCGTGAACCACCCGCCTGGGCAGTCAGTGCGAGGGCTGACAATAGTGGAGATGTAAGTAATACTGTGCGTCAGAAGCCATGCGGGATGGCGTAGAAGTCGAAGCTTAAGTTACGCTTATTTTGTTAAGCGGGGAGCTAGCCGGGACAAGCTCCGACCCGGCGCGGCACCGATGCGGGGCTTCCCGCCCGGCCAGTTTCACGAAGTATTTGGAGGTATCCTTTCATAAGATTTACTGAGGTAACCCGATTCAAATATCCCGTCTGCTAAAGTTACTTCCTGGGGGTAAACTTTCGTGATTAATGCCGGCCTCAAGCAGTATACCTAAGTAACATTCTGTCTGGTCTCATCACCTGAAGTAAGAGCATCGACTCAATCTTCTTCTTTCCCCACCACGCAGTAGACACTACGAGTAACTTTTCAGATGGAAGGATTTGAGTGTTTATGTCAACAAAGGCGGCTTCTTCCGTCACAAAGACCACAAACGTCCCGCGCAGGAAATCCAGGCCGAGTACTAAGCGTAGTCTCACATCTTACATACCAAGGACGCCACTGGCGGTTTGCTAACGTCCGAGCAAAATCTTGCCAAGACCAACGGTTTAGGTCAGAGCCACTGATGAGCACTCATCAACGATGATGTGAATCAAACTTAAATTTCAGGGGGTAAGACAGGTGCTGATGAGAGCCCACTCATGCAGCTTCCTACTGGCGAGGGCAAAGAGTTCGCCCAACCGCTGACTAGATATTGTTTACATTAAGACGGTGCGAGTTGCCAGTGTCTTTAACTTAGTTGGTCTTCCAATGAATCTTGCCATGCGCTTGCATCCCATATGAGCCCATGAAATTCTTACGTATATCTTTCATAACTACGTTATAAGATGGGATAACACATCCTCTCTCACTCTTCAACGAGGTTATTCCGATCACTATAATGGATTCAGTCAGTGATGAAAGCAAGATTTTCGTGTGACAAGACTTACGGTAGCTCGAAGTTTGGCAGAAACCATGCCAACACAAGGGCTGGCGCTGATGCTCCTACAGCGGTGTACACCATAGATCTCATGACATCGGAAAACTAGTAAAGCGTCAGAGTGCATGAATCACAACGTGATCAAATTGATGATGCAACTTACCGCATGATTTATCGCGGTTCTCTCTGGCGTTCCCCATGCAGGCGCAGTCCCAACAATCGAGTCAAACAGAGAGTCGATGAGTTCAGTCGAAGCGCCATCACCGAGATATTTGTACAAGGCTGGCTTGAACGTGTTGGTGTAGATACCTCCAGCAATGCAGGAGCCAATACTACCCCCTATAATAGAGAAGCATATGACAAGGGCGGTGATTTGCGGCATCTCGCGATGCGGTACCACGACTTGTGCAGGCACAAGGACTGAAAGCTGCATGATACCAGAGCCCAAGCCCTGAATGATTTGGACCACAAAGAGTTCCGCGACTGAGTTATCGGCTCCTCGTAGCCGTAACATGACGCCGTAGCCAATCATTCTGATACCAGCTGCAGCAATCAGTAGCCATTTGTACCGCCGAGTGTATGCCATAGCAAGGCCAGCCAGGATTCCCATCAAGCATTGCACCACGCCGTTGGTGTATTGAAAGAAAGTTGCATCTCGAGCAGCGAATCCGCGAGCAACGGTAGACCAGGAATACAAGTAAGTGTGCGTGCATGAGAAACCGATGGAGTCGCTAGCGATGAGGAAAAGGCACAAAACGATAGTCCGGTTGCGAAAGTAGTGTGGGGGCATGATCGGGTGTTTGGCCAGGAAATTTTCGTAAATGGGTAGTGCAATGAGAACAATGCCACCGAGAATGATGAGAGCGATGATGTACGGCGTTCTCCAAGCGCTTGCGCTGCCCGAAGCCAAAGTCAACGGCAGCAAAAGCATTGCAAAACCGGCAGATAGTAGAGTCGAGCCTCCCAAGTCGATTTGGGAACAAAAGCTGTACAGGGTCATCTTCTGGGAGGGTGTGAGACCTTCCTTCTCAGCCTTTCGTTGGAAATAGAGCAGAGTTGCGATGATGAAAGCACCCCCGATAGGCATGAGGATCGCAAACATGCCGATTCCCCAACGCCAGCCAATGCCGCCGGGCCTTGTCACGTCCTCGATTATGAAGGCCGCCGCCCATGGCGTGATCAAGAAAGGGAAGAACGAGAAGCTGATGGCAAAGCCACGCCACCTCGCGGTCGTGATATCGGCGATCACAATGTCGTTCATGATATTCGTGCCGGATTGGCCGACAGTGTAGAAGACCGCACCCGCGGCATAGCTGTTAAAATCTTTTGAGGTTGCCATCAGGATGTACCCTAGGACATAGAACGAGATGGTCATAATGTATGTTTCGCCTCGACCCATAACGTTGGACAGCTTAGCCACGGGAGGCTTGATCACCGCGAATACAATGCCGCTGGCAGTACCAAGCGTTGCCAACTTGGAAAGCGCCGAAAATGACGATGTAGCATAGTTGTTGTATATAGCCACAGTAGTGTTATCGAATTCACTTGATCGACGATCAGTCGGACGCACAAGACATACCGAAGAAAGCCAGATAGAAACAACTTACTATACAATCATCACAATAGCTAGTCCAGTGATCACCAGCCATCTTCCCTTCTTGCCCCAGATCGCTTGAGCTGCTTGGATGGTGCCAACACCAGACTCTACGGGCCCAGAGCCCCTGAGCTTGTCATCAACATCGTGATCATCGAGTTCATGGTCTTTCTTTCCACCGGCTTCAACATCCCGAGGTTCTGCGGAAGCTGTGATGTCGTCGTCTGCTTCTTCGTCGGGGGCTTGGACCTCCGGGCGGAATTGCCCCTTCAAAGACGTGAGGAAGCGCATCGCAAGCCGACAGGCCGTCACCTGCTAACGAAGAATGAGATGAAGTCGGACCGCGGATGAGCTATTCAAACGCCGGCCGGTTGATGCGGCGGCTTCGTATCTTTTGAGTCATGACGGCGCGTCAGCGGTCCGATGCAGGACGCAAAGTTATCTCTTGAGACGATCCCCGCCCGCCAATTCTGAAAGCCGTCTGCAGAACATGTCTGCGCAGATACCACCTTCCACAGGGATCGGCGCACCACGACCCGACAACCGTCCTGACAGAGTTTGGCGGAAGGCCAGGAAGTCATCCCACGGTTGGCTATCTGCCGCCCGAATCAGCGTGTGCGCGGGGCTACGCGGGGGAAGCTAACCTATCACAATGAAGGTGTTGTCATCTTTCAGGGTCGTGTGATAACTCTCGTTGATAGGGGTTCGATAGGCAAGCGCGTTGCGACTCGTCCAATGTTTGATGGGATCGTTTGCCATGCCTCGCTTCAGTAGGTTACCCCCAATGCGCACGAAAGCCCGACAACCAGCAGAAGGATCACGAACTGATAGCACTCAAGCGATGATAGCTTAAGATAAGGTTACAAGTGTCAGGATGATGGACCCTGAAAACCAAGAGTCTTGGACGGAACTATCCACCATGAGTTACAACACTGCGCCGGCTTCCTTCGACTGTCCGAGTTAAACGGCCGGTCGGCTGCACTAATTATGGAGCCGGCCGAGCCGGCACCTTGAAAATTGACGGACCCGCGGGACTCGGCGATGGCCCACTCGGGGCTAGAACTGTTTGAAGGATCACTCGCGTGCTGGCAGTTCCTGGCTTGAGAAGATAAAGGCTTGAAACACGACCGAGTAAGTACATGTACAAACGTGGATAAACGAAATAGCCAAGACATGACACAGGGGCGCGCTTTCTCCCGCGCTCTAGAAACTTGTCTTGACTCTACCAATACTTAGGACGAGATAATCAGATGAAAAATATAATGCAGGCTCGGCTCAAGTAGGGAATTTCCAACGTTTCCCTTATCTCCCGAGCAGGCTTGTACGAGTCGGGGTGCAGCCAAGAGGCTCGAAGGATGCGCTAGCCCCGAAGAAGCGAGACACCTGGTACACCTTCTGCTGGTGTCCGGCCACATGGTCGGCGATCCGGCAAAAAAGTGACCCCCCACAGAAGGATTGGTTAAGAAATAAGTCGGCCAGGAGGATTTCTTCTTCTTTTGAGTCGGTCAGTCCTTTCTCTTTCCTCTCTTCTTACGTTACGTTCTGAGGCTGCAGGCGGGAACTGCGTTCGCATACGGAACTTTCTCTTCATCAGGATCCAGTCAATATGGACGGCAAACTTGCAGCCGAGTTCTCTGTTCCCATGCGGGAAAACCGGGCCAAGGCCAGGGGCAAGACGGCCGTCACCGCCGCTGCATGCTCGGTGCTCGGGTTGATGGCGCTTATCAAGAGTAGCTTCATACCGGCTCCCACTTTTGGGTCCCCACTGGTTTACCAGCCGCATGTTTCTGGGAACTGGAGTTGGTCAAGCGTGAGTAAAACCTTATCAACAGAAACATGGGGTTAGACTTACGATGCCGTGACTACAGATCAAACCTAGCAAGCGCCTTGAGTGGCATCCATGTTTTGAGGATGGAGAATACGACTGTGCCAGACTTGATGTTAGTGAATGCGCATAGTTTTGGATAAAACGTGCATAGCAGAGCTAACTGGAAGTCTCTAGCTGCCTATGAACTGGCTTGAACCAACTGAGGACCATCGCGTTGTTCTTGCAATCACTAGAATACGTGCCACGGACAAGTCTAACTACAAAGGACCAGTATTCTTCAACCCTGGTGTAAGCGATATTGTCGATAGACTCCAGATCGTCGGGTTAACTTTTAGGTTAGGGACCCGGTGGCTCTGGAGTGTGGTCATTGAAGCATCATGGAAAGTACCTTCAAGAAATAATGGGCGAAAACCATGTGAGTTGATGGCCTGAAGCAACCGGTTCAGAGGTTTGTTTTATAACACTAGTCCAGGACCTCATCAGCTTCGACCCCCGAGGCAGTAAGTGTCGATAAGAACTTGGCTTAAATGTTGTAACTCACATTATTTAGTTGGTGCTTCTGTACCCAGGCTTGAGTGCTGGTCTTCACCGCAACAACGTGAGACCTGGGGCCTACAGGACCCTGGCCTTCCTGACGCTCATGAGGGTGCCCTCGCAGAAAGCTTTGTCAGGGGAGTTGCGTATTCCCAAGCTTGTGAGAATAACATGAAAGGTTCAGGTATTCTCGAGCACATCGGCACAGTTTCGTCTGCAAGAGACATGCTCGAGATCGTCAACCAGATTGGCTACGACAAGCTCAAGTACTGGGGCTTCAGCTACGGCACCATTCTCGGTGGAGTATTCGCATCCATGTATCCTGACAAGGTGGAGAGAATGGTCAACGACGGCAACGTTGATCTCAGGGAGTGGTTCAACTCACAGCACATCAACTTCTTGCGCGACACGGACAAGGTCCTCTATGCCTTCTACGAGTACTGTTACCAGGCAGGTCCTGAAAAGTGCTCGTTCTACGATACGACGTCGGAGGCGATTGAAGAAAGGTTCAACAGACTACTTGCGGATCTGAAGGCACTGCCTGTTCTCATCCCAGCCGATGCAGAACATGGGCCCGAGGTCCCAGCTGTGGTGACCTACTCGAAGGTTAAGATCCTTCTTTCTTCAACACTTTATCAGCCTCAGTACATGTTCGAGGGCTTTGCGAAGATTCTTGCCGCACTAGAAAAGAGAGATGGCCGACCTTACTACGAGCACTACAATCCGACCAAGCCTTTGGCGGCACCTCTCTGTGGCCCGCGACCGGTATCTCCGTTTGAGCCCTTTCCCGAAATTCTGGAGGGAACGGATGATGCCTTCCCAGTTATCATGTGTGCCGACCACCCTCCGGTTCATAACCTGACGCTGGAAGAAGTGAAGAGACAGTCGCAAGAGTTGATCGGGCTTAGCCCGGCCACAGGGTCAATCAACGTCCCTTTTCCAATGACTTGCAACCAGAGGAACATCCGTCCCCGCTGGAGATTCGATGGTAAGTTACTCGCAACGTATGGTATGAATGAGAGGTCTAATAACAAGGGTCACAGGGCCATTCGAGGGCAAAACGAAACATCCCATCCTGTTCATCGCCAATAAGTACGATAACATCACGCCGCTCATCAGCGCAAGAAACAACTCTGCAGGCTTCCCTGGGTCAACAGTCTTGGTTCAGAATTCTTATGGCGTAAGAATCCCCATAGATTTTAAACTCTAAGCTTTCGAGAACTCAACGTCACGTAACATGTTGCTAACAATATGAACCGCAGCACACGACTCTTGCTGCACCTTCGACATGCACCAAGCAGTACATCAGGGCGTATTTCCAGAATGGTACATTGCCCGAAGAGGGAACGGAATGTGAGGGAGATTCGTATCCATTCGCAGCGGAGGCTGTTAGGACTCAAGTCCGTCTGTTTCAACCAAGACTTCATTTCTGACTAGACCAGCGTCTTAGAGAGAAGAAGTTTATCTAGACCTAGACGTTTTTGACTTATCTGCTATTTGGGAAAGGTGTATGTAGACATTATAACTATTAACACTCAAACAACGAATAGTTGGAGGCCTTTCGCAATAAAGAAATGGAAACATCATGTTCATGGCGGCTCGGTATTAAGCGCAAGATTTCATTCCTGAACCGACCCAAGCCTACATCCCGTCATCTCAATATATCATTTCCTTCTTTCCATGCGATACATGTATGTACTGGCGGGTAATTCATATACAGCACTGTCGTTCGGCGACTCGTATCTCCTCGAGCGAGAGCTTGCAGGCGTTCGTGCGTATGTGTACGATGATACGGGCGTTTCCATTTCCGCAGGTATCACTTTCGAGTCCAGCTCTTCGGCATGATCTCGTGGTACGCCCATTTCTGCGGGCTTTTCTCTCGAATCTAATTCCTTCGCTTCGTAATGTGGTCCCCCCATCTCGGAAGGTAAGTGGCCTCCGTCCAGCTCCTTAGGACCCCATCCACCTTTCAGCTTCTGTTCCATTGCGTATTCGTCGTTATCACTGTCCTCCAGAGAGCTCGTATCACTTGCGATATGCTTTCTCTGGCTCTTGCCTCTTTTCTCGTTGAACCACAGCACTGCTTTATCAACGTAATCAGGCGGTGCCTCTGGTCCCTGCCTCTTCTTTTTCAGACGACGAAGTAGCCAAGATACCGCAACAAGGACCGCAACCGATCCAACTGCAATTCCGGCTATGCCGCCCGTGGTCATTCCGTTATCCTTATCGTTGAGTCTCAAGTCCTCTCCTTCCTCCTGAAGAGGCGTGACCGCCCAAAACTTGCTCCAAGAGGTCGAAAAGGTTGTGATCGGGTTCGTCTTGATGACTTTGTCATCAAACTTTTGGATGACGCTCTGCTCAACGCCAGGACCCGGGCCTTGCGCCATGTATGAGACTCCACCGTCATAATCGACAGCGAAAAAGGCAGCTTGCAAGAACGCGCGACCAAGTTGCCACAGCCCAGTCCCTGATGCGTTGACCGACTTGCATGGGAAGTAATTGACCTCACTCTCAACCAATGGCGGCTGCAGTGTGAGGTGAAGAAGCTTGAATGGCACTTTGATTGTGAGGTTCGTCGCGGCCTTGTCTGAGAAGACAAAGCCCAGGTAGGATGGCGAGTTGATGAAGTCGCGGACCGAACCGTTTCGATTCGACTCCCAGAGATAAAGGCCTGTGCTGTTGTGGTACTTCAAACCGAGGTTCCCAGCAATCGCTTCGCAGACTCCTGGCTGAAGATAGATGTATGGCGACACTGGATTTGGGATTACGACAGCTGATCCCTCAGGGCCTCCGTAAGCCTTGGTGACCCCCACAGCTTGATCTGTAGGTTCAACCCAGAAAGATCCATTCTGTGATGCCGGGAATGACGAGGGTGCTCCAGCTTCAGTTCCCATAAACACATCTCGGAGGAAGACGGATGGTATGCCTTGATTAAGCGCGAAGGTCCCAACGTCTCCAAGGGCTCGATTCTGCTCGTAGCCGCCGAGCACGAGTGATCCGGCGAGGTCCAGTGCCGCACTGCCCATATGGACGCTCCAGGCTGCCCTGTCGATGTCGCCGGCTGCTTTCAGTTGTTCCAACATTGATCCGACCGTCTTATCATCACCTCTTGAAAGTTGTTGACCGAGGCCAAGAAGCCCGACCTGTGGTGCGGCGTTTTCTCCGTCACCTGTACTCCGCCACTCGTCGGCAGCGATGATTGTCGCATTCACGCCGAGTTCCCTTCCGGTGCTGACTTTCGTCTCTACAACTAGCTTGTCGTAGTACTCGGTGCCGCTGAAGCCGCCGTGGAGAAACGGTGAACTCATCCAGGTATCGGCGTTTCTTCTTGTCTTGCCTGTCTTGTTGGAAACTTCGCTGGGGGTGTATGTACCATTAAGGTCTGCCGTCAGAAGCTCAGTAACACCGGAGCCACTGGGCCAAAGGGGTATTCTTGTGTTGTTGATTGTGGCGATAACTGCTTGCCAAGGGCCATCTGGCCCGATATCTAGGTATGTGTCGGGGAAGTCGGTCGTCCATGGAAGAATCAACTGAGCGCCTGCGCATGCAGCTAACAATAGCCAGATGTAGTAGGTCTCGCGCATGGTGGTGATATCGCGCTAGCTACAAAAGACACAGCTGTCGTACAAGCTGCGAGGGAACAAGAAAGTGGTAAGAGAATGTCATCGAAGCAAAGAAGCGAAAGACTAAGTCCAAGAAAGAAGACGAAGGAAGTTAGAACATGAGTGAGTCTCCAAAAGCTCAAGCATGGCGGTTTTGAGAAGTTCTTGGATCTTTCAAAATACAATGCTGCATCATGCGTTGGCGCGGGCCAAAGCCCAGCTGCGCCAAACCTTTCAGGCCATTCATCACTGGCGAAATCGAGACCAGCCGTCAAATTGTGAGGATGCTTTATTGGTTCATTTCTTCGCCCGGTTTCAAACCGAGTTGAATCTTCAGGCTGCATGCTCTTGATTGGCCTCTCATGAATACTCGCGCGGCTCCCCAGGTGTGGGCGTCTCGCAAGACAAATGTTGTTGGTACGGTCGACGCTTCTAGGCGCCGCTTGGCATTGCAGGGATTCGAATCCGCTGCTTATGGACACACTGAAAATATGGGTAATAATCGTCTTAGCTCCCATGTATTCGACACAAAAGCAGTAAAGTAGTGATAATCTGGTCATTAAAAGAAGTTCTGTCGTTCGATCGCCCGAAGGTCATGTTAAGGTTTACGGCCCCGAAATTCCGGGCCGGGCCCGCTTACGGCGGTGCGATCCACTTTATCGGCCGAAGACCGGTGAAAACGGGATGGAACAATCCACAACCCAAATCACTCAATCACCCTTTACCTTTCCCAGTTCGAACTCGTCCCGCTCAATCATGAGCGATCCACGCCGTGACCATCGCTTAACGCCGCCATCATCAAGCCGCTTCAGGCTTCCAAGGTTCCTCTCTGCGAAATCGACATGCCACTGCGCCTTACCGACCCGGGTCTTTTTGAGACCTTTCAACACCGCCTTCGTCCTTGACCGCCACCATGTCTTATCCTGATATGCAGCACATCTCCTCAAAAACATGAGGAGGAAACACACCTGGTCGCTTCTTGAATCTTTGATCAGCATCTCGCAGATAGTCAACAGGCGACTCATCTGAATGCTTTTCTCGAACTCGATTTTCGTTGTGGAAGCCGAAGAAAGAGCAGCAAGCGGTATGAAAGTCGAGAGATTGGATACCGAGTACATTATCGTCCAGTGGATGTAAATCTAAACACTCAGCGAATGTGACAGTGCTAGGGAGCAGCGTATCTACCTCGATTTCCGGGATCAACTCTTTGCGAAGATCCAGATCCTTGATGACTCCGTACTTGTCCGCCATTTTTGAGACCTGAGCCACTGTCTCATCCGGGGAGCCCTTGAGATTGACAGCATCGCAGTAGTGTAGTAGGACTAACAGATCTTTCTCGGGCTCGTCAATAAAGGCCAAGTCAGACTGCCGAAATGGAGTGGGCAAGCAGCTGGTGCTCCTTGAACCTTCTCCTAGCTCAGTTGCGACATCATGATCATTGAGAAAGGGATTGACGGCCCGAGCAACATCCAAAAGGCCTTTTGAGGGTGGCCCAGAATCTATTGCTAGACCGAGTATCGTTGATTCGATGGCGAGAGCAACAAAGTCCCGGATGTTGGCGGTTTCGCGAGCTTCTTCAATCAATGTATCAAATCTCTCCACGAGCGAAGCCACCGCCAGCGGCCCTGAGCCTGTCTCATCGCCAGCCAGATAGCGGTTTCGCAATTGGATGGCGGAGTGAATCGCCTTTTGGGCGTCTTCTGAAATGATTGGCGGGAGGTGTTGAACCCACACGGTCGCCGATGTCAACGTTTTGGCAACGCGGGGCGGGGGTGGCGGACTGAGCACGTTAGATCACCGGCCGATCTTGGGCCTAACTTTAGACTCACCGCGACGAAGCACCACCCATGGTGGGGAGCAGATGTAAGGTAGAACTCTGTACGGTGGGAAGATCAGGCGCTCCTAGAGCTGTGAAAATCAAGCCGTTCATCTTGCCGACATGCTAGGGAACGGTTCCCTTTTGAAGAGTTGTAAGTTGGAGAAGCCTCATCGTGACGAGGCAGATTCCGTATATCGCGAAGAGCCACTCGTATTTCGTGTCTGCATTTGCGACACCCGCGACCGGAAGCTTCGAGTGGCTGAAGAGCCAAGATTCCAGCTGCGCGAGGGAGACAAGCGACGTGGCGGGAGGAGCTCCTGGATTGGACGGTTGTTCAGCTCCGTGGACGCCACCGTGCCTCCCGTGCATCACGAGACGCGTGCGGGGTACTGGGGTAAGACCCTTCGCAATGGCTCAACAAGTCACAGGGGGCCAGATAGCTTGGTCTTGAGGTGTGAGGGTAGAGGCTGAGTGGCCAACATAGAAGAAATTTGTGGTTGAGGATATTTGTTGTGTGAGTATGTCGATATGTACTCAGGATGCTAATATGTACACCAGTTGTTCGTGACCTGTGCCAGACATCGTGGTTCGCCAATAACGCCGTGCCAATCCTGCATCCCTTTGATGAAAAAAAATAATGCACGATATTAATCTGTGCAGCTCCAAAATCCGGAGACTTCCCGCAATTCCAATGCCAGACTGTTGGAGGACCCGTATAAACGCCGTTGTCGATGCAGTAGCGAATGCTTTTCGATTCGCCGATGTTAAGGTTCATGTAGATGGATGATGTCGTGGTCGATGAAAGAGACGGGTCATTTAGACCTGGTTCTGAGCCTCGTAGACCTGCATGGCCTTCTCGAGTTCCTCGAGGCTTGATCGGTCGCCGTAGGCATCCATGAGTTTTGCCGCTCGCTTTCGGTCCTCGATCGCCTGCCTCTCTGCCTGCTCAGCCATGGCGATGCGACGCTGGACCATATTCTGTCGGTAAGCGTTCAAGCCGTAGCCGACGGCAACGACTGCTACTGTGGGCGGGATCCTGTTGTACCAAATCCGTCAGCATCATGCTTTCTCATCGTCAAGCGACCGTCGAAGATTTCGATCGGCTCGGGGTTCCTTCGTACCATCTCATGGCGAGTCTGCGGGGAGTCTGAAGAAAGTAGCTCGGGGGAACGCGAGCGTTGGTGGAAAATGTTCTTGAGGCTTGTCTGAACATGGTATGTTTTACTCCGGTTCGGTGTGGAAGTTGGGGGTCAGATCGATATTTGTATGTTCGTCTGTAGGTAGCTTGGTTCGTAGATTGATATGCAAGGGATAAGACAGATCTCTTGGGCATCCGAAAGAAAGCGCCGGGCGGCAGCAGCCACGCATTCATATAACAAGCCGTCTGGCAGCTCACTCGCCTGCCCTCAGCCCCCTTGGCATGCCTATCTGATGAGACCCCAACAACAACCAGGCAGGCCCCTAACTCCGCACATCACATCCATTGGATGGACACACCAAACAAGAGCCAGCATCTCCGTAGGGGAGAGCACCTCCGCAGGGGGCAAAGCGGGATGCGCGGCAGCTTTCGTGTGACACCAGTATCGCACCACGCTCAGCAGCGGCCCCAATTGGGCATGGCGCCGCCATCGTTCCAGAGCGACGATTGTGGGGTGATGTCGACCGATTTGCGGGGTGGAATCGGCACAGCCCGGGTGCAGTAACGTGACGGTTGCTGGACCTTTGCTGGAGACGTTGGAGTCTGGGAGACCTGGACTTTTCATGTTGGCATGAGCGGACAGTCCGTAGACCGTTCCATGTCACGGCGAACGGCGAAAGAAGGAGCCGTGATCAAGCTTAGGATGTGCTGGCAACATCGAGCAGAGCTGTGTCCGTCTACACACACCAGAAGCCCAGCACTGAGCAGCATGGAGGACTGGCAAGGCATTTCCGAGGAAGCATGTCCCCTGCCCGGACAATCTCTCCTCCATCTGAAGATCCCTGACTCCTTAACCACACCAAAACACAGCCCCCCGGATTTGTTTAGGCGGCCTGCCAGGCTTGCTTTCCAACGGCGTCTACCCGTGTGTGATGACGGATGGTGTGTCTTGCGATCGGGTTATTGCATGACGAACACCAGACGGCACTCGGAGGGCTCCGTTTCTTCCATTTCATGCTCAGAAGCCCAACCTTGCTGTCTGGCGGTTTTGTTCCTGTCCGTGACGAGACCGTTGTGATATTGACTCGGCAATAAACTGGAGATGTCTCAACAGAGTCCTGTGGCTTAACATCCGTGTTTTCTACCCGTGCTCAATATTCCCCATTCACGAAGCCGAGAATTGTCATCGTGGACACCCAAATGCCGATTCCACCCGCGAAAAACACGAGACTCCACCCCAAAACGTCCCGAAATCTCGTCACATAGCCGAAAACCCTCGTTGATGTCATTTCTGGTCCCTGGATTTTTCGCAGGAGTTCATTTCCACCAGAGACAGGCCCACGCAGCCGCACTAGGCTGAATCTCATCTTGTCTCCATCGTGCTGCGTTTTGTCAAGCCTCTTTTGGGACGCGTTTCTCCTTCAGGCTTCACCTCTCACCTGTCCGTTGCCAAGGTACAATTAGGCGAGCCGCCCCCCGGCCTGTCGATGTCATTCAACGGAAATTCCATCAATGAGCTCAACGCATTTTGCAATGCATATCTCCACCGCGTTCATTGACTTCAACCTCCAGCCAAGAGCGGCTGTGTTTCGCAACGTCACAACGGGAAAGTTGGCTGAGAGTTTTGATTGAATACTATTGGATAGCGGCGATTCTGCACGGTTTCCTTCAAAGGTTTCGTATTTTGATTCTCACTTTCAACCTCCTGGTGCATCATACAAAAATAGGCCCTCATCTTCATGTCGACCGACCGACCGACCGACCTGACAGTTGCATACTGCATTCAAAGCAATGGAACCCACAACAAAATGCCGATCGCTGACCCGCCCGTAACTCAGAACAGCCACAACAAGCCACGCTCAACCCTGACGACTGGTGGCTTGCACTCATCCTCGGCTCGACTCTCACGGGTGGTGACAGTCGCGATGTGGTCGTAAAAGTAGATCATTGTTTGTTCAAGGCAAACTTATTTTGAGATTTCCGTTCGAGCTGAGAGAAAGTTGCACATGGCCCTAATCCTCAATTACCTGTCAACTCTCTGGAATCGAGTGACTTTCGACCCGTCACTCAGTTCCTGTTGAATCTCTTGGTGCCTGTATCCAAAGAGCCTTGGAGCCACAACAAATCGTAAAGTGTAGTAGATAATTCCTAGCGAGAGTATCCCCAGAGCAACGACAGAAGAAAGCCAGTACGGAAGCGAGGTGCTGCCCTTTCCGTTCGGCGGCCGCACGAAGGGCATTACAATGAGGAACTGACGTCGTCAATACAACCGAGCGAGAGGTACGCAGTATGGAGAAACTTACGATGTTTGCTGCAAGGTAAATGCCGATGAGGACCCATGGAGCAGGAAGTGGCGACTGGAAGTTCGCGCGATCCGTGAGACGCAGCTTGACCAAGCCGACGGTGATAGCGAACAACAAGACAGTCGTCGGATAACTCGAAAGCGAAACAACGAAGTTGAATGCATCCCCGGCTGGTGGAGCGCAAATGAACAAGATTGTTACGCCAAGGTGAAGAAACAGCGCATAGATAGGAGTCCTGAAAGGCCGATTCTCCATGAAGACGTTGGAGAAGGGCAGGACACCATCCTTAGCCAGCTCTTGAAGAAGACGGGCTGTCATATAGAGGTTAGCGAAGACCCTCGAATCAAGTCGGATGTCCCTTCGAGGGGCGTTGTGACTTACGGATAGTGAAAGCGACACCAAGCAGGTGGCCTAATGCCGAGAGTGCGACAAGAGCTGGGAGGGCTTTTGCTCCAGCTGAGGGGCCGAAAACGTTTTCGAACAACGTCGCAGCAACAGTCACTTTGGCCGCAATGAAGGCCTCTTTTGGAACGGCAGCAAACTTGAAGACTAGTTAGACTTGAGAAGAAAACATGGGGTAAAGACGTTGAAGCTCACGTATGCAACATTTGCCAAGAGATAGAGCACAGCAATGACGCCCATGGAAAGCGGAAGTGCCAGCCTGAGAGTCCGTTGAGGGTTGCGCACCTCAGACAAAACCTAACCTGCCCTTTAGCAATATTTCAGGGCATTGAAATTGAGGTTACTCACGGCATTGACATTGTCATAACCTTGGAAAGAAAAGATGACGTTAAGAATGGCAGAACCGATATTGTATCCGCTGCTAGACGTGCCCTCAAACGCGTTGGAGAAGTTGCCGGGACTCGGTATCCTGAGGTGTCCTGCCAACGCGGCGAATCCGCAGCAAACAATAAAAAGAAGCGTGAAGAGTTTCACAGCGGAGAGGACGTCTTGAATACCCCTTCCGACGCGAGGGGCAACGGTGTGGATTCCCACGGAGAAGATGGCGCCAGCTATCGCGACTCCACGAAGCTTCCATGTCGTGGATTCAACGCCTGCTGCAACTAAGATGTAAGATGAGAAGGTGATTGCGTTGCTTGCGGAAACCTCTGAAGTTGTCTTGGGTTAGTTTTGGGTGTCCAGCTTTTCTGATCAACTTCCAAGGATGTGAGGTCGAATTGAGTAGACTTACGCAGAAATACGCAGTAAAAGACATAGATGCACGTTTGCATCAACCTTGGATTGAAAGCGCGTTCTAGGTAGTTCTTGATGCCTCCGGACCTTGGGATCGCAGTGCCAAACTCAAGCATAACGAAGATGCCACACGTTGAAATGATAGCGCCGATTACCCAACACATCAGGGCCATTCCGACGCTACCTGAGAGCTTGAAGATGGTACTCGGCGTCGAAAAGATTCTATACCTGTTAGTCTATTCGAAACATTTTTAAAGGCGTTGCACTCACCCGGCGCCGATGATCTTATTCACAACCAGAGAAACGGCACCAAAGAGACCGATTGTCCGCTCTTGCAAGACGTTGATCTCGACAACCCCGAGCTTTCCATCTTTGACGGAGTCATCAGCACCATCGCTGACTGAGCTGGCTGCTGGGGCACCTATCTGCGTGTAAGTATTTCGCGTGTCTCATGACACTGTTGGATTCACAACTTACTCTTAATCGCATCGTCGTTGGTTGCCATTTTCGCAGTCAGCTTGAGTCTGGCAAGATTGAAGAAGCTGGGCAAACCACGAAAATCTGCAAACAAACTTAACTGCAAGAATTTGATATTTCATTACTTGATGTTCCCATCGGCATGTTCTAGGGTGGAAGCCTTAGCTAACGGCTGCGTCCGCGCAGCTAGGGTGAGCGAAGCACGCCATACTGGAGCCAAGATGTCGAATCACCCAAATCAGTGCTGACAGCACCGCAACAAATCACGGCTGTGGTAATAATTCACTGGCGAGCTGCAATTTAATTGAAGATAACTGCGTATTTTCGGGGTTCCTTGCCGGTCCTATCTCTTTAGTGGTGGTTTTACCGTCCATCCCCGGGCGATTGTGGTAAACGTCGGCCATTTCCCGACGATGTCGTGCTTTGCGCACAGTATTCGCCATCGCCAATTCAGCGTACCATGGAGAAACAGTCGCAGACAGCGTGAAAAGTGGCAGAGAATTCATCCGCCTTGTCTTCGGCTGTGGTGCGATATGCTCGCTTTCTGATAACAAATGGTTATATCTGAACATTAAGTGAAGAATCATTCCGAACTTTGCGAATTCCACGGTTTTCGAACACTCAATTGGGCTTTTCAGAAACTCACTGTTCACTACAATGGCAATTGACTTCGAGACTTTCGACGTTCCCGGAGCGCGGACCTACTTCGGGCACGTTTTACCAGTTGGTCTTCAAGTCAAACAGGATAAGACCAGCATCGACCCGCCGTCCGTTGCCGAGTCGGCTGAGGCTCTTCGGACACTAGGAGAATCGGGTAAGCTTCAAGAGCTCCTTGACCGCCATGGCGCGGTCCTGATCAGAGGAGGTGGCCACCCCTCGGCGGAGACGTTCGCCAAGCTTGTTGGTGCGGCCGAGGAAGGTCGCGGCTCTACTCCCCATGTGCAGATCGGCTTGGCTGGGAAGAGAACGATACTTGCGGACAACGTCTGGACCGCAAATGAAGGATCCCCGTTGACTCGATTCTACCAACATAACGAGGTAAGCTCTCTTATTAGTATCAGAGTGGTCCTTGCTTCCTTGGGCTTACTTGCAAGTGATCAGTACTCAAGATACACGAGATTTCCAACCAACATTCACTTCTATTGCGTCAAGAAGGCATCAAAAGGTAAGATAGAGAAATAAATGACTTGTCTTTTGAAGATTATTGAACTCATCATTTATGTGTTTATCAAGGTGGCGCCACGCCGATTGCCCACAGCGCCAATGTCTTCGAGAAAGTCCAGGCCGAGATTCCAGAACTAGTGGATCAAGTACACAAGCGCGGACTGGGTATGAAAATGGTCTTTCGTGCGCCGGGAAAAGAGGCTCAGGTGAACTCGTTCAACTGGGCTGGTGAGCACAGCTTCGGCCAACAGCTACTTCCCGAAGACGATGAAGCCACCACGAGACAGAAAGTTGAGAAGCAAGTCCGCAAATTGACGGATGATTTCAAGTGGCATCAAGACGGGACTCTTGAGTTGACTCAGCATATCCCAGGTAAGTTTCGCTCCGGTGAATGAGTGATTTCGGAGGGTTCTCGCTGATCTTTATAGGCATCCGAAGGTTGCCACACAATGGGAGACCCGTGTGGTTCAACGGTTTGGTGGGAAGGCATGGCATCACTCGAGATATCGGAGCTCTCGATCCCCCTCATATCGGCCGAGATGGAATGACTTGTGAGTGACCTATCTTATTGAAGCTCATCCCTGCCCAAGACTGATTGTTCTCGCAGATGTTCCATGCGTCTATGGAGATGAAACTCCTATCCCAAGGGAGCTGCTTGACAAGCTCATCGATGTCATTGACAGAGAAGAAATAAGCTTAACGCTCGAGGAGGGTGACTTATTGCTAGTTGACAACTTCCAAGTTTCCCACGGTAGAGAACCTTGGGAAGGGGACAGGCAAATTCTGGTTTCCATGTGGGACACCTCTACTCCTATTGGTGTATATTGAAACATCATTGTACCCAAGCAGACCATCAAGAAGGATCCATGGGTCGCCGAACCAATCTTTAGTCCCTTGTCTTGAACTACGCAAACTCGTTACCTTCCATCAACCCTTCCGGTCATCATGACAGGCCTTGTGATTTTCGATTTCGACGACCCGCTCTTCGACACGGATGAATCCATTGAGGAGACGATCAAGCTTACCTCCAATTCGTTGCTGCCAGCCATGCGCGAAACAGCATACTACGGACCCGAAGAGGTCGTGAACGCGTCAAGGGTGCTTCTGGTCGGGGATACGATCGCCGACATTGAGTTTGCTGGCAACATCGGAGCCAAGGCGTGCTGGGCCCGACATGACTATGGCGATAGAGTCAAATGCGAAGAGCTGAGCCCGGACTTCACTATTGAGGCACTCATGAATGTGGTTCAATGTTGCAATAGTTTAAGGAATAGAAGTGGTTGTAAATACACGCTATCTAGCACTACTACAGGTAGATGGCCCCACCGAAGATACGAATATGTAGTCTTTCCAGTCTGAACGCATCAGAGAGTATACTGATACACAGGGTGACACTGCCACCGCTCACCCAGAGCCTTTGAACGCGAGCCTTCCCGGGTGCCTTCGAGTCGTAAGTCCTCATCGCCGGCTTGTCGAAGCTTCCTGTTGCGCCAGCGGAGGTAGAAGTGCAACGACGTGGCAAGCAGGATGCACATGGCGGAAAAGGCTACGTTGAGGATGTTGGCCTGCCAGTATTGTGGACCGTGAGACTTTGGGTAAAGGTAGCTAGCATATATCGAAGCCAGGTTAGATCCAGCATTGACAATGGCATAAGATACAGCTCGTTTGGTAGCTGGTCGGGGCAGAGTCGTAGAGACCCAGGAGAGGATGCAACCAAACGACCCATAGACGCTCATCATCATGAACGTGGCCGTATACCGCGCGGCGACGTTGAGAGTGGTGGCTGAGATTATGAAGCCTATGCTGCAGAAAATCTGAGGCCAGACGATGTGCAGCCATCGTTCGCGATGTTTGTCACTGTGCCATGAATTCGTGATGCCGAGGATGGCAGCGAAGACGTATGGAGGAGACGACAAGAGCAGGGTATTGCGTTGATTGTACCCAAGTGTCGCCACGATGGTAGGGAAAAAGTTGGTGAAGGATGCGGCGGTGTTGAGACCCAGCTGCATGAGCCAAATCAAGTACAAAGCTGGATCGGTGAAGCTCATCTTGAGGCCCTGCCACCCGGATGCCTCACTCCGATCATCTTTCTCAACCGCCTCTTCGGTAATGCGGAGAATGGCAAGCTTTCGCTCTTCGTCCGTGAGCCATTTTGTTGTGGCCGGATAATCGGGAAGGGTGAAATATGTGAAAACTGCGACGGGAATAGGAATGACACCTTCTATGATGACTGAGTGAGCTGTGTTAGCATAGTGATCGAGCGACACCAATGTCATTTAAAGAACTCACAGAGCCATCTCCAATCAGCCAGTCCCAGCTTCCCGTTCATACCGCCCATGATAGCGCTCCCGAGGAGCCCCCCAAAGGCACCGGCCATTTGACCAGCGGCATAGAGAACAGAGATGCGAACCGCAAGCTCCTTTTTCGTGTACCAGGAACTGAAGAGATACAGTGCTCCAGCTACGTATCATTAGCATGAGAAGGTCTCAAAGACCTCAGGAAAGGGAGACTTGCGGAAAAAGGGAGCCTCCACGAAGCCGAGCAGAAATCGGAGTATGACAGCCCCAGTGTAGTTCTGTACCGCGCCAGTCGAGGCACTCACTACCGCCCAACAGCACATCACTACTGGCAGAAAGATACTTGGTCTCATCTTGTTCAAGATCATGTTCGTGGGTACTTGTGTCAGAATGTAACCGACAAAGAACACGCTGATGATTGTGTTGTATTGCGTATCAACCAGTCCGATGTCCTTTTCGAAATCACCGAGTCGAGCCGTTGCAATCTGGAGAAGGCAAATGTCATGATGAAGTCCTCATTTCATAGTTGATAGATAAAAAGTCATATCACTTACGTTGTTGCGATCAAGATAGTTCAGGACGTGTGCTGGGCGTGTCAGTACTACCTTTAGATTATGCTGACTAGTCGGGGTGACTTATAGAGAACCATCATCAACGGCATCCTGTAAGAATAATCAGCTCTGAATCGTTGCTTCAGCTTCATTGCAGACTTACATCCGGACATCGATCCTGCGCAGTAACCGTCGCTCTTTCAGGTCACGATCCTCGATGAAGTCATCTTCAACGGAACTTGGCTTCATGGGATCGTCGAGCATATCGACTTGAGGGCCTTTGGCCAAGTCTTCGCTAACTTCCGGAGTTGCCATCATGGACAGAGGTGAGCAGGGAGAGCATGAAACGTTCGGAAGAGTTGAAACTTTTCGACTGGCACATACAGACCAGATGGAACCGGCTTTAAAGACATACCTAAATAGACCAGCTTCGGCCCTTCGGCGTATCCTCCGACTTGACTCCACATACGAAGCTGGTTCTCCGAGAGGATTCTTCCCCCGCAACTGCTGATGCGGAGAGAGTTGTGGTAGCTGTGGGTCTGGGGTAGTTTGCGGAGGGCAGTCGTCAGATACTGGCATGGTTAAGGACCTACACATGGTTTTGTTGGTCGGAAGAGACTTGCGAGCCGGTCGGCTGTCGCGTAATCCTGGCTTCTGAGGTCACAGACATGGATATAGCGCCGTTTCTCAAAGAAAAAGCAATAATGCGGCGACGGTTGCCGGCCAGCTCTGCAAGTCGCCGCATCAAGATGCAGTTAATCCGACGGAAACCCCAGGGCACGGAAATGTGTATTACCGTGTTTTTCGCAAAAACGAAATACCCGTCAAACACAGCATAGCTCAGGTCATAGCAGAAATGATTACTTCCAGTTGGTAGCAGACATAAGTTATCCTCAACCTTGTAGAAAGAGAGCGCTCGTGGTTGAGGTCAGAGGTAGCTTGATATATGTAGTCTGCAACTCACATCTGACTCCTCGATTCGAAATAACACTTTCGTTGACCCCTTCGTCAAAGAACACAAATATCTACGGAGACAATACAAAGATAAGAATATTCAGCCTTGACGTATCCCCTGCGATTCTGGTTGCTTGGAGGAAGCTTCCCCGCATACAACCCGGGCTACCCACAACCGCGGGGGTCAGTCCGGAGTCGTGGGGCGGCTTTGCAACACCGCAGTCACGCTTCTCAGACGATGATCAGTCACAAAAGTAGGATGGTGCAGCCGATCGGGATTAAGATGGCTTCAGTGACGCGTGAACTAAATCTCAACAAAAGTTCCGGCCATCGGATTGACTCTCTATAGGCCAGTGTCTGCCGGGCCCGCTCGTAACGCCGGATGCAAGAATTGTCGTGGTAGACAACCATTGAGAGTTGAGGGGAGTCAGACGCGCTGATGCAGGCCAAGGTGACGTGCGACGTACATGCTCGGACATGTCTCCGATGTCGCGAACGCCGCTTGCCGGCCAATCTTCACCTCCCGTCACGGCTCCGCTCCTCTGGCGTTGTCAAATACTAGAAAGTCAAGTCACCCAGACCTTCGGCCGGCACGAGTCCTGCAACATCCTCCCTCTAAGAAACCCGAGGCAACAATATATTCGCTTCTTATGCTGCTCTGAGCCATCGATTCCATACTTACATACTTACAATGCCAGGCACCGTAAAACCAACTGTCCTCCACCTTGGAGATCCTATCGAGTACAACCCCGATCTCTACAAGGACCTGGAACAAGTCGCAACGATCATCAGACCATCAGTTGAGGAAAGACAAAGAGATGCCTTCTTGCAGGCTCTAAAGGAAAAGAGATGGGGCGACTTCTCGGCTATCATGAGGCCCTTCTGGAATTCTGGCGGCGAAATGGGTCGTTGGGACAAGGAGCTGATCCCACTCCTGCCCGCGTCGGCCAAGGTCTTCGCATCAGCTGGGGCAGGATATGACTGGGCAGACGTTGACTTGTTGGCGGATGCAGGTATAGTTCTTGCCAAATTTCTTTTATGACGTTCACTAATACATCCTTACAGGCATCCTCTACTGCAACGGAGCCACGGCTTCATCCGAAGCCGTAGCCGATATGGCGCTGTACCATATCATCTCCGTATTCCGAAACATGCAATGGACGAATACCGCAGGGCGAAGCGGCGATCCGGAACAATTTCTGGATGCGCACAGGAACAACAGCGAAACAGCGCGCAACCCGAAGGGACATGTGCTGGGCATCGTGGGACTCGGCAACATTGGGTACCGCATAGCCCAGAAAGCGCACGGAGCTTTCGATATGAAGATTGCCTACGTCGACCCTATTCCCAAGCCAGCGGAGCGAGAGGAAGCAGTAGGTGCAAAGCGTTACCCGGACCTGGATGCGTTGCTCGCAGTGTCGGATTGCGTGGTGATCTCGGCACCGGGTGGTGCAGTCGGTGGCAAGGCCCTCATGGACTCGGCGCGTTTGGCGAAGATGAAACCCAAATCACGTCTCATCAATGTCGGCCGCGGTAACCTGGTTGATGAGGAGGCGTTGGCAGATGCTCTAGACTCTGGACACCTAGTGGCGGCAGGCTTGGACGTCCACAACAACGAGCCCCACGTCAATCCACGGCTTCTTGCTATGCGAGATGTGAGTCTTACTTGTCACACTGCCGGAGGTGCTGTTGAAACGAGAATTGGATTTGAGGAGCTTGCAATGCGGAATGTGATGCTGGTTATTTCGGGCAAGGACCCGTTGACGCCTGTTAACAAGCATCTATTAAAGTAGGCCTTCAGCAGGAACATCAAATGTGCAGGTGCTCCAACTTTCCAAGAGCGAAACAAATCTCTGAATCTGAATCCATAGTCTGCGTTAAACGAGACCAAGTTTTGCATGCCTGTATTTCGCCACGCGACGTGATGGAAGCACTCGTTGTCTCTCGCCGAGTTGCTCTGTTCCGATCCGATAAAGCTCCGGAGGGTGGGTCTCCGGAGACGGCAAGGCCCACATCTTCGCCGCCGCCCCGATCCCGAGATATCGGTGCTAGGCGAATGAAGAATGTGCCACACAACAAGCAGCAATTCGCCTCAGACTTCAGATTTGCTCCCAGCTGTACTTCTAACGGCTTGACTGCCTCGGATTCTCACTGCGCAGTGCTGGAGTACCTTCAGGCATGCCACTTTGTCAGCGGCGCTAGACTGCTCTAGACCGCACCACCCTCGAAAACAGGGGAGATTAATCTTAAATGCTCGCTTACGATCCTTTTTTCCGTCTTCCATTAACCATGTGATGCAGGTCGTATCTGCTGTGCCGTAGTGATAACTAGATCAGGTTGACTGCCCACCAAATCATCAGCGGCTGGACGGGCCTTTTGCGGTGCATTTGGCCTCATGGAATCATCCACCCCCGAAGAGCTGAATTCTAGTTGTGACTCCAAGGAAAACAATGAAATATATATATGCTAGGTCGCTTGCAGTTCTTCCTGCGTTCACACGACTCTACTTCTTGTACATCTGTTTGATCTAGACGCTGACAAGTATTCTCATCATGGTCCCAGGCAAGACTTCGGTTGTCGCGGTCTCAGCGGCGATGATCACTGGCGGCCATGCATTGTGTCCGTGGGGGTTCGGTGGTTATGCAGCGCCCTGCGGAGCGCAATTCATCGGAGCTGATGAACAAGTCTGGATAGATGCGGTCGAGGCTAGTAATTCTAGCGGTACTTACACTTTTCCCGGCTACGACGTCTCAAAGCCATGGCCAGGCACGCCTATGGACGGCTGGACGATCTCTAAAACCGCCCTCGACTTGAGCAACGAAGATCGAGGTGAAAGTGGAAGCATTCTGGGGGGTCGCGCTGTTGTGGGTGCCGACATCAAGATTACAGCGCCCGAGTCGCTGTATGTACCGAGCAAAAACGCAAGCGACCACGGCAAGCCGATCGTCAACGCGCATCCCGACTGGATCTTTTGCGCTTGGCGCTGGTATCTCCCGGCATATGGCAACAAAACCCAGGCTACGAACCCAGACAACCTAGAACTGCCAGAAGATGGTTCTTGCGCGCAATGGTTACCTGATGAGTGTATCAAGGCTCTGGAAAAAGTCGCAAGTATATCCTACTGGATCAACTCTGAACCAGAGGGGACATATGGTTCGCGCCACAGGTGCTTCGAACTTGAGGTTCCGGATGAATGCAAGGATACCAAGCTTGAAGACAACAAGCCACTGCTCCCTAGTACGTAATACTGCCGGGCTCACTAGGATGAAACATCATGACTGACACATTGAGTAGCTTGGGGAGTGCCTTTGGAGTATCTCAATGGCTCAACTACTTGGCAAAGCGGGTTCACGATTAACGAGAACACAACAGTGGAGGATACCCAAGAGATGTGGAAGACACAGACCGAAAGCTATCATCCTATTGTCACAATGTTTGGGCGCTACGATAACAACTCGGAATCTCTCTTTGATGTCGAGCCTGGCTTCGCGAAGTTGAGCTGTGTCAGAGCTCTTCCGGCAAAGGGTCAGTCCAACAGCGGGAACAGTGATGGGAAAGGAAACGGAAGCGGAGGCGACAACGACGGCGGCAACCGAAACGGCAATGGCACTGACTCTAATGGAGATGAGGACAACAAGAGCGGCGCCACAAAACTCGGCACACAGGGGCTTGCTATAATATTTTCGGTGGCTTTGGTGAACTGGCTCATGAGTCAATGAAATCTTTCTTCTTGAGAAAGAGTGCGAAGCTCTCAAGTAAAATGGTTTGTCTCGTGTTCATCACAAACCCAGACGGACAGGACTTGGAGTTAGAAAAGTAGTGTCGCGTAATAATTACGGAAAGTCGAGACTACGTGTAGTCACTTGATGAAGCACAAGCACAAGCCGCTGCTCAACCGTACAGTCTGTAAGGATATATACAGCGCTTGTTTGCGAGACATAGAGAATCAACATAGACTGTCAACTTGGGAGCCTCAAAACAATTCTTCCTCTCCATGTAAAACCAAATTCCCAGTTTCGCGTTCGGAGGATGGCAGTGATGTTGGACACCTCACCTTACAAATGAGGACGCAGCATTTAGCAACCGCCACTCATGTATCAGCGGCAATAAGAACTATGACCTCGGGCGAGCTTCATAGCGAAGTCCGAATGGTGCAATGGCCCAGATATCGTCCCACTTGAGCTCAGGATGCAACATGACGACTGGACCGGAATCTGGGGTAAATTGAGGAGTGCATTTACCCGTGAGGGGTTGCATCAACGTCATCTTGGACAACAACTATTGGCACTACAAATTGCCCGTAATGTATGTTTCATCATCCAAGCTGAATATTCGTCAAGCCGAAAGAAATCTCAGTCGCTTATCCTCTCGTAGGCCGTTAGATGCGATGATCTTTCCGTCTCTGGCGCTACTGGCTTCGGTCATTTTCGAGCTTACAGGTGATTCTATCCATCTACTGCAGTTATCGCGCACAATGCTAACAGTAGTCTTTTTTCTCAGGGCTTGCAAATGGGCTTGTTAACCCCATCATCCCGGGATTCAACCCAGATCCCACGATCATTAGGGTTGGAAGCGACTTTTTTCTAGCTACCAGCACGTTCGAATTCTTCCCAGGAGTACCAATTTACCACTCAACAGACCTGTGAGTCGCTGAGTCACGAAGTTTCGGGTTTAGCAAGAACTCTCAACTAAACGCACATTAGTGTTAAATGGGAGAATATTGGTCATGCTCTCACACGGCCTTCACAGCTGAACCTTCGAGGGACTGCGCCAAGTGGAGGTATATTTGCACCGACCCTGAGACATCACGATGGTGTTTTCTACTTGGTGGATACCGCTTTCGATGTCATCAACCCTCCTGACAATGTAAGTGCGCACTCAAAACCAGTGAAACCGAGGCCCGGCGGCTCACTTTCGGACGACAGGTGACCAGAGTTCCTCGGTCATTTTATGTGACCACAACCAACATCTTCGACGAGAACAGCTGGAGTGACCCTACTTACGTCGACCAGTGGGGGTTCGATGGCGATCTATTTTTCGACGAAGACGGAAAAGTTTACTTCACTTCCACGTTCTCGGAGTTTGTAGAGAACGGAAACTTTGCGAACTGGATCACTGAAATTGATATTAAGACTGGGGACTCTCTGAGCAATTCACGGCTTCTCCACACTACTACAGTGCCACCTGAGCTTGGATATCCGTTGGTGAGTTTATCAGCTTTCGTCACAAACCTGGCTATGTCTCGTCAACGTGACGATGCTGACTTCGACAGACCGAGGGTAGTCATCTTTACAAGTTCAACGGAACATACTACATGCTCACGGCGGATTCTGGAACCGAGAGCAACCAGAAAGCAAACATATACCGCTCGAAAAGCCTTGAAGGTCCTTGGGATGGCAATCCGCACAATCCAGTACTTTGGAACGGAGAAGACATGTCGCGGCCGGTTCTCGCCACAGGCCACGCAGATATTGTTAATGACACCGAGGGGAACTGGTGGGCGGTCTTTCTCGCAACGCGACCTCAAAACCCACGTAACAGCAGCGGTCTTCCTCAACTCGGGAGAGAAACCTTTCTTTGCCCAGTTACTTGGGACGCCGATGGATGGCCGGTGTTCAACAACAATGAAGCCATCACCGAGTACGTGCCCGACCTGCTCTACGATCTCGATCGACCTCAGGTATGGCGTGACGACTTTGAAGGCGGCCTCGTCGATAAATCATACTACTACCTCCGCACCCCATACAAAGACTTCAAAGACTTTGAATCTAGCCCCGGAAAGCTGAGGATTAGAGGGAATGTATACACCTTGAACGACAGAGAGACTCCTGCGGCGCTGTTACGGAAACAAGTTGATCTTAACACCACATTCAGCACCGAGGTCAGCGCATTCGAACCTGAGAACTGGAGGCAAGAGGCCGGTGCAAGCATCTACCTGAGCATCCACTTCCACAACGAGATCGCGCTCACTTACTCAAATGCTACCCAGAAGCGTGCCATCGTCGTTCGTACTAGGACGGGCCCGGATGCAACTCTAAACACGACGTACGTCGAGGATGCCGAAGTTGCCAAAGGCGGGCCCGTAAAGCTTTTCATCGAGGCCAAAGATGTGGGCTATCGCTTGGGCTACTCTACTGGCTGCAAAGCTCCTACATGGCTGGCCAGTGTTGAAAATAGCTGGCTGCAGTCGTATGTTGAAGGCTGGCAAAACTTCGTTGGTAGTCACTTCGCCATCTACAGCACTGGTACCAGGCTCCCAACCCTGAACGTAGCGGTATGTCTCTTGATCCCATACAACGAACACTTGGAGATTCAAAGACTGACAAGATCATAGGAATTTGAGTATATTCAAACTGAACTGAATTGAATTCTGCCATTGGAAGGGCCAGAATTGATAGACTCTAGTCAAAATCCTTGCGCATTTGGATGGATAGCTATGAACAAGGCTCTTGTATTGCTCCATTATCGTGTGACGTTCAAATTACCTTTGGTCGTTGCCCAACTGTCATCCACATGTCCTCAAAGAAACTTACACCACCCTTGATTACATATTTGCCTGGCTGATCCTTGTTAAGAACCTCCGGTTTGAACGTTCTGAGGAATTGAAGAGGACCCTTTGACAGCTCCATCATAGCAAGATCGCGACCCAGGCATACTCTCGCTCCATAGCCAAATCCCATGTTGTACTTAAGCATCTCTTTCGTCTTTTCCTCGCTCTCCAACCATCGCTCCGGTCTGAAAACCTCGGCATCTGGTCCGAATATGGCTTCATCCCGGTGGACAAGCCAAGGATTGCAAGTCACCTCAGTGCCCTCAGGAACATGCTTTCCAAACAGCTCTAGGCCGCCTTTTCGGGCAATTCGAGGGAAGATGTTGGGTGCAGAGGGAGTCAGTCGCATAGTCTCCCGGATACAAGCCGTGTAGTAGGGGCAATACTGCTGCACCTCGGCGTATTGAGCAATGTTTGAGAGATTGCCGACTCGAGTTTGACGATCGATCTCTCCCATGAGCCGCTCATACACGCCGGGGGTTGTCACGATATACATCATGAAGGCTTGGAATGCCGTCCCGGTCGTGTCAGCGCCGGCAAGAAGGACAAGCAGAATTTCAGCCTTGATGTAGTCCAGATCTAGGGGTTCCCCTTTTTCATCACGGGCTTCGATGAATCTGTATAGTGGTTAGCAACGTATTGAATGCGAATGTCCTGATGGGGCACGCCATGGTAGCTTACGTTTGAAGCAAGTCGATACGGCCATTAGTGTTTCCCTTTTCGATATCCTCAAATCTCTGTGCAATGAGACGGTCTCGGAATCGCATCAATGTGCCAATGCCCGAATCCTGCTCTGGCGATGCTACCATGTACTTCCCAAGGAAGGTGCTCTTCATCCAATTAGTGAAAGGCCAGCATCTGGCCATGATGCCAAATGGTACAAGTCCATCATGGAAACCTTGGATGAGACCTTCGACATCCTTCTCCTGCTCGATGAAACCAAAAGGCTGCCCGAATCCAACGTCAGAAACGATGTCGTACACGAGATAAACCGCCCACGGCGCAAAGTCAAATCGCTTCCCGGTTGATGCAAAATTGCTGTCAAGTCTCTGGATCCATCGCTCGATATGGAGATCAAGAAGAGGTTCCATTTTGCGGATATTAGAGAAAGCATAGGGCGCTGCAGCTATCTTCCGGAAACGAGCATGAACAACGTGATCTTGCATGTTGAACAGGGACTCCGTGCTGCCAAAGGATCCGGTGATGTAGTGCTGAGACTTGTTGGCGTTGCGGTGGTAGATATCTGGCAACTTCGTTGCATCGCTCACCAGCAACATGGTTGGTGTGATACGGATGACCGGGCCTTCACAATCGTTAGTGGATTGCCGTCGTGAGACAGTAGGCAGATTGGACGTTAAGACAAGAGGTCTTGATCATATGGAAGGGCGTCAGATCAAGGTTGCCGGCTGCGAGACTCACCATATTTCCTGTGTAGGGCCTGGTTCACCTGGCACTCATCCTGCTTGATGTTGTGATATGTGATCCAAAGTCTGGTAACGGAGCCCCAAAATGGACCAGGGAACTTCGCCAGCGGATGGAAGAATCTGTAGTAAACGATTTGATACAGAACTTTCCCGACAACGTACGCCGCGCAAAGAAGCAAGAAGTTTCCGAGACTCAAAACTGTCATCGTGAACGTCCTCCGCATATGTGCTATGTAATCGGAGACATCTGCTTGGACAGTATCTGTTCAAATTCTTCTGTTAAATGCACCTTTATCACTTACCACGCCTCAATACCCTCCACCAACTGGACACCCAGGCTGCACATAACGATCAGAACCGTGAACGGCGAGCGGTCCACATAGCGGGCCTCTGGACATCGCCCGAGTGAGGTTCCATTCGCGTCGGGGAGCCCTTGCAATGGCCCCGCTCGAATGCGAGAGGAGCTAATCGAGTCTTGTGAAATCTTGGAGCAATGACGATCGTGTGGATGGAGGGGCCGGGCCAGACAACTAGGCACTTACTCGGCACTTTTTTTGTGAAGGATAATGCAACCAAGACCATCCAATGTGGTGTGATAGTGCTTACTGTCCGAACATTAGTGTCTTCTGTATCGCGTATCAACAGATCAATGTGGATGTGGATTGCTGCAGACTCGGGGTTGAAGCCCGTTCGGTACCTCGGCGGACTGAGAGTGGGTAACAAATAGTATCAAAAGTTCTTTTCAGACCTCGCCTGAGTTCTGACAGTCTGTTAAGGCCAGTACATGTGTTATTATGTAATATGAAAGAGTAAATGTACATGAAAAATAGTCAAGTATTGTTGGTTCGGTTGCATTCCATCCTTACCAGCACGCGCACATGCCTTCTGCAGCATCATTACGGCCATTGCAACGGCCATCCCTAGATGCGCAACGTCGACACAGTGTGCCATCATCGTTTTGAGTCCACTCATCACTGCCAACGCAAGTTTGACAGTAGAAAACACCAGCCGGGTCATATTTGGTCTTGATCTCAATGAGCCTTTTCCAATTCGAAGAATAGAAGTCTTCTTCAAACTTCGTCTCCCCCCAGTCCGCTTCGTTCATGTAAGTGCCTGTGTGCGGTGACAATTGACGATAGATTGGAAGCACATTTTGACGAATGTCCTCAAATAGGTCGACGTTAGCCGAAACTGAGAGCAAACCATTGAGAACTGGTCTCTCAAAGATGTCGAGAATCACGGCGTCGTACCAGCCCGGCTGTACAGCTGCTGATGTGTCTCTCGTTTCCGGCGCTGTTTCGAGGCCGTGGTGAACAATAGTGTGAAATACCGCACTGCCATTGGTTCCGGCCATAGTTTCCATCGCCTTGCGAAGGTGTGCTCGGTCGCCTTCCAAAGCTGACTTCCCCAACAGTCTAGACGCGAGAGCAGAGACAGTGCCTACGGTCGCGTCGGTACCCGTCTTGTTTCCGTAGTATGAGCCGTAGTCGGTGAACGCCTTTTGCGTGATCGACACGGTAAACCCCGCGTCTTTGAGAGGCATAAGCTTATCGGCAAGAGGCTTGAACAGCCGTGTCGTCTCAGCTGCATCGTTTCCCAGCGTAGTGAAAGACTGGGTAAAGATGGTGGTGAAGTTGCCGCCCACAGGAACTGGGCTGTTCATGGCCCAGGCACCATATCCAGCGAAGCCGACCTCGGACAGATAAGGGTACGCCGAGTAGATATCGGTCATGGCATCGAGGAACCGGGACGAGGTATTCGCGTTCGTCGACCCTATGCCAATGACGACGTCGATCACGTCGATGTTCTTCGTCGGGTAAGTCTTGACCGTCATCTGGGTGACGACTCCGTATGTACCACCACCGCCGCCCCGAATAGCATAGAAGAGATCGGTGTTATTGCAAGGACTTGCCGTGACCAGTTCTCCAGAAGCTAAGACGACCTTGGCAGACAACACCTGGTCAGCCCCGAGCCCATAGTATCGAGTGACGGGACTGTGGCCGCCTCCTTGCGTCCATCCACCCGTGCTGCAGGGACCCTATGAATGTTGAGTAAAATAATGTACCGCAATCAAGTCAAAAGTTCATGGAGGTCCTACCCGGTTATTTCCTCCAACAGCAATGAGGTTCTTCTCAAATGCCGTAGGATAGATTTCAGACCATGAATATGCACCAGTTATTGTCAGTGCACTGCCCTTCCAGTCTGACTTGGGACACTCGTTGACAACTTGGAAGTCGTCGTGGAAGTTGAATCCTCGCCGGTAGTTCTGTAACCAGATTGATAAACTACCATAGCCGGTCGACCTGTATGCCCGTACTTAGCAAAAGGGCCTGACTATTTTCGACAAGAGATCTGCTTACCTCTGAAGGAAATCATGGCCAGTTGATTTGATCACGACGCGAATGTTGTTTTTGCTGGCGAATTGAATTGCTTTCGATATATCCTCCTCATCGGTGACGTTGACAGCATAAACCGGTGAGTTCCCGATGCTGCAATTCGCCGACGGAGCGTTGGCAGTAGACTGAGTCAATGGGCAAGACGTGTTGAGTGGGTAGTCGTAGCCGATGGGTTGCGATGCCTGGAAACTCGACGTTGTCCAACCTTGGGTCACGGCTTCGCAAGCGGATGCATCCCGGCTCGGTCCGGCATAACACGGAGCGGCTGGTGGAGTCGTCCGGACGAGCTGCCCGGAGATGGAGCTGTTGAACCGGCCCCACTCTTTGTCCGAAGGCCAGCATCTGTCCCCCGGCATCTGTTTCCCACAACAGTGTCAGCATGGTTGCAGAATTTGTCTTCACCCGGCATGTGCTGCAGACGAACTTACACATTTGCATTGAGCATGTATTAGTGGGAGCAACGTGAGCAATACAATGCTCGCAAGACTAAGCTCCATGGCTGCAGCTCAGAACAGGCCGCCTGTTCTCATGCGAAGCTTTCGGGATGCTCTGCAGTATGCTTCGTGTGACTACCTTCAGACCACATTCCAGCACCGTGGAGCCAGCTCTGCCTATTTGACCCGTTTACATGCATGAATACCCAATCAAACGAAGCTATTCGCAATTACCGAGTAATGTGCCTTTGATTGTTCGCCAACTTTGAGGGCCCACTGTTCATGATGTGAGAGCTGACGTGATGCGGTTACAGGGGACATGGCTGTACCTGACGCAGCCCAGCCACAGACCCATCCAATGCTCTAGCGAGCTCTACGAACAGAATGGCGTTGGAGTTGCGTGTATTGACAGCGTTGAAAACCAGAATGAAGGCAACAGGAATGATGTGGGAAAGTATGTACGCTGTATTGTAGATTTACGATCGAATATGTAATCCTCATATTCTCGTCTTCGGTGTCTTTGGCGCTCAAGATTTCATCTGAACATTTCTCCAGAATTTCACCTTGCCTGAAAACGAAGCCAAGGGCCGACTTTGGCAGAGGTGACGTGATCCCACATTTGGAACTCATTTGTGTTCCCCGTCGAGCCGCCGAATGATTTCTGGTCTTCCGAAGACCTGGTAAAGTCGAATCTGTAGACGACTTTGGCCAATGTCAATGTGGTCTCGTGATAAGCGAATCCTTTGCCTACACAGCTTCGAGGCCCGCTAGAGAAAGGGTAGAATGCGGCTCGCGCCACCTCTACCGACTCTTTGGTCGATCCATCTTCCCCGACCAGCCATCTTTCAGGCTTGTAGTTGAAGGGTGACTCGAAATAATCTTCATGGTGATGAAGACTGTAGATTCCAGTGCCGACATCGATTCCTTCCGGAAGTACAAGAGATCCGATGGTCATTCCTCCAGGACGAATCTCTCGCCACAAAGCACCCCCAACTGGAGGTGACATGCGAAGTGCCTCGTCAATGCATGCTCTAAGGTAGGTGCACGACGTGAGCTTGGCGCCGAGACGAATATCATCGTCGCTTTCAAAGGTTGACCTGATCTCGTGGCAAAGTTTGGCGTACGCCTTGGGTTTGCCGCTCAGGTAGAACAGTGTCGCTGCCAAGGTGGTCGAGGATGTGTCGGATCCTAACGTAGACGAACATCAGAACACGACGTGTTAGCAGCGGTGAGGAGAAGGCACTCACCAGCAACAACCAGGGTGGCTGATTCTGCCCGGATTTCAGACTTGCTGAGTGTCGACTCGCCATCGGGGTCTTTGGCAGTCTCCAAGTATGAAAACACATTGCCGTTGTCGGAAAAAGACGCCTTGGATCGATTCTTCAGCAGGCCGGCGAGAAACCCAAGGAATTTGTTTCTGGACTTGATGGATCCGGAGAACAAGTACTTGTCGATTCTGCCGAGTGCAAGGCTCGAGGCCTGAACCAGGGCGCTGATGCGGACATTTGACTCCTCAAGCGCTTTCATGACGAATCGATATTTGGGCTCTCTCAAAGCGTTGTACTTCATGCCGAAGATGACCTCCGACATGACATCGAATGTGAAGTAGTCAACTGTACTGGTCAGACACACACTCCCATGTGAATACGCCTGAGATGTGTCTTACACTGATGCGCCATGTCCAGGGCCTCAGAACCCGAAGCAGATGCCTGTGACCGAGCATTGTCGGTGAGGTTCAAACAGAGTGTGTCGATGTGGCGTAACAGAATAGCTTCGTAGGCGCGCAGCTGCGCATCTGAGAAGGCGAGGCTCAAGATGCGCCGTCTTCGGGCATGATCCTCTCTGTTGCGAATAGTAAGTGTATTGGGGGCGCTGTGGACGAGTGCCTGGTATGCCTTGGACTTGATGACATTTGCCCCGTGAGAGCTGATTTCTGCAAGAGATGTTAGTTCCGAGACCAGCTGAAACCAGGGAGATCAGGCACCGTGGGTTACCTCTAGCAGCTGTGCTGCTGTTGATTAGCAAACGGGACGGCGAGTATCTAACGATGGGACCTTGAACAACATGTTAGCAATGTGCCAATAACTTCGCTATCATACGGAGAAGCATACCATATTTCTGATGGCATCGATACATATCAATGTGAAGGGTCCCCCTCCACGCATGATACGCGGCGTAGAGGTTGGTGCATCTTCCCAGCAGGGGACCTGGATACGCCGCCAGTGGGTGGAAAACAAGCTGCTTCACAAGCAGAAAAGCAATCTGAACGCCGTTGAGTATCTTGACAAAACAGCATCATTCGCCTCTAGAAAAACTCACAAAACATGCCGCTGCGCATGCAGCCAGACCTAAGTAATTCATCCTTACAACGGCTCCAATTCTAGTGATCTCTTTGATCTGTATCAAGTCAATAGGCTCCCGCGGTTCCGTGTCAACCGCGCGTTCCGAGGCAGTACGCTTGCGAACTACTTACTTACAGGGTGTTCCTTCGTTTACAGCACATTAGTTGGCGCCTAGCTTCTGCTGTGTCGCAGCAGCCGCTTTCTTGCCGTGAGTCAGGCTCACGTCACAGCCATTTGTAGCAATTTTCCTCCGCGAAATGCTCAACGCAGCCTCTGAACTTAGCGGTAGGACCCCTGGTCGTTCACTAACAGACGTTGTTGCGGAGGCGTGGACTTCTCAATTCACGTTGTGAGATTGCGGCTTCGTTCATAGTGTGGAAGTCAACGATCATGCTGAGCTTGATATTTCAATTCCTAGCGCTGCTGGGACGTCTCTCCGGCATTGCGGCTGGAGTGTGTTGTTTAGTACTTGTAAGTAGTAACTTTTCGGGTTGGAGAAGTGTTGTAAAAGGTGTTGAATGAAGTGGCACTGAACTTCGCCATAGATCGCCATTGGTGTCTACCGGCTATACTTCCACCCTTACGCCAAGTATCCCGGCCCGACTTTGGCAAAGTTGACCAGCTGGTACTCTGTGTATCACACGTACATCGGTGATCTTCATGTCGATATTTGGCGTTGCCATGAAGTGTATGGTAAGCGTGGTTACTGTCGAGCTGAGTATTCTCTCATCACTTACACGCCTATTCAGGAGATGTCGTCCGCTACGGCCCTAACAGGCTCTTGATCAACACCGAAGCTGGGTTGAAAGGTAAGCATCTGAACGGCACCTGCTTTGTATCTCATACTAACAGGTGTTCGAGGTATCTATGGCCACGGTAAAAACGTCCGGAAAGCCAAGTCGTATCACAGAATCTCGCTCGTGAAGGGCGTCGAAGCAACCCAAAGTGTTGTTGATAAGACGAAACACGGGAAACTTCGAAGAATTCTCAACCAAGGCCTTTCGGACTCATACATAAGAAACATTGACTCTGAGTTGACTGGTCTGGCTCGATTGTTCACTTCAAGCTTGGGATCAAGTAAAGATCAGTTCGACCCCAACGCCGATGCCCCTGGAGATGGATGGACGTGCGCTAAAAACATGGCACATTGGTGTAAGTAGGGCCCGATTTGGCACTGGAGCGTACCTCTCCCTGCTGACCCAAACCCAGGCGACTACTTCACATTTGACGTGATGTCACAACTAGTGTTCGGGATGTCATACCATCTCATGGAAGATTCTGAGAATCACTGGATTGCGGATGCCATATTGGGTCAAATGCGTCGAGTTAGCTTCCTGATGCAGCTGCCAGAGTTGGAGGACATGAGACTTCACAAGCTCTTGTTCCCAAATGCACGCAAGAAGGCCCTGCGGTTCTCCATGAAGAGCAAAGATATCATGGAGAAACGAAAGCAGTCTTCAGAAAAGTCCAAGAACGACCTTTTCTCAAAGCTACTGGCTGCAGAAGATCCCGAAACAGGAGAATCCCTATCTCAGCTGCAGCTCTGGGCTGAAAGCAACCTCTTGATCATTGCTGGTAAGGACCACCGGGATTTATGAAATATCAGTTTCTAGGCTTCAAGCTGACTTCAGGTTACAGGATCCGATACGTCATCTACTGCGATGGCCGCGCTTTTCTTCTATCTCTCAAGGTATCCGGAGGCTTATGAGAAGGTCGTCAAAGAAGTGCGCGCTATCTTCCGCTCTGCGGCGGAGGTTACTCAGGGGCCAAAACTATCCTCGTGCACTTATCTTCGGGCATGCATCACTGAAGCAGCCCGTCTCTCCCCTCCAGCAGCTGGTGCAATGTGGAGAGAAGTGCAAGCCGGCGGCCTAAATGTCGGCGACCTTCATATCCCAGCTGGATACGACATCGGAACTGGCATTTATTCCATCAACCACAACTCTGAATACTACCCAGAACCTTTCAGATTCTGGCCGGAGAGATGGATACCAGCAGTCGCTGGGGAAGAAGCGGTGGCGAAAGCCAAAGCAGCGTACGGCACTTTTTCTGTCGGCCCCAGGAACTGCGTGGGCAAGGGCCTGGCCATGATTGAGATTTCTCTCGCAATGGCTGCAGTAATCAGCGAGTTTGACTTTCGCCGGGACGAAACTGGACAGGGGAATGTTGGAGAGGGTCGAGGTGACTTGAAGAACGAATACCAGATCTTTTGGGCGTTCACCAGCATGAAGGACGGCCCCTACGTACAATTTCGGCGGGCTGAAGCCACCGGACTCCATTGAGAATTTTGGTCAAGACCTGGGACCCAATTCTTGCGCCGAGCCCTCATACATAAGCAAAATATTATTGTCGATGAGGTTCACTCTTCGCATGCAATAGAGCCGTTAAGATTGGTTATCACCTGAATTTTGGAAGCATATGTTTGATTTATGTGGAACGTGTCCTACGAATTCGCTTGAGTGATTTGAATCTCGTCAATTAAGTGCTTTGGAGGCCGGCTACGAGTACATATGATTTTATGAGAGAGTTTGACACCAACCAAACGAGTCTGGAGATGTTCCGTTCTGAATGGTTCTCAGTGCTCCCCACAGTCTCTCATACAATGGTCCCCCGGGTTCGAATTCGTACGTCTCGCCGGTTGACTTTCTGTGAACACAGGAAACTGGCACCAGCCCGGCCGCGGTTCCCGCGGCGAGCACTTCCGTGAAATTTGTCAACTCATCAAATCTGACCTGAGTTATAATCAGCAACTGGTCATAGATCATAATGGAGACTGTATAGATATGTGTCATGTGGTGATACTCACAGCGCGTCTTTGGACATTCCAGCCGAACGTTGCGGCGAGCTGAGCAGCACAGTCTGCCGTGATGCTTTCAATGGCAGCCTTGCTGGTCGCGACAACCAAGGTGACTGCTCCATCGGTATCTTGAAGACCAAGAAATCCCGAGGTAGAGAATTCGTCTATCTCAGTTTGTGTTTGGCTGTCTAGATGTAGGAGCACATTGTAGCCCTCTTTCCTTGCTTCAGAGGTCCAGCGAATTACGGGGGCGTAGTTGCCCCCAACTTTCACCGCACCGGATCCCCTGGTTGCTGCGCGGTCGAAGTCATCGAGCACCAGGGCCTTGATTGCGCCATGCCCATGAAAGGCTATGTGAGGCTGGACAAAGACACAGAATAGGAACTCATCAGGGGGGTCCAGGCCGATCTGAGCACTGGAGCCGAACTGAAACGGGCGGATGTAGAGAGATCCCTTGACTTCGTGAGGACAGACATACTCCCCATTCATTCTCACCGCGAGTTGGACGCTCTCGAGGAATAGGTCATCTGGAACTTCCGGCATGGAAACGAAAGCAGCAGATCTTCTCATCCGAGCCGCATTCGCGTCCGGCCGGAAGATGAGGATGTCGCCGTCTGGGTTTCTGCGAGCTACGGCACAAGTACGTAAATTTCTGTGGCATGAGGCAGACACCTGTTCCGAATTATCTTACCTTGAAGGCCCTCGAAAACTTGTTGACCTAGGGCATCATGAGATGGAGAGGCCTTGTTCTCAGGGGAAGGGTCGTACCATAGTGCAATCCCGGCGCTAACCCGTGTATCGAGAGAACAGGGCTCTCAATGAACTCTGGTCCTGACCATAGACCAGTGCTAACATCATAGCGAGACTCTACGTGACCAGCAACTACATGTAACTTATCTTAGAAACGAGCAATCAACATGCGAACGTGGTTGAGCACAGCATTACTGACCATTGTTCTTCTTGCTATCGTAGACATCCCACTCTAAGCGACTGTCAGCGGCTTCAGCGTCCAAGAGGCTGGATCGCTTCAGGGGACATGGACGCACTGTAATCGGGCTTCGGTGGAATCATGTTGGTAACTTGAGACACAAGTTGCGCTCTACCAACATACCAGCTGCCTGGGAATTAGTGTTCCCCGTACAGCTCGAAAAGCTAAACAACGCCCAAAGTGTTGTAATCTGCCCCCAATGCATTCAGACCAGAATCTCGACAGGGGTATGCTGTAGTTAGGTTGTCTCTGACAGAGCCTGATCCCTGACAGAGACTGCTTCACGTCAGCGTGACGTGAGACGGAAAAAACGGTGAAGACAATGCCACCAGACCAACTGGTTCATCCAAACTGGCTGATGTGAGATGACAGACCAAGCAGCAAAGCAGAGATACCCTTGTTATCACACTGTTGAGGAGCCCAACCCCTTGAAACTGAGGCTCGGGGTGTGTGGTCGATCACCTAAAGCGCGTTGTTCAGGCACTGCGCGCATCAACCGCCGCTTAGGGGTATTAGCCAGTATTGCGATAACGCGATAGCGATCAGGTTGGGGATGATGATCTCAGTGAAGCTCAACATGTTCAGTGAGCGCATGTCCTTAGTACTGACAATGAAGCTCGTCGAAGCCGCTCGTATGGACATAGCAAATCCTCAACCTTTGATGAGATCTATGAAGTAATGTGTGATCTTACATATGTCTGATGCCCTCCAATAATTACTATGCTCGCGGCTTCACCTCAACAAGAGGCCCATTCTTCCAGCTGATGAACATGTCCACCAATTCATATTCGTGAGAAGGATCAGGCCCTTTGCCACTCCGTGTGCCGTTAACCCAGGTTTTCTCACACAATCTCATGTCGTATCTGAACATCAAGGTGGCGAAGAGGATCGATATTTGGAGGTATGCGAGAGGTTTTCCTATGCACCCACGAGTTCCAGCGCTGAAAGCCATGAAAGCCCCAGACGAGGATTTGAGAAACTCCGGGGTAACAAGGGTGCCGTCGGCAAGCGTCTCCCCCACGATCCATCTCTCCGGTTGAAATGAAAATGGATCGGGGAAATATTCTTTGTCATGATGAATTGAGAAGACGGGGACTCCGATGTTGACTCCTTCAGGATAGAACTGATCTCCGACCTGGACACCACCAGGTTCCACCTGGCGGTGAAGAACTGAGCCTGCTGGGGGAGAGAGTCGAAGACCCTCATTGATGCATGCTCGAAGATAAGTGCACGCTTGCAACTCAGTGCCAAACTCAATCTGGTCAATGCTGGTGAACACGCTCCGGACTTCCTTCTGGAGCCTGGCTAGCTTGTCGGGGCTATGAAGGAGATAATAGATCGTAGAGCTGATTGCCGTTGACGATGTGTCACTCCCTGGTCTGTGTGAGATCGCTACGTAACAAATCATGCGGAGAATGCGTCGACTTACCTGCTGTAATAAGTAAGATAGCCTCTTCAACAAGCTCTTCCATGGTGAAAGTATCCCCAGTTACTGGATCAACTGCCCCGGTAAGCCAGAACATGAAGTCTTTCTTAGACTCGCTGATCTTGCTCACTCTCTCGCCAGCTGCCTTCTCAATGAACGTGTCAAAAGTAACCGTTGATCGTACGTGATACAGGAAGAGCAGCCACTTGAGTCTCAACTTATGAAGAAGAGTCAGAGATGACCCGGTCTACCACAAGCATCAGCTATTGTCCGCAGGATCACTGACGCAAAATGGGGCTACTCACAACATTGTCTGCCCACAAAGTCTCATGCAGAATTTTGATAATGTGTCTGTTTCCAGCATACCGCATCATCTCGAACGACTTGGAAAATGACAAGTCGCTAGACACATCAAAGGTGAATCGGTTGATCCACTCAGAGAAGTTCTTCGGCTTGCTCCAAGAACCCGGCTGGGACTTCTCTTTCCCTGACAAGATATAACCCTCTTGCTTGTCGTTGTCCAAAAACTCCAAACATTGGCATAGCGTCGCGACATGCTTCTTGATGGTGACACCCGCTGTCTTAAGTGCTGAGTCGGAGAAGCCTTGTCGCAAGATTCGTCGCTTCCTCGCATGCACTTGCTTGTTGATGGATGAGAACAAACTAGCCTTCTCGGGGTTTCTTGGGAAAGCGAGATAGTTATCGGCTTTCCTAGTGTAACGGCTGTTCGTGTATAGCATTTTCACGCCTTCAGCGGACCTGATGCTGACATGGTTGGGACCATAGCGCACGATTGGACCGTACTTCTCGTGAAGCTGGTGCAGATTGCGTGCTTGGTCTTTTCTGAACGCATGGTAGGTGTTGTAGAGACTTGTCAAACGTCCGATTAAGGGGCCTGGATAGCGGCCCAAGGGATGCAGCACAAGGCGCTTGAAGACCACAATGATACCGGCGACCTGCAAGAACTGTCAGTTTGCAGTCTCTTGTGGAACCATTGAGGGCATAGGTTGCTCAATACATGAGATGAAAACTTACAAACAAGCAGATGAAGCCCACCGCAGCAGTCTTGCTCGACACCGACAGACTGGCACCGACAACCTTGTTCAGATCGTCCATTGTTGGCTTGAACCTGCAGAATAACGACCGAATCCTGCGCCAGCTCTCACAATTAGGACGTTCATACGCGAAAGAGCCTCCGCGTAGGCAAGACCGGCCCTGACTCAGATGGTGCCAGAACCTGGACCCCAGCGTTGAGTAAGACGCGCAGGGTGCTGATGTCACCCTTAAACTTCTGAAGCAATCGCTAGCATCCCTGTACAGACACAGCGAAATGCAATTGCCGGGAGTCTGGAGTGGCATCCGAACTTGGGATCGTTCGTACGGACCAGACTGCCGGAACACGCATGCTTTCGCATTCGTCGATCGTGCTCGAATTCATGCAGGTTCAGATTCACTGTGCGTTATCTCGATATTATCGGGTCCCGGCCACATTCCCTGGTAACTTCCGCCATGCATCCAGAATCAGAACGAGAGTTGGCGTATGTTCTGCTCGTTGAGTTGTTAGCGTGAGTAGTTCGTGTTAGAATTGGTACCTACAGGGCTTTAACTAATTGTGACAGGCATCAATTCGCATACCCGGTCCGATGGTACGATAAAATATCCGCGCTCTTACATGTAATGTTCAAAGTCTACTGAGTAAATATGCTGACGCGGAGTCTTCCAGGATTGAGACGCAAGATGCCATCCTCCGGGATATCAAAGCCGAAAGAATTGTGGAGGTTGGGCCGACGAACATCCTGACGAACATGACGAAAAGGACTTGGGGTCAGAAATATGCGATGTCAGACGACGCTCAAGGACTTCGCCGACGAATACTTGGCCCAGAAGAGGATTTTCCGGAAATATACTACCAGCGACATTCGGACGAGGACAGGAACGACAACGAAGAGGCTAGCATCGGGTTGGCGGGGGAGAGCTCAACAATATATTGCGATGACGCTCAACGCACCGTCCCAGAAGATGAGTCTATGGCTCAAGTTGACAGTAAATCTCTGTCTCCTCCGGGACCAGCAAAGCGATGCGAGGATGCGCCACTGCCTGTCTCGGCCACGGTTCTAGCCATCATAGCAATGAAACTGAAGAAGTCCCCAGACGCTGTGGAGCGGACGAAATCAATCACTCAGCTTGTCAGTGGTAAGTGCGGTGGAAATCTTTGCGCACAAAACACCTCGAGTTGCTAATTCAAGAAGGGCGTTCAACTCTGACAAATGAAATCATTGGCGATCTTCACGTGGAGTTTCAGAACCAGCTACCAGACCGGGCAGAAGAGTTAACTCTGATCGAGCTGTTCGAAACACTTCAGAAGACCCATTCTGGAACGCTCGGCAAGAAAACCTCGGCTCTCGTCGCTGGCTTCGTATCTTCCAAATTTCCAGGAGGCTTTAGTCAATCCAAAATTCGGGACCATTTGGAACATCGATGGGGCCTGGGGCCAATGCGGCAAGATGCGGTCCTCTTGGCTGCCTTGGCCAAACAACTTGACTCCCGCTTATCCTCCGAAGACACCGCGAAGGCATTCATTGATGACGCTGCTAAGTTTTACTTTCAACAAGAGGGTCTTGCGGCCCCTAGCCTCACTTCATCCTCATCCGTTAGCAGCCACATATCGAAGGTTGATCCAAAGGCTTTGCAGGCCTTAACGGAGAAAAGCGACGCGTTGTTACGGGATATTAGCGAGGCCATGGCACGACATCTACCAAGTGGGAATAATATATCTGGAGCATCTCTTGTGCCCAAGGAGCAGGACGAGGCACTCAAAGAGCTCGATCTGTGGCGCCACGAGCACGGCGAAGACTACGCGGAGGGGATCAAGCCAAAGTTCGACATCAAGAAGCAAAGACTCTACGACTCTTTCTGGAACTGGTGCTCAAGAGACATAGCTCTCCTGTTTGACCTGGCAAAACATCCAAGTTCGCAAAATCCTATGCTCATCGAAGAGGTTTCGACATCTATCATCAACCGAGCATGCCAGCGTTCCATTTCGCAGATACAGTATCTCTGCGCCAAGACACAAGGGGAAAAGACACATTTGGGCCGCATTATGAGATTTTGCCTACAAGCAAGCGTTTCATCGAAGAGTCGTGATCCAGTTTTTATTGACCGATCAGTTGATCTGGCACCGATATCAACTGTCGATAAGGAAGGCAACATCAGATTCTCCGAAGTTCCTCGTTCAACCCCATTCCGCGCTCGCAAATCATCAATACCTCAAGTGCCCTATCCGCTTGGTACTTTCGACAACGGCATACTCGTCCTTTCAGATAGGCTAAGTTCAGCATACGCTGAAGACCTGGACGCAGCCCGTCATTCCGGTTTCACATTCAAGGGGAGAAATGTGTTGCTCACTGGAGCTGGACGAAACTCGATCGGCTTCAGCTTGTTGAAGCTTTTGCTTCAAGGCGGTGGAAGGGTCACTGTCACGACCAGCACTTACTCTCAGGAGGTTAACCAGATGTACCAGGCCACGTATGCTCGACATGGTGCGAAGAATTCGGTTCTGAGAGTCTTGCCGTTCAATCAAGGCAGCCAGCATGATGTGCAAGATTTGGCAAAGAATCTGAAGGATGACTGGGACCCCGACTTCATTATCCCTTTTGCTGCGATTTCAGAAAACGGCCGCGAGCTTGAAGAGCTGGATTCGAAGTCCGAGATTGCTCATCGACTGATGTTAACCAATCTTCTGAGGCTACTTGGGGCAATTGCCAGGAATAAGCGGGCTGCTGGCACCTTTACGAGGCCTGCTACCGTCGTCCTTCCGTTGTCACCTAACCACGGTCTGATGGGTAACGACGGTCTCTATGCGGAGTCGAAGAGGGGGTTGGAGTCTCTTCTATCAAAATGGAAATCGGAAACATGGCGTGACTATCTCTCCATGTTGGGAGTTGTCATCGGATGGACTCGCTCAACAGGTCTCATGGACGAAAACGATGTTGTCGCACAGGGCGTCGAGTCGATGGGTGTTCGTACGTTTTCCAAGGAACAAATGGCTGCTCTTGTTGCCTCTCTCTTGGGGGGTAGGATGAATGCAGCCTGCCAGTCTATTCCCATCGTCGCCGACTTCAGCGGTGGTATGGGTAAGGTCGCCGACCTGAGGGACAAGCTTACCAGTATTCGACGGGACCTGCGTGCCGAAGCGGAAATCCAGAGAGCCATTAGAGAGGAGGAGAAGCGCGATGCAGCGACTGTTGGCCAAAAAGACACCAGCAGAGGCCAGGAGCCGTTATCTCCAAAGGCCAATATCCGCATACAGCTTCCTTCTTTGCCTGATTGGGACCAAGATGTGTCGCCTCTTGCAGTTTCACTCGAGGGTATGGTTGACCCAAGCCGTGTGGTAGTCATAACAGGCTACTCAGAACTCGGGCCCTACGGTAATAGTAGAACGCGGTGGGAAATGGAGGCCAATGGCATTCTTTCTTTGGAGGGCTGGATCGAGATGGCTTGGATGATGGGTTTGATCAAGCACAGCAAAGAGGCGATGAAAGATGGGCAGCCCTGGTCCGGTTGGGTAGACTCAAAAACCTTATTGCCGGTTGAGGAGAGCGACATATTTTCGCGATACATGGCCGTCATTCTCGAGCACACCGGCATACGGAACATCGAACCAGAGATTTGCGACAACAACTACGACCCTGCAAGGAAGGCGGCCGTTCAGGAGGTTGAGCTCACCCAAGACCTGCCACCATTCGAAGCAACAGCCGAAGTCGCTCAGTACTTCCAACTTCAACATGGCGCGAAAGCTGTAGTCTCTCAAACTGAGTCTGGGTTTTTGACAGTTCAGCTCAAAGCCGGCGCCAAGGTCCTGCTTCCAAGGTCCAGCCCTTTCAACCGAACGGTAGCAGGTCAAATCCCGACAGGATGGTCAGCTAAGCGATACGGGATCGAGGACGAGATTATCGAGCAGGTTGATCCGGTCACTCTGTTCACGCTGGTGTGCACCGTCGAGGCGCTCCTCTCATCAGGCATCATCGATCCCTACGAACTATATGAGCACATTCACCTTTCTGAGCTTGGCAACTGTATCGGGTCGAGCATGGGCGGACTCAGTTCCTTGAGAAAGATGCATCGCGACAGGTTCCTCGATAAGCCGGTACAAGGAGATATTCTTCAGGAAACGTTCATCAACACCACGGGGGCCTGGGTGAATATGCTTCTCACATCCTCAACTGGGCCCATCAAAACACCGGTCGGCGCCTGTGCAACATCCCTGGAGTCTCTTGACACTGGGTATGATCTGATAGTTGCTGGAAAGGCAAAGGTGTGCATCGTTGGGGGTGTCGAAGATTTCGTGGAGGACGTTTCCTACGAGTTTGGAAGCATGAACGCGACCTGCGATACTGACAAAGAGTTCGCTGCCGGGAGGAGTCCGTCTGAGATGTCACGACCAACGGCGTCGTCGAGAAGCGGGTTCGTCGAGTCTCAGGGATGCGGCATCCAAATCCTCACGACTGCCGAGCTTGCTTTGGAACTAGGACTCCCTATTTTCGGCATTGTCGCTTATACCAGCATGGCGGCAGACAAGGCAGGTCGCTCCGTGCCGGCGCCGGGCAAGGGCGTTCTCACCAACGCACGGGAGTCGAACGTGGGACGAAAGTACATGACTCCGTCTCCCCTCCTGGACATTGGGTACCGGCGGAGGCTGCTCAATATGCGGATTCAGCAAGTCAATGACAATTACCAGACGAATCTGGACCTGATGGAGCATGAAATCCGGTATATCAAGGAGATGGGAACGGATGGTTTTGACGAGGAACAGTACCGTCGGGACAACATTGCTACCTTTGAGGAGGATGCCAAGAATCAAGAAGCCGACCTACGATTCAGCCTGGGAAACCAGTTTTGGAAGAATGAGAGGCAAATCGCGCCCATACGAGGCAGTCTGGCAACATGGGGTCTCAGTATCGACGACTTGGCTGTCGCTTCCATGCACGGTACCTCAACAGTCAAGAACGATCTCAACGAGTCATCTGTACTGCAAGAACAGATGAGACACTTGGGACGACAACCAGGAAATCTTCTGCCCTGCGTATGCCAGAAATGGTTGACGGGGCACTCGAAGGGAGCTGCAGGAGCTTGGATGCTGAATGGCGCCCTGCAAATGATGGACACCAACGTAATACCAGGCAACCGCAACGCAGACAACATTGACGCTGAGCTGCGTCAGTACGACTTGCTTCACTTTCCGAACATGACACTTAAAGGAAACGAAATCAAGGCATGCTCTGTGACTTCATTTGGGTTCGGACAAAAAGGATCTCAGGCCGTTCTGGTTCATCCCAAGTTTCTCTACGCAACTACCACAAAGAGTGCCTACGAAGATTACAAGTTGAAACGGGACGAAAGATGGAGGAAGGCTTGCAGATACTTCAATCATGGCCTTCTGCATGAGTGCCTCGTCATCACTAAGATGACACCACCGTATGAGGCTGCCTCCGAGACTGAGGCTCTACTCGACCCAACAGCACGCTTTGAGAGACAATGATCCCAAACATTGATCCAAGTATGGTGTCTGCTGTCATCTTATGGCTTGTTCTGAAATACAAAAGAGAAGTTGCCAAGGGGGTGTCACTAGTATGAACATATTCTTAGAATTGCACATAACTTAGAGAAACAACAGCAATAGCATTCCAAAGACATTATCATCGTCCTTTCAGCTGTCACCAGTAAACATATGTCGCCAGCATCACATATTGAAAACGATGGTGAACAACGAGCGAAGTGTCGATTGCGGTCTAGATGCAATTGGAACTGAACCACTGATGAACTACCTCATTATTTGACAACAAAGTTAGCTATGCTTTGATGCGCTGGGCCTTCTGGTGTGACGTATGCCTGCGATCGGTGTGAGTAAAGCATCTTCGAATCAAGTCAAGTTCGTATTCACACACCTTTGTTAATCCTCCATCGACGACAAGTTCTTGTGCATTGACAAAGGAACTGGCGTCGCTGGCCAAGAACAGAGCTGCTGCGGCCTGCTCAATAGGTTCGCCAAACCTCCCTTGAGGTAGATGGATCTCTCTTCTCGCTCTTCTTTCCGCGTTGGTGCCCAAGTAGTCTTGCATCAAAGGTGTGTTCAATGGACCAGGGCACAGCGCGTTGAACCTGATCCCTTCCCGAGCATGGACTATGGCGAGTTCTCGCGTCATTGCAATGATGGCGCCTTTGCTGGTGGTGTATGCCAGCTGAGCAGTCGCAGACCCGATGAGACCAACGACTGACGAGGTATTGATGACACTCCCTCGTGTTTTACCGTGCTTGCGCATGCTCAGAACAGCGTGTTTACAACCATGCCATGTACCCTTGACGTTGACTTGGTACGTGAGGTCCCACGCCTTCTGCGTTACCTCTACCGCGTCGCCGTCCTCAGAGGGGAAGACACCGGCGTTGTTTAGCATCACATCCACACCACCGTGCTGATCCATCTCTTGCACAAGCATAGCTACATCATTCTCGTTCGACACATCGCAACTTTTGTATGTGATGCGACCGGGATGCGGGCCATGGAGTTCCAAATTCTGTCGCAGGTCATCAAGTGACTTGTCGGATATGTCCGAGAGTAGCAGATTTGCGCCGGCTTTTGCGAACAGAATGGCAATTTGAGTCCCAATACTTCTACGTTTTATTAGAGAAACTGATTCTATACATGCTAAAGTGAAGACAGCGTACCCTGCGGCCCCCGTAACGATGACGTTCTTCCCGGTCAATTGGAACAGGTCGGACATGGCTTCAAATTTGAACTAGTTCCAAAGGCCGTCGGAGTTCCAAAGGCCGTTGGATGAGCTCTGAGGTCAAGAATGCTGGGAGGTTTTGTACAGGGATCTTGATCCAAGTCGACGGCTTGTGAAGGTCCAGCGGCTCCACGACTGACATGCTCCCCGACGATAACTTCCATATGCAACAGTTGAAAATATGCAGTAAAACAATGCTTAATTTTGACTTTATATCTCATCTCAGACTTCAATCAACGCCAGGGGTGGTTGGGACTGTACCCAACAGAATGACGTGAGATTATGGAAGCCTGAGTCAGCTGGACTGACACGCCAGCATCACGTATCACGTAGTTAGATGATGTTCTGTCAGTTCCGCACGTATTTACGAAGTGAGCTTATGAAAGACGTGAGCTGGTGAGCCGAAATAATCGCAGTCACACCTATTGACGTGCATATTGAGATTGAGCTCGCGTACGCGCATGCTTTTAGCGATGACTCCGACGTATCGGCAAGTCTTAACTTGGTTGATTAGCTACATACATGTTTAGCTACATACATGTATGCTAGTAATGACGGTTGAATATCAGTTAGAATACACATCATCAGTCATTCTCAAGGAGAGGTTAAGTGATACGGGCGTTCATGACAGTCGCATGCTCTCTGGGAAGGTTGGTGAGATGATCTGAGGATGAGTGGATGTGAGCGTCGGTGCTTCAAGCTCTTTTGAGTGACATAATGACGAGTGAAGTGTATAGCGCAATCTCTGAGAGTAAGCTGTTTCAATCATCTCGACGGTGACAGAGGCAGGGAGCGGGTAGCAGGTCAATGACAAAAGGCCAAGGGAGAAGGTGGGATGCAAATCAATTCCAGCCTACCAGGGAAGAACCTGACCCGTCTGCGTCACGAACTTCCCTGACGTAGTCTCGCGGCTAGCCCCGTCGATGATTTGAAGACAACCAGTGACACTGCTCTCAATTGTGTCCGGAGGGCCGGCGTCGTAGTTCCATGCCTTCGCAGCGTAATCACCCATCGCTGTCTGGACCCAGCCAGGGTGCAATGCGACCGATACCAGATTCTTGTGTTGCGCGTGAAGCGACTTCGTGATGTGATTCAACGCCGCCTTGCTCGGGCCATAAGCACCACCAGGGAGAGGCTCCTGTGTCTCAATCGATCCAACCGAGGAAGAAACACCAATGAACTTGGCAGGGACATCGCTCTCGGCGCGGGGCTTGTCCATCAAGGGCCAAAGACCCTGAAAGATCATCAACGGTGCAATAGTATTGACTTCGAAGGCGTTGCGAAAGTCGTCGGCGGGTGTTGTCGAGATGGATAGCATGGGGAAAGGTGCGGCGGCGTTGCTGATGAGGACGTCGATGCGGTCGATGGTGCCAGCGGTGGCGGCCGTGAAAGCTTCGCGCACAGCGGCGGGCGAAGGAGCTTTGGATATGTCGAGCAGCATGACATGAAACTCGCTTTTGTCGCCTTTACTGATGGCGGCGACGCCTGCCTTCAAAGTTGCAGCAGAAGCGTCATTGCGAACCGAGGCCACAACTGTTGTGGATGGACGGGCGAGCAGGGCCTTGACGAGCCCGAGGCCGATGCCCTTGTTCGTGCCTGTGATCACGTACACCGTGTTGGCCATTGTTTGCGTAGTGAGGCTTGAGTCTGGTACTTCAAAAGGCAAAAGCGAAATGTTTCGATATGAGCCGGGATAGGAGTGGTCTGCTTTTCCACAACCAAATGGTAGAGCTTATGGCAATGAAGCTGGTATGGATGCGGTGAGATCACTGTTGCAGCCTGGTCTATTCCGTGTAAGAGGATTGGAAGGATGAGGGCGGGGAAGAGAGAAACACGTGAGTCGTTTAGGGCCAAAGTAATCCTGCTGCTGCGCCGCAGGAGACGGCATGAGGCCTTAAGCCACTATTATCACGTCAGCTTCCAGTCAGTTTCGTCCCATGTCCAATGTTTTTATGTTCGTCTAGTGTTTGTCTATCAAGTACCGGTATGCGTCTCATCAGTCTATCCCAGGGCATGGAACTCCTCATGCGCCGCGTCTAATCCATTTGCGAAGCCATCCGCCATGCTCAAAGCCCGCACACGTTCCTCTTCCACCCGGTCCCACGTCCATTTCTCGGCCCCTTCCGAGCCGCTCCCGCCCTCCGTTTTTTTATCGGCCCCACTTTCGTCCGGGCTTTCCGGCGCAAGCACACCCGCTGCCCTGAAGAATTTCTCTGGCGGCACCGTTAAGCGCCCGGCTTTGACCACGCATTTCGAGATTGCAGTCGCATACACAACAGGAGACCGCGAGGATGGGCTGCCCTTTTCGTCTTTTCTCCATGGCTGGTAACTGAAAGATTCGGCCCCCTTTTGTCGTTCGGCGAAATGCGTCACCACGTAAATCCATTTGCGGTCCCAGGTCAGAATCCGGCTGTGCATGTCGAACGCAACTCCCGGCTTGATTTCCTTCTTGAAAGTACACGACGTTCCCGCGAGAAGGACCATGACGCCATTCTTGTACTCCTTGTACAGACCGCCGCGGATGGCCTCAGACCGAATAGCGGCGAGGAGATCCGTTCGCGCCACGTCAAGATCCGAGAAGTAGGTGCTGTTGGACTTGTGCAAGTTGTAGTCGGTTTCTAACAAGGCTACCCGTGACGGAGTAACAACAGGTCGAAAAATTGATCCGGGTTTAGACTCAAAGTAGCGCTTTTTGGGCCACCAAATATGGTAGAAAACGCGTGCCTATGGTTCCATGTGAGATGGGCCGATTCTTCAGAGACGTTATCTTAGAGCAGAACACCTACGTGCCAAACAAGGGGAAATCTTTTCGCGTTGAGGTACAAAAGCGCAGCGGCAACGGCACCCCAACATGTAGGAATTTTGTTTTCTGTCGCCCACTGCACGGCTCGTTCAAAGATTTGGAGAACAGCGGGTTTAGCTGCCTCCAAAGCTTCTGTTATCCTCGTCTGCAGTACTGAACCCATTTTGCCGGCGCTACCAGTTGGGGTCAACCTTCTGACAACAGGACTGAAGGCTCAGCTTGAAATGTTGTTTTGAGTTCGGTTACGTCAAGCTGAAAAGTCACCGACGGTGGAAGTTCCTCGCAACGTGTCTTCATGAGTCAGCTCCTCCCGATGAAGATCGCACGAGTCAGGTATCGGTAGGGGATAGGTTTAATTGTTGAGAAAGAAGCAGAGGCCTGTCGCGCCGGTAGATTCGGCGTTCTCTGCTGAATTACAGGGGGTCTAGGCCGAAGCCAAGGACTGCTACGAATGGCTAAAGATTGAAATACTTACGTACAGATACCTCGGCATATGATGGCTCCAAATGCAATTTATTTGATTCTAATTGGTGACATATTAATAGTTTACAAGACAAATGCTAGGCCATGCTCATTACGTCGCTGGCTGTGATATAACTTCTGTTGTTGTTTTCCCTCCCTCGTTTGGCGAGCCATCCTCAGTCGAAGCTGGGGTTTGCTTCGGGGGCTTCAGCGGAATCCACCTGATAAATGTCCACCCAAAGGTGGTAAGACATGCTAAAACAATGACAAGCAGAAAAACGTTCTCTATGCCGCTGTTGTACTCTCGAAGTGCGATGGTAAGCTGTTCAGCTGTGAGCGATTCTCTGAGGAACCCGAGCCGATTAAGAAGTGTCGCGCGGTCCACAGTCGGAATCAGCTGCGTCAACCGTTCGATTCTGGTAATGAAGATGTTCTGGGCAACGCTGATGAAGATCGACCCCCCTACGGTGTTCACGAGAATAATCGCAGATGTACCATACGGAACGTCTGCCGGATCCAGCGCGACCTGTACACCGACGATGGATTGTTGCACGCCAGCACCCGAGCCAAGCCCGAATAGAACTTGATATCCAATCCACTTGGCGTTTTCAATGTTGGGGTGGATTGTGAAGAGCATTCCAGCACCAGCAGAGGCCAGAACGGTTCCAGCGATCATGAACGGGGGAATGTATCCCACAAGTGAAGCTCCAATGCCAGCGAAAACCCCTGAAAGAATCAAGGCAAGGACCATAGGCAGTAACCGAACGCCTGACTCCCGAGCAGAAACGCCCTGGATAGCTTGGAACCATACCGGCAACTGAAGATAACGATCGTGTCAGACTTTCTCGACAACGTCTTGAAGAGGACAACTCACATAGTAAAGAACGACCATTTGAGCACTCGACAGTGTGAATCCATACCATAGGCACGACGTAAACGATCTGTTCTTGAGCAATCGGGTGGGAAAAGTTGCTTTTTCTTTCAGCCAATGTTGATGAAGGGCAACCGAAACAAATGAAACCCCAAATACGACGAGGAGTCCGATCAATCTCGCGTCGCTCCAGTCGTACATGGTTGAGCCCCATTCGAGGGCAAGAAGCAGGCAGGTAATGCTTCCTACCAAGCCGGTGCCGCCGATGAAATCGATTTGCATGATTCTTCCTTTGAGCGGCGTGCTTTGCCCGGGGACTTTTGGCGGCTTGAACAGAAATAGGAGCACGATGAAGAGGACGCCACCAATGGGCAAATTGATCCAGAAGCACCATCTCCAGCCAATGTGGCTGGCGATGGCACCGCCAATGATGGGCCCCAGCACGACGGCGACGCCTTCGAGGGAACCGAGGATGCCTGTGAACATGGGCCTTTGCTGCAAAGGGACCACTGCGGCAGTGATTCTACGTCCGTTAGCACTGTAGCATTTACGCAAGCTGTAAGCCGACGATCTCACATTAGTGCCCCGGAGATGCATCCAGCACTGCCTAGACCTGCGATTGCTCTCCCAGCAATAAAGCTTCCTGAGGTACGGGCGAGGGCACATATCAGTGAACCCCCCTCGAGCAGTAGCAACGAGATTAAGAATACGGCCTTGCTGGAGAAAGTGGCGTATAGCTTCCCAAACGTTGGTTGAGTCGCCCCCGTGACTAACAAGCTGCATGAATGACAATTAGCATCATAGACCCGACGAAGAACTGGACGTCGTTGACCTACTACACAGATCCATACCATCCCACGTCTTTGACTGAATGGAAGTCATCCGCCAAAGTAGGGACAATAGTCGCGACCATCGTAGCATCCTATGTTCGATGGTCAGATGGGCTTAGACCTAATCGTCAACTTCATTCACTCACCAGGGCGGCTATCAATAATGATAGCCCCAAGGAGGCAACCATTAGGATACGTGGGACCATTGGAGGATAGCTTTGCTCGTCATCTTTCTCTTCTTGCGCGACATCTTGAGAGGCGGAAAGAGAATTCGCATCATCCACTGCGCCTGTGTTGGGGTCCGAAGCCATGTCAATATCGAAATTGACGATAACAACCCACTACCGTGTCGGTGGATTGGCTGTTGAAGTGCCCTGAGATGTGCGTTCAACGTAACCTCAGAATCGATCATCTGTATGTAGAGGGAAACTTACTTACATCCCCCCAAACTTACAGGCGCCTTTGTCCCAATAGCCCCTGAAACGAAGCCGCGACAGCGATTCTCGACGGCCCCTCGGAGACTCACGCGGCGTGGGGCCGGGATACCTGCGGGTGCCCGGCCGGAGGGCCGCCGAGAGAACCGTGCCGTTGCGGGGCATTCAGTTGCCAATTCTGGTCATGCTGAGGTCAGCGCTAGACCGTATTCGGCCGCCTCAAAATCCGTCGCCCTCATGTCAGTTGGGTGCTTCACAGGGAAAATCAAAGACAGGGGTTCCTAGACTGATCATGGGGAAAGCCAAGCTGCTCTCAGGAAACAGTGCGTCTGAATGTTGTGGCATATGTCGTAGTTGCAGTCGAATCGCTGTGCAGTTCTCTGCAGATCTTGATGTATGCGAGATATCGATTCAATACCGATTTGACAACCACATCCCGACCGCCGGGGGTTTCCTCTACGAAGATCCACAGCCATGAAGTCGGCCGAAGGTCCGATGATGTGCAACCTCCCGGCATTTGCTGGCGGACAGCCCGAATCTCTTGAGATATCACACGAAGATGTCAATATCGACTTTGGAGAAGCGGAAAAGTGTGGCATTCCAGCAGCAACACTCTTGAAATTTGCATGGGCCTTGACACTGCACCTCTACACCGGCCATAGTAACCCAAGCTTCTATGTTGGCTCAGCAGATGGCCATGGCAAGTCCACCACCAATACGTATGTCATTAGACCGCAAGATACTCTGTCGGGGTTTATCTCTCGACATGGCGTCTCTACAATTCAGAACGGAGTGAATGGCAACAAAGCTGCTGGGGATCACGAGTCGCAGCAACTGAATACCGTCTGTAACACAATTGTACGGTTGGGCTCCTTGGCTTCGCAAGCCACTGTCCATTTTGTGATAAATGGGGAAAAGTCACAAAACAACACACTCCCAACTGAAGCACAGGTCTCTCTTGATGCTCAAATCAACAACGATCTTGCAACCAAGTGCTCTCTACTGTTCCGCAAGTCATTCATCTCCGAGGATGAAGCGCGAAACCTTGCAGCTACCGTCGCCCATCTTGTCCATGAACTCGTCAACAACCCTGGCAAGCGTGTTGCGGACCTCCAGCCGAGCACACGGGACCGAGACCAGATTCGACTGTGGAACAGCGGACAGCTTCTCCAAACCGAGTGCTTGATCCACGAGGCGTTTACTCTTGTAGCCGCCGAAAGACCAAACGATGAGGCAATCGATGCATGGGATGGATGCATGAGCTTCAAAGACTTGGAGCATGCCTCGAATGTGTTGGGGTATCAACTGATTCGACAAGGAGTTACACCTGGATCTTTAGTTCTCCTCAGTTTCGAAAAGTCCCTTTGGGCTGTTGTATCTTGGTTGGCAGTCCTTAAAGCAGGCGCTGCTTGCGTTTTTCTCGACAGGAGACATCCAGTTGGTCGTGTGCGACAGATTGTCGAGGCAACTGGCGCTACACATGCGCTGACCAGCTCCTCTCTTACAATTCAACTCGATGACCTTGGTCTCAACGTCATACAGGTGCCGATACAGCCTCTCACTTCCAACGGCGTCCAGAATGGCAACGAACACAAGTGGCCAACAGTTCATCATGAGGATGCAGCGTTCGTCATCTTCACTTCTGGAAGCACTGGCACTCCGAAAGGTGTCGTGTTGACGCACACGGGAGTCCACACAACATCTCAGGATATTGCCAAGTCTCTTGGAGTCACGGCCGACTCGCGGGTTCTCCAATTCTCATCATACACTTTCGATATGAGCATCGCAGATATGGTCACCAGTCTACTCAGTGGAGCTTGTATTTGTATTCCATCAGAGGCGGATCGACTTGACAGCCTACAAGCTTATTTGCAAGAGACCAGCATTACTTGGGCCATGCTCACACCGACCGTCGCACGTCTTCTTGACGCCAGAGTCACAGCCAATCTCAAGACTCTTGTCCTGGTCGGAGAAGTGGTGAAAGAGTCTGACATACGACCATGGATAGATGCCGGAGTACAAGTGCATAACGGTTACGGCCCTGCAGAGGCAACTTTCCTAGCGACCTCGACAGGCAAGGTCGGTACCCGCCTTGGTCGAGCCAGCTGCATCGGCCGTGGTATGAACACCAGGACTTGGATCATCGACCCTGTCAATGACCAGCTCGCACCTATCGGCGCAGTTGGGGAGCTGGTAGTAGAGAGTCCAGTCCTGGCAATTGGTTATCTCAATGATCCTCGAAAAACAGCTGAGAGCTTCGTTTCCAACCCAAACTGGGCGCAACTCGAAACCCACGACACAGCTCGCAGGAGGTTCTACAAGACTGGTGATTTGGCACGATACTTCGCGGACGGCTCATTGGAGTGCATCGGACGAGCCGACACGCAGGTAAAGCTTGGCGGTCAGCGGGTCGAGCTGACCGATATCGAGCACCATCTGCGCAAGAACAATGCTACTGCGAACTCGGCTGTGTTCCTTCCCCAGCGTGGACCGTTTTCTGGGCGTCTTACAGCAGTGATGGCTTCTTCATCTCAAGCGGCAACTCTCAAGAACGGACATACTCCCATCTTCAGGCCTTGTGGTGGTGATATCATTGCAGACGCCAAGTCAGCTCTCCTACAGGCTATTGCCACTTACATGGTACCATCTGTGTGGCTCGAAGTTGGTTCATTACCATTCACTGCTACCGGCAAGCTGGACCGCCGTTTGCTTCTGGAAAAGTTGGAGGCTATGTCGTCTCAAGACGCCATGGATTACGTGAGCGAGGAGACTGATGCGGATGCCACCGAGTCTGACGAAGTGGCATCGCTGTTGTGGAGGTTATGCTCCAATACTCTCAACGTCCCGGTCAAGCGAATAAACCACAATCGATCTTTTTTGGCTCACGGAGGAGATTCAATCACGGCAATGCAAATTGTGTCGTCACTTCGGCGAGAACACAAGACTTTGAGAGTAAAAGACCTTTTGTCTTCATCAACCCTGAGAGAAGCCGCTTCAAGGATCGGAGACCTACACGCCTATCAACCCCTGCCGTCAATAAGCATCGGCAAACGATTTCCCATATCACCTATCCAGCAATTCTTTTTCAACATTGCCCAGTCACGACAGACGAGAAACCATTTCCATCAAAGTGTTTTCCTAAGATTAAGGGAACGGCAGGATGTGATAGCCGTGGAGAGCGCAATCTCCGATCTGGTAGAAAGACACCCCATGTTGAGGGCTAGGTTCGAGCAGTCATCGTCAGGCGAGTGGACGCAATTCATCACAGACGCTGTCAATTCGTCGTATGTGTTTGAATACCACGAAAGGACAACTGCCAAAACTCGAAAGACCACCATGCTGAAATCTCGGCTTGCTCTGTCTGCCGAAGACGGACCACTGGTGCGCGTCAGCATGTTCGATGAAGGTGGCGTTCAATATCTCTTCCTCGTCGTTCATCATCTTGTGGTGGACCTTGTGTCCTGGAGAATCATTCTCGAGGAGCTCGAGTCTTTACTCGTAGAGGTTCATCCGAAGTTCCCCAGCTCCTTTCCCTTCCTCGCCTGGGTGGACCAGCAACGGAACGTCGTCCGTACCATAAAGCCAGCTCGCGTGCTTCCTCAAACTGTTCCCGCATCAGATTTCGGATTCTGGGGCATCGAGAAACAGCACAACGTCTACGCTGACGTTCAAGAGGAGCGATTCTCCATCAGCTCAGCCCTCACCAATGACGTTCTCGTGACTTGTCATCAGGCTCTCCGAACCGAGCCTATCGATATTCTCATCTCCGCCTTGCTCCTGTCATTTCGCGGCTCTTTTCCGCAGAGGTCTCTGCCAGCAATTTTCACTGAAGCGCATGGTAGAGAAGCTTGGGATGAGCAAATCGATCTTTCAAGAACGATTGGTTGGTTCACTACTATGTACCCGATTTACGCAAGCGACTACAAGGACATCGTTGATCTGGTCATGAGAGTTAAAGATGCCCGTAAAAGGACACCAAACAGGGGTTTCGATTACTTCAGTACCGCATTCTTGACAATGGAAGGGCGCGAAGCCTTCCGAGACCATCTCCCTGCCGAAGTCCTATTCAACTACGAGGGCCGATATCAATCTTTGGAGAAAGACAACTCACTCCTGAGACAAGAATCCTGGACAGCCGGAGAAGCATTGGAAGATAACAGCCCCGAACTTCAGCGATTCTCGCTTTTCGAGATTGCTGCGAGCGTGCTCGATGGTTGCCTTCACTTCACTTTTGCGTGGAATTACAAGTCCAACCATCAGAGCATGATCAAGTCTTGGTCGAAAGATATTTCGAGAGCTATTGAGCGGATCACGACAACTCTTCAGAGTTCTTCTCGATCCCTGACTTTGAGCGATCTTAGTCACTCTGACCTCAACTATTCTGGACTTGACTCTCTCGCAACAAAGATACGCAAAATCCCGGGAGTCCGAGGCTTAGAAGACGTGGAAGATGCATATCCTTGCTCTCCGCTACAGGAGTCTCTGGCTCTCAGCCAGTCCCGGCTCGAAGGGGTATACGAAGTGGACATCCAATGGGAGGTGACCACAGCTAGCGGTGCAAGTGTTGATCCGAGTCGTTTGGAAGATGCGTGGCACGATGTGGTTTCACGTCACGCTGCTTTCAGAACAATTTTCCTCGAGACATCGGCATCATCCGGAATGCTTGACCAAGTCGTTCTGAAGAGGGAACTGGGCTATTGCGAACAGCTGCTTGCTCGAAATGCTTCAGACGCGATGGAACGACTCGCTCATTACCCCCCAAAGCCAAAGGGACTTGGTTCCGGACAACCTCTGCATCGACTACTCATTTGCTCTACGGAGGATGAGCGCACTTTTGTACGATTCGAGGTCAACCATATCGTTTTCGACGGCATGTCACTTCTCCCAATGCTAAGAGACCTATCACTCGCTTACGATGGGAAACTGGTCACGAAATGGGGATCACCGTATGCAAGCTTCATCCGCTACATCCGGGACCAAGGGTTGAGAGAAAAGAGCATATCATACTGGAAACAGTATCTCACAGGCGCCGAAGCTTGTGTTTTCCCTTCTCTGCTTGACGTCACCAATGGTGAAAGCGAGCAGAAGGTTGCTCCAGTCTCTCTCAACATCAGCCACACTGATCTTCACACCAAGCTTTCGGAATTGGAGGTGACTCTTCCAGTTTTGATCCAGTTGACATGGTCTCTTGTCCTTCGACTTTACACAAATGGAAATCAGACTGTCACCGGCTACTTGGCGTCTGGACGTGACGCCCCCGTGGCTGGCATTGAAGGAGCAATTGGGCCATTCATCTCCATGCTGCTCTGCTATATCGACTTCAGTCAGCCGCGAACCCTTCTTGATTTGTTGAGAGAAGTGAAGCAGGACTCAATCAACGGCGCAGCTCACCAGGCCAGCTCTTTGGCAGAGATTCAGAATGCCATTGGCATCACTGGTGGCACGTTGTTCAATGCTGGGATTTCTTTCATGCCTCTCCTAGACAAACGGGCTCAGCAGGGTTCCAGTCTACTGTTTGAAGAGAAGTCAATTAACGATCCAACTGAAGTAAGTCTGTTTGTCACTCCAGAGTTCAATGGTTGAATTTGCAATTGACACATCCCTAGTTTGAACTCGCCTTGATCGTTGAGAGCGGCGAAGATGCAACTCAGGTTTCCGTGCACTACCGAACCTCCTTCGTCAGCGAGGGTCATGCCACGAATATCGCTGCAGCCGTCAATCACATCCTCATGGAAATACTCAACGACCCTTCTCGCACCCCAGATGAGATTCCCGCTCTCAGCTCACACGATCTGCGTCAACTTTGGAGTTGGAATGAAACTTGTATCGAGGCTGTTGAAGAATGCGTACACCACTTCGTGGAAAGAACCATGCATGCCCATCCTGACAAGGAAGCCATCTTCAGTTGGGACGGCTCTCTTTCCTACAAAGAGCTTGACGACCTGTCTCGAAACATGGCCCATCATTTGAAGAATCTTGGCATTGGACCGGAAAAAATAGTTCCTCTGTGTTTTGAGAAGTCAAAATGGGCCGTGGTCTCGATGCTCGCGGTCTTGCGTGCTGGCGCATGCTTCGTCATGCTTGATCCAACTCACCCAAATCCTCGCGTTCTTGCGATCGCCGACGAGGTCGAGGCTGAAGTTCTTCTTTGCTCGCCTCTCACCGCGTCGAAGTTCGAAGAGATCGAGGAGAAGACCATCGTTGTTGAGCCAGGCTTTGCATGTGGACTGCCATTCACCAATCCCAATGAGCCGGTCTGTTCCACGGTCACTCCAGATAACGCCATGTATGTGGTGTTTACCTCCGGTACGACGGGCGCACCTAAGGGTTCCATCACGTCCCACCGGGCATATTGCACGGGTTTCCGCGAGCATGCTTGGGCAATCGAGGTCGGCCCTGAGTCGAGAACGCTCCAATTCTCCGCTTACAGTTTTGATGCAAGTGTGGGCGACATCCTTACTACCCTGCTCGTGGGTGGATGCATTTGCATTCCATCAGAAGAAGACAGAAGTATGGAGATTGCCAACTTCATTTCCAAGAGCCGCGCAACATGGGCTGGGTGGACGCCTTCATTTGCTTCCCTCGTTGACCCAGACACCGTCCCCACACTCACTGTCCTGCTCATGGCCGGCGAACCATTACCTGCATCCCAGGTTGACGCATGGGTGGATCGACTGAAACTTCTCAACATCTACGGTCCAAGTGAATGCAGTGTTGCCTGCGTTGTCAACAAGGACGTCACTAGGGAAACCAACGCGTCTAACATTGGTCGTGGTTATCGGTGCGTCACCTGGGTTGTTGACGAGAATGATCATGAGCGTCTCCGGCCCATTGGATCTGCTGGAGAACTTCTTATCGAGGGTCCAATTCTCGCTCGAGGCTACTTGAAGAGACCAGAAAAGACTTCAGAAGTGTTTATCGATGCCCCTTCTTGGCTTAGGAACGGACCCCATCCTCGCACCAACCGCTTGTACAAGACCGGTGATCTGGTAAGGTACAACTCGGATGGCACCATCAACTTCATCGGCCGAAAAGACACCCAATTGAAGATCAACGGGCAGCGAGTTGAGATCGGCGAGATCGAACATTCGTTACGCAGCAGCATACCTCCCACGGCAGGTCCAGTTGTCGTCGACCTTCTCAAGAGAACAGGCGCTGGCGAGCAAGACCTTCTGGCCGCATTCGTTCACGTTGGTGCAGAAGATACTTCGCCCGAGGATCCTGACGACATCATTGCAACTGAGGCTCAGGCACTGGAGAAGTTCCATGGTCTTGTCAAGCAGATCTACGAGACGACATCATCACTTCCACGATACATGAGCCCACACGTGTTCATTCCGCTCAAAGTACTTCCCATCACCACCGCTGGCAAGCTTGATCGACGCGCCCTACAACGTGTAACAAGTCGCTTAACTCGTGATGAGCTTGTCTCGTTCACTTCGGGGGCCAAAGAGACTGGGAGAACTTCCCAAGAGCGGCAGCTCACAGAGATGTGGAAAAAGGTGCTTCATGTTTCGTCCATCGGAATCCACGACAACTTCTTCCGACTTGGAGGTGATTCTATGGCGGCCATGGCTCTTCGCTCCGAGGCACAGAGGAACGGAATGGGCATCTCGGTCTCCGACATCTTCTCAAACCCTGTTCTTGTCGACATGGCCAAAGTCATGGCTAGCGTCAATGACACGGCCGACCTTGCGCCAGTGGCTTCTTTTTCGCTTCTCGAGGATTACGACTCGGTCTCTCAGCTAATTAGCGAAGTTGCTCACGATTGCAGTATTTCACCAGATGCAATCGAAGACATTCTTCCTTGCGTTCCCATGCAAGAAGCTCTCATGGCACTGTCCTCTCGGCAGCCTTCAGCTCAGACATACGTACTGCATGCTCCGTACAAACTTCCCGCTGACATCGACGAACTGCGCTTTCGGGAGGCTTGGGAGAAAGCGACGGAAACTCATGCGGTTCTTCGTGGACGAATCGTTCTCAAGCCGCAAGGTGCCTTACTTGCCATTGTCAAGGACAAAATACACGTCGACACTTATTCTAGGTCTCTAGAAGAATATCTGTCCAAGCAGAAACAGCAGGCCTTTGGCTATGGCACACCACTTCTTCGCCTAGGGCTCGTCAAGCAAGGGAGCGATCGGTACTTCGTTTTCAACGCTCATCACGCTGTTTACGATGGTTGGTCGACGAAGCTGATCTGGGATACTGTTCTTCAACACTACCGCGGTGAAACGATAGCCTCTGCTCCTCAATTCCAGGCTCTCGTCCAGATGCTTAAAGCAACCCCGCGTGAGCCATCTGTGGACTACTGGAAGCAAGCAATGATCGACAGACAGGGAGTCGCGTTTCCTTCGGTCCCTGTCTCACACAAACCAGTCGCTCGGTGCAGCACACGTTTCGAGTTCTCAATTCCAGCTGCATCAAACTCGGACCGAGATGTCACAACAGCAACCCTCATCAACGCTGCCTGGGCCATCGTCAATGCACAGTACTCCGCAGATTCTACGGCTACTTACGGATGCACCTTATTTGGCAGAGACTTTCCACTCTCTGGGATCGAACAGCTTGTCGGTCCTACCATCGTCACCGTCCCAAGACAGTTTGCCGTTCGCGGAGACCAGTCTCTGGCTGAGTTCCTTGATTACGTTCAAAAGGTCACTATCGACAGCATTCCTCACCAGTATCTCGGACTCTCTGAGATCCAAAGCGTCAGCTTAGCAGCACAAGAAGCCTATGACTTCACGTCTCTGATGGTTGTTCACCCAGACGCCGCTCTCAAACTGCCGTTTGAGGAGGTGGACATTAAACCTGTCCCTCTCGATAATACGGAATCCCACACGTATCCTCTTGCAGTCGAGTTTCTTCCGGTTGGGGAACAACTCACTATCGATGTCAGGTTCGATCCAGACTGTATAGGCTTGGAAATGGTCAACATTGTTATGGGGCATTTCAATCACGTGTTGCAGAGCATTTGTCATGCGAATGCCACCGCGGATGTTGCCAGCGTCATGGGTATCCGACAAAAAGACTTGAGTCTCATCCACAGCTGGAATAGCAGTAGCATCAAGCCAGTGGAGGCATGTGTCCACAACCTCATTGAGAGAAAGGCGACAGAGCAGCCCGACAGCCCGGCCGTAGTCTCCCATGACGCGTCTCTTTCCTACTCCACGCTCGACCAATGGGCGAATCAGTTGGCAAGCCAGATTGTTAGCACTCAGCTGGTAAAGCCTGGCGACTTCGTCGGACTTTGTCTAGATAAATCTGCCAGAGCAATCCCCGCTATGATTGCCGTTCTGAAAGCCGGTGGTGCATTTCTACCCCTCAACCCTGATCACCCACCAGCGCGCCTTCAAGCTCTGCTAGAAGAGGCAAACACGGAGCTTGTCCTTGCGTCCCCCAGTCGGGCTTCTTCACTTACCAGTGCCTTGGGCTGTAAGGTCTTATCTGTCAACGACTTCAATGCATCCCAGTTGTTCCAAGCGCCTTCGGGCATTGCGGTTACTCCTGAGCATCCGGCGTATCTTCTGTTCACCTCGGGTAGCACCGGAAAACCAAAGGGTGTTGTCATAGACCATCAAGCCTGGGCTTCTGCCATCGCCGCTCAGTCTGCCTACTTCGACTTTGGGCCTCAGATTCGCATGTTACAGTTCAGTAGCTACACCTTTGATGCTATGATCTTCGAGATCTTCATCACGCTTACATCGGGTGGCTGTGTCTGCGCCCCTTCAGAGTCTGAGAGGATGAACGACCTCAGTGGATATATCACAAGAGAACGGGTTAACGCACTTATATCGACACCTTCCGTCACCAGACTCATCGTTCCTGCAAAGGTTCCCACTCTTAAACTCGTCATGGTTGGAGGTGAGCCGCTGGCACCGTCCGACATCGAGGCTTGGTTGAGTCAGCCTGGTGTGTCTTTTGTCAATGCCTATGGACCGACTGAGGCATGCGTCATGGCCACTGCCCGTAAGGTTGCTATGACGGACAGCAGTTCCAACATTGGGGTTCCCGTCGGCACAGCTACATGGGTTATCAACCCGTTTACTCAAGCCCTGGCTCCTATCGGAGCAGTTGGAGAGTTGTGCATTGAAGGGCCTACACTGTCCAGAGGCTACCTTGGAGATCCGGAAAAGACGAACATCTCATTTGAGAAAGACCCAATATGCCTCCCAAAAGGAGCTGGTCGACGAATTTATCACACAGGAGATCTGGTGCGGCACAATGCGGACGGCAGTCTCACCTTTGTCGGCAGACGCGATGGTCAGGTCAAGCTCCGAGGTCAGCGAATTGAAGTCGGTGAGATCGAAGAAAACATCAGGAAGTTCATGGCATCAAACGATTCCTTCAAGCACATTGGTGTGGAGCTTTCCGATGCCTCGGATGGTCGCACCCAGCCGTTCTTGGCTGCTCTGCTTGTCATGGACATTGGATATGATCACAAAGTCAACGGCATTGGCTGTGCCTCCATGTTGGATCCCTCGAACCAAGCTCTCTTTGACACAGCTTCGCATCTGCAAAAGCAGCTCCGGAATGCTTTGCCAGAGTACATGGTTCCATCAGCCTATGTTGCCGTCGAGCAATTGCCTACCACAGCTTCCAGCAAGCGCGACCGCGTTTTTGTGAGGGCCTGCCTCTCAGAGCTGTCGGCCAAGGGACAATTGTTCCCAGTCTCCGCCAAGTCCGGCGAGAAGATTGAACTCTTCGGCAACGAAAGACTCCTTCAAGGGTGGTGGGCCAAAGTTCTCAGCATTGATCCTGAAAGTATCTCTGCCAGTGATCATTTCTTTGCCTTGGGTGGCAACTCAATCACAGCCATCAGGCTTGCTGGTCTCGCAAGATCCTCTAAATATCGTTTGATGTTTGAAGACATCTTTTCTTTTCCAGTCCTTTCCGAAATGGCGTCTCGCACCGCAGCAGATACCAGGCGGGTTGTCGAGATGCCACAGGCTTTTGAGCTCTTGCCAGCAGACCAGTACGAGTCCGTGATCAACAATGTTCTTCCCCTCTACGGTATTCGCAAAGATGAAGTTGAGGATATCTATCCTTGCACGCCGCTTCAGGAAGGTCTTATGGCGGTAACAGCGAGAAATCCAGGGGCGTACATCTCGGCAGACACCATGGACATTACAGAGACAGAACTTCCAAAACTCAGAGAGGCATGGGCCGCGGCGTTTGAAAAGTTCGAGTTGCTCCGAACCAGAATCATTCTCAGTCACGAGTATGGCTCGCTGCAAGTCGTTCTCCAACAACAGCCAGTATGGCATGAAACAGACAACGTCGAAAGCTTTCTTGACCTGGTTCAGAATCTGCATGGGTACGGCAAGCCAATGATCCATCTCGCAGTGGTCCCTACCTCCAGAGCTGGAATAGTCCGCGTTGTCTTTAGTTCACATCATTCCGTATACGATGGCTGGTCGCTTGGTCTGGTTCGCCAGTTCCTCGAAGACCACGTTCTCCGTGATCCGGCCGGCTCGGACGCTTTCAAGACGGTACCTTTCAAGTCGTTCATACGGCACCTGGTTGATCAAGACCCTGAGGAGGCGAGGTCTTACTGGAGTCAGAGAATGGCGGGTCTGCAAGCACCGCCTTTCCCTCGACCACCGCACAACTCCAAACACCAGCCCTTGGCAACGGCCTTCCTCGAACAAGGTATAACTCTGCCCGAGGCTCGAGGTCACGGTTCTGTTGCTACAATTGCCACCATCATCCGAGCAGCCTGGTCTCTTACGATATCTCATTACACCGCCAGTCCAGACACCATCTTCGGTGCAATCGTTACGGGAAGAGAAAGCGCCGACGTCCCCGATATTGAGCTGATCGCAGGACCAACCATTGCGACCGTACCTACACGAACCAAGATCGACTACGATTTGCCGATTGGCGACTTTTTAAGAAGCGTGCAGCGGGATGCTGTCACTGAATCCCGCTTCTGTCAATTGGGTCTGTCCGGAATTGCTCGAATCAACAAAGAATGCCATCAGAGTTGCGAATTTGGCAGTATCCTTGTTGTGCAGCCTCCTGTCAACAGCGGAGTAGGCAAAGTACCACAGTTGAGGCAAGGATCGGTCGCATCATCGAAGTTCTTTCCGCAGGCTTTGGTGCTCGATTGTCAAACATCCGAGGACAATGATGCTGTTACCGTTACACTGAGTTACGACCCGATAATTATGGGCGACTCTCATGCCCGTTTTGTCCTTTCAACTTTCTCAACCCTCCTTTGCAACCTGGTTGCTGCTCCTCCGACCGACCTACTTCGCGACATGGCCAGCCTGTCAGATTCCCATGTGTCAGAGCTCGCCAGCATTACAGGACAGAAAGACCTCAACGTGATTGACTTCTGCACTCACGAGCTTTTCGGTCAACAAGTCAATGCTCGCCCTGGGAACCCCGCCATTGACTCTTGGGATGGCCCAATGAGCTACCTGGAGCTTGACTGTGCTTCGTCAATTCTCGCACACCAGCTTCAGAAACTGGGCGTCGGGCCTGAGAAAGCAGCGCCGTTCATGTTCGACAACTCGAAATGGGCCATCGTATCAATGCTTGCCATCTGGAAGGCTGGAGGATACTTTGTGCCTCTGGATCCCAAGAGCCCCAATCAAAGACTGCAGCATCTCATTCAGGCTACTGACGCGGGAACCATCTTGACCTCCTCTCAGTACCGTGATCGTTGCCTGAATTTGAAGTGTGATGTGGTACTAGTCAACGAAGACACCTTCTCAGTGGGATCCAGTACGTCACTTGCAGTACTCCAACCCACCGCGAAAACACGAGATACGGCCTATGTTCTTTTTACATCCGGCACAACGGGTATTCCCAAAGGGGTCGTCATTGAGCATAGGACTTTGGCATCCTCAATCACGGCCCTTGGCAAGTACATGGGCATGGATGTCAACTCCAGAGTTCTCCGGTTTTGCGCCTTCACTTTTGACGCGATGCTGCTTGACACCTTCGCCACCTTGATCAACGGCGGATGCGTTTGTGTTCCCTCCGAAGACCAGAAGATGAATGACCTGGTGGGATTCGTTCAAGAGTTCCAAGTCAATACCACCTGGTTCACGACCTCACTTTCCAGAATCATTGATCCTGCCTCCGTGCCCACCTTGAAGACAGTTGCAATGGGTGGCGAAGCAGTACTACAAAGCGATATCGACCGGTGGGCGCCAAAAGTCAGACTTGTTTCCGGTTATGGACCAACGGAGACTTGCATCATCACACTTATGGGAGAGCTGACCCCTTCAACGCCTCCAAACAATGTCGGGTGGCCGGTCGTTTGCCGAGCTTGGGTAGTGAACCCACTCAAGTCTTCGGAACTGGCTCCAATCGGAGGTGTCGGCGAGTTATTCATCGAGGGCCCCTGTGTTGCCCGGGGTTATCTTCGCAACGATGAGGCTACCAAAGCCGCTTTCCTCGAGAACCCCGCGTGGCTGCCCGAGGGAGCTTCAAGCAGAAGGGTCTATAGGACAGGCGACTTTGTGTACTACAACCCCGACGGCACTTTGAGTTTCTTTGCTCGGAAAGATTCCCAAGTCAAGATCCGTGGGCAAAGAGTGGAACTCTCAGAGATTGAAGAGGCCATTCGACAGCATGTTCCCAGTTGGATGACCACCGCCGTGGATGTCTTCAAGCCTGGAGGTCAGGACCAGCAGATACTTGCAGCTGTCTTCGGTGTTGGGGCGCAGTTCCCGGAGCTGCATCAGATCAACGACACAAACCCAAGTGCACAGCTTATCGCATTCATGAAGAAACTGTCCAAGAGCCTCAGAACGCACCTGGCTGAGACTCTTCCCGGTCACATGATTCCCGATGCCTACCTTCCTCTTCCTCAACTACCGGTACAAACCTCAGGAAAGCTTGATCGACGTGTGCTGCAGACCCTGGTCAACTCCATGACCTTCAAACTCATAGCCACATACGCCAATGAAGATAATGCCCGAAGGACACCGCAGACCAACGAAGAATGCACTTTGGCTCACTTGTGGTCCAAGTCCCTGAACATCATTGACGAAACCTCCATCAGCACATCAGACAACTTTTTCAGTCTTGGTGGAGACTCAATCTTGGCCATGAGACTGGTAGCACTCGTGCGGTCGGAAGGATACTCGCTCGCTGTTGCACAGATTTTCTCCAATCCGACACTCTCCGGAATGGCTTCAAAGCTGCAGAAACTGGATGATGGTCGGCAACAGCGCGAGACCACTGTTCAGTCAAGCCCAGCCACCTCTCCCGTTGACGATGCTCTGAGAGCCAAGATTGCGACCAACCACAACTTCACTTTGTCACGAGTGGAGGACGTCTTTGCTTGCACTCCCATCCAGGAGGCTTTCATGGATGACACTGTCCAAGAACCTGGGGCTCAGGTTGTGCAGTTTATCTTCGCCCTTGACGATACAATCAAGCTGTCGCAGCTACGCGGCGCCATCGATCGCTGTGCTCACGAGTTTCCCATTCTTCGCACAAGAATTGTCCGAGATTCGAATCAATTGTTTCAGGTCGTTCTTTCCGATAAGATGCCTTGGAAAGAATTCTTGTCTGCAAGCCTTGAAAGCGTCTTAAAAGATGACAAATTGATCAGCACCGGTATTGGTACTGCGCTGGCGAGGGTGTCTATTGTCCACAACATCGAGAAACGACGACTGCATCTGATCTGGACCCTTCATCATTCCCTTTACGACGCCTGGTCACTGAGACTACTCCTCGACGCGGTCAACAAAGCGTACCAGGACCGAACCTGGCAGCCCGTGTCAGAACTACCTTTCAAAAGTCTTGCTGAAAGTATTAGAGGCAGAGATGCTAACACAGACCGCACCTTCTGGGCATCATATCTCGCTGGGGCTGGCAACTCTCCTCTCTTCGGCTACCTTTTTGTTCGCGACCCCATCAAAGACATGCGAGCAGACTTCCAGGTTCCCCTGCCGCAGAAGACTGAAAGAACGACTTTGACAGCCAAGATCGCATCTGCCTGGATTCGACTGGTCGGACGTCTGACGGAATCTTCGGACGTAACCATTGGCTGGCTCGTCACAGGTCGCGCCGCCGCCATCCCGGGAATTCAAAATTGTGTGGGGCCGGCTATCTCCAAGGTGCCGCTGCGGGTCCGGCTCGGGAGCGGAGACAACACGGCCGATGTCTCGGAAAAGGTCCAGAGTGAACTGACCCGGCTCATGCCATTCGAGCTGTCTGGGTTGAAAACGGTCAGGAATGCCAGTCAGGATGCAAGCGATGCTTGCCGTTTCCCGCTCGACTTGACGGTGCACCCGCATGGTACTCTCTCGTTCGCCGGTGAGGGCATCGGAATGCGCTTCGTGGGAGGCGAAGTTGCGGCAGCTCCTCCGGGCGGTCTCGCTGTTGAATGCACCATTAAGGATAGCGGAATCGAGGTTGCTATCTTCTGGGACAAGAGAGCTGCGCGGAAGGAGAAGATCGAAGACTTTTTGGAAAATTTCAAGACGGTGTTGCTTGGGGATTGATTTCGAGTTCCTCCTGTTGCATGTCATCTGCCACATTACTTGCAAGTTTTCTAGATTTCCGTATTCATTTTCATAGATGCAGAATTAATCTCACATAAGTCGGTTTATTTAGTTGCTATTACCACTCATTCAAAATCCCACCAAATGTTGCGGTTGAGAATAAAATGTCTTCCTTCGCCCTCAGAATTGATGCATAACCAATGATCTTCTTCAGCTTCGGCACGAAGTATCGGACGAACGGAATCTTGATGGTCTAAACTCATCTTACACTAAGCTTCAAACACCCCGTCGTTTGGTCTAATGCGGCCCAATAGCTTGGTTACAACACGTGGGATTTTAAGTTGATCTGACTCTAGCTAGGTTTGGTTGCGACAGCAATATGCATAAGTCCCCCCTACACTTTGTACTGATAGTAATTTATTACCCTAGATATCCAACACTGTTGACGAAGCATGTTTAACGTAGTGAAGTTGAAGCATTTTTTCCAGGCCTGAGTAAGACGTGAAACTATCCTCTAGAGGAAAGGAGCTATAATATGATCACTTCTGAGCTGGCATGCTGAAAACATGAAGATGTGAGAGGACAGTGAGAGTCTTGCATCGTCTTTGTTTATGTACATGCAGACACTGCCCCATGAGATTGCCTTCGCTCACTCGTTGACATCTGCGCCGTATTCTAGCAACAACTTCAGTATTTCCATCCTCTCCATGACCACTGCTAAATGCACCAAAGTCTTCTTTTGGGTATCTCTCATGTTCAAGCAACGCTTCAGAAGCTGTTCGAAAGGCGAAGCTCGGCTTTTCTCGTCGCACCACTTCAACAAGCCTCGTAGTTGTTCGATGTCGTCGCGAATAATCGCTCTGTGAAAGACGCTTGTTCCTGAGTCATCCGGTATGGTGATATCGGCGCCGAGATCCAATAATGTTCTGGTCGCTACCGTGTCCCCCCTCTCCACGGCCAAGTGTAGAGCGGTCTTCCCAGACCGGTTCTTGCCGTCCACTTTACCTCCGCTCTTGATAAGAAGACGCGCAATCTCCAGATTTCCGCGCATCACTGCACTTAGCAATGGCGTGCATTCTATGGTATTATCTTGGGGGAAGTTCGAGCTGCGGGAGCTTGCAATCGATGAGGGGGGCGTGAGGCTTTTCAGACTCGATGGTGTGCTGACGCTGTCGCTCGTAGACTGGGTCGTGGACGAACGGCTAGATTCCACGGTGTTCTGACAAGGCCAAATCAGCCACATGATTTGATGAGGGTGTTGAGAAATACATGCTCACCTCAAAGTCCGCAAGGCAACTGAACGCATCGCTCGGGCTGTCATGTGTTTGTGGTTGCGCGTTCATGCCGGGTAATATCAAGGGCTGCTCTGTCGGGTTCGGATGGGTCAGAGGTGTTGCGTTCGTAGTTGGTGTAAGTGCTTGAATATGATTCGGGGCTTGAGTCTGTGGTGTGCTTGTTGAGCTTTCGGCGGTTTGCGGTACATTCGCTGGTGTGTTGTTCGTCGAGTTGAGTGCAGCATCAATGCAGTCTAGACTTGTAGACGCATTTGGTGAGCCAAAATCTTCCAACCCTTGCACATCCAGAAAGTCAACTGTGGAATCTGGTTGATACGATGTGTCGAAAAACTCGGGAGATCGAGATCGAGTGTTTCTACCGCTGTTGCTACCAGTTTCCGTCCATCTTTGCTGTGCTGCGGAGGACTTTAGATGCGGAAGGTCGAAAAGTATCGCTTCTGCTAGTTCGATTCGCATACGTTGTCGAGAGCCTGCGACGATCATGAGTCTTTAGTTCAGCTGTCTGGCACAATTTCAAATATGTGACCTTCAACGAAGGCTAAGATCCGGATGTGACCACTTCTGGCGAGCCCGACTTACGGTAGTTCCTCTGCGCGATGCGGTTCTGGGCCTTGCGCCGCTCATTGATATCGGTAATGTGCGACCAATCGTCATCTCGGGAAGTCATGTTATCGGTATGTCGTGTAAGTTATCGTTACGCATGAGACTTGTAGGCAAGTATGCCACGGATTTGTATGCCGATGGGTATATCTGAGATCAGGGCTGCTCTTCATCCTCGGTCTGAGCATCAAACCTATCAAGTACTTTGTTGAGACGCAGCCCGCCGGTACCCCTCATCGCGCGCGGAAAACCATTGAAGTTGTTGATACCACGCTCGAAAGTATAAAATCTGGAGCGTCACATAATAACGTTTCGCTCAATCTAGGACGGCCTGTTCGTGCTTTCATCCTGGGCGTTGCGATCTGACTCGCGACGGCGTCTCACTGAATTCTGAAGAAAGTCCGTTTAGACCGCCTCCGATGTGGGCTTGCCGTGTTGTCTCAGTCCCACCAGTGTTTGCTACGACAAGGGAGTGGCCTCGAGCACGCAGTTGAGGAAACCCTTACCCTCGGCTGACGGCACGCTCTCTAGCTACTTTCCCTTGTTGTAAAGCGGCATATTAAAGTCTTTAATAACGTAACCCTTGGTTGCTTGAAGTGCCAGGACCCTGAAAACCTTACCTTGCGTCGTTGTTGAATACGCGAGAGTTTCCCGAGTCATTCGGGTTCCTCGAGGTTCAGAGTCAACTCAACGTTGGTGTTTTCCAGAACAATGGCTGGGATTCCAGCATACGGTTTCCGAACCTTCTTCTGTCTGAACCTGCAGGAAGATCTAGATTTAATCAAGCGTAAAGAAGCGCTTGAATATGACTCTGGAAACTGCACCATTTACACGTAGTACGGACTTGACATGAATAACGTCTCACACCACCTGACGCGTAGTCAAGAAACGATCGCTTGCGCACTTGCCGAAACCAGCTTGAGCTAATAAGCAACTTGATCATCACGATCTGTTTGGAAACGATGTGGCTGAAGATCGATCAATTGGCATAGACGTGAGAAAGGAGGGTTGTCTCGTGTAATTCCGAGCCACTAATACCTCACATTTCCCATAGCTTTGTTATCATTGTCCCAATCTCATAAGAGTGCTTCAGGAGTGGAATTGTTCTTAACGTTTGAACACTGCCACACGTCGCAAAGTAGTAGCCGCGGTCCCTCTGCAATTGGATTACAGCTCGGGGCCAAGAACAGACTGTTCTCCGATGTTGCATTGGCTTCGGAGTGGACACCACGGAGGGATCCAGCTACCGAGTTGTGCCCCGGATTAATGTCACTAATATAATAAGCTTCGATTCGTCAGTTATGGATGTTGTGGCATGAGGGTGACTGTCCAAACCCCGCACCATGTCCCCGGGTCCCGGACAAACCCGTGCTTCATCAAATGTCTTGTATGACATCCGAACATTCTGCAAACGACAACGTGGTTATCGAGAAGATATCCGTTGGCTGATCACAAAGAGAAGCTAACTCTCTTTTCGTAGATTCAGTTCCACGTCTGTAGTCATGTGTGGCAGCTTGGGAGGTCTCGGTAGAACTTTATTTTTGCCGCGGTATCCTGGGTACATCACATACGTTTGAAAAGTCACCTCTGACTCGTCAAGTAGTCCGGGATTCCCAAAACGGCTCTGTTGTCTTTGGACTCAAAACGGAAAGTCTGACGCAGAGAACTGACATTGAAAAACAACCACAATCATCTCATTTGCAACGTTGGTGCCTATTTCCGGAGGTAAGTGGTTTTTCAGACGAAAACCTTGGTTACACATGCCTTTGTTGTCATTGATTGTGCTGAAATCGGTTGCTGCCTTCATTGATTTAAGTTGCAGTTGCTCACTAAACCCAACTTATTCTGGGCTCAGCTCCTTCTCATGAGTTCGACTCCGGCTGCGAGCCCTAGCAAGCAAACAAGTAACATTCTTCCGTTTCTACAGCTGCCGATCTCATATCGGTTCCCCATGCATAAGGCAATGGCCCGTATGTCCCTTAAAGCAGCTCAACGGTCTGCTTAGAGCTGTTTGGCCCAAAGATCTGAGATTTCAACCAGTTCCACAACCTCATTACACTTGCGTTGAAAGTCATCATACGTAGAAAGGCTCTATCTGTGAGCTTTGAAGTGTCAATCATCTTTAAAGGCCGTGTTAGCGCGTGCAATAGATCATGGCCATTTGACGCACCGTAGGGTTTCTGCCTCCGCTCTGCTCAACCCACTTAAAGGCTCGAGGTATAACGGCTCGTTCGTATGCCTCGCATGCCGCAGCGAAGTCCTCCTGTCTCAGGCTCCCGGTACTGGACTTGCCTGCCAGCTCAGCCAGTAGAGGCAGAGCATCTGCACTATCGAGCATAGCCTGATTGCCGCCCATTCCTCTGTTGGGAGACACGAATGTCAGTTGTCTGGAGTTGTAGAGCGTAGATCATCTCATGAGCTTACCTGGCTGGAAGCATTGCATGCATTGCGTCGCCGATCAGCCAAACATGTGGGTTTCCAAGTCTTTGATCGTCCGGCGAGGCGACCCTCTCACGCCAATGTGGCTGTGGGCGAGACGATACTTTCGACGTGTATTGATACATCTCTTGTCCCCGGAACATGTCAATTATCTCGTGACTATACGCTTCCAGTATCAGCAACTCTGTGGTAGGTTTGAGATGTACTGTCAAGTGTTCTCTTACTGTTTGGACGACCAGTCGCGTATCAACGAGCTCACGGCATCCCACTTTTCTTCCAGTGTCAAGTCGTCGAAGTTTTGAGGCATCTGATGACTATACCATCCCATACCAAGCATAGCCGTGATTCCTTCTCTGTCGGTCTTGGCTTGAGGGTCTTGGATAATACGTTCCATGCTTCGAGGGACGTAGACTGGTCAATGCAGTGTTAGTGCTCCGAATCATAGCTTCATGGTTTCCAGCAGGATTGGAGACTGCTTCAGTGTCTTCAACTTACCTGAGAAGAAGAGGCCTATGTCGTTCTCAACTGTGTTTACTGGCGTAATGAAGTCTTCTGGGAGCTGACGAAGGCGCGATACCGACAAATGTTGCTTGGAAAAGAACGGTCTGAAGAATTTTAGTTCTTCGAGGTTTTGCAAGCCTACCAGTCGATTGACCTGTATCACAGTCAGAATCTGACTCCCAAAGGACTGTGAAAATGCTTAGACGAACTTTTGATCCCCCACCGTCCGCTCCAATAAGGACATCGCATGTATCGACGGTACCATCATCAAAAACAACTCTGATGAGCTGGCGATCTTCGTTGTAGAATACCTCGTACTCCAGAAACCTTTTTTCGAAGTGAATCCTGCCCATCTCCATCAGAGGCTCCCAAAGAGAATCACGGAGAGATACGCGGTTGATCGGGGTCGACGGTTGATAATACGGGAGCTTGCTCGGCTCGAACACTTTCTGGAAGTTCTTGTCATAGAGTATTGGAGACTCCATGAAAGAGGAGCAGGCGAAGCTTTTGGAGATGGAATCGATATGTTCTTGCGTAAGACATGCGCGCATGCCAATCATGGCGCTCTCGCCTAGTCGTATGTGAAATCCTTCTCTCTTTGAATTCTTCTCTTGGCGCTCATAGACTTGGAAGTCGATTTGGTGACGGGCCAGGCCGTTAGCAAGCAAGCTACCAGCCAGTCCCGACCCGACAATGATGACTTTGAAAGGGCTCATGGTATTTTCAGACATGTGTTTTCAGGCGATGAATGTTGTTAGACGTCGGTTAATTCGGTCCATTATCCTAAAATCATTCTCACGGTCGACTTAATATCAAACCCCAATCTGACGGTCCTTTCTGATCTGAAGTTCGCAAATGTTCAGATCCAATCAGCTTGAGCGGCGGAACACCTTCGGTAAACTTCATCACCGAGCCGGGGCCTCCCAATCCCCGACCGCCGATGTTGACAGGCGGCGTAGGCGTTGTGAAACCCCGACGTTCACCACACATGAATAATAGTTTGTTTCAACAGCGCCTTGTTCCTGAAGTATCTTGATCATGATCTCAAAAGTGGGACGATCGACCATGCCGAGAGATGTCTGACTGGAGCGTCCTTCATCGAAGAAGTGAAACTCCAAGGTTCAATCGCGGGCAGGGATCTCTACTGACCCGATGTTCAAGAGAAGTGCATGATACTTGAAGAGTACTTGCAGGGTTACTTGACGAATGGGATAGAAAATGATGCTCTTCTTCCGGGTCGTGTGCCCCGATTTGGCAGCCCATTGAGCAAATTTTAATGCTGTTTTTTATAGCGATCCATATGAAATCTCGAAGTCTAGCTAATCTTTCAACTTCTCGCTTCTTTAGGCCCGGCCTCAGGCCGGCCCCGCTTCGGCCGCATGCCCCGCCAATACGGAGCCGGAGTTCCGCGCATTTACCGGCGTACGGCCCTTCACGCAGAACAGACGCTTTCTTCCCTCTCTTCAAACGGCGTCGCGTGGCTGGAGAAAAGCAGGCTCAACACGCAATGAACCTGCCGTTATTTGTTGAGGTACAGGTAATTGAAGGTGGCGATGGCGCAAGCCGGCCAGCCACATTGAGCACGTGGTCGAGCTTCCACCAATAAACAGCAGCTTGTAGATCGGGTTATCATTTCCGGCTTCGTGGTACGTACGGAACATCGAAATTTGAACAAGCAGATGTTTGGGAACGCTTGGTCGTCATATGTCATCATCCTCCTCCCTTGCACAATCTCATCACACAATTTGCCGATCTGTGCTGCATCCGTCTTCGCCAAAGCGCATGTGGCTGAATGACATCATGCGGCATACCTGAATATCATCCCTTAACAAAACCACATTGCCCCAAAGACGTCGTCATTTGGGACCAGAGGGAGACTTACGCAAGAGCATCAACTTCATCTGATACCAAATCAACGAAAAAACCAAAAAACCAAACCATGGCCTACCTAGCGACGCGCCACAGGGCACTCCCCATGCTTTCACAAGCAACCCGAACACTACCATTCACACTTCGCTCATCGATCGCCTCGACACGCTACCTTAGCGACAAGCCAGGCCTAGAGGCAACCGACACGCGAGACGCCGCAGACGCAAAGAAGACGAATCCCCCGCAGCCCAAGATCACGAATTCGAGCGTGCCCGGTCAGGGTCCCGACAAGCTCACCGAGGAGCAGAAGCGCGAGGTGGATGAGCACAACCGCGATTTCGAGAAGAAGCTCGACCGGGCGCAGCCAGCGGCAGACGACAAGGTGGATAAGAAGTTCTGGGGAAGCGGTACCGAGGACACCAAGTGAGGCAACATGGTTTGAAGGCGGTTTTCTTGGGGGACTGTCGGCGTGCTGTACACTTGACCAGCCTGTCGACTAGGGAAACTTTGTGGTATTACAGCTTCAATTGCTGTTCGGAATCCTACTGGCGCAGCGTATTTTCAATTCGACGAGTTTACTCAAAAGACGGTACAAGGACGATGACAGGCTTCGAATAACCATGCGCAAGTGAGACATTTCACGGCATCGCTCTAAGCCCTGCAGATCGATGCTCATGTCGTGGCTGCCAGTCATTGCATTGTTATTAAATAACAGGTTGTCGTCTATTCGGCTTGATTCCTTGGTCAAGTCGTGTTCGATCTCCTCAGCGTTGTCCGTTCCCAGAATCATCCACTTCGGTTCGTGAACTGTGTCTGATAGTACATACTCGATTGCCGCGAATTTATGAAGTCCGATCCAAGTTCGGAAATTACTGTGTCATTCAAAAGCTAGCCAAGCTGAACAAACGTAAAATTGAGAACATCATCTGATGCGGTTCATCTTATGATTACGATATTGACCGGAGTTCAAGAAAATCAGGCCCCTTCGGAAAGTTTTGACAACTATCCTCCATGCAGTAAGTAATGACCGCAACGAAAACCTCTTTCAATGGGACTTCGGCATTTGCCTGGTCCTCGTGGCACGTTTTGGAAAGACAATGCTATTGCTTGGGTATCACTCCCTCGTGCTTGGCGACGAAAGAAATGATGCCATCTCGTAATTCAAACACTTACACCCTCCATTTGTTTCTCTCCTGAAACCGTCGAAAATAGGACTTCCAATAACCTTGAATGATATAAAGTTCCAAGACACGCAGACGGGCCGCTGTCAATCACGCTGTCCCATGTTGGAATGGGATCAAGCGTCTTGGCAGCCTCAAAACTTCCGCTGGCAGATCATCAAGGGACAAGACAACAGAGAACTTTACAGATTTGAAGTATTTTTAGCAGCAGAGACGGCCTTTTGTCCGAAGCTCCAGATTCTACTTCACGCCAAGAATCCAAGAACGCAGCCATCAGCCAATGTTCCCGCAAGTCCTCTTGGTTGATCACGGTAGTTCCCACCTCCGGTGTCTTGGCAGCCCAGCTCCGCCAGCTGGCAACAGCTCAATCAAGCTCCCGAAGCTTGCCAAGCTCCAGCGCGGCGCGTTTCACAGGTTTCGAAGCTCTCTGAGGAGAAGGAAAACACACAGCCACCTCCATATCTCCTACAATGGTGGCATTCTCCAATCGTCAACTTCAATCGGCCCTGTAGCGATGCGACCTTGTGAAGTCGAGATGCTTGGCGAAGATGCTCTTCAGAGTTTGCAATGACGTGAAGTCAGCAGCTCCGTAAAGCTTGAAGAAGCCTCATTCGCCCCGAATTCACCTTGTCGGACTGGCTTACGCCATGGCTGATGCTCCGGGTTACGAATTTGATCCAGAATATTGACAGCTCAGAGTTGACGCGTCGGTGGCTGTGGGTTCAAGATGTACCGTCAATCGTGAGGTTATCTGCATATGACCCCCAATCTCTGCTGATCCTTCTGCGATGGACTGGTACTCTGTATCTTCGGTCGCAAAAAGAGACAGATCAGCAGTCCTCGCAGCTTCAAAAGGGTTTTGTGTAGACTCGCTAACCCTCGTGGGACAGTCTTGGCTACATGCACATTTTTCGAGGGACTGCCCAACATTTGGATGGCGGCGCCATAGCGGTCGCGTGACTCGTGACTCGCATCACCAAAAAGCTTTGCAATTCAGCCATGGACAGCTGGGCGTCGAAAGGGAGCGAAAGCTTGGCTGCGGGTAATATCGCTTCCGCCCTTATGGCGATGCTGCGATGCGGCGATGCTGCGCGGGATGCATGAGCTTCGGTCAACGAGAATGGAAACCCGGCATCAATCAGCCATCAACGTGAAAAAAGGCAGGGAAAAATGGTGCGCGGAATGAAAGAGGGAATTGCTCGCGTGCCCTCCTGCCCAAGCGATTGCCACATGTGCTCTCAGAAAAGCAGGAGAGCACGCGACAGCAGCTTTCGGAGGGCGTCTAGCGTCAGATCTCGCGTCTTGGCGACATCACGACGAGTTCACGAGTTGACGAGTTGACCATCTCCCAGAGCCGCCAAGCACGCACATTTGGTGAGACGACAGCGTATTGAAACAGCAACGTGCTCGCGAGACCATCTCTGACTGGCTGGAATTTGCTGATGGATCGGTCTTCGGTACCTTGAAAGCCAAGAAGGCCAAGATGTCGAGTGGCACCCTTCTCGCCAATACCAGCTCGCGATGTGGATGAGCGCAGAGCTCGGCGCAGACTGGGCATCCGTCAAAGACATCCACCTTCCATGGGTCTTGAACGGCCAGAACCAGAATCAGGAAGAAGTACAACACTCAGAAAGCGCGATTGAGATTTTTTTCATCGCTCTTTTTTGCCCTGGCAAGAGCTGAGGCGAACACCACCCAAAAGGTAACACCGACGAGCGGACCCTTAGGTTCAACGGCGGAGAAGGAGGCGAGGGCGAGGGGAAGACTGTTCCTCCCCACGTTTCTCGGTCCATATCCACGGGTGTCTCCAGATCTCTTAACAATTCCCAACATGCCTTCCTGTATAAAGATCGTGGCGCTCCGGGAACCTTTCTAGACCCTCGACCTTGAGAGGCTCGACAAAACTCCCCTCATCTCTCAAGCCTCCGGCCCTCCCTGAGCAACCTCGTGGTGACGCTCTCTTCCTCTTCCTCGTCGCCTCTTAGGCTCGCTCATCATACTCTTCCATCCTCTTCCAGTATCGTATTATCCGCATCAGGCTACCCATCATGCCTGCCCTCCCACAATATGACTGGATCATCGCCTTGATCAGTATCGCCTTCTGCGGCAGCTCCTTCGGAAACGGTGCCAACGATGTCGCCAACTCCTACGCCACCTCCGTGGCCGCCCGGACCCTGACGATGCCCCAGGTCGGTGCCCTCTCCATGTTCACCGAGTTCTTCGGCGCCGTCGTCCTCGGCTCCCGCGTCACCGGTACTATCAAGAACGATATCATCGGCCTCGACCGCTTCCGCGAGACCCCGGCCACCCTCATCCTGGGCATGGGATGTGCCGAGTTCGCCAGCGCTTTCTGGCTTCTCGCTGCCACCAAGATGGGTTACCCCGTGTCCACGACCCAGACCATCGTCGGCGCCCTCGTCGGTGTCGGCATCGCTGCTCAGGCCGGCGTGTCTTGGTCCTGGAAAGACGGTAGTGTCTCTCAAGTCGCTGCATCTTGGGCCATTGCCCCCTTGATCTCTGCTGTCTTCTCTGCAGTCCTCTTTGGCAGTCTCAAGTTTGCCGTTCTCGAACGCAAGAATCCTTTCGAGAAGGCCATGAAGGCTATCCCCTTCTACCTCGCCTTCACCGCTGCCGTGCTCGCTCTCTTCATCACAGTCGAGGCCCCTGGCGCCCCATCTCTCGAAGAACTCGGCGCCGGCAAGGCGTGCGGCATCATCCTCGGCGTCTTCTTCGGCGCTCTGCTACTCTCTTACGTCTTCTTCGTGCCTTACGCCCACCGAAGACTTGTCAAGGAAGACACTCGAATCCGCCTCCGCCACGTCATTCTCGGCCCTCTCCTCTACAAGGAGAACCCTCCCATCTTCATGCCTGCCAAGGGCAACGAGGTCGTCAAAGACTACTACGCGAACGATGAGACAATCATGAAGGATGGCGAGAAACAACAGACCAAGACCGAGGCCGATGCGAGCACGGGCGAGAAACTTGTCAACAACGACAACTCCTCGGACATGCCCAGCCCAGTCCCCTTGTCTCTCGACGACGTCGAGCGAGGAAAGACTGCTCCCGTCACGGAAGGCGTTGTTCAACGATACAAGCGCAAGCCCGAGCCCGAGGAGCGCTTCCTCGCCCCGACCGCTCACCTCCCGATCAACAACCCCAAGCGCATCTGGAGCTTCGTGAAGTACTTCTTCCTGCAGGGCGTCACTCGCGACTGCGTCACCCACGCCGATACCCAACTTGCACACGTCCACGGCAAGGCGAAGCAATACGACAACCGTGCTGAGCATCTCTGCACTTACATCCAGGTTGCCAGTGCCATGATGATGTCCATTGCTCACGGTTCCAACGACGTCGCGAACGCGGTCGGTCCCTGGATTGCCGCGTACCAGGTCTACATGACTGGCGAGGTCACCGAGGAGGGCGAGAGTCCCATCTGGATCCTTGTTGTCGCTGGCTTCCTTCTCGGTGCAGGCTTCTGGTTCATGGGTCACCACATCATCAAGGCCATGGGAAATAAGCTTACCAAGATGAGTCCCTCTCGTGGATTCAGCGCCGAGCTGGGTGCTGCCATTACTGTCTTGCTGGCGAGTCGCCTTGGTCTTCCCGTCAGCACTACCCAGTGCCTGACCGGTTCTGTCGTCGGCGTTGCCCTGATGAACCTGGATGCCGGTGCTGTGAACTGGCGCCAGGTGGGCTTTGTGTTTTCCGGATGGTTCATCACTCTCCCCTGCGCCGGTCTCATCGGCGGTTTGTTGATGGCGATGTCTCTCAACACTCCTCAGTTCGGCCAGGGCTAAAGTCCCCGCCATTGGGCTCTCGTTGGATTTGCATTCAGAGGCGTTTGGGTTGGGTTGTGTCGGGAATAGAGACATTGGGCGGACATGCCTTCTTTAGTATTGACGACCAAATCATGAAATAAAAGAGTATTACACGACATCTTGTTACCCCATCCACCTGAAGTGAAGATGAGAGACTTGCCTTGCCGGTGACTCAGGGTTCATCGCCCATAAGCTTCCCTGTGTCTTACCCTGGTCTTACGTTACAGCTGCCCCAGCTCGTCTCTCCGCGTTGCGATCTGTGGGCCTACCCTTCGTGCATATGCACGTGAGTGCAACCCTCTGCGTGGATGGAAAGATATCATCAGTTAACAACATTAGAGGGGTCTTTCAAAAGAATTACTTAACCCTAAATCGGCCATCGAAACTGGTGCGATTGCATATCTAGCGCGGCAATAGCATATGTAACGCTAAAATGTTTCGTTGTCTAGTTGCTGTTTTCAGATCCTCCGCATCTTAGCTCCAGTCCAGATTCTTGGCGATCGAAGCTGAAGCCCTGGAAGCGAGCAGCTCTCTGGTAGTCCCTCGCTAATCTTGAGACAGAATCAATGAGATGGACATATAATTCAATCCGATAGCTCGAAAGGATGTACCTGACTGTTTAAGAGTTGTGTCTCGCCTTCCGCAGAGTCTGCCGCTCCCTAGCCTACAGGTAGCTTCTTGGTGAGACGGCCACCTGAATTCTGTGCGTAAGGATACTTGTAGCACTATCTCGGACGACATTCCTGCAAAATTTCAAGCTTAGCTTCAAGATTCAAGCTTCAAGAAACGCCAGACAATTGACTGGCTTGCATAGAGGCTAGTTGGCACGCCGAACTTACTATGGTAGTGGGTGAAGTCAGTCATCCCCAGTTCTGTTGGCTGTTAATACCCGACGTCACTGCAACATTCCGGTTAAGCTTCATGTGGTGTTTGACCAACAGCCCGGACGATCAATATCCCCAGAAACTGTGTTCATCCGATCATACAATTGGCCAAGAATCTCCGGCAATTCAAAAGTGTGTCAATGTCGCCCTCCAAGGTCAGGGTGACCCCAACTTGATCGCTTTCTGCCGGCTTTAAGCAGACCAAATGCGCCTGCTGACCTGGGATGGTCTCCAAACTGCTGCAGACCGTCAGCTCCAACGCCAGTTAGATCTCGGAGAGGATACTGTTCGGATACACTGTGATGCGGAAGCAAGCGCGGAAGTTCATCTCTCTTCACTGAGTGATTGACTGCGGCAATTGCACCAGAAAGTGAGCGGCCCGCACACCTATCCGATAGCTGTTTTCGGATATGTGCCGAGACCCGGCGTCGTGGGTTTTGGTGATAACACCGGGGCCACTCATTGGTGCGCAGAGTGGGAATTCCCTCTCGATGCTGTCCGATTGAGAGGTATCGGCTCCAGGTTATCAGTGTATGCGATTCAGCGGCTATTGCACTCCATCAACCATCTTCCTATTCCCGATTGTCGGTGCGTTTGAAGATAGATTCCGGGCCGGGAACTTGTTATCAATCGACAACGACCGCGAGAAGCCGGGCGCACGGATGGGGGGGGGGGGGGGGGGCGAAGATGCCGATTGGGGGTGTGGTTTTGAGGGGTTGGCGCAAAAAAAGCACCC